GTGCAATACGCAATCTATCAACATGAACAAGTGACTTTAATGGTTCACCAGCAAGGGTTTGTAATTTATACGTACCAAAATCAGGAAAAACTTCTACTACAATAAAGGGACCTTTGAATTTTGGCTCTAAACCATAACGACCTTCATGAGTGAGCATAACCATATCACCAGGTTCGAAAGTGATTTTCTTTATAGCAGCATCCCAACGAATTTTGTCTTTTTCAGCCATAGCCTTGAGTCTAAATTCAGCGGCGGCACGATGCTGACCTAAATCAGCGAGTTCACGAGAGGTAATATCAGCAACAGTACGAGGGTCATTGAAAGTAGCTTCATCAATATAAGGATGTAAAACATCACCAGGAAGACGAGGCTCACGACCATACGTTAAATAAAATGGGCTAAATCCAGTAGTGGTATGCAAACGAATACGACATGCCCAGAGAGCAGCATGTACAAAATCATCCCAACGATGAAGAGCGCCATTTGTATATTTACGTAACATTTGTTTAATTACACCATTAAACCTTTCAGCTTTAGCATTTGTACGGGGATGGTAGGCAGAAGTCAACTTGAACTTTGATCCAATTCGTTTGATGTATTCTTGAACAAGACCACTCGTAAAATTAGCTCCTCTGTCTGTGCAAATTTCAGACATTACACCGAAATTCATGACAATCTCTTCATAGATAAAGTCAGCAACAACTTCTTTGGAAGCAACGGGAACAGCACGAGCTACACACCAATTTGTAGCATAATCGACACCTACCAAAAGCCAGCGATTACCCTTTAAAGTTGTTGGTAAATCCAAAAAATCAAGATGCCAGCGATCAAAAGCAGTAGGAACTTTTAGCGGGTGCATTTCATCATGATGAGCAAGACCTTTACGACTATTTACTTGGCAAGAAGGGCATACACTAATCCATTGTTGAATATCTAAACGCATAGACGGCCACCAAAAACGAGGGATCAACATTTTAAGCAAGGTTTTGTAACCAGCATGACCAAAAGAATCATGATATCGAGCAACAGTATCAGCACGTTCAGCAAAAGGTAAAAAAGGAACAAGTTTTATACCAGTCTTTGCATCTACAGCGATCTTTCGATACACTTGATTAGCAGTAACATGAAAATATTTTTCTTCTTTATCAAGTATGGCTTTGACTTCAGCAGATTTTACCTTTTTCCGCGTTTCTGGGAGGAGTAACATGGGCCAGTCACTTCGAAGTTTGGCAGGTAATTGTGTCCAAGTAACATACAAATAATCGGGTTCCATTGGTTTAACATCAGCGGTAGATTGACTATCGGATTCGAAATTCATGCGAGACAAAATATCAGGAACGGTATTTTCTTTTCCCGGTTTATATAAAATTTCAGGTGAGTATAATTCTAATTCATTGATCCATCTTACTAATCGATTCGGTGGGTTTTCTTTTGAACGAAAATATTGTAAGGGCAAGTGATCAGAATAAACAGTATAACCTTTAGGACAACCTTCAACATAACAACGCCAGGTACGTAGCGCATGTAAGATACCGAGTAGTTCTTTTTCTTGAGCAGGAAGCTTAGATTCAGAGTCAGCAAATTTCTTGGATTCAAAACAAAGTGGATGCCAGGGCAAGTTTGGATCATCATCAGGTTGGAGTAAAGTAGCGCCACAACCACGATCGGAAGCGTCAACTTCAATACGGAAAGGTTTGTCCATACGTACAACTTGTAAAACAGGGCTGGAAGATAATAACTTCTTTAACCTATCAAAACTGACTTGACAATCGTTATTCCATACTATCGGCCGTGTTTTTATACCTGTACCTCTGGTAAGGTCTGTTAAGGGAGCAGCAATAGAGGCGAAGTTCTTGATAAACCTTTTATAAAATTGTGCAAACCCAATAAATTGACGTACCTCCTGTACATTTTTCATTCTTGGCCATTGTTGTACCACCTGTACTTTTTCAGGGCTTGGGGATATGCCAGTCTCCGTAATTCTAAAACCGACAAAATTTAATTCCTTTTTACAAAACTCACATTTTTTCAAGTTGGCTATGAGTTTTTCTTTTCTTAACACCTCCAGAATCTGACGAACATGAATCTTGTGTTCTTCTAATGTCTTGCTATAAATCAGAATGTCATCGAGATAAACAATCGTCGTCTTGTCAATGTAATCACCAAGTATTTTATTCATGAGCGTTTGGAAAACCGGGGGAGCATTACACAAACCAAAAGGTAAAACGAGCCATGAGAATTGTCCATAACGAGTATTAAAAGCAGTTTTAGGAACATCTTCAGGAGCAATGCGAATCTGATGGTAACCACTACGTAAATCCAAACTGGTAAAATAACGCGCGCCACTCAACTTGTCCAAGCATTCATCAATACGTGGTAAACTGGAACTGTTACGAACCGTGTATTTGTTCACCGATCTATAATCAACACACATACGAAGTGAACCAGGTTTATTGGATCCAGGGTCCGGCTTCTTTCTAACAAACAATACACCAGCACCCCAAGGAGAAGAGCTAGGTTTGATTAATCCTAATTTTAGCAGTTCCGTCAATTGTTTTTGTAATTCTTCAAGTTCCAGTGGACTCATTTTGTAAGGTGGACGAGAAACAGGTTGAGCATCACCAGTATCAATTAAATGATGAATGCCACGATCGGGTGGGAGACCAGGTAAAGTATCTTTGAAGACATCAGTAAACTCTTGAACTAAATCATTCCAGTAAGCAGTTTTGTCGAGTGAATATACACTATCAGGTTGAATGGGTTTGATAACAAAAAGGAAGCTTTCACCACCTTTTTTAATGATACGATCTGCTTGCTTGTGTGTAATGAGATAATTTAAATTAGGGAGGGAAGTAGGTGAGTAACGTTTAATATTGGTGCATGGAGATAATTTGACACGTCCATTATTTAAATACCAGGTATCTGTGTTCCAATCAGGCAAAGGTTTAGTCTGTTTCAACCAAGAACGACCAAGGATCAAATCGAATTTAGTAGTGAATACAAAGGCTGTGATCTTGTCTTGAACACCATTTAAATTGAGAATCATTTCCACCTTGTGCTTGATTTGGGATACCATACCACCAGCAGTTTCGACATGACGATCTTCGACTGGAATAAGATTACACCTATCAAGGGATCGAATAACATGAGGAGATACATAGTTTTCACTAGCGCCGGAATCAATCAGAACTTGTATAACTTGACCATTGTAAATGACAGGATATAGCGGTAAGGTAGTAGCCATAGCATTTAGATCAGATATATGTTGTAAATCATCAATAAAAGATTTTGGATATATAATTGGCAGAGTTTCAATCACCACATGCTGAGGAGTAGTTGAGTTATTATTATCAGTTGGATCACTGTTGTATTTGGTTGGATTAAGTGTAGGATAGAGTGTACTATCTAGTTTAGAATCAGAAGAGTAGAGGTCAAAATCAATCAAGTTTTTATTTTCAGGAAAATTGTTATAGTTATCTGTGTCAAGTAGGTGAACTTCCTGTTCTTCAACTACATTGACTGAAAATCCCGTTTTGAGTGTTGTTCATCCAATTTCTTGATATCAGACAAACGAGTACGACAATTCCTCTTTATATGACCAGACTTGTGACAATAATAACAAGAAGTGTTACTATTAGAATTGTTGTTTCCGTTACGAGCATAATAATTTCCATTGTTACGACCATTATTTCGAGAGTAATTACTGTTGTTACCACGAGAAAAGTTGTTATTGTTGTTACGTGAATAACCGTTGTTATTTCCACGTCCGTAACTATCATTTCGGACATAGTTAATTTCTTCTGCAACATCCAAATCCATAGGGTCATCAATTCTAGTTTTGACGTGGGATGAGCGGGGAATATACGGATAGTTTTCTTCTTGCTGAGCACTGTCAAAAGCAAGTGCAGCTTGAATTGCTTGTTTCAACGTATCCGCATCATACTGGCGAATATGCGATCTCATTTGCTTGCTTGTCAGACCACGAACAAACTTGTCACATCCTTCTTCATCAGTCATAGTAGGAATAGCCAATTTAACGTCCATAAATTCATTAATGTAGGTGACCAAATCACCTGTCTGTTTTAAAGAAGCAAGTTTGTCACGCGCAATTCTTGTTGAGTTGTCAGGTCTGAAAAATTCAATAATTAATCTTTTCAGTTCTAGCCAAGTAGTAGGGGCTTCATCAGTCAGTTCAATTGTTCTAAACCAAGCGTCAGCACGATCACGCAATAAGTAGTAGCATATAAACAACTACGTTCAGGAGTCCAGGAGTTAAAAGTGGTAAATCTCTCAATGGATCTTACCCAGCCATCAATCAAAAGAGCATCACGAGTACCATCGTACACCTCAGGTTCTTTGATTCTTGTTTGTTTGCTATCAGTCATAGCAGTAGTGAACCTCTTGATCAGTTCAGCCATATCAGCATTGTAGTCATTGTTGTTTGAATTATTGTTAGTCATTTAGGACTCTGGTGCTACCAAATATCAGTCTTGTAATAGGTTAAGTAGTGTATGTAAGATTCAACTCTCAGTGGTTAATCAGTAAGTAAGTAAGCAAGTACTTGAAATTATAAAATAGAAGATAATGTTTATTTGATACAAAGCTAGGAGCTATTTATACTAGTTTGGGGAATATAAGAATGTGATAATAATGTGATAATATAATGTTGATATGTATGGTGATAATATAATAAAAGTATGGTGATAGATATAAAGATTGATTGTGATAAATATAAGTAATCAGGTTATTGAATGTAGAAGTAGTGTTGTGATATTTATAATAAAGTGGTGTTACTTCTTTGGCCGTTTTCTATTGGCATTGGTTATCTTGGGTACAAACTTCCTTTTTAGAAGTTTAGCTTTCTTTAGTCGTAATTCGATCTCCAGAGGCATTTCAACATCCATGGTAGAGTCCGGGTCGGGTACAAGAGTCCGGGTCGGAATGTGGCTTAGAGAAGCATCAGAACCATCGACAATTGTGGGCTTGACAAAGACACAATCGGTTTCTTGGTTTAGTGGTATAATTCTCGCTTGCCACGCGAGAGGGCCCGGGTTCGATTCCCCGACCGCGCAATATTTTTTTACCTTTTTTAAACGTGGTCCTTGTTGCTGTCGGAGTACAATTCAGATACATATATATATTTCTTAATCATACAAAACAATAAAGACCATCTTTTATCTACTACTCCACTCTCGTATATATCTTACTTAATACAAGATCAGACCCGACATCTGGTAGCACCAGTTTTTTTTATTAACAGTATTGGAAGTGAACGACGTATAAAGTTATACGAGTTCAATCAGCAAGTAACAGGTCAAACAAAAATTTATGGAATCACATAGTCATTATCAAAACAAATTTGAAATTGAAGAACGTGTGCAGTTAGGACTACCTGTTCAATATCGCAACCAATATCAAGCATTAAGAGAAACATCCAGCAGCAGCATTCAAACAAGAATACCAACAACCTTCGCCAGAGAAAAGTATTGGTCGAGAATAGCAAATAGATTAATTAAAGAGTTTACAGAAGAATTCTCAAAATCAACAAATAATAGCAGTGAACAAGATACAATGACAGAGGCCAGCAATCAAACAGCAATGGGACAGATAATTGCAGACGCAATTCAACAAGGCATAGCTCGTGCTTTAGAGCAAAATAATAATGTTAACCACGAGGATAAAGATTTCTACACCAAACCTCCCAAATATAATGGTGAGAGGGATCGATTTAAAATTGACAATTGGATATCTTCTGTTGAAGATTACCAATTATTTCGTGATTGGGATGACGAAAAAACATACCGTTTCGCAAAAACACTACTGGTAGACATGGCAGCCATATGGTTACGCAACGTAAATGATTTAGGTAACAACGAGATTTCAACTTGGCCATCCCTCAAATCATCAATCATTCAGCAATTTCGTCCTACCAACACAATCGTACAACTACGTGAACAGTTACACTCTTTAGTACAAAAGACAACAATTAGTACTTACATAAATGAATTTCTGACAATCAGGCTGGGAATTCCTCGTATGAGTGATGACGAAGCTGTTGATAAGTTTACTCGCGGACTCAAAAACAAGGATGTTCGTGCGCAGATTCGAGGATTATATCGAAACGAATGCCCTCCAACTCTTAACGAAGCAATACAAACTGCTCAAATGTTTGAATCCTCTCGTATTGAAAATGTGCAATTTCAACTACCAGGTATCAGAAACAATTCTACTAACGAGACAGATATGGTGGACGATCCTATGGATCTATCCGCTCTTCGTGAAGTATTAAATTTTGTTCAAAACAATTACGGGAATAATCGTGGTCGTGGTACTTGGCGTGGTGGTCGTGGTGGTACACCTAGAGGTGGATTTAGAGGCTCGAGAGGCAGTCGAGGTGGTTATGGCGGTGCTGGTGGTTTTCGTGGGGATTATCGTGGTGGTTATCGAGGTACCCGTGGTGGTTATAGGGGAGGATCGAGGGAAAATTATGCTTATCCTACGCAACAACATTCAAGAGTAGAGAATCGTGATTGTTGGAACTGTGGACAATTTGGACATCTCCAATTCAACTGTCCTCAGCAACAGCAACAAGAATCTTTTTATATTAACTCAGAATATGATAATTATTATGAGGACGATTATAATGAAACTGAAAATCAACAACCCGTGCCTAACAATGTGAATAAAGCTAGTGCACAAAATGATCAGAGAAATAAAATCCAAGCAAATTCTTCATCATCATATTCTAACTCGTCTTTACTATTGTACAGTGTATTACCATCATCTTCGGCATATATTAAACCATTAAGCGTAGACCACAAGATAATGAAACAGGACATTGACTTTTTAATGAACGCTAATAATATTCACTACAAGTTACCGTTATATAAAATTTTAATCAACGGTCATCCATGCAAAGTACTTATCGATTCAGGTGCGAGTGCAAATTATGTTCATTCCGATATGTTACCTTTTGTATCCACAATTGTTCCAGCTAAACAAGGACAATCCGTTGAGACAGCAAATGGGCAGCAAACATATATCAACAAAATAGCAGCATTTTCAATCGCTTTAAATGGATATACAGATCGCATTCAAGCATATGTATTCGACACCAAATTTGATGTAATTTTAGGTAGATCATGGCTTTCACAGGTCCAACCTATTCCAGATTGGTTTAATGGAACGTGGAAAATTCGAATTCGCAATGATCCCACACAAACAACAATGATCTATCCATTACCAGATCATTTGATTAGTAAATCATTGGTGTCACCAAAAGTAGTTCCAATCAATTCCATCGAGGCAAACACTGAGAATAGTCAACGGCAATTGGAGGATCTTGATTTTTTACTATCTGCAAAACAATTAGACCAGTTGTTTAAAAAGAAAAAAGTAGATGAATGTTATCTCATTGATGTTTCGACAATTTACCAGGAAACGGAGGATTTATTAGTGCTAGTGGATGATAAGTTACCATTACATAAAACAACTAATCATAAAAACTTAGAAAATAGTGATAAGGAATGGTGTAACGAGTTTGCAGTAAAGTATCCGGGAGTATTCAAGGGTGTCATAGACAGTCTGCCTCCTTTGAGAGACACGGTCGAGGACATGATCAAATTCAAGCCAGGAGCTATACCAGAATCTAGGCCTCCGTATCGAATGAGTCCCGTTGAACTCCAAGAATTAAGAAGACAGCTGGACATACTTTTGAAACAAGGATTGATTGAGCCAACGTCTTCACCGTACGGGTCACCGGTATTGTTTGTAAAACGGGTGGACGACAAGAAATTGAGAATGGTTTGTGATTTTAGAGCAATCAATAAGCACAGTATCAGTCATCGTATTCCAATACCACGTATTGATGAATGTTTATCAATGTTACACGGTAGTAATTTCTTCACCACGTTAGATTTGCAAAGCGGATTTCATCAACAACGTCTAACAGAATCAGATTCAGAAAAAACAACAATCAACACAAGATACGGCCAATTTAAATGGAGAGTTATACCGTTTGGACTGCGTAACAGTGGAGCACAATTTCAAAAAATGCTAAACACCATCCTTAAAGATTATATTGATGTTATTTGTTTACTATATATTGATGATATTCTTATTTTTACAAAAGGCAATGATGTAGATCTTCACAAAAAACATGTTGACATGGTTTTACAGAAGCTAGCAGATGCCAGTCTGGTAGTAAACAAAACAAAATGCAAGTTTAATAGAAAGCAGGTGACGTTTTTAGGGCATGATGTGATAGCCAATACAGGTGTTCGACCAGCACAAAAGAAAACCGATGCTATTACCTCTTGGCCTCGACCAAGTAATGTTCAAGAAGTACGACAATTTGTAGGATTATGCCAATTTTATAAAGCATTTCTGCCCAATTTCGCGTCCATTGCTTCTCCAATAACCGATCTTACTCGAGGCTCAGGTCCTAAGCTACGAAATATTGAATGGACGAATGAATGTGAGCAAGCCTTTATAAAAATTAAAGAGATGATGACTACCGCTCCAACGCTACTCAACCCATGTATGACTTTACCTTGGCGTATTGAATGTGATGCTAGTGATTATGCTGCGGGTATGGTACTTCTTCAGCAAGATCCACAATGTAACCATGAATGGAAACCAGTTGCATATGAATCTCGTAAATTTAGTAAGGAAGAAAGAAAATACCCAGTACAAGAACGGGAGTGTTTATCGATTTTACATGCTTTACGTACTTGGCGTTGTTTCATTGATGGCAATGATTATGAGGTATTTACTGATCATGAACCTCTTAAAACTTATCAAGATACATCAAAAGTTTCTCCAAGATTGGTAAGATGGATGACGGAATTAAGCTTATACTCACCACGGATTCTATACAAGAAAGGTGTTGAAAACATCATTCCTGATTTGCTCAGTCGACGTGATGGTCCTACTTGCACCCCAAATGCTGAATCGATCGAACCTAGATATCTATATGAGCCTATTGAAACGGTTGCGGCAATTTTGACAAAAACATCCCACAACACCAACGAAACTTTGATCACAGACCCACTTCAAGACTGGCCGCTGTTTTATTTTAAAGACTCCAATCTATGGCCAGAATCCATCAAACGACAATTATCTGAAAAACAAGAAGATTTCATGGTTCAAAATCAACACGTTTGGAAGAAAATCAAAACATCAGACAATCACAAGGAAGACAAATTAGTTAAATTTATTCCATTTAAACGAAGACTGGACCTAGTAGAAGACTTTCATCGAGGGTTCGGACACCAAGGAAAAGCAACTGTTTACCAGCTTATGAAATCCAGATTTTGGTGGCCTAAGATGCTCCATGATATTACAACATGGTTATCACGATGTCCTGAATGTCAACTACATTCGCGTAAAGAATCCAATGTGCATCATGCCCCGATGAAGCCGTTAGAAATTCCACCACCCTTTCACAGATGGCACATAGATTTTATAGGTGAGCTCCCCACAACAAAAAACGGCAACAGATGGATTATTATGGCAGTTGATTATCACACAAATTGGCCAATTGCCCGTGCTTTAAAGTCTGCTACCGCCGATGAAATAGTAAAGTTTTTATATGAAGAGATCGTCATGCGTTTTTCGTGTCCAGTCGAACTTGTCAGTGATCGAGGTGCTAACTTCATGTCCAAAATATTGAATCAATACATGAAAAAAATCAAGTCACAGCATATATTTACCAGCGCCTTCCATCCGAGAACTAACTCCAAATGCGAACGCTTAAACCAAACTTTCAAACATATGATTACAAAATATGTAAAAGGAGAAGTGCATAGCTGGGATGAATTTGTTGAAACTGCCCTCTTTTCCTGTCGAGTAAGAAAACATGCCACAACTGGATTGAGCCCTTTCTTTATGACATATGGTGTTGAAGCAGTTCTTCCAGGTGACTCAAAACGTCCGTTCATGGAACCTATGACAGAAGAAGATCCGGAGCTCATTGCCGAAAATACATTATCACGTATTAGAATACTAAGGGAGGAAAGATTACAAGCAAGCGAAAAAATGAGGATCCAGGCCGAGAAAGACAAAGCGAACTGGGACAAAAAAATGAAAGGAGCAACAACCCAAACTTTTGAAATCGACGATTATGTAATGCTAAGGCATGAAAACAAGCAAGGCCTTGAATTCAATTGGATGGGGCCATATAAAGTACTCAAAAAGAATAGCGACTACAATACATATCAAATTACTGAAGTGGATGGAAAAATTTACTCCTCTTGGGTCCACACGGATAGACTTCACCCAGTAAAATACGATGGTAGTCCAATTGACAAAACTTGGTATATTCCTCGCGTTGCTCGAGCCAAAGATAAAGAAAAGCAAAAAATTTTACCTTGAAGCTTATTTTGGAAAGGGGGTGTTGTCGGAGTACAATTCAGATACATATATATATTTCTTAATCATACAAAACAATAAAGACCATCTTTTATCTACTACTCCACTCTCGTATATATCTTACTTAATACAAGATCAGACCCGACATTGCTCTGATATCGTTGTGTCGAGGAGGTATTGTTGTTACAATGCGGACTTCCAACAACTATTTTTTTTGACTTCAAACCTAAAATTTATACTGATGATACTGTTACAATGCGGATTTTCAATATGTAATAATTGACTTCAACACTAAAAACTTTATTCAGACAATTTATATTTTTCATGCTAACTTTTAGCATTGTACTTCTCTAACCTGAATCTGTACCTTTTTATATTTAAAACCTTTTGACAAATTTATTATTATTATTTATCCGAAATCAAGGGTATCGTTACCGATCCTTTGATTTCTCAAAAACTATATAAACATTAAAACAAAACATATTTCAATAAACATTCAGATTTTACTATATACTTTTATCATAAACTAGCCTATCAAATATTATATCTTCTATATATAATTGACCTATTATCTTACTGTCTCCCTAGAAAAACCGAAGCCTTAGTCTCTTTTTCTCTGTATCTGTTATCAAGACTAGTGTTCGGAATGAAGATCGAAACTCTCGAGCGAGCTTCGATCGTGTTCCAGTCGAAGCTCGCTCGGATGCGTTTTCTTGCAGCTCGAGCTCGCTCGAAGTTTCTTAAGCTCGGCTCGGTTGCGAATACGATAGCTCGAACTCGCTCGCCCTTATTATTACACAAAGTGCACGTCAAAGTGATGTTAATTACAGAAAATTATGATAATAAAATTGTTATTTATTGAAATAGAAGTTGGAAAAAGAAAAAAAAAACTTTTTTTTCACCAGCCTTAACACCAAATTCGGATAATTAAATCAAACTATTACTGCATCTATATAATAATACATTTGGATTTTTGAACATGAAAGTTTAAATTAATTCTGCTACATCATTTTACTATGGTTGCTGTAAAAAATTGGCTTAGTTGGGTATAGTGTGCAACACTGTTTCATTTTCTATGGTAAATGTGTTTGTTGGTTGTACAATTAAATAAAAGTCCAAAGCATTTTAATTGGAATTATTAAAGCATAAATATAAAAAAAAAAATGGTAAAGGGAAGAAAAGATTAAAATCAAGGGGAAATGCCATCTGTAGTCTTTCAAGGACCTTAACTTTAAAGTGACTACTATCGACATTTTAGCCGAGCGAGCTTCGAGCGAGCATCGATCGAAGCTCGCTCGAACCCAAAAAAAGTGGCGCAAGCTCGAGTACAAAAACTCGGTTCGAGCTTCGTTCGAACTGGCGCAAGATCGGTGCAAGCTCGAAAAGTTCGAACACTAATCAAGACCTTTTATTTTATTTTACTTAACTGGATCGTTACCATATATATTTATTATATATTTATATAAAACAACGTGGTGCTCACTTAAGAACTGAATAATTAACTACAAACGTGTATTATTCTCCTTCTACCTTACTGTCAAAACTAAATCTAAACCAATCACTACTACTCACATTGTATCAATACAATCTGGATAGTGATTGTGATGTTTTATTGGCAGAGGTTATGAGTTAGATAGAGCAAGAATATAAATAACGATTTATATTTCGGTTCTTAATAAAGTGAGTATTCGTTGAGCCGGTACCACTGTTCACACAAAGGTGTAATCGATGGACTAATCAAGCAAGATGATTTAGGCCGACCATACCTAAAAGATTACAACGAGTGAAGAAGGATGCTGCGTGAGAGCATTGGTATTCAAATTGTATTTGTCGTATTTGACGCCTAAATAAATTGAATACACTTACTATTTAATCTATCTTGAGTTATAATATACTTCGTATACTATAACAGACGTAGTACCAGTTCTCTTAATCTTCTACCTGGAAATCATACCCTACTTATCGTAGGTGGTAGAAGGAGCTGCAGTAAATCAGCCTACCGGGATTTAATGTAATCAAGTAATCCAATCATCCCACATATTGCTAAATGGATAAATGGTTTCTCTGCTAGAAATTCCGGACATACGAACATAGGCTTACATAATTATATTGTATAAGCTATGTTTCATGTCGTTACTGATTTACTTTCAAATCCAACAATTACCAGTCTCTGGAAATGTTTATTCGATCTACGCAGAAATTAATTGAAGTAATAATTTAATATAAAGGGACCTCTATTTTTATCATTGCAAACTCTCCAACTCATAATAAAGGATTAAAGAGTCTTATTTCTTTACTTGTTTATTTTTATCTTTACATTTTACCATTTTATACTCAAATTATCTCAGTACTGTCGTATTTGACGCCTAATTCCACGAATACAATTACTCTTATCTTGTCACTCAATTATAATACGTATAACCTATGTATTATAAGTATCATATTGCGAATACATTCCTATTGGTACGACACAGTACCAGCTCCCTCATATGTCAAACTGAGATCAGATTTCATAATCGTTCCTGGAATGGTCGAGTAGCAGCCGAATCTTCTAGTTTCTCATAAATTTATTTTAGTAATCCAATCGAGGACCCTGTCATTGAATGGATAAACTATAATGCTCTAGAAGTGCCGGACATGGGTCAACTAGCTCCTTGTATATAACAATAAGCTATGTTTCATATGTAACTGATTTCTAAATCTAATTCTACCATTTCCCAGTTTGCGGGTAAATAGTCAATTCGATCTGCGCAGGAAAAATCTTGAAGTAAAAATAATTGAATATAAAAAGGACCTCTATTTTTATCATGACAAACTCTCTAACTTATAATAAAGGATTATAGAGTCTCATTTCTTTACTTGCTTTATTTTCCAATTTACATTTCCCTTTTTATTCTCAATTATCACACATGGTTGACCTGCGATAACAGGCCCGGAATATTCTAGTTGCAACGTTGACAAAAATTTCTAATGTTTGCTTGTTCATTTTGGGTTCTTGCTCTTCTCCGTTGGTTCTGGGGAACCTCTCCACGTCGAAATCTTGGGGGAATGCCATTTTCAGCACGAAGTGATCGAATAATATCAACCATATTGTTCAAGCAAGCAGCCATATCACGAGTTCATAGACGAGGAGCAATCCTATTTGTGTTATTAGTCATGGCTTTACAATTTTGATTTGTACATCTGTCACAAGAACAAAAAAAAAAAAAAATTATTAGACAAAAAAATTATTAACAAGTAAAATCAACATACCTTAAGAGACCATGTCTGATTACACGAGGATTTTCTCTTCGTCTATGAGGGCGCGGGTTATCGACCATCCGAAACGTTTCAAGACTTCTACGTTCACAAGCTGGGCAACACTGACTTGTTCTGAATTTATCAATCAAGTACACCCTTTTACCAGCTTTTTGAAGCAACCGACGGAATCCAAGGCCTCGGACCGGCTCATGAAATCTTGTATTAGGAGAAGACCAGTTACCCATAACATAAACAACTTCGACACCAAACTGTTCATCTAGTTTTGAAATAAGATCCTCGTTTCCTTGTTGTCTTCTAATATAGGCAGATAGCCGCATTTTTCTGTGCAAAGGATGAGCAGTACGATGATTGGTTCGGAAGTTGACATAGTTGTTTTGGATGATGCCTGTCATATTGGACCTGTTTTCAAGATACTGTTCAAATTCATCTCTATTTAAGGAATCATAATTAACCAAAAGCCTTTCAGCGGCTGCTACTATAGCGGGTTTCACAGCTTCACGGATTCTACGGTATTTTTTAATTTTTTCAAACTTGTCTTGGTATAATTGATACAAGCTCTATTATTTTTTCTTATAAAGACTTTAAAAATAACAAATATTACGCCAAAGCTAACTCTTTATTATATTGATGTAGTGAAGGTCTTTACAAATCGGTAATAAACACAGCATAACTAGACATGCCTCCATTCTGCCTCAGACAGATGTCTTAAGTTCTCTATTGCCTGAATCTATATATTTTTGCACTTGTTTTGAAGATTGATTAAATTTATAGTGACGCGCACTTCTCTAATGAAACATAATTGTAAAGCTACCTTACAAATACCAACTAAGAGCTGTTTAGGCGAGATGTAAGTTTTAGGAGTTGCTACCTGGCTAGAGCACATACATCACTTCAATAAATATCTGAAGATTTATATAAGTCTAAAAATGATTTTGTTTGTATTCAAGAAGAAAGAAAGAAAAATCGTCAGAATTTAAACTTTACAACTGTACATGTTAACAAAAGAATTTATTAAATGATAGATTTAGAGAAAGGGGGGAAGGAAGTACAATATAAGATTTAATCAGAAAAGGGCTGTACACGAGATTTATTTTTTGAATTGATCCTCTGTAACACCCTTACCCATGGCGGCAGTTGCGGACATACCACCTGTGACGACCTTCATCAACTCATCGGCAAAGTTTGCACCAGACCATTTCTGATGTTGCAAGACGTCCACATCGTGCTCTCTTTCTTTACGCTGAACGTTATTGACGTAACCCAACATACCTTGTTCCTTAAAGCTTTTGGCAAATGTTGCTGAAGCGAGGGCATTTGCGTGGAGACCACCCAAGGTAATAAATTGCCAAACAAATCCTAATTTGCCTAAATTTTGAATATATGAACCCATGTCGGAGTCGTTTAAACCTGCAGCATCCCTAACATAAACAATTAAAACTATAATCTTTTTTAAATTAATATGAAGAATTGTCCCTTACCAGTTGAATGAAGGGGATAAATTGTAACACAACAATGATTCAGGAGATGCAGCCAAGACACCCTTTGAGAAATGTTCAGCTTGAGATAAGATGGGCTTCTTAGTTTCCATCCAGAGCATATCAGCATAACCGGCAAAAGCAATAGAACGAGAAGTAGCGGCTTCGGTTCCACCTTCATAACGATACAAACCCTCACGAACTCTACAAGCATCCCAATCCCATGAGATGACAACACCATACTTGTTCTTGGCAATTTCACGAGCTTCACCGTTTGACTTGAATCGGATATCGGACAAAAAGTCTTTAGCTAAATGAGCTTTACCATTAGCGGATAATTCATCAGCTACGGCGGTACCGTATCGCTTTAAACCAGCACGAGAAATCCAATCATCTTCAATAGCCTGAAGAGCAGCACCTTGAATACCTTGGGCCTCAGCTTCAAGCATCACAGTAGCCAAAGGCTTTAATGAAGGATTGGTGGAGCCAACCAAAAACTCGTGATCACGGGGATCGATGTTGGTAGTAATCAAAGTGGCAGCTTCTGCATCAGTACGAGCAACGACAATATTTTCAACACCCATAATATCGTATTGAACACGAATAGCAACTAAACGGTTGATATGTTCAGCAATAGGAACCAAAACCTTACCAGCCATATGACCACATTTCTTGGTACCGGGAGATTGATCTTCAACTAATTGTTTTGCACATGTTAAATAAACAATACATAATAAAGCAAGGGATAAATAAATGTCTTACCATGAATACCGGCAGCACCGCGTTCGACAAACATCTTGGTCAACTTCATGATAGCGGTAATACCACCATGACCAGTATCACCATCAGCGATCATGGGTCGCAAATAGTCGATCTTGGGGGTCTTTGCTCTCTCTTCAGCAGACATGGAAAGACGATCTTCACGTTGCTTACGATCATGGAAGAGCTGAGCAAAGAAGAGATGCTCGACCTTGTTGGGAACGGTATCCATGGGGTAGTCAGCAAGATCTGGACCAGGTTCATTGGAGGTTGAAGCAGTGGAAGAACATTGCCATCCAGAAACATAGACGGTATCAAGATGAGGAGCCATTTGGGTTACCTGGACGGGATCAAGAGCACCGAAAGTGTGAGAAGTCCCACCAGTAGCCTTGTTTTGTTGAAGGATTTTCCACAATTTCTTGGCTTGAGTGTTGGATCTATACTCAACAGGGAAATTACCACGCTTGGAGACAATAGATTCAGCGGTATAAGGACGTTTGACTAATTTAAAACGAGGAGAAGCCCACCATTGCTTAACTCTGTCAACTTCTTGTTGGAATTCGAGCTGTTCTTGATCAACGTGAGTCATTTTGAAATGTTATGAAGTATAAAAACGATAATTTGAATTATGGGTTTTTTTTTGGTCTCGTATTTATAAAGAATTTCGTTCAGGGGAAAAGAAAATTAATCAACAAAGGCAGGCGTTAGTTAATGATTTACAGTCGGATGCATGAACTGTTTTACATGTGATGTATTTGTTATGTTTGTAAGATAAACATAAATACGCTGTTTACGTAGTTTTGATTGGGTAAACACGTGAGAAGCAACGGGAAAAGCAAATTTCATTTAAAATAATTTCCCCGGGAAATGAAGTATAAAGGGTCTTTTTTTTTTTTTTTTCCTGTGTGGGGCAGCATTTAGTTTGAAAAGAAAGGAATATGGCCAACACTTCTATACATGATTTTACCGCAAAACTTCTTGGCATAATTATGCACTGAATTGTATACTCCTTATGTCGAATGATAAAGACTTGTTGCATGCTATACCTCATTTGGGATTAAGGAGCAACAATACTCCTTTAAAATTCTATAATCAACTTTCCTTGCATAATAACGCTTAATTGTTACAAGAGCCCAACAGACACACCCCCCTTTTTTTCTGAACAAGAATTATCGCAGTCCTCTGTTTTAACCCCCTTTCACTCCAACCGCCCCCTTCTTTTCTTTTTCTTTTGGCTTTTCCTTTTTTTTTTTCTTTATACACTTCTTTTTATTTCAAAGTCATTTAAAGAATGGATAATCAAGCAGGACAACAACAACAGAGTATGCAGGCTATCAAGTGTGTGGTAGTAGGTGATGGGTAAGGAAAATGTATAGGCAGACAGAGAGAAATCGACCAATTGACGGTTTTTGACAATTATAGTGCAGTTGGAAAAACATGTCTCTTAATTTCATACACAACAAATGCGTTTCCAGGCGAATATGTACCCACGGTGTGAGTGTAGTTGCCATTCATTAATTAAGTAGCTAATGATTCCTAGTTTTGATAATTATTCTGCTAATGTGAAAGTCGATGGAAAGCCTATTAATTTGGGATTGTGGGATACAGCAGGACAGGAGGATTATGATCGATTAAGGCCTTTATCATACCCACAGACCGATGTATTCTTAGTTTGTTTTTCACTAGTCAGCCCACCCTCATTTGAGAATGTAAAGACAAAGGTAACATATGATCCTATCTTAAAGCCGAAGTAGAATGCCTAATTTTCTTTTTAGTGGTATCCAGAAATAAATCATCATGCGCCTAATAAACCGATTATTTTAGTTGGAACAAAACTTGATTTAAGAGAGGACTCAGAAACTATTGAAAAACTCCGACAGAAAAACATGATACCCATCTCATATACACAAAGTTTGCAAATGGCAAAGGAGATAGGCGCCGTAAAATATTTAGAATGTTCTGCTTTAACACAGAAAGGTTTAAAAAATGTATTTGATGAGGCCATTAGGGCTGTTTTATGCCCAACTCCTCTTTCAAAAAAGCAAAAAAAGTGTATCATTTTGTAACAGAAGCTACGATAATGTAACTAAACAAAAATAAATAAATAACAAGTTATTGCTATAACTTCGTTCTTTTTTACCCCTTATCAGTGACAATATTACGTGATCTTATGAACACTGTGTACTTCAATACCCAACGAGGGATAAATACTTCATCCCGTACCAAGTCATACTTCTGCAACAAATGTGTCAATTCACACGTCTTTAAAATGGCTAATTTTTTGTTAAAGCGTTGTCTTGTCAATTGTTTAAACCCAACTTACTAGTGCAGTCTCCATTATGCAGTAACTCAATATGTTTGTCTTTTGCCAGTTGGATCAAATCTAAAGGCATGTGACAACATTCTCCTACATGGATGTGATTGATCTTTGGTTTAATTTCAACTTGGTTTAAAAAGTCTTCTAGATCATGGCGGCTCAGGTCGGTTACACCCAAATTTTGCACTTTGCCCAAATTTACAAGATTCTCCAAAGACTTCCAATACCTGTTATTAGATGTAATTAATGTATCGATATGCTTAATGTCAAGTAGCTTAATAAGATGATCCCACGCTTCGTCCGCATAGGTTTCCTGTCCCACAGAGTCAAGATAAAATAATTTGGCTAAAAAGTATTAGAAATCCCCTTTCTTCCGGAAAAGAGTGGCATACCCGTAATTTCTACATGATCTCTATCCTTTGGATCAATTCTACTGCTGGACCTAAGATCTGGTATCTCCACTAACTTTGTGTCCTTGTAATAACGATAGTTCAACCTATCACCATAATCCAAGGTATCGTTGATTGCGTCCAAAATCTTGTTTGATTTAAAGTTAAAGTTACTTGTTTTATGTAAATTATGGCATCATACTAACCTCCATGTTTGTTTTTTTATCAAATACAGAGTTACGCCCAATCACACTTTTCACAATATTACCTGTGTACAGGGCTAGATGTTGATAACTAGAGGGAAACTTTTCTTTTGGCGAGAACATTTCCATGATAAAAAGAGAAAGCAGGTAAAAAGGAAATGGGAAAAAATGCGTGGCACTGATACGTCTTTAATTCTACATAAGAATCGATGGCGCCATTGGTGACTGCATCACGGCATGTCTCTTACCAATCAAACACACTTGTTTTTTTTTTAGGTTTGGACGTGCATTACGAAGCAGTCCAGTGCTTCTGGCAACAGCAACGAGCTGGGTGGTGCGAAAGCAGAGAGGATAATGTGGCCATGGTCTTAACAACATGAACAATTACATTCATAATTTGTAAGATCGAGGAATACGAATCAATGTTTTTCAAAGACTACAATGTTCATTCCTCAATTCAGAGCAAAGCCCAGGGGTTTAATTTTTTTTTTTACAGCTGGACAAGCGTTTCTGTCAAGAACATTTACTTTAGAATGCAGCGTTTCGTAAGAGCATCGTGGTCAAATCTTTATATCAGTAGCTACAAACTGATATTTGTCGATTAAAATAGAAGCGTTCGATGGTTATCCTTCAGCTCTGGAATCATGAAGCCAATTTTCTAAGATCATAATGAGTTGAAATTCTTCTATTCTATTTAACTACAACAAAGTGTTGTCTTATAGTGATGCCATGTGGATATGGACAGGAGACAAAATTAATCATGTTTGCCTTAGAGTGTTTTTTACGAAATGATTAAATCTAGTTTAGTTTTTGATGAAATGGCTGTAGTTTCTTTTTAATGAAAATCCTATGCGAGGCAGTGCAATGCAAGAAAACGATTGGTTGAAATATTTTTTTTTTATGTTGAATCAAATTTTTGATGTAAAAAACTGATGTATGCATTAAATGGCATAGAATAAATGTATAAAGAATTCAAAAGCAAAGATAAAAAAAAAGAAATAGTTTTTTTTTTTTTAAATAAAGTCTAAAGAAACTCACCACAAGTCGGTACGAGATGGACGGTGCAAGAAAACGGTAGAGTGAGTGGAACCATAAAGCGGTATGTTTTATAACTGTGTTTGATTGTATACCATGATCTGGCTAATGACATTCTAGTCCTAGACGGATCTTCAAATCATTAACACTCAGATTTAATAAACGCAAGCTGGGCAGTCTTTTGGATGTCTGAGTTCTTCAGTACGAATGATGGAAGCATAATCTGTTTTGCGTATATTTTTTAATATACTATTTAAATTACAAACGAAAAAATAAATAATAAGGAAGGCTGGAAAGCCTTTAGATAGCTGTGCACTTAATATTTGAACAAGAGTCTTATACGATAAGAATTTAAACATCATTAAAGATTGTTTTAGAAAAAAAATATAAAAAGAAAAAAAAAATCAACTTCTTGCTAGTAGCGTCACAAAGTGACGTGCGAACCCAAAAGGGTTGAGTTGAAAAAAAAAAAATAACAAAAAAATAAACCTTTCTCTTCCAACCTTGAGAACACAACTTTTTTTCTCATCTTGAATAAAAAAGCTGCTTGTTTTTTGAAGCCCATTTTCCTTGAAATTAATCCAACCGAAATAAGTTTCATGAATGGCGTTTGATCAACCTAATCAAGCACCTCATCGCCCTCCACAGGCACCACCACCACAACAACAGCAACAGCAACAACAGCAACAGCAACAGCAACAACAGCAGCAACAGCCATCGGAAGATTGGGAATATAACAGATACAACCCCGGACCTTACCCACCATCTTCTTATCCTCCTCCTTCGCCTCAAAACCGTGAAAATTACACTTACCCTACCTCTTCTAATTCAACTTCTTGGGAACAGGTAATAAAAAAAAAACAGTTTGTGTATATCATAAAAAAAAAAAAAAAAGACGCGATAAATAAACTAATCGTTTAAATAGAACCATTATCCTCCCACTTATCAACAACAAGCATATGATCCAATTCGTAGCAGCCTAGTATGATTCAAAGATACAGGCCTTATATGCATATTTTATTAACCTATGTTTATCTATTAGGGACCAGAATCGCTTTCTCCACCCCAACAGGTATAAAAAAAGAAAGAAAAAAAAAAGAAATATACGTATACTAAAAAACAACACAAAAATGCATAGCCACCACAGGCAGTGATTTCACCTGTTATGTCTATATCTCAGCTGCTTTCATCGGATAATCCACCTAAACCTGTTTATTCACCCACATTTCAACCATTTGAGCCTACACGTCAGCATGGTATTCAAAACTTGTTAAACAGCGATAACGAAGAAAAGTACCAGATGGCTGATTCTGATACAGATACTGAAGATATCCCATTAATCCGATCTCCCAAAGTGATGCAACATCATCAACACCAAGAAGTCATTATTGACCACCGTGATCCTATCATTGTTACTGCAAAGGTAAAACTTGATTAAAAAAAGAAAAAAAGAAAGAACAATGAAACTAAGCAATCTGATTTTTATGTACTATACAGAGTCGTAAAAGTATATGATTATAATACTCTTTTTATAAGGAACTCATTGATGCTAACTATTTTTTTTTTGTGCGAAAAGTCCGCAGTGACGAGAGTGACGATTCTTCCATGGATGAAAGCGACATTGAATTACGACCCAAATCAGGGAAATCACTTGCTCAGCGTACTCGTGAAGAATTAGTATTTTCAGAGGGAGAAGAAGAAGATGACGAAGTACTTTTAGCCCATCGAGAAGAAATGGTTCAGTTCATGATTGATGTGCACCGCCGAAGAAAGCGAGTCATTGAAGAATACGAAAAAAAGGAAGCTGTAAGTTTTTTTTATCATTATCCCTTATTGTGGTAGCTAAAACGTCATCATTTTTTTTCAGAGCCGTCATTTAAAGATGAAGGAACGCATTGAGCAAATTTATGAAAAGAGATATGGAACACGTATGCCAAAGAGCGATGTATTTAAACGAAAATCCAAGAAACCACAAATAAAGCGATTCAAATATCATCACGACGAATCTAGTGATGAGCTTTTAATTGACGAGGAACGCAGACCTACTGAACGCAGGATAGAAGACGACCGTCGAAAGATTTGGTTGACGATCGCAAGAAAGGATATTCCTCGCATGAATCGTATTTTGTCCCGCGTACAAGCAACTCGTTCTGGCAATTGTAAAAAAGTCGCCCAGTATTGTCAAAAGGAAGTACGCCGTGTCGTTACAAACGGAGGCCGTGCTAATCGTGATATGCAAAACAAGGCAAAACGCGCCAGTAAAGAAATGCTCTTGTTCTGGAAAAAGAATGAAAAGGAAGAAAGAGAGTTACGCAAGAAAGCGGAGAAGGAAGCTCTCGACAAGTTGAAACAAGAAGAAGAACGTAGAGAAGCCCAACGCCAAGCTCGTAAATTAAATTTCTTGATCACCCAAACTGAGCTTTACAGTCATTTCATCGGTAGAAAAATTAAACAAGACACGGGTGAGGATGACGATACTGCTCAGCCAGCTCCATCTGGATTATCTACACCTTTAGATGCAGTACCTGCATCCGATGAATTAGATGCTGGTGCAGGAATAACTCATATAGGCGAAGTTGATTTTGATGAGGAAGACGAATCTGTTTTAAAGGAACAAGCCAGATTAAGTGCCCAAAATGCTCTTGCCAAACAGCGTGAACAGACAAGAGAATTTGACGAAGGTGCTCGTGAAAGACGTCTTGCTGCCGGTGAAGATGAATCTAGTATTAATCAAATGGCCTTTGATGATATGAATTTCCAAGAACCATCAAGTATGGGTTCTGGTCCTGAGGTGTTGCAACCCAATATGCTCATGTGCCAACTTAAAAGTTATCAGCTTAAGGGTTTGAATTGGCTTGCAAATTTATACGAACAAGGCATCAATGGTATTCTGGCTGATGAAATGGGTCTCGGAAAAGTAAAGTATATAAAGTCCGATCATGAAAATGCATAACTAACACTGGGAATAGACTGTTCAATCTATTTCGCTATTGGCATACCTTGCTGAGGTTCACAATATCTGGGGTCCTTTCCTTGTCATTGCGCCTGCATCTACTCTTCATAATTGGCAGCAAGAATTCGCCAAATTCGTTCCCCAATTCAGAGTAATTTCACCTTTTTTAGAGTGATTCAAAAACAATATTAATTCTCTACAATAGGCACTCCCTTATTGGGGTAATCCCAAAGATCGTAAGGTATTACGTCAGTTCTGGAATCGAAAGCAATTATATGGTCGAGACGCACCCTTCCACATTGTTATTACCAGTTACCAGCTTGTATTGACGGATGTGACCTACTTTCAACGAGTGAAATGGCAATATATGATTCTTGATGAAGCGCAAGCGATCAAGAGTTCGTCCAGTGCCCGTTGGAAGCAGTTACTTGGATTCCATTGTCGTAATCGATTACTTTTGACAGGTACACCTATCCAAAATAGTATGCAAGAATTATGGGCTTTACTTCATTTTATTATGCCAACGTTGTTCGATTCACACGAGGAATTCAGTGAGTGGTTTTCAAAGGATATTGAAAGTCATGCAGAGAATCGAGGATCATTAAATCAGCATCAATTGAGGCGTTTACACATGATTTTAAAACCATTCATGTTGCGTCGTATCAAGAGAAATGTGCAGCATGAATTAGGCGAAAAGATTGAGGTGGAAGTGTTCTGTGAATTGACAGCTAGACAAAAGGCCTTGTATCGTGGGTTAAAGGAAAAAATTTCGATTTCTGAATTGTTGGAGAAGGCTACTTCATTGGGTGACTTAGAGAATTTAGATAGTTTGATGAATTTAGTCATGCAGTTCAGAAAGGTTTGTAACCATCCTGAATTATTTGAACGTGCTGATGTAAGATCGCCCATGTCATTTTGTAATTACAGTGAAACAGGTTCGCTTTCAAAAGAAACTTCCTTGTATTGTCCTTATTCTGCTACAAGTCACATCACCTATCGTATCCCCAAAAAATTATATCGTAATGGTGGTATTCTCAAGGTCGTTAGTCCCGATACAAATGCAGGATTTGAAACAAAATATCTAGACAATATGATGAATATATGGAACAACAAATATATTCATGATTCCGAATTCTCGAACGATAAAGGTAAACAAAACAAGTAGATACATATAAAAATTTTACATTAACCATCCATTATAACTTAGATTCCGCATTTTCATTCTTGAGATTCACAGATATGGCACCACAAGAAGCAAGTTATCTGTCGAAAGCATCCCTGATGGAAAGATGGGTAGATCATTTGGCTAAACGTGATCAACGTACAATAAGAAGTTTTTACCATGACGAACCTCAAGCGGCTGTCAACACATCTGCATTATTTCTGATCACAGAAACAAATTCCCCTACAAATCCACTCAACATTACACCCGATTCAGCCTTATATGAATTGACTCATATATCAGACAAGTTCATTCACGATACACATGTCTATGGCCAATGTTATTTCCCTGCAGTAAGTGGAAACAATGTTATTATATGTGCAAACATTTAAAATTATGAATAGGTTACTGCTGTACCCGTGGATATGGTCTGCGACGATATTTCGTTTATTCGCGAGAAACAAGATGCATTGTTCAATATCAATACTAGATCTTGCTTCTATGGCACGCCCGAATATAATACAGATATTCAAGAAGCATCCAACCTATCTGTTGTTGTACGAAAGACTGATGCGGGAGTCATGACGGTCCCATCATCTGGTTATGGATTCTCCTTAATGAAGGTGCCATGTAAGTAAAGACATATGGAGTGCATATTTATGCAGGTTGGACTAAGATGATTTGTAATAGCTATGAAGGATCTTATTTTGGACTCTGGCAAGTTAGCCACGATGGACAAATTATTAGAACGACTCAAGGCAGAAGATCACCGTTGTTTAATTTACTTCCAAATGACCAAGATGATTGATTTGTTCGAAGAATATATTGCATATAAACAATACCGCTATCTTCGATTAGACGGTTCATCCAAAATTTCCGATCGTCGAGACATGGTACAAGATTGGCAAACACGACCCGAGATATTCATCTTTTTGCTTTCGACACGTGCGGGTGGTTTAGGTATTAATTTGACTGCTGCTGATACGGTCATCTTTTATGATAGTGATTGGAATCCAACCGTAGATCAACAAGCAATGGATCGAGCACATCGTCTAGGTCAAACCAAACAAGTGACAGTGTATCGATTGATTACAAAGAATACCATTGAAGAAAGAATTCTTCAGAGAGCAAAACAAAAGGATGAGATTCAAAAGGTGGTCATTTCAGGCGGCGAGTTTAAATCAGTTGACTTTAAACCTAGAGAGATTGTGTCACTTCTTTTGGACGATGAAGGTAATAGAACAAATTTATACGTGTTTTGCAATGATTGGGAAATTCTAAATTGGCTTTTGTAGAACTTGACGATAAATTACAGATGCAATTGAAACGTAAGGCTGAGGAAGAAGAACAGAAGAAGGCAGCAAGGCCAGTGAAACGATCTAGAAAACAAGCGTTAGCTGCAGAGGGATCTAAAGAATCTACACCGGCGCTTAGTCCATCGAACGTAGATCGCCTTTTCAGTGCGGGAGAAGATACATTTAATAATACAACGGAGGAAGATACAAGCGGAACTTCATCACCAGCCAAGAAACAAAAGCCGACACGAATTGGTCGACCGAGAACAAACTTTTCATTTACTGGTTAAAAATAATAATAAAGATAGTTTTTTTTTTTTTACAATAAGATCAAGTGATATTCTTAATAGAAAAGGCACGGAGGTGATGACAGATATTGAGAAAACAAACAAAAGAGTATTATGACCACTTTGTGGTAAAAATGTATATTTTATTTTAAAACCCATCCTGCAACCGGGATGGCTATCGGTTCCGATCATGTTGAATGTCAGTGTGTAAAAAAAAAGAGGAAAAAAAGAGGAAACAATTATATAAAAAAAAGGGGAGGAAAATTATCTAACAATTAGAGTTTTTAAAAAGAGAAGAGAAGGAGGTGGGGGGGATATGAAATGCAGTTTGTTGAAAACGTTAACTCCAAAAATAAGTTTTTAACAAAATTAAGTTAAATAGCTTAGAACTTGAGTTCCTTGGGTTGTTCCCAAGAGAATTCGTCACGACCGAAATGACCGTAAGCAGCAGTCTTTTGGTAGATGGGCTTGAAAAGATCGAGCTCCTTGACAATGACACCAGGACGGAGATCAAAGTTTTGACGGATGATTTCGACCAAGTCAGTGGCAGACTTCTCAGAGGTACCATAGGTATCAACGAAGATAGAAAGAGGCTCAGCGACACCAATAGCATAAGAAAGTTGGACAAGAGCACGACGAGCGAGCTTGGCGTTGACCAAAGACTTGGCGATCCAACGAGCAGTGTAAGCAGCAGAACGATCGACCTTGGACCAATCCTTACCGGAGAAAGCTCCACCACCGTGAGCACCCCAACCACTGTTTAATTAAAAGAAAAAAAAAAAAATATTAGAAAACCGAAATGAAAATTTTTTCATAACCAAATCCCGACAACTTACCCATAGGTATCAACAATAATCTTACGACCGGTCAAACCAGCATCACCTTGGGGACCACCAATGATGAACTTACCAGAAGGTTGCAAATGGTAGACGGTATCCTTGAGGAGATGGGCAGGGATAACAGGCTTGACAATGTGTTCCATCAAAGCCTTACGGAGATCTTCAGTCTCAATCTCGGCAGCGTGTTGAACAGAGACAACAACGGTATCGACACGAAGAGGGATCATGGCACCGTTATCGTTCTTGTACTCAATGGTGACTTGGGTCTTGGAATCAGGACGCAACCAAGAGAGGGTACCGTCACGACGGAGGTCAGCCATACGCTTGTTGAGCTTGTGAGAGAGGACAGCAGTCAAGGGCATCATCTCGGGGGTTTCATCAGTGGCATAACTTTATAAATATTATTAGCAAAAAATAAAACTTAAAACAATAGACAATAGATGCTTACCCAAACATGATACCTTGATCACCAGCTCCAATATCTTCAATGTTGAAGGACTTTTGAACAAGACCTTGAGAAATATCAGGAGATTGTTGTTCAATAGCAACTAAAACGTTACAGGTCTTGTAATCGAAACCCTTTTCGGAATCATCATAACCAATTTGCTTGATGGTGTTACGGATAATCTTTTGGTAATCGAGGTTAGCCTTGGTGGTGATTTCACCAAAGACCATGATCATACCAGTCTTGGCAGCAGTTTCACAAGCAACCTTGGACATAGGATCTTGAGCTAAACAGGCATCCAAGATAGCATCAGAGACTTGATCACAGATCTTGTCTATAATTGTTTGTTAACTATTTGTTTAAAACTCTCTAATCAATCTTTAATCTTACCAGGGTGACCTTCACCGACGGATTCAGATGTGAAAAGGAAAGTTTCGCTCATTTTTGTATATAAAAAGGGTATGGAGGAAAAAAAAGCAAAAAAAAAATTATTGTTCACGAATGTATTTATTGACTAAATTTTTTTTTTTGTGAAAAATATCAATTAAAGCCACCGAATTTTACCCAATGAAAACAATAAGAAATTGCGTATCAAGCCAATCATATTCAAGTAAACATTCAATCGCGACATCCTCAATCAAATTGGTTGATCTTTTATGTTTGTATCGTGTAGTTTTAGTATAGGGAGACATATTTTTTTTTTCTTCCAGTAATCTAGTTATGTAGGTGACTTTATTTATAATTTAGAACTGGACTATTTATATTATACCATCGTCTTTTTTTTTAAATTTTTTTTTTTTTTTTTGGCTGTCAAATAATCTAAATCTCATCTTGAACCACCTTCACCCCCCGTTAACCCTTTGAAAGGCGACACAAGATGATAAAATTGTATAATCTTATTCTAAAACGCTATAATTCCCTTTTTTTTATTACTACAAACTTTCGACCTATTAGCAATTGACACAATTTTAAAAATTACATGTGCTAATACACCCCTCCCCCTTTTTTTTTCCATGGCTACACATCTGGTTTTTCCCAGGCTTTCCTTCAATCATATCCCTTCAATTCTCTCGGGCTTATTTTCTGGGTCTCTTTTGAGAATTTATTTATAGCTCATGTTTTTCTTACAGCACCCTTGTACTCGGACATCATGTGATTATTTATGGCTGTCTGATATCTTTATTACTATTACACACAAACTAACTCTTTTATTTCGGTTTGGATTGAGTTTGATTAGTCGGATAAGAAAAAAGATGGTCAGTTCGGTGGTTGTACAAACTATCATTTTTTCTAGCATTGGGGCATAAAATAAAAAAAAAAGATCATCTCTATTCTGTGTTTAAAAAAGTTGTGCCTGAACCAAATATTTGTTTATTGCGGCACCTTTATTGTTCAAAAATCATGTTTCATATCACATACATACACGCTCACAGAGAGAGAGAGAGAGAGAGAGAGAGAGAGATCAATTGATTTAAAAACCATCCGTGAGAAATATCTCTACCAAATGACGTTGACGGTTGTTTGGTCTTAACGACCATTGTTCCCACAAACACATGATGTAAAAAAACGGTGTACCGGAACCGTGAATGATTCGCTCCTCGATCATATAAAGCCAGACTTGCCATGTTTATTTAGAATTTATAAAACGGGCAAGGGGTCAAATCACCTGTCCATAAGCTAAAATGTAATGTAATACCTTTTCAGGTACTTGACACCTGCAAAAAGGTACCGACCTGATAAAGCATGACTTTCCAGGATCACTTATTTACACCTTTAGCAGGTATCAAATATACCTCACATGTTGTCTGATTATACCATATATTTTATTTTAGGTTTATATAGGTCACTTATTGTGTGCTGTAGTAAGCTATGGTTTGGACTCAAGTGCATTCAAGAGTCGAACTGTGGGATCATCATTATCTTCCAAGACATTTTTGTCTTTATAATTAGCTAGGAACCATGTAAGGGCAATTAATGGATCCATGGGTCGATTCATATCACCCTTTGGGATAAAGAGACACATTTCCGCCCATATATAACTGTCAAATTCATACCATTTTGAATTGATAAAACTAGGTGACAAGCCTATTAAATCAAGTTCTCCGACACACAGAAAGACATAGCATGGCGTTACATTATGTTGGTCATAAAACTCCAAACATTCGCTTATAGCTTCTTTAACGGTATAATGATTACATTTGTTAGGAATTCCCACAATAACAGGTAAGCTGGAGTGTTCTACTCGTGGAAAGTAACGAATTTGATGGAAATCATCTGCCCATGTGGTAGACCTCATGAAATAAGAATCCTCTACATCTAGAACTGCCTTTGTGATAATATTGATCACCTTGGGTTCTTTCAAGAGGTTAAGCAATAAAAAAATTAGCATGAGTATCTATTCTATTATCTCCTTTGTATATATCTATGTATCATTAACCTTGGAAGTTTGTTTTGGTCATAACAGAATTGAATGTGAAGAAATAAAAAAGTGGATGATTAACAATTTTTTTTTATTAACCATACGTACTAGCAACATTAGCTGACATCACGTCATATCTACGTATTGATAAACATTGCACCGAATAATGTACATCAGATCATGATACTGTTAGAAGGGCAAACAGAAAGGTATTTCTATGAGGCATGACATATATATATCAAATAAGAAACGAGGAACATTGTTCTCAAATTTTTAGCATTTATAATCTTTATACATTAGTTTGAAGACACAACATTCTAAGGACTGATTTATAATCGACGCACCCTTTTTCTGTTATATCTGTAATGCTAATACAAAGACATTGGCGCGTAATTGTTGAGCTTTCCATTTTAGTGATCTCCACAGACTTACAAAACTCATTTAGCTTAATAAACTCGACGGTGGAATATACATTAGGTTTAAAAAATAGTTTGCAAGCAAAAGTAGTCGAATTGATTCATTGTATGTTAAAGTGCTGGGTCGTGAGCTCTGCTCTGGTACTGTACTTGAGTTTTTTATTACAAAAGATATTGTTCTACCTCCCGTCAGCATTCCTCCAGTATATAAGCATCATCTTACATGGACTTTTATAAATACCATATCTAGTCATGTAGTTTACCCTATCCATCTTCGTCAGTCCTATCTCTGATATAGCTTGTCTAAATTTCCTACAATCTGCTTTCCATGTTCATAGGAAAAAGAAGAGGCGTATTGTATTTGTTGTAACGATGTTGCTGATTCTGATTATTTGGAAGTGCTTGTATTATATTGTACAGTTTGACAGTATATTTTTTGAAAGTTAAAATTGTAAACCGTCAAGCTGACACAATGTGACCATCCGACTTGATAGTCTGCACTCACAGTGGCTTTACAACATCCTACAAAAGCAAATACTGGCTAACTTGTGCACCAGTCTCCAATATTTTTCTACTGCCGGATGCTATATATCAGCATCTTGTTTTGGTTTTTCACCAGTAACATGATTTCTAGTATAAAAAAAATAAGCACTTAGAAACCTAAAAAATATCTTTTGAAGTGCTACTTCCAGAAAGTCATATTCTACATTTAAGTAACTGTTGAATAATTTATTTTTTGTTCTACGAGATACTTCATTACGTGTCTCAACAAAGGGAACTTGAAAGAGGATGAAAAGAAAAGGCCTTTATTTTTGTGTTTTTTTTCAAATCTTCATAAACTGATCTTTCAAGATAATGGAGATCCTCGTCAAGAAAGGTTGTCTCGCACTATCACCTAAACCATTTCGAGCTAATAGGCCTTGCAATAAATACAAATTATCTAAAGTCTTATTTATTTTTTTTGATCCGGATTATCTTGTTATTACAGTTTGGTTTGAAAAATTAAGTCTTTCAGGGTAGAAAAAAAAGAAAATACACAAAATATCGAAAATTATGGCTCTTATTGATTTTTCTCTTTTTTGTTGTTGTTTAGGAGCAAATGAGTAAGAGGAAAGGGGGATCTTTAAGAAGAAATAACACCCAAATAATCTTCTTTAATAGTACCGATAGCAAACTATTCATCGCGTTAAAACCTAACCACAAAAACCAGCCCAAGAAAGAAAGAATATACTTACTATTTCAGTTGCATCGACACGAGTACCTACCAATTTTAAGCGAACCTGAACATCCTTCTGTATCACCTTTTTAAATGCATGTCAAAAAAAAAACCTCTACCTTAAAAATCAATGCAAGAACTATTACCTGATCCTCCGAAGAATAACATGGTGGATTGCCATTGGCATCGAATTTCATATCAGTGGGTATAAGCTGATTATATTCCAATCAGTCAAACTTCACTAAAAAAAAAAATAGATAGAAAAAAAGAACTTACATGGTTAGAAACAAAGACTTGTAAAGGACCAACATCTGCAAAGAAACCCATCTACAAGCCAATTTATTAGCCAATGTAAAAAAAGTTGTAATATTGTGGTCAACATACCTTATTTACAGTTGTGACGATTGCATCCAAGACTTCACCCTTGTAAGGTTTGAAGACGATAGCTTGATAATTAACCTTGAATTCTGCCAAGCCAGATCCGGGTAAGATTTTACCTTTGCCAATATTGTGAAGGGATAAGACTGTGATAACATAACCATATCTTCCTGTACATGTTCCCTCCACATCAGCATACAATTTATCCTTTAATTGAACTTGCATATTGGGTCCAAAATACGATGGGTGTAAGGAAATAGTGTGTGTCAATTCTTTCTGTTATTTTTTTTGGATAAAATAAAGACAATGTAAATACTTCCATTATTGCCATGTGCTTTTGTTGAAAAATTTACCAAGAAAAACATGATGTGTGATTTTTAAGATCCAAGATTTATTTGTTGCAGTAGATTATTAAAAAAAAAAGAAGGAAGAGGTTCCTAATAAAAATATAAACATCATGAAGAGGATTCAATACATGATTTCTAAACCCACACCTTGTATCTGCTCCGTCTATAACGCGTTAAAAAAACCCGTTTGTAATTATAGAAAGAACTATTCATCGTTAGCTCCCACTGCCTTCAAAAAAAGTCAAAGGAAAAAAAAAAAAAAAAAAAAAATAGCTGACTTACGTCACAGGTGAAACGGCAAACTCCGCTTTTCGTATTTTTTTTTTCTTAATGCCTTTTTGGAGACAAAACAAACAGCTCTCTTTTTCAACGAAATTAAACATGTCGCATTTTATGTTTCCAAGAACCGGGATAACCATGGACCGAGATATTATGAATTCAGTTGTACTAGAAAACGATATACTTGATGCAGACGATTTGCTGTCAAATTCACAAAGTTCTTCCATACTATCAAGCACCAGTAGTAATAGCAGCAGTAGCACATCAACAGCCGAGTCTTCTGACTCTTCCACTATACTAGCACCTAGACAACCACAGCGTGTAGTATCTGAAGAACCGCGGTGCTGGATCTGCTTTGGTGATAGCTCTGATTCTCAAGGACAATGGGTAAAACCTTGTAAATGCTCTCTGGAAGCTCATCAAACCTGTTTACTGGACTGGATTGCTGAAAACCAGAAAGCTACGCCAACAAAAAAGGTAAGAGCAGGAGATAAACAAGCCGTTAGGCGACTCATAAAAAATGAAATGATAGGTAAAATGCCCACAGTGTGCTACATCATATTATCTTGCACAAAGTAATAATGTCACCTTGGCATTATTAACGGTGGTGGACTCACTTGTACGTGTCAGCGCACCTTATGTCACAGTACTTGGTCTTGGATGCTCATTACTAATTACTTGTACGACCTATGGAGCATTTTCGGTTATGACGTTATTAGGATCTCGAGACGGAGAGAGATTGATCGGCAACCCCACTCACTGGACATATAAAACATGGATTGGATTACCACTTATACCCGTACTTTTAGTCTCTACAAAAACGCGATGGGGAGACGCAATTTTGCCAGTTGCAGCAGTGACAATACTACGTGCAGCTGGACACACACCTCAAAATATCAGATTCACGTGGCCAATGTCACCAGCCTTAATCATAGGTGTTATGCCTTGGATCAGGTTATTTTACAAAAACGCTTATAAACTTGTACAACGCTGCCTAACAAAAAACCTATCATTACAAGAACCCATCATTCTATCTTCTGCTCGAGTAGGAAGGCGTAGAGGAAGTACAGAGAATATATCAGATAGAGAACTTAATTTGGAATTGGACATGATTAACGGAAGGGATACAAGCAGTATTGGGTTGTCACTAATAGGTGTTTTGCTCTGGCCAGCGATAAGTAGTGGCATGGGAGGGTATGTGGTCAAAGGGATTCATGAATTAAACGTGCTCATCCTTTTTTTTTTCTAGTTTTTTGAATAGATTTAATTGGGTCAAGCAAAATTTCCCTGACCCATTCCAAAGAAATGTGTTGGGTGGCTGTCTTTTTGTGGTGGCAAAAGATGTAGGCAATTTACTGTATAAATATGAGCGTATCCGTCAACATAGATCTCGTCGTGTCAAGAATTACGAAGAGGTGATAAAATCGTCAACACGACGTCGCTCTTCCAATTAAATGTTATTTCTAAAAAAAAAACTTTTTTTGTCTTTTTTTTCTTTTTTCTTTCATAACAAATGTCGTAAACAGGACCTCTCACTGTGAAAGTTATGGGTCGAGATGGTCTACAATAAAGACAAAGAGCAAAATAAGCAACAAGAATTTGATACTCTGACTATTTAAAAGTTGAATAGCCTAGCCATTTATTTTCTTGTACACTTTTTTTTTTTTTTTTTTTTTTATAATCTCATCTTAATCTTCATCCATAGCATCCGCATCTCTGTGTGCTTTACGCTTGGCTTGCTCTTCAGCTGCTTTCAAGAAAGATTTTAAATCTAAAAGATTAGACGTTTTTTTTGTTGCTGTTAGAAAAGGTAAAAGGAGGCATGTCAATCCGACTTACTTTTTTCAGAATCCAAATCTTCGAGAATGGCATTTAAAGTGTCTTGCTGAATAGCAGTACTCAAAAGTTGCAATCTTTGTTGGAATTGTTCATTTTGAATCAATTGCTCAACATCAGCTTTAGTTCTGCTTGAGTTTTCGCTGATGAAAGGAAATAAGGCAGAGCGGATATCTGAATCAGCAAGAATAGCCTCAAGCGTATCAATTTCCAAGACGTCATGTACATCGATTGCAGCTTGTCCTTCAGGCACAGTTACTTGAGTGAGTTTAGTCTTTAAATCAGACCATTGAGAACTAGGAATGACATTTCCAGGCAAAGAAGAGGAAAGATCACTTCTAAGATATGAATGAATTGTTATTGATACACGTCGAAATATTAAACCTATAGCCTACCCTAATCCACCAGCGTTTTGAATGAACTGTAAAAGGTTATCCTGTGTCATATTCATATCTAAATCACCTTGACCATTGCTACCACCCCCCAAGATCTGCATCAAATCAGAGTGAGCATTACCCTCAAATTCAATATCGCCATCACGACTGTTATCGTCATTGGTTGCACTTTGAGGATCGTTAATAAGCTGGTTTACACGGTTGACAAGCTCCTCGTCCTTCTCTTCATTTTTACTCTGCATCCAATAAAACTTCTTTTGATTGGAAGACTTGAACTTCAAGATATAAACACGGCCAGTTGTACATTGGTCAACACGAAGTAATTCAGCTTCATCGGGGAAAATGATAAAATCCTAAAAAGCTACGGTTTTAGTTCTCTTTCTTCTTTTTAAATATATTCACTCACGTCCTCAGGATCAGCAGCTTTACGCTCTTTCCAGTAAAAGTGCATCAGTTGATCGTCGCTCTATGACAAGTAGACCGTGTTAGTTATTTTAAGTTTGATTGCTAATTATTAACAAAGAGTACCTGATCCATATAAACGACACTTTGACGTTTAATATTAGTATATACAGCGCGAATTTTGAGTGTACAAAACAATTATATCTTACCCCTTTCTGACATCAGGCTTAATGGTTGTACCTTCTTCAATACATTTACCTGCATTGAACTCAACGAGGTGATTATTTCTTTGGGGAGTAGGGAAAAGACTCATTATTAGTTTTTGTGTTAGGAAAGAAGACAAAAACTCTATCCCGTTTATTTTTGCATGTGTATTGCTAGCAAAGATGACGCGGCCGCGCCAGCTGCGATCTAACGGGGTTTAAACTTTGCTTTATTCCTCTTTCGCTCGACTCCTGTAAATCGCCGCATGAATAACAGTGACCAAGATTCTGAATTATATAAACATAAAAAAGCTTATAGATACAGCAGGCTATCTATTTTTGTAAGTATATTCGATAAAGCAGAGGATAGACAGAGCAGTTGTAATGTTATGTAAGTTTTTCTCATCATTCGGAGAAATGAAGATATTTATAGTTTCTTTAGCGCCATTCCACATACTTGCATTATTTTTAGTATTGTAGACACGCACATATATCATTATGATGTAGTACAACACACTTGTATTTAATGATATGTGATATTAATTTATGTGATTTTTAATGTATAAAAATATGGTTTTGTGGGTATCTGCGCGCTTTTTGTCAAGGTTGTGAGCAAAATGTTTATATATACAAGTACTGTCAATAAAGTGTATTATTTAGAGTGGGGTTTTAATAAAATTACTCATGATGATATGTGTCTAGGAAAAATGAGGTGACAAATCCCATTATTTGTGTCTAACAGCTGTCATAGAGTAAACATTGGCGATTTGGATCTTGTCGCGATGGATTGTATCGAATGAAGTATCATCCGCAAATATATCCACGATATCCAAGATGAATCTGCTTGACACATGAAACGCAACAGAAAATGCTGCACTCTCTCTAAATCTCTACTTAATCTTTGGCTTGTTGGCATCCTTCTTAGCGTCAATTTAAAAGATGGTGGTGGCGCCGTGTAGATCCGCCAAAAATCATAACACTCAACACCACAATGTTGTTCTGGTATCTACAACCACATAAAGAATATTGTTCAAATGCGAAAAAAAAAGCAGAGAAGGTAAGTTGATCGCGATGAAAGGAGGAATATGTTATATCCAGTGCACGGATGTGATTTTATTAAAAAAATTAATGCCAAGATGAAACAGTGCATCGAGAATAATGCCCGTGAGATTTTTTAAAATTATTATTGTTGGGTATAATGTGAGTATTCCAGAAGAAAAAGAAGGGAACACTACGATACAAAGGATATTTACTGAGCACGGATATAAATGCACAATACAACACTTAAAGTTTTGCGTCTACCTCTTATCTACAGGCATGCTTATTGTGATAAACGGAGGATTGTAGTTGAATCAGCACACTGATGTTGTTCAGATACAGATAGCTGGTGGCTGAATAGGGGATATATACAGGCTGTCAATTGGATTAATAAAAAGGGATTCCTTGAGAGAAGAACGTTCATGTCATGTAATTTAATAATGCGTATTTTATCATGACTATATTTATTTGTCTGTACACATTTTTGATGTCTATCCGAAAGTAATTTTTCACTTCTCCGAATTCAAATTAAGATTGCTATAATAAGGCGGTTCAGTGGAACTGAAGGTACCATCATTTTCATATTGTAGTTCCTTGGGAGGAGGAGCTGATTTATCAAACGGCAATCTTGAGAATGGAGGAGGACGGTCCTCGACTGGATGATTTAGCATGACTGGTGGAACGGTGGGAATCCAAGGAGAATGAAAGGGTGGTGTGAGGGAATTATTTGTGTTTGGTGTGTCGTAGCTGTAATATTGCGGAGAAGAGTATCTATAGGGAGAAGAAGCCGCATAATCCGGTTTTTTACCATAGGAACTTGCCGACAACATGTTTGCTGTTTCATAGTCCAGTAAAGTGGGTGTATAGACGAAATCCGAAAAGTGCATTTCGTCAGAAAAGGAATCGGTTTTATGAATATCATAAGCAGAAGAGGCAGATGGCACATCCAGAACATTATAGATTGTATTTCGTTGCACGAATTGGTTTGTAGATATAATAGGTTGCACGGTATTATCAATAGTGCCTGAGGACATACCAACAGGAAAAACAGGTTCTTGTTCTTCTTGTTCAATAACCAATTTTGTTTGCAATGTTTCCAAGAATATAGCCTTTATTCTGTTAACAAGAGTAAGCACGTACTTATGGTGTCTTACAGGGGCAGATAAGAGTATTTTTGCCATTTTTTCCAGATTTCTTTTCGCAATTTTATGTTCCGGATCATTTGGCTGGGACAGAATACTCCCATATACAATTGTGGTGATCATCAGGTTTTCCAAAGAAAAATGACACCAACGTTGCTTTAATTGAACCCAGCACTCGAGCAATTCAACTGTGTTACGTGCTGCTTTTAGACATACATCCCTGGATAACACATCAATTGTAGAGGGTTGATCCGTTGATGCTTTGCTAAAAAATAGTCCATACAGCTGACACAGCTGGAAATTATATTCAAAGTTTAGCTTTATACATGATTGTTCCTTGAAAGAAGTTGAGTTCCATTCCCTTTTGTGTAGATCACCCGCTTCATATTTTAAGTAAGAAGGTAACGCTGTATACCAATTGTCGAGTTCCTTGTCTATAGCAGATATCTGACTTAAAAGTGGTTTTTCCTCCGCTGTCTTGTAGATAATATTACGATAGATACGTGTGATTTTAAAGCGCTGTATCATAAACTCCACACGGTATTTTGTTTCCCCTGATGATTCATGTTCTAAAATTGTGGGAAAACCAACAGTCACCATGTTCTTTGGCGGTAGTGAGAAAGGTTTATCCGAATGAATAGAACCAAGCGTCTCAAGAAAGTAAACCACCCAGAAATATCGGCGGTGTTGTTCTTGTTCATATGGGTTATCACTTTTTGATTCTTGATGCATCTTTAAATCTAAGCACATGCGAATTGCCAAACCTAGATATATGTAAGCTTCCGATTCAACCTCCGCCTTGTGTTCGCTGGGAATACCAATGGCATATATGTACATAATAATCAAGCTATGCATGGTATCAATACTTGTCTGCATAAACCTCTCTTTCATCAAATCTTTCGCCTTTGAAAAGAAAGGTTTTCCGACTTGATTTGGGTCCTTCCCGGGAAATAGATCATGATAGATTGCAGCATGCCTTGCAGTCCAAGCAAAAACCGCATTCGCTAGTAAAGGATCTAATGTACCACTTTTGTAACGGGAGTATATAGAATAGTTGGGGTCTGGGCAAGGTAAACATAAAAAGCATTCACAAAATATTTCCACCAGTTGACGCATGGTTTCCTCATTATAAATGATGTCTGCCTTTGATTCTGCCTGTGGATGTTTATTTTCAGATTCCCAACTGCTGTAAAGAGGGAATGTTTTCAGTCTGGACTTCCACAATGGCTTCTTTTTTAATATCGTAGCCGTGTCTGGCCTAGAGTTGTCTGTCGTTGTACTAGATGATGATTGTGATGAATTTTCTATATTGTGGTCATGCATGCAGTGATTACCAGATAAATCAAACCGAGAAACTCCAGATAGCAGGATATCATACAAGGCATGTAAAGAAACAATATTGGTATCTATTCGAAGTCCCTTTGGTGTAAGTGATAGTTGCCATTGTGCATTTGAAGTGTTCATCAAGTCGTTCATGATATTCGTGGGAGGTGGTGATGTTCGGATGATTGAACGAGTATCCTCCTGCTTCTTATTGTCATCATTTTTTATTGTACTGCTATTCATTCTGACTTCATTGGCAACATATTCTGTATTACTGCAAACTTCTTTAATATCGGTTTCGATAGATTGTACTCGTTTTTGTAAAATGTCCACCGTGTTATTTAATTTAACAAGGTTAAACAGATCTACTTGTGTAGCACTACCATCGTAAGAGCATTGTGCTTTTATCCTTATTTTATTAATAACGCGGGTTATATTCTCGGTATGGTTTTTCGTTATTACCTTTTGCCTGTTGACAGCGTTCACAATGGGGATGAGAAAAATCACATTTGACTAGAAAGACATGTTAATCTCTATTTTGGCAGAAATATTGAACAAAACCTCACCTTTTTTAGATCTAGTAAAAGGCTCAAGTTAACATTTCGGAGACGTAAAAAAAAACTTGCGGCATTCTTTCATTACCTGCATCTTTCACAAGCCATTGTCATTCGAATCTTTTTCGACGCGGAAGCACCAGCATTTGTTTGTTTCATAATATAAAGAGTGGGAACAAAGCAAGAGAGAGAGAGAGAGAAAAAAACAGAAGAAAAAAAAAGAGATAGGAACAGATTTATTTAAAGTCAAATGTGACGAGAAATTTAGAAACCAAGCGGAATGAACAATAAGCTAAATTTCCCACCTCATATATAATAATTACACCCCTTGTCGTTTCTTTATTTACAATTATTCTAAAACACTTTAGGTAACAATTGCATCAATGCTTGTATTGCGGTTTTAATGTTCGAACTTTACTAATTGAGCTACAAGGCATATAATGCACTGTCGGGTAAAATCTGATTTTTTCTGAAACGATGTTCAAGAAGTAAGATAAATTTGAGATCCGTAAATCTTGACGTATTTCTTTTCCTTCCTGAAATATGACTGGGATAGCTGACATTGTCCAAAAGTTTAAGGTACAGGATTATCATGCTCTTCATAAATTACTTGCACTACCAGACATATGAGAGCAGATTCTATGAGTTATATCCGTAAATAAAAAGACGTAAAAATGTTTTGTCCTGACATAATCCGGTTTTTATTTATCAGTTTCTACTATAATAATAAGACCAGCTTAACCTTTTATCTTCCAGCAACGGTAACTGTATAGAAGAGCTAAACGGGGCTAAATGCGTTAAATTTATGCGCACCAAAAGCAAACGTGCGGAGCAAATGGATCTTTATTGTCGATAATATGCTAGTGATTTTCTATTTTGGAAGAAAGGGAGAACGAGTTAAATGAGTGCTTGCTGTAAAGATACTGACATTTGGGCACCCTTAACTTTACCCAGTTATACCAATGAAACAGTATCAATATTCTATGGTAGTTGCGCGACATAAGGGTGGGCGATATCTTGGAAAAAGGCACCATTATAACAAAATTGCCTTCATTCAACTCATTTAGCGATCCCAAAAAGAAAAAAAGAAAAAGCCTATATATCAAGCAATTGCTGTAATTATAGTAGCTTTCATAATTGAATATTTAAGATTCATTTAACATCAAAAAGCTGTTAGTAACACCATTGTATGGATCACTACAATGAATAATAATAAAAAAATACGGAGGTTTAACGTCTTGGCTGCTCCCAAGGCAGAGGTATGCATCAACGGCTATCGATACTACAAAAAGTACTACCTCTCAGTCGGTGTTACACCATCCCTGTATCCTCGCCACAAAATGAAAAGGTTCAAACTGCAGTATGGATAATTCATATACATTTTTTACTTTAGCATTTCGCAGAGATGTAGGCATGTTTTGATATTAGCAGAAGACCTACTAGATTTTTGAAATCTGTTTTACATAAAAGCTATTATACAAACATGGACCTATATTTTTACACAACATAATTGCGAGTCCAGAACTTTTAAGACTGCCTAAAATAATGTAGCCAGAGACGTATGCACAATCAGTTAAGACTTGATTGTTCACTATTAGCAAAGACAAGGAAATATTATCTAGCTGAATTTTTATTTCTTTTCATATGTCTTATTTATCTTTCACAGAGTCTTTATCCGCTCTAATCATTTCTTCAAGGATCTGTTCTTGCCTTTTCCTAAAGTAAGCACGCTGTTGAGGATCGGTGATGGTCGAAACGTCCTTCATCATGATCTCGTGTTCCGCTAACCTGGACTTTTCTTTTTCTATTGCTAGCCTTTGGGCTGTCTTCATACGCAAGGTTTCTTCCCAGAGCTCTTTAAGTTCCTGCTGACGAGTTGCGATTTTTTCTTCTTCGAGCGCACGCTTCCTGAGGGCTCTCACCCGTTTATACCCCATAGGACGCGGTATATCATAAATAGAAATACCACCAAACTCATTTTTCTCTAATTCATCGATACTCCTTTTCTTCGTTCCTGTTGCTCTGGGCATGTAGTGTAGAGCCCATTTTGGCTCAACCGACAGTATTGGCAAACAGTGCTCAAAAATAAAGGGCTCAGGTTCTGTTTTAAAAGACGCCTTATACATGATATGGGCCTTTTCAAGCTGTTATTTTGTTTTTAAAAAAAACACATTAGCCGCGCTTAGTATTGACGTGCAGCTGCCTTACCAAATCAGTCGGCCTAGGTTCGATTTTTTGCGTAAACCGCAAAAGGGAATCGTAAAAACCGATGAACTTTTGCACGCTGGAGTCAATTTCGTCCCAGCGGCTTATCATTTCCGTGTCGCTATGAACTTCAGTTGCCCTATCTCCAATATTTTTGTTGTAGTCTACTTTGACACGGCCCCAATATCTAGAACTATTCTGTTGTCTACCAACGAGACAATCCTTTTCCGCTGAGAGTACTGAATTACATAACTGCTTGTCTTCTTCTTTAGACCAGTTCGATCCATGTCCTGTATTTTCAGGAATTGTAGTAGAACTTGTTGGTTGGAGATGCCTGTCCATTGTTAAAAGGTATTTTATAAAAAATATAGTGGATCCTCAACAGAACCCCGGACAGAACTACCGAACAGAACCCGAACAGCTACCGAACATAATTAAACTCCCGCGGGAAGCTCAGTGGGAACATTCAACCAATCAAATTATGATCACCCTACAAAAAGTTATTTTTCATAACGATCTTATTTTATTTACGTGAAGGCGATAACATTACGAATATAAAAAAAACATTCAGGAGTCACAAAAAGCTTTTGAATGTGGTTTTTTATATAAAAACCCTTCTGCTTTTATACTTCGTAAGTGGTCAAACAAACAAGTCTCCAACTACCAACAGATTTAGCGCCGGTCTAAGATACAAAAGTATGGATTATTCTCCCATTATCGCAGAAGTTCAATACGTATTCTAAGAAAAGATAAGTTGAATACTTCTTACAGTTAAATTTTAATTCAATAGATTCACTTCTTGCTGAATATGGTAACACATTATTTGAAGTAAATAAAAATGACACTGCAAATAGCCGGCTCTTTGGTATAGATCATGAGCAGCAGAATGATTCATCTTTTTTATGACAGGTTACCTCAAAAAATAACAGATTTACTGGACCAATTGATCATACTTGAGTTATTTCTGGACAGTCGTTGCACATCTATGCTTGATAGCACATTAATGGTAATGACCCTCCGATATAATCCTTATAGATTATAGCTTCTACCAGTCATGGCTGATTAAGTAAATTTGCAAGTATAAATACTTTACCATACAATGTGATCTGAATGTCACTTTATTTTATTGATAAAATGTTAAATATCTTGATAATCAATTTGATAATGCTACAGAGCTAGAATATTCAAGTACTGTATCGTAGAGTCACTGTCATATATATTATCAAGTATATATGTGGAATGGTTTTTTAAAATGTTTTCTTCTGATAGACTGCACACACAGCTATGTCAACTGCTATTGTAGTTTACACAAAATCCATCTGAGAAAACTGATGCTTATATAATATAGATGATTGTTATCAAAGCGATATAGCCTAGTGACATGCCATTCTTATTCCTCTTTCTACAGATTTAATTGAATCGAATCGTATATTTTCTGGTGTATCATACAATAATACTTTTTTAAATTAATTAATTAACGCCTGGCACTGTAGTCATGTAGGGTGTTACTTTAATGTAACCTCGTATTGATTCAATACTCTATTATGTGTATTTAAAGCTCCTAGAATATATAGACAAGGCACACGCAACATCCAATCCTTTGTTTTGAGAATCTATCCTCTTATATTTTTCTTTTAACTTATGAGATAAGCCTTCATGCTCAAAGCTATGAAAGTCGGCAAACGGTTTCGTTGACCACTAGGTGAGCACTTAGTCCTGGTGTAGTCAGGCTTAGGGTTAAGAAAACGAGAGAAGAGCCTTCAATTTGTAGCATACAAGAAAAGATAGTATCACAATTTATACTTACACAAGAATCAATAATATTTTATTGCGACCTTTTAGCAACTCTCTGGTACATACAATAATTTTGTGGTCTCCAACATAATGTAATACCTTTTTATTCACCAGTTCAAACGATTAGCTTTGTATCTTTTCAGCATACGTATTTGCGTCATACTTTACTCATTTGAATGATGATTGAAAACGGACTTATGTATCTATCAAACTTTCCTTTTCTAATTGAACTAACTCAAACGTAGCGTCGCAGCCTCATCCGTTGGTTGACCCGTACTATCCCTTAGCTCAGGTCGGTAGACCCTGATAAGAAAAGGAATAAGGCGATTATTTTCTGGTTTACCAGAGGCCTTAGTGATGTAATGTTTAGGAAGTGATTTGAGAAACCGATAAGCCTGAAAGAAAAGCGAATAGGGCTGAGAATAAGGTTTACAACTGCTTTTTTAAGTGGAATGATTATTTTTCTATAAAAACAAATTGCAGAATAAAAATAAATTAAAAAAAAAAGTGGCCCTATTTCTTTTTGTTTCCTCTATTCCTATTATATTTTTTTTTCTCTCTCTCTCTGCACCATGTCCGAAAACCTTGATTACCTTGTCGTTTATGGCGATTCATACTCTGGTATATAATATCCTGTGGTTGGATATAAGCCTTGTTTTTACTAACTACAATTTAGACATTCAACCTGAATCCAAAGCCACCAATGGACCTGTTTGGAGTCAGCAATTGGCATCACACTGGAATATGGAATTAATGTCACTGGCCAAGCCTGGAGCTACTTTCTGTAAGAACACCAAAAAGAATGGAAGTTGGTTAAAGAAACAGGTGGAATCAGCTACACTTAAAGATCATTCAGCCACGCATGCTATTTTTCTAGGTGTGACAGATTTAATAGAGACAAAGGGAGAAGGTAAGAATTGAACGGACACCGGCATGTCGTTGAAAGTTAAAAGTTTAACACACACACACGTAGCAAAAGATATTAAGGAATGGATCCAGTGCATCAAGGACCAAGTGGTAAGTTTTCTTTTTTTCTATATCGGGCGCTTTGATACTCAGCTTACTAAATTTATTAATAGACCTTCTTGTGTTCCAGTAATCCCGAATCCAGAATCGTTATTATGGGCGTTCCTGCGCTTGAATTTTCACCTTATGCATCTGCACACAAATCCGTCGCAAATGATTTGAAACAAAACATAGTAGACTTTAATGTGGCACTTGAGGAAGAAGTGATGGATTGGAAAGATAGCTACAAGAATATTGAATTCTTTGATACCTATCTTGTTTTTAGTGAGATGTTGGCGGATACCTCCATTGCCAATATCGATAACGTAGACGATGCTTATTGGGATAAGTGTCAAGGTAAATGTAATGATAAGATGGACAGTTATCTTTGGTGGGATAATCTGCATATTACGGGTGCTGGACACAAGGCTATCTCTAACGTCATCGAGTCCAAGGAGTATTTCAACATCAAATCCACAACAGAAGACTCGTCTTCATCACTAGACTCGGCAATGGAAAGTATTACTGGTTTACCCAATGATTATATCCGCGTTATTTCATGGCTTGTTTTGATCTCTATCTTGGCCATGTTATTCTACATGTTCCGTCATAACAGAGTCATCACATCGCTCAAACAAAAATTGAACGCCAAAATTCATAAAGCCTACCCTTCATTAGCAGCATCCAATAGAAATAATCATGAATATTCACTTGTCTAAAATAAAAAAACAAAAACATAGTTGCATTTTATGCAATGTACCATACCTAAATGTATGTTCACCAGTACATACTACCATATCTGGATAGATTCAAAACGTAAGGTTTTGGATTGGTGTTGTGCTTGTAGTTAGTATAACAAAATACCTTCTTACCTTGAGACGCAGCATTGCTTTCTAATCGGACGCATGTATTGTAATCTCGACACAAAAGGTGAAATGCTATTCAAAAGGGGGCAGATATAATATATTTACCTACTCTAAGGAGAAAAGGCACGGAGTTGAATAAATCCTGAATACTTTTATTAAAAAAAAAAGTGAAAGCAGTAGCAATCCTAAATGTATCACAGAAAGACAACAAGGAAGAAACGATAGTAGTACAGAAAACGACCTTGACTTTTTTTATAAACTTGATGCAGATCCACTTTTTTTTATATAAGCATAATTTGAATGGTTTAACATTACATGGATACCGCCGATCATTGTAAGTTTATCAATTTTTACGTGTGACCTGTTTTTGCTTTAAAAGCGATTTAATAATGCAAGTTGCCTCTTCTTCTTCTTCTTTATTTTTTTTTTCTTTCTTAAAATATGAGTTCATTTAAATCACTACCTAGTAACTATAAACAAAAGCAGAATAGTAGTACCATTACTATTTCTTTTGTCCGAGATAAAAGTATTGTTGAAACCAGCGACATTATCCTCAACAGTCCATCTTCCCTTTCTTCTTCCGTCAAAAAATCTTCGCCGCTCTCAAAACCATCATGGAACGACGAAGTCAACGATAGCAGTATGATCAGCCAAAAGAGTTGGTTGACACGACGGTGGTCTACAGTGTCAGCATCCCAGATGGTAATAAACCGTAGAAGATATAAAAAGTCAACGGCATCGCAGCTTTGGTTGAACCGACAGAAAAGACGTACCTACCCACCTTGTATCGTTCGTCAACAAGATCAAAAAACATTGACTGTGTTCAAAAGAAAGCATCACAGACAAAGTCTTGCTGATATCCTGACCGTATTTTACCATAGTGGTTCATCGGACTCAACTAACTCCTCTTCGGTGTCGAAAAGAATTGGTAAAATGTTAAAGAAGAAAAAGGGCAAACAACCGTATAATAATAATAGAAATAATAACAATAATAATAATAATAATAAAAGGCTGCGAATTGATACTAAATCAGACGCCATAAAACGAGTGTTTCCACCAGCGACCATGTCCAGTAACTCTTCTTCACCTTCCACTCAAATTAAGTTTCCTACACCCCCTAAACGATTCTCTGCGATTTTTATAGACGCTTACGGGCAACAAGGAAAAATAGATTATGTACGACCTATAAAAAGCAGACCACAGTATTTACTTAATCTTATTCAACACGGCGTTGATCATAAAATGCCACCCATAACAGATACGTATGGCGCCAATCAAGGAAACCCACGCCTATCCATGTATGCAACATTGTTTTTATTTGGCTTTCTGTTCTTTCCATGCTGGTGGATTGGTGCCTGGCTTCATTATCACAGACCCAAGGAAACCTGTTGTGGCAGTCATTTTCACTTGTTTTCAGTACGCACTTTTGCTTATTTGAACGTATTATTTGCTGCCATCAGTATATCTTTATTCATTGTCATCCTGTCGTTACTTATTTGGCTTGCCAAAACTCGATAAACAAACAAACAAACAAAGCCAAAGTCAAAAAAAAAAAAAAAAAAAAAAAAAAAACTATAGAATTTAGAATGTAATAAAATTAATGTATATTGCCCCTTACTAAAAGACAATTGCATGTCATGCAATCCTAGAAGAGTCTAGCTGCTGTCAATCAGTGATATATCGCTCCATTTTTCTTTGGCATATTCTGATGTACATATAAATACGCACTATAAAATTTTAAAACGTGCAGATTAGATGATAAAAGTTCTGTCTTCTTGTGCGTGCCCATTCACTTGGAATACAATGACAGCTCCTATCATTTGATTGCATTGGCGAAATGGATTGTCTCGAATTTTTGGAGGCTTAAGACAGTGACTTGCAATCATTTTGACTTTTTCCTGCCCTTTTACTTAATCTCCAATTTTTAATTCTTTCTGTTACAAACAAAAAAAAAACAATAAAATGGCCAAGGAACGTTCTGCCATTAGTAAAAACATGAGCAAGAAGAAGGTGTCTGGTACACATGTATCAGGACTTTCGACCTCTAAATCAGGAGGACCAAAGCGAAAGGAAGCACCTGTCAAATTTGGAAAGCTTTCTAGACAACAAAAGCAAGATTTTGAAGATTATGGAGAGCTTGTACCTACCGATTTTGAAATGAATGAAGACGACACAACAAAGTAAGAAGAGGAACTGAACTTACTTGCAATAAATGACGAAGACTAATCTAATTATGTAGGCGTAGAAGAGTTATCTCAGAAGCAGATTTAGATAGAGAAGCAGACGAAGCCAAGAGACGTGCTGAAGGACAATTTGATAGCGAAGAATCTGGCAGTGAGAGTGAGGAAGACGACTGGAAAAAACCTTCCGCTTACTCCATGTTGATTGGCTCTTTAAAAAAGAACTCCAAGCAAAAGGATTTCTATAAAAAGATTAAGCGTGAACAAGAAGGTATCGAAGAAGCTGATGCCAGCGAGGAAGAAGCTGCTGAAGGTCAAGAATTTGACGACGAAGAGTTGGAAGGCGAAGAAGAATTAGAAGACGATGAGGATTTGGAAGAGGACGAAGATCTGGAAGAGGACGATGAGAGCGATGACGAAGATATTGAAGAGGCTGAACCCATCGACAAGGATGCTGCAGATCCTTTGGAAGAGGACGATGAGGAAGAGGAAATCGTCTATGTTGGCAGTGACGAGGAAGAGGAAATTCCTGGTAAAACGAAAATAATGGTTTACCTTTCATCGATCGTCTTTTTCTAATAAGCTTTCTTGTAGATGATCTCTTCGAATCAAGATTTGCCGATCAATTACCTGCCAGCTTCGACGAAAAGATTTCTGTCATTGAACAAAAGAAGTGGATTTCTCAAGTCTTCCACGACGAAGTTTTGAAGGAGGTTACTGCTTTGACTACTACTGTCGATAAAAATATTCAGAATATGCCCAAAATTGAAAACTTGGAGGATATCAAAGTAAAGCAACGTATTGCCAATTGCTGGCCCGTTGCTAACAAGGATATCATTAAGAAGGGTAATATTAAGGACGAATTAGTTATTTACAGAATGTAGACTGATCAAGACATTGTAGGAAAGGGAACTTTTACTCCTCTTCAAAATAATTTGTTCAATCAAATGAACAATTACCGTGATATGGTATTCTGTAATCGTGAATTGGGTAATGCAAAAGCTATCAGAAATGCTTACGCTCTTCACGCTTTGAATCACATCACCAAGTAAGTATGAATTGAATAAGAACGATAATATTCTAATTCTAACAACTACCGTGTGTAGGACAAGAGATCGTGTTTTGAAGAACAATGCTAAACTTAGTAAAGCACAAAAGGAGGGTACAGATGCTGGCGAGATGCGTGATCAAGGGTTCACTCGTCCTAAAGTCTTGATTATTTTGCCCTTCAGAAATACGGTTGTGGATGTTGTGGACACACTTATCAAATTATCAGCTACTGATCAACAAGAAAACAAAACTCGATTCTATGAACAGTTCAATTTACGTGAAGACGAAGCTGTTGATACATCCAAGCCTGCTGATTATTTGCAGAACTTCCAAGGAAACATTGATGATCATTTCCGTTTGGGTATCAAGTTTGCTAAAAAGTCCATGAAGATCTATTCTGATTTTTACAATGCTGATATTATTATTGCATCACCATTGGGCTTGCGTACACTGATTGGAACTGAAGGGTAACAAAAAAAAAAAAATGAAGATACAATTGGAAAGTGCATTAACTCATCTTTGCATACTTAGTGACAAGAAGAGAGATTTCGACTTTTTGTCTTCAATCGAATTGGTGATTTTAGATCAAGCCAATCATTTCTTGATGCAAAATTGGGAACATATCGAACATATCTTCCAACATCTTAATTTGATTCCTACAGATGGTCACGGCTGTGATATTTCAAGAATCAAGAGTTGGTATTTGGATGGAAAGTAAGTTGATAAGTAATCAGTCTCAAGGATTTTAAATTGATCCTTCATTTAATAGAGCCAAATATCTTCGTCAAACACTCGTCTTTGCCGACTTTTTAACACCAGAATTTAATGCATTATTTAACAAACATTTAAAGAACGTAACCGGTAAATTAAAGATCAAGCAAACCTATGAAGAAGGATCTATCATGGATGTTATTCCTCAAGTGCAGCAATGTTTCACTCGTATCGATGCTCCATCTTTGAAAGCAATCAACGATACACGTTACAAATACTTTATTGAAAAGGTAGGAACAAATCTATAGAGCAATGATATAATTTATTTATTTACAACCTATAATCACAGACTTTACCTACTCTTCGTAAATCCGCCATTATGCAATCACATACCCTCATCTTCATTCCCTCTTACTTTGATTTCGTCAGAGTTAGAAACTATTTTGAAGATAACAGGTACTCCTATGAGCCTTGTTCAGAGTTAGTATTATTATCTTGCCGTTACAATAGAGCAAAATCTAAAATTTATGTTATGTAGGTATGCTTCTGGCAGTTCCATCACTCGATCAAGAGCCCAATTTTTCCACGGTAGATCCAACTTCCTTTTATACACAGAGAGACTTCATTTCTTCAGAAGATACAATATTCGTGGTACTTTCCATGTGGTGTTTTATGGACTTCCTGAAGATCCCTTGTACTATACAGAAATTGTGAACTTTTTGGGCCTCAAGTTTGATGAAGCAAGTGCAGCTGAGGAGGCTACATTCTCTTGTACTGCATTATTCTCTAAATACGATTTCTTGAAATTAGAGCGTGTTGTAGGTACAGAGCGCGCAAAGAAGATGTGTACAGCTCAAAAGAATGTATTCATGTTTGCATAGAAAATATGAAATAAATTTAGACTTTTTGTACAGTACGTAATAATCCATTTCGAGGCGTAATTAATTTAAACGCAGCTTATGCGAGGTTTTTGTCAAAAGTGTGCAAGAGGGAAAATCACATAATTTCCTTTTTCTTACAAGTTTATTCTTTTATTTTTTCGAAATGAGCTATGTACTAGAAGTAAGTTTGATTATTCTATTATGAAAAGCAGAAATAACTAACTGGAAACTTTATGGGAACAGTACGCAAAGGTAGATAATTGTTTTACTAAACCCACAGTCAATTATTTTTATTGAATAATATTTTATGACCACAGAGTGATAAAAGTTCTTGTACTGGAAAAAAAGATGATTGCCCTAGTGAGAATTACAAAATCGCTGTAAGTATATTTTTATCGCGTCAAGGCCACTGCTTAATTATAATAAAAATAAATGTATATATGAACATACTCTTTTCGTAGAAAGGAGAGCTTCGTCTTGGAGTAGAAGTTCCTAATACTGGTGGTAGTAGGTGGAGGCATTGGTAAGAGCTTTTATTTTTTTTTCATGTAAAAAATAATATCTCACGCGAATTAAATCTAGGGTGTGCGTAACATCTAAAGTGATTGAAAACATGCAAAAAGATTACTCTAGTCCTGATCAAATCCAAGGATGGGAAGATCTCCGACCCGAAGACCAAGAGCGTGTTCAAAGAGCTTGGGATGAAGGTGAGATACCTCAAGCTGAACGCCCCACACCTGCTGCTGAGCATGTTCGACCTGTGTAAGTATAATTATCCCAATGATATCAATCACTCACACGGAACTAATTTGCGCTGATTTATAAAAAAGCAAGAAAAAGATGGCTGAGCTTCCTGCTACCAATGAACCGTAAGTGTTAATGGATCTGATAAAAGTTTCATTTTATCTGACTTATGGTTGAATAGGAAAAACAAAAAAAAGTCCACGAAAACGAGTAATGCAGAATCATCTACCGCTACCGTTAAAGATGAAGAAAAGGCTACATCTTTAAAAGATAAACCAGAAGTAGCTAAGAAGGAGACTGCAGTGACTGGATCTCGTAAATCTTCAAGAGCTGTAAAGACGGAAGAAGCCTCGGATAAGGAGTCCTCCTCTTCAACAACTAATAAGAAGCCTACTATTGCCAAGAAAGCAAAAGCTGAAGTCACTGACAAGGAAGTTAAAGATGATATTACTGAGGCTAACCCAAAGAAGAAATCACCCACCAGTAAGGCATCCGGATCCAAGAAGGAAAAAGCCATTGCTGATGAACCTAAAGTTGCTGCATTTGCAACTCGTAACAAGACTGTTAAAAACACGTAACACACCTGATTATTGGAATAAAAGGATCCCATAATTAACCAGTTTTTATAGTGAAAAGAAATCCAAGGGAGAACCAACACGACGATCAGCCAGAATCAACAAAGAGACAAAACCCGAGTAAGTTGCTGTATATATACTTAATCTTAGAATAACGGTGTGATAACCCTTCTCTATCCCGTTGCTATATAGATCTTCTGCTGCCAATACTACCAAAAAGAGAGCCTCGGGCAAAGATGATACTACTGGAACTACCAAGAAAGCAAAGAAAAACTAAGTTTTTCTCCCTGAATCCATTTGCTCACTAAAACATTATTTAAAATAAAGCTTCTTTTTTATGCGAATGTAAACAAAGCGGATTGGTACATCCCGATTTTTTAATCTGTAGAAAAATCAATATAAACACATTGGGTTATCTTGATGAAACACAAAACATTTGTACTTCAATAACAAAACAAAAAAAAAGATCAGCATTTGTTACGGTAATCATGTTTTTTGCATAGGAAATATTTTTTTCACACGTGTTTTAACATAGTTTTATCGGTCGCTCATATCGATTATTTGTGCCATGAAGCTCCATCAAGATATAAGTAACTATACGACAACAAGTACGTTTCCGGGAGTCTTTTCATGTTATTCTGAAGCTCGGGCCCGAGATTGCAGATTGTCCACACCTAAGACGTCTTTTTTTTTTTTTTTTTTTTTTTTTTTTTTTTTAAATGACTTAACCTTTTTTTTTTCAAATTAATCGTTAGTCGCATTCTTTATTAATTAATTTTTCCTGAATTATGCCCTAGTATCACAGTTACTCATATAGCCAATGCCCAATTAGAGCTCTAAGGCCACAGCTCTTGCAATGTTCCTAGGATGAATATAAACTAAATGAGCAGCAGCATGAGCATATAAAAGGAATTGTTAAGTTTGGAAAGGATTTAGCGATGGTTTGAGGTTGTTTTTAGGCTGGTGGTTTAGACCCTCTTGTGATGTTGGATGAGTTGGTAAATCAGGTCACTTATGTCCAACTTCTGGCTGACCACTTTCTTCTCTAATTGGAAGAGTTAACTAGTCATAAAGATAAAAACTTTACCTTCCAGGAAGATGGTATCTAATGTTATACTGGCTCTTACAGCAATTGGTACAAGAAAAAGTGCCATATAGCGCAATTTGACTACTGACTAGCTTAAAGTCTCGATTTAAACCCAATCAAACACCTTTGCGTTCATTTGAGGAACCCAAGGCATGACTTAAAGAAGAATTGCACCAAATTGATGACAATTTACTTTCAGTGCTTGCACTAATTATGCCCCGCCGATGCCAAGCTGTAATCTACAAAAAGGGAGTTCATACAAAATGCTAGTTTTTTTTTATATCTTAAAATTTCATAAGATTGTCATTTTACTATACCACTTTTTTACTTGAACATAAAGCACAAACGAAAAAAAAAAAAAAAAAAGATCATTCATTCATCCTCATCTTCGTAATCTTCTCGATACTCTTCTTGCTCTTCGTCTTGAATGTCAGATATAGCTCTTCTTCGGCGAGATTGGGTAGGCGTCAAGTAAATATTGGGTGAGGTACTACCATCAGTAGTGGTGGTGGTAGAGGAGCCAAGCACAGAGTAAAAAAAACCTCTCTTTTTCGCGTTTAGAAAGAGTTTTAAGAATAATATCCTTAAAAGTACATGATAATTACGCCATGAATAAAGATGGTCAAGAGTATCAATAAAAGAGGGTAGTTCATCAATATATGTGGGTATAGTGAGTGTGTAAAGTGTTCTGGTGACAAAGACATCATCAAGTGGCTTGACAGCAAACATGTACTCCATGTTACCCGTCCAATCCATACCAACTGTTATCACCTTGCTCTTGTCAGTTTCAGAGATAGGAAGGTCCAAAAAGTATCTCAAGATTGCCTTGTTGATTCTGATGTTCTTCGCTTGTTGTTGTAGACATTTGGCAGCAGGAGTCTTCTTCTTTTTCCACTCGCTCGTGGACAGCTCTATATCTTTCGTCGCAAGAATCAAGTCGATTCTTCTACCAAAACCATTGTGCAAAGGAATGCTTGAATTATATGTTTTTTCTAGGTTTTTGGCCACGGTCTTGGAAGCTTTAGATACTCTTTCTCCATCCAGAATGTCTAACATGATGTTATCTAAGATTTCATCGAGTACCTTTGCAAATTTGCGATAACATGTCAGTTCACTTGCATCGTCATCAGAACGAATGCTACGGTTAGTAAGGCATGGCTTGGTGATTATATCGAGTATGTCCAAGATTTGTACGCATTCTGTCTGGTCAGACTTCAGCATTGACAGTTTTTCTTCAGCAATTGCGATTCGTATCTCCTTCTTGTCGATTTTGTCATTTATAGTGCCTCTTATCAGTATTTCTTGGTACAATTGCTTAGCGGTGGCCGACATTCCTTCATTTATATTCATATTTACATCATTCAGCCTCTCCCAAAACCGATTGTTTAAATATTGACGGAATATAGATGTAACACCATTGTTGACTGTGTCAATCGATCTAAGCAACATCATGCAAGTCAATGCCTTGGAGTTATCGTTGTCCCGTATTATTGACACAGTCAACAATGGTGTTACATCTATATTCCGTCAATATTTAAACAATCAGTTTTGGGAGAGGCTGAATGATGTAAATATGAATATAAATGAAGGAATGTCGGCCACCGCTAAGCAATTGTACCAAGAAATACTGATAAGAGGCACTATAAATGACAAAATCGACAAGAAGGAGATACGAATCGCAATTGCTGAAGAAAAACTGTCAATGCTGAAGTCTGACCAGACAGAATGCGTACAAATCTTGGACATACTCGATATAATCACCAAGCCATGCCTTACTAACCGTAGCATTCGTTCTGATGACGATGCAAGTGAACTGACATGTTATCGCAAATTTGCAAAGGTACTCGATGAAATCTTAGATAACATCATGTTAGACATTCTGGATGGAGAAAGAGTATCTAAAGCTTCCAAGACCGTGGCCAAAAACCTAGAAAAAACATATAATTCAAGCATTCCTTTGCACAATGGTTTTGGTAGAAGAATCGACTTGATTCTTGCGACGAAAGATATAGAGCTGTCCACGAGCGAGTGGAAAAAGAAGAAAACTCCTGCTGCCAAATGTCTACAACAACAAGCGAAGAACATCAGAATCAACAAGGCAATCTTGAGATACTTTTTGGACCTTCCTATCTCTGAAACTGACAAGAGCAAGGTGATAACAGTTGGTATGGATTGGACGGGTAACATGGGGTACATGTTTGCTGTCAAGCCACTTGATGATGTCTTTGTCACCAGAACACTTTACACACTCACTATACCCACATATATTGATAAACTACCCTCTTTTATTGAATGTTTCAGACAACTATAAAATCGTTGAAAAAAAGTTAATAAATCAATATCTAGCTTTTTCTTCTGAAATTTACCGCTTTAGATCCATACATATACACTCAACTTCGGAATTCAGAAGGAGATAACGATGGTACGGGGGTTGAAAGAGGATTGTTAAAGAGGCTGTCCATCGCATCAGAGCCGTCAGGCGGTACAGGGATCTGTATTTCCCTACCTTCTTCAATCTCAGTGGCTTTTCTCTTTCCTTTGTTTAGCGCTGGCATCTTGCTTTGCGCAGCTGTATTTTCTGATATATTTGAAGCACTTGATTCTGAATTCTAGTTTGACGCTAATGAATTAAGAACAAGGCTTGCATTTCCTGAGTTCGATACAGCACATTGAGAGTATTTGTTTCTAATGCTAACTTGAGCAGTTTTTTTTTGGGCTTGGAAGTTTTCATCTGAATGAGGGAACGATTTTGTTAGTGAATATGTAAATGTAAGTTTTTGCTAATATTATGCATTTACTTTTGGTATAATCGAATTTAGTAAGCGCTTAACTTCACTGGGAGTTTCATTACTATTTTTGATAGTTTCGAGTGCGTTGTAGAATTGTTCTGAGAATTTTCCAGCCTTTTTCACACAAGGGCTTTCAAGATGTGCGTGTAGCGTGTAATCATGAACACTCCATCTGCTTATTGGGGTAGATTTAAAATAAGAGGGGCATTTGATAGCAGAACTTTCTGGCACTTGATAGTTCAGAGTGTTGTTATTCATGATCAGCTTTTAAAATTACAGAAAAGATCATTTAAATAACACGAACACTGACGACGTAAATAAAATAAGAGGGCAGCTAATCGGCATGAAATAATTATACAAAAGCAGATTAATGCAGTAAGGCTTAGTACATACTATTTAATTGGTTGAGATTTTCACCTACCACTTTCTCCATAAAAAAGCTATTCATTGAGTCGCAATTAATAACTATGCAACTAGACGATAAGGCTGAGGTGCGCTTTTTTTTTAGATCTCCCTTGCCTAATCTCAAACCAAAGGTGATATTCATACATTTGTAAACGATTTTTTTTTTATTTTTTTTTTTTTGCATTTGAAAGACGGAGCTTGGCCGTAAGGTGACCCCGCCTCTCCATATTGAGGGTTTATATAAAGTATGGACTTGGCTGCTCTGCTCGATCTGTGGCGACTTTGGTAGCTGTCCCTGGCCGCAACCCAACCCCCGTCCATGTTTCTCAGTAGAGTTTGTTACTTTTGCTGTTGCATGGTTCCAGGTAGTCGGCAGATTAATATTGTCATCTTTTTCAAGGCGTTCTTTATGAAAATGCACTAATAATTCTGATCGTAAAAACTTCCGAGTTTTTTAGGTGATAGGATTATAAGTTACAGTCATTACAATGACGTTAGTTTACAACAGTGCAGATGGATTTGTTGCGCTAACAGTAAGTTATCATCTTACTAATCTGAAGCTTTGTGATATGTATTAAAACGGGTTTATATAGATTCATCCAAATTGGTCATACTATCTGCATCGGAGCGATTTCAACACAAAGTGTTGTTAATATAAAAATTCACGCCAAAAAAGAATAAAAGTCGAAAAGCAAAAACACATGGAGTAACAAATCCAGGTCATTATACCAACTTCATAAAAAAAAACTATGGATGACATGGACAAGTGCCCCCAGTTGAAAGGGTTTTACATGGTCATGGATAATTCTCCAATTCATGGGAAAAACGGTGAGCTGAGCCAACTAATCGAAAGTAGAGGATATAAATGTGTTTACCTTCCTCTTTATTCCCCTGAGCTTAATCCTATTGAACAATTTTGGGCAATTATAAAAGGAAAAGTAAGACGTAGCCAGTTCAGAAATACGGAAGATCTTAAAACAAGAATTACTGAAGCATGCAGACAAGCTCCCAGAAATCATCTACGTAATTTTGCACTGCATTCGCAAAAAGTATTTAAAGACTGTCTGAACGAGATTCCTTTGTAAACTACAACAAAATAAACAGTGAATAACCACGCATATAGATTTTTATTTTTGCGCAATTTGGTTGAGTTGACGTAAATTGGCAAATTGGTGCCGTGAACACTGTACATATTGATCATATCTAACCCAAGTCAAAAACCAATTAAATTTAGCAAGAATATGTAGCAAGATCAGAATAGTTTTAGATCTGATAATCTTTGATGGTTGGGAATGCGATGCAATCCAATGGGTTTAAACACTGTCAGGGGTCTATACATGGCATAAAGCCCTTTCAGATTTAGTGCATACACCTTGTAAAAATACGTGTAGCCGACCGATTGGACGGAACAATAAGAGCGGTCATAACGCTGGTCGTAAAAAGAAAGCAGATTGATAATTTATTCAGATGGCAAGCTAATTATTTGCTCTTTTCACCCATAAGTCTGGAATATCAAAAGATTCGGCCACTTTTCCAAAACTCAGTGGGTCCAGTGTGCCTTTCCAATATTTTGAGAGATATGCACGCGGAAGACCATGTTACCTTAGGTCCCCAGCACTGCAATGTTATCTGCAATAAGAAAAGACATCTTGCCGTAACTTCTTTGTTGACGAAATCTACTGGTGTAAATGATAAACTTTCCGAATTTTCTGCATTCTCGTACAAACAAAAATATAATGATCATGATGTATCTTCTCCTTCATACTTGAGCTATGTTTACTCGTCTATGATCGACCAAATTCGGCCCCAGTCAGACTGGCAAATGATGTCTTTGGACGACACGGTTTTCAAAGGTGACCATTCCTTCAAAGTAGCCGATCATATGGGAAAAATCAATGGCGAACCCACTTTTTCCGCATTGTACACATGCCTGAACGAATATGAGGAGATAAGGATGCAGTTGATGGCTCCTCCAAAGGCTCTGACACATCTTTCAGCACCCTTCAAATTATTGTCCAAATCTTACGAGTTGAATGGCTATAAAATACCTTCACTATTATACACTGACAGCGTAAATAGTGTTCGTAATTTTTTGGAGGGTGTATTGCCAAGCTTATTAGAAAATGTTAGCAGATTTACTACATCCCAGACAGATTTAATTTTCAACTCAGAGCAGGATATGGAATTAGAAGATTTGAAGATCCCTGAAATGATGAAAGTGCTCGTGTATTCCAACGTAGAAGACATTAATGACGCCTGCCAGAATATAATTAATGGAATAAACACGTCGACTCCCATCTATGTTGGTTTCGATTGTGAATGGGTGGCAAGAAATCACGCTACATTCAATACCAGACCTAGAAGAACGGAGGTTGCTATGAACGAGGTGTCACTTGTACAGATTTGTTATGAAAATCAAGTGTATTTTTTTCGAACATCTGATTTCTCTGAAGCAGACTTTCCCAGAAGTCTCAAGCAACTTTTAGAGTGTGACCAGATTGAAGAAGTAGGAAAAAATGTAGGTGGGGACTTTTTACGTTTAAGAAAAGGCTATGCTGTAGATTCGAAGGGTCTCATAGATCTTGGAAAATTGTTCAAGGAAAAAGGAAATTGTCGTCAAATAACACTGGTCCTCGTCTTACTGATTCAGTTCTGGTTGATTTTAGATTGTAACATAATATCGAGCGAGGTACTTTATTTTCTGTTTGATAAACACTTCTTTTAAATACTAACGTATTTAACATGTAGGTTAGCGCTAGAAACAGGGAAGGTATAATGCATAAAAGCCATTACAGTCCTTGGGTCATACAAGGTATAAATATGATGAGACTCTACCTTGGTCACAATCCTGTAAAGAATTACTCGATTCACCATATTGAAAAGCTTCCGGTCGACTTTATGGAAACGTTTGGTATAACAGCCCTGGATACGTCTTTTTTGACCATGTATGCCATGAAGCCAAGCTTAGAAAGCTAGGTTTCGGAACATCTTTCAACAGAAATGGTTAAGCAAAAATTGCTGCAGTTAAGCTTATTTTACCTATTGTCAATTTTCGAAGCCAGGGTACTCAGCTCAAAATTTTGTCTATCGTTATCTAGCAAACAGACAACACACCCTCTTTGCAGTAGTACCAATTCATACAAAAGAAGAAGTAGTATTATATAATAAGCTGATTTCAACTAGAAAAGAAGAATTGTTTTTTAATAGACTTAGTAAAATTCCTGATTTCGATGCTTTCACTAAACTATGGTCCTCGTTTGCTGATGGTGTCAAAATATACTATAAAACACCAGAGCATATAAAGCTCTATCATAACAAACGGATAGAAGCAAGTGTGTCTACTAATACGACGTTACTAAAGGAGAATATCCGCAACACCGTCAAGAATGCATTGATTCAATCCAGCAGAATAATGAACCCTGTCACAGCTTTAAAAGCTCCTACACCTATAAATCATTATTCTAGTCAACAAAAAAGTATTCTTCCAAACAACTGTTCTTCTTCGACTACACAACATCATGAGCGGCATTTGCTTCCCTCGCCAAGACCCATTTTAACTTTGTCACCGATTGTATCGAGTCGTGTAAATTTACAGACAATCCACGCCGCTTCACCTCGTATTCTCCTTCCGTCTGATTCTCGGCCTAATTCTCCAGTTGTTGTAAATCAAATAGAAACAAGCCCTCAACTGAAAAAGATGAAAAGATCACATAGAACTTGTTTCGTTTGTAAGGATACATTTTCATGTAGTGGCAGATCAAAGCCACAATTACGCGGGTTGTGTCGTGATGACAACTGTCCTGCACGGTACAAAGACACACCTAATACATTTATTGACAACCCCTAAACTAAACCAGTTTCAAAACCTCCAGTAATAAATAAACCATTGCTTTTATTTTTAAAAAAACAATCAAATCCATTATAGAAAACTTTTTTTTTAACTTTCTATAATAAAAACATCATTCAAAATCTCTTTTTTTCAAAAAAAAAACTTGGGTGCCACAAGGCACTTAAAAATAAAAGAATTAAATCATTTTTTTTAAAATAGTCCTCAACTATGGGTACATGGTTTCTATGCTGATCTCATTACTACAGATTTAAATGCGAATATTCAGATAATATTAGACTACAAAAAAATACATAGACAACAGGGGAGACACCCTATTCAAGTTATACGATAAGGCAATACTTTTCTATTTCATGCTGCTCGTTCTTAATAAACCAAACAATAAGCTACGTTTTTATCCGTCAACCTATTATATACCGGTTGACAGACCCCATCGTATTGCACAAGGCATATCCTGGGTATATTTCACATTATATTGGCACCAGAGTAACAGTATGAATGGCCGCTTACCTTTTTAAATAGATGATGGTACTTTTTGTACAATAAGTAAAGGGATTGTCACACAGAATATTTTGCATAAAAAAATGGCCTGTTTATTATTACAACACAAACAAAATAACTAATTAAAGATGGGACAACGCCATACATCATCGATATCCTCCTCATCGATTAATTCTTGCTTTGCTGCAAAAAGAGCGTCCTTCACATAGGTGGGATCTCTCATGCCAGTAAAGACAGTACCTACCTCTGTGTGTGACAATAGGAATCGAAGGGCCTTTATGGAAAGTGGAGAATAAGCATCTTTGGGTGTATCTTTCAAGGTGGGAGACAGGGCGCATAAGATACGATCCAGTTCATTGTTTTTACGAAGGGTATCAATGTATGCGTAATCCACGATATCTTTTGTTAATGAGGTGACGGACTAGATAAAGAACGGATGAGTTATAAAATTTTGAAAAGTTAAAATAAACATACGTTTCTATAGTCCTCGATCCAATGTTGATAAGCGGCTAATTCTTGATCATTTTGCAATTCAGTAGCGAAATGATCAAGGTGCTCAAGATCTTTTTGGAGTGCAGGCAAAACCTGGTTGTTTAAATAGTGTCTTGTTGCGAAATGATTTTGGGATAAACGAGCCAAATTCTCGGACAGGACTTGGCCCCACACAAATTTAGCAGTTAAAGCTTCCTCCTCTACGGGCACTGTCATGTACTTGTCAGAATAAAATATGATAACAGTATATTTCAACTTACATTCTGACATGACGTCCGATTCTAATTTAGCAACCTTTTCAAATGAAGCTTGCATTTTTGACATAATTTCGTGCTCGGCTGGAAATAGAGTTAGTCCCGAATTTTTGGAAAATTCTTTTCTTCTTACCTGGTCCTTTTCCATTTGCTCCCAACTCATGGTTGGTTAATACACGAATTTGACCATGGGCAATAGCGTTTAAAGGTCGGTTTGTCATTAAGTATATGTCGTTTTCCTTTTTGAACTGGGTGAGCTATTTCTGTGATTCTACTAAAGACATCAAAGGGATTTACCTTACTTTTGCAATTTCAGCTACGGTTCTTCTTTCATCATTTTCACTGGCAACAACTGCTTCGCGCTCAAACAAGTTAAAGGGAACTTGTGCCGCAACAAAGTTAGATGGGTTTGGACAGGTCTTGATAATATCCGTTAACGAGATATGATCAGCTGCTGCAGGTAATGCTAGCGTATTAGAGCATACGCCATAACCGCCAATGGTGCCTGTTGGTCACCAAAAAAAAAGATCAGTAATCTGATTGTAATCTTTTCTTTGCACGACGTACCACTTTTTACAAGACCATCAAGATAAAGAAAACTCAGAGATAAGTCCTTGTACAACTGTGATGATGTGTATCTCTACAATTTTTTTTTGAAAATAAAAAACATCATGAGTATCTTCCTTTCACTCTGTTTTTGTATGCACTTTTACTCTGTTCTTGGAAAACATCATTCGTTCAGGGGAATTGATCATGAATATATCGAGTTTATCGGTCTTTAATCGTTCGAGTGAAGACTCAATCTGTTTTTCCAGAACTCGAGGACTGATAGAATGAAAGCTTTTTTCTGTCAATTGAACATAATCCTCATTTGCATTAAAAGGCTCAATATCCGCTGCACCCAAATAACCTGATTTTGTAACAAGTGTAATTGACTATGGGGAAATCCAGTAAATATTTACACACAAAGACACTCAGTTTAATAGGATTGTTCACGTACCTCTCGTGATAATTTTCCTTTTTTTAACAGAGAATCTAATGTGTTACCAATCAATCTTTCACTACCACCTTTTTTTAATTATTATTTATTTATTTTCATATCCATGCCGCACACTATAACCATGTATACCATTTTCAAAATTGTTTCCTGTATCGATAATATTCACTCCTCCTTCTAATGCAGCAGTTAATGCTTCGGCATGAAGCGGCTGAGAGACACGGTAGCTACCAAAACCTAAGCGGGTTACCTGTCGTCCCGTCTTTGGAATGACATTCTTTAACAACTGACTCATTTTACACAAATAATAGAAGGGAGCCAAGGGGGCAGGCCAGACGACCCCGTATTGTAATTTTTTTTAATGCGATGTTGGGACTGCTAATATTACTTTAAAAGCGCGTAATAGCTTAAATTTCGAGCATACTTTCTTAGGAGGATAGGCCCATTTATCATAAACAGCGTGTACATCCCCTTGATTACTACTTAATGCTGAAATAAACAATTAAAGATACTAATAGCTGGTTTGTAGTATTTTACAGCACGCAAGATGGCGTTATCGATAATATAACAAGCGATGTGCATGGGTTTGTCAGTTTAAGGCTAGACGGTTTCGCGTGTATCCAATGTAAACAAAAAGCGTATCATGCCATTATTTGCTTATTTTTTAAAAACAGAACAAATAGTACTACTTTTTAATCTTAATTGGGACGCTTGATTTTTTTTCAACGTTTTACTGGGCTTGAATGGCCCATTTAATTTGATGAGATAATCATCCATAAGCCTTTACTTAAAATAGAATGCGTTTCAGTAATAGTATGTACTGACAACGAATCGACCATGTTCGGTAAAAGCGTAATCTAATTTCCTCTTCTTTTTTACCTTTAGACTTGCGTGCATACGCAATGATACAATAGCCCTCTTCTTTTAAGTCCCTGAAATGGCTTTGGTATTCTGGTATATAGCTTACAATGGACTTCGCTACCTTGTCTTAAACGATAAAAGAGAGGGTCAGTCCAATGCATTGCTGAACTAAATCCGAACAATGATTATACCCAAGTATTCATTTTTTGATACAAACACGTATTTTAAACGTATGCTTGTTTCTGTGTCTAGCAGTTTTTTCTTTTTCTTGATACAGGTGTATTAAACAGTAACGCTTTCTTTATTTTCCACCGACTGGCAAATGACGGAAATAACTTGTTAATCGTGATATCCATGTAATTGTTGACTGTATTGATAACATCTTTTATATTAATAAGTTTTTCCTCATACGCATATGACAGGAGGGTAAGCTTGATCCAAGCAAGATGCTAATACCAGTATCGTTGGATGAATTGCGTGACTTCGCGCAGTCAATTTATCAAATTTGATCCTTTAACAAAGACGGGTTCAGAAAAGCTTTAACAAGAGTATGCAAACCCTGACACCAAAAAATAAGAATTAGACTTTTTTATATCTTTCATGTCAAAGTAAAGCAAAAAACCCTGAGAAGAAAAATCCTTTAAAAAGGGAAGCGCGGCATATCATATTGTCAAGTTTTTGGAAGCAACAATGGAAGCACTTGATAGGCACGAAAAAAAGAGGTTCTTTATAGTAGTGGATAATGTAGGATTCACCATTCTGTATTTGTTGTTGATGCTAATATATGAGAGGGTATAAATCTTTGTTCATGCTTCCTTACTCTTATCTTTTAAACCCGGTCAAAGAATGCTGGTTAAAATAAAGAGCAATATCAAGAGTAACCCGTTTGATAAAGCAGATAGTATTCCAAAAAAAAAGGTGTGCCAAATCTATTTCGGAGTCGTACCAAAAAGCCGTACCAGAAACCTGTAATCTGATTAAAAGAGTGGGAATCAGTCGTCAAAATGATGACGAACGGCGGACATTGTAATGAGACCCGGGTGACTTTGCTTTGCCTTTTCCAGAACGATTTGAGTGAAAAACGATTCATTTCGGGGTTCTGATCTTGTCAAAGATAAAATCATATGATTGGCTCTGCATCACTCTAACAAATGGTTCATAGTGATCGTTATCGTAGATAAATTTATGTGCTTTTACATACAAACGCGATTTGCTTTGGATTTGAAAACCCAATGAGTTAATCAAAAGAGGATCCATTCCATTTTTTGTTTTTTTCAAAGTGAAACGTTTATTCACACGCTATGTGTTTGGGCGTAAACATCTCGTCTAAAAGGTTATTACACGAAATAAAAAAAAAAACTTTGGGGCGGAGTAATTCAATAGATTGATGCAGAGATTTTTTTTCCCATTCAAGGCATGGGTTTGGGTCCTTTGGTGACTGTCGCGTGAAAGTTTGATCGTATCTACAAAATTAAAAAAATATATAAATGCTTTGATTTTTTTCAGGTTTTTATTCTTTTTCTTCTTTATTCAATTTATTTTTTAAATATGTCTACTGTTACTAACGTTCACGCTCGTCAAATCTTTGATTCTCGTGGTAACCCCACTGTTGAAGTCGAAGTCACCACTGCTAAGGGTATCTTCCGTGCCGCTGTCCCCTCCGGTGCCTCTACTGGTATCCACGAGGCCGTTGAGCTCCGTGATGGTGATAAGTCTTCTTATATGGGAAAGGGTAAAGTTAATAAATGACGCGTTTTTAAATAAAAAATATATGCTAACTGGGTTAATCATGATAGGTGTCCTTAAGGCTGTTGCCAACGTTATCGACGTCATTGGTCCTGCTTTGATCGAATCCAAGATTGCCGTTACCGACCAAAAGGCCGTTGATCAATTCCTCATTGACCTTGATGGTACTCCCAACAAGGGTAAGCTCGGTGCCAACGCCATCCTTGGTGTCTCTCTTGCTGTCGCTAAGGCTGCTGCTGGTCACAAGGGTGTCCCTCTTTACATTCACTTTGCTGACCTTGCTGGTACCAAGAAGCCTTTTGTTCTTCCCGTCCCTGCTTTCAATGTCATCAACGGTGGTTCTCACGCCGGTAACAAGCTTGCTATGCAAGAATTCATGATTCTCCCCACTGGTGCTAAGTCCTTCAAGGAAGCCATGAAGATCGGTACTGAAGTCTACCATAACCTCCAAGGTGTTATCAAGGGCAAGTACGGTCTTGATGCCACCAACGTTGGTGATGAAGGTGGTTTTGCCCCTAACATTCAAAAGAACGAGGAAGGTCTCGAACTTTTGGTTCAAGCCATTGAGAAGGCTGGTTACACTGGTAAGGTCAAGATTGGTATGGATTGTGCTGCTTCCGAATTCTATAAGGAAGGCAAGTACGATCTTGATTTCAAGAACCCCAACTCTGATAAGTCCAAGTGGCTCGACGGTAAGGAGCTTACTGCTCTCTACAAGTCTTTCGCTGAAAAGTATCCTAGTAAGTTTTTTTTTCTTGTATAACACTCTTTTGTGTTTCCATTGCCCCGTGAATTATTTAAACTGACTCTTCCATTATAGTTGTTTCCATCGAAGATGCTTTCGATCAAGATGATTGGGAGGCTTGGTCTCACTTAGAAGCCGAATCCGAGTTCCAACTCGTTGGTGATGATCTTTTGGTTACTAACCCTAAGCGTATTGCCACTGCCATTGAGAAGAAGGCCTGTAACGCTCTCTTGCTCAAGGTTAACCAAATCGGTACTGTCACTGAATCCATCCAAGCTTCTTTAGATTCTCAAGCTGCTGGTTGGGGTGTCATGGTCAGTCATCGTTCCGGTGAAACTGAAGATACCACCATTGCTGATCTCGTTGTCGGTCTCCGTACTGGTCAAATCAAGACTGGTGCTCCTTGTCGTTCCGAGCGTCTTGCTAAATATAACCAACTCCTCCGTATTGAAGAAGAGCTCGGTGCTGATCGTTGTATCTACGCTGGTGAGAACTTCCGTACCGCTCATCTTTTGTAAATAATTTTTTCTCTCTTGTCTTTGCTACACATCCCACTTTTTCATTCATACAAGATAATAGCATATTACCCTTTCTTAACCGAATTTTATTAACCAAAACTAAAAAAAATAAAATTTTCGAGTTGTTTCAAATATAACATAAACCTGTTGCCCTTTGCCAATACTTAAGAATTTGTAATTTTCGTATGTACCCGCCGCAATTAATTTCGAGGTATGCAAAACAACTTTTATCTAACCGGCGATTAAACATTCAAAATGCAAAATCACTTATACTTCAAGAAATTTCGGTCAGTCGATGAATGTTTTTTTGTCATCAAAGATGTCTTCGAAAGATAATAGATAGTATTAACTAGGTAAGAAAGTGCTAAGTTTTCTCCATCATTTGGGCCTTTTAGCATTATTGGCTTTGTATTTTTTTAACACTGACGAACAGAAACTGAAACTGCTAAAGACAGTAATTTGAGTTAGACTGGAAATTTAATATCACTTAAATTAGCAAAGATAAAGTATAGATATTTTAACGCGTTATAAATTTTTTACTAAGAAGTTAACAAACTAATAATTTCTTCTATCACGCTTCTTATACGTGAGGCACGTTGAAAGCGCGCTGCATACTTGAGGCTCATTTTTTTTAAAGGACTTTCAACCAGACTTCACTCATTTTTCTTATTCTTTAACATTCAGCAAATTTATGAAGCTTTAGTCTGACATCAAACGTTCTTAGTATACTCATATTTTGCGGATAAACATACTCTCCAATGGCTTGTAGCAAACCTTACATCATATACTTAGTAGAGAAACTATCACGCCAATAAAGCCCATGTATACTTCGAAATGTTAAAAGAAGCAAGCTAATTATACAGACGTAGCGTTGAATTGCCCACTAACTAATTGGGAACGTGATGTGGGGTTATACTGTTGCAAGACAGGTTAGTTATACCCTAGAAATGGTAATAGTATTACGGCGAACAAGTTTTTTATGGATATTCATGCTCATTTCGGCCTCAGATCTTTTGAAATTCAGTCCATAGTGACACTTTAAGCGTCTGATGTCAATTCATCGCTATTATTATGATGAAAACTCTAGCCTCATATTAATTTGAACAAACATTGGGAGTATTTAGACAGACTTACTCAATTAAATTTTATAGATGTAAATCTAAACAAGATAGCATGCATACAATGGCCTGTTAGCTCACATTCTTAAAATCACTGAATTAAAACTGTTTTTTTCTCAAATCAATACATGGTGATAACATTTTACAATGAATCTTATTAAAATAATACGGTATTTTATCTTGATATAGTGGTGTCCGAAACTTTACAAGGTAGACACTCTCAAAGATATACATTTATAAATAAGTGTGGTGTAGATAGTTATTGTACTTGTATTCAAGTGTACGCATTTATGTATTAAAGGACTCTTAATATTCACATAATACACCCTTCCACACAATAATTAGTAAGTCAAGACTGGTTGACTTTAACAGAATGGGAGACGCAATCACCATTAAAGCAAGAGACGTCCTTGAGGTGTTTCACGAGACAGTCTTTAAAGCTGAAAGGATTAACACGACGACGACCGCAGCAAAAAATTGATATGACGCAAGGAAAAAAAAAAAAGATAAAATGGCACTCATCAGTCGGAACGCCGAAAATAAAATAAAAACTTCTTTTACAAACTACACATGTCACTCGAAAGTTGGGCTACAGACAAATTAAGCGTCTTCTTGGGGTTTGACCCCGAGACTTTGAAGACTCAAATTCTGCCTTACTTGATGACCTCTCAAACACCTGATGCATTAGCAGACGAACTCATGGTAAGAATTCTCTCGTTCGATTACGAAAAAAAAAAAAGAGAACTTACAATAAACGAATAAGGGCATGGTGGGTACAACTGAGGAAGCACTTGGCTTTATTCAGGAATTCGTAGCTCGTAGGTTTCCACCCAAACCTGTCGTTGTAGAAAAACATGTGAAAGCACCTAAAATTACACCCAAGCAGACAGCATCGCCTTCCACTTCCTCCATTCCCAATTCACAGTCTGAGGGTGTGTTTCCTTCTCTACCGACCAATGAGCAACCTTATGAATCCATGTGGCCAGCCAACATCAACGTACAATATAAAAAAGAAGACGAATATTTTGCGGGGTAAGCCACGATAAAGAGATATTAGGCCATGCCTTCATTATTTTAAACTAATTCTTTCCAATAGCCTAAAGAAATCGAAAAAGGGAAAGAATAAAGCACAAACCAACGATTTAAGAGCGGCAGCTTTTCCTACTGAAAACAAACAAGCAGCTATTAAAAAAGAAAAGAAGAAGGTCAAGAATGAAATGACCCTCGAAGATGCATTAAAGGAATTGGATATTAAAGCCGAGAAGCCCGGTAAAAAACGAAAGCCATGTCAATGTCAGGCAACCAAGCATCCTTTATTAACTGCAGCACCGAACTGCTTAAGTTGTGGTAAGATCATTTGTACTGCTGAAGGCGTGGGTCCTTGTACGTTTTGTCAGGCGCCTGTCTTATCCAAGGAACAACAGATTGCATTAATCGCAGAGGCTAAAAAGAAGCGATCAGACAAGAAACAACCACAAACTCAATCAGTGAAAAAAGTACCGGCTGGTGGTGGTATGCCTGCCTATTCATCCAAAGTGGGTGGTAGTATTTATACTTCTCAATATGAAGATGATGAAAACAGATTAAAGGCAGAGGAGCATAAGGAAAAGTTACTGGAGTTCCAAAGAACTAGTGCACAAAGAAGTACAGTGATTGATCAAGCAACCGATTTTGAATTACCCACAGATCAAGCTAATTTTTGGTTGTCGCCACAGGAGAGAGCTTTATTGATTAAGAAACAACAATCGAATTTGAGACGTGTGGAACGTAAAGGAGATAGTAGTAAACGTAAGGTGATGACTATTGATGTCCAGACAAAACAAGTCAAGATGCAGGATGTGGAATATTCTTCTTCTGATGAGGAAGAACCCGTAAAAATGATGAGTCTATCTAAAACACCTAAGCAAGAAGATGCTTCTTCTGCGGGTACTTATGCCGTCAATCCTTTATTAAAGGGTATTGAAAGACCCAAATTCGTTGGCAAGCATACAAAGAAAACCAAGGGTCAATTAAGAAGAAAGGAGCGCGTACAATATGATGTGGATGATGTGATGAATGATTATATATACTCCACAAGTTTAGCGGATGATGATACCATTGATCCTGTCAATGAGCCTATCACTTGTCAATAAACATTTAAAATAAACATAGAAACGCGGTCTGATTATTTTTGTTTTTTTTTAAAAAAAAACACTTTTTTTTTCTACTCTCACACCATGTCAAATTATGCTTCACTTTGTTTTGGAGAGGAAGGCGCAAGGTAACGAGATCGTCGCTCCATTATTGCCTGGGCATGGATCTATACTGAAATTTTGAATGGCCCCGTTAGATTAGATCAAGCGTTTCAATTGACTTTTCAGCACCATGAATCGGCAGCAACAGTACTTTTAAAAGGCGATTCGGGAGTAGGAAAATCGTACATTGTATCCCACTTAGCAGAAATCTACAAGACAACAATTCATGTCGCTATTCTTGGCGACTTGGCAGCAAATTATCGTGGACAATTGAGTAAAGGCTTTAAGCGTTTAATTTGGAAGGCCACCGCCACACCCGACCCATGCCTCGTCTTGATTGAAGACTTGGACTTATTTTTTCCTCGCCATGGCCAAGATTCACAGGATATGGAACTGATGGCCATTTTGAACACATTGTTGAAGGGGGACAAAATTATGGTGATTGCAACGAGTCGACGACCCGAACACATTGCTTTGAATATTCGCACTTTATTCCAGGATGAAATTCATTTACAAATACCCACACCGGACGAGAGATTTTATATGATGAACCATCTATATGAAAGCAAGTTCTTTGCACACAATTTGTTAAATGAAAAGGATATCAAGTTATTGTCCTCTAGGGCACACGCGTTTGTAGCAGCGGATATTGCTCAATGGTGTAGATTAGCAGAGGAGGATGCTTTATGTCAAAATTTGAATACAGGTAAAAATACAATAGACAGAGTTAGAAAGTATGTTCAACCTATTTTTTTTCTAGTGGGGATTGCCAATTTTGATAATACGTTTGATGATGTGAAAGTGAGCGGTTTACAAAGCTCAGCCATGGCAGAAAAACCCGATCCTGTTCGTTGGGTAGATATTGGTGGGTTAGTGGCTGCAAAGAATGCATTAGAGGAATCAGCGGTTTGGGTTTATAAACATGCAGATGCATATAAAAGGTTGGGTATCCGTCCCTCCAAAGGTGTGTTGTTATTTGGACCTCCAGGTACCGGTAAGACTTTGTTGGCAAAGGCCGTGGCGACCGAATCATCAGCCAATTTCTTGCCTGTCAGTATACCCGATCTTATTAAGGGCGAAGTAGGGGAGTCAGAAAAGGCTGTCTCAAGAATATTTCAAACAGCTATACGTTGTAGTCCATGTGTCATATTTTTGGATGAATTGGAAGCCATCTTTTCTTCGAGAGAAAGCGCTGGTGATGTTGGAAGAAAGGTATGCATTTATACCACCTATATCTTGTTTGTGATAAATAGTGACCCAATGTTATGTAGCTCATTTCACAATTCTTGATCGAAATTGATCATTTGGATAAGGTGGATCAAAGTGTGATTCTACTAGGTGCCACGAATCATCCTGAATCTATCGATAGCTCTATTTTACGACCTGGGAGATTGGACCGGTTAGTGTATGTGGGGGCTCCTAATGTTGATGAGCGAGTGCAGATTCTTCAGGTATTGAAGCTAAAGACGAAATTAGAGTCTAATGTGGATTTAGAGGCTATTGCAGTTAAAACGGAGGGTTACACAGGTGCGGATCTTCAAGCCGTGATTCGAAAAGCAGGACTTTTATCGCTGAAACAAAAATTACTAGAGATTACACAGGAGAACATCCTCAAGGCCATCGAATTAGTGAGTCCCTCAATTTTAACAGAAGAAGGTGATGACGATATGGAAGAATAAATGATTTGTTATGTGTATATACTTTAGTGAGGTGGTTTTCTTTTTATTGAATTTTTAAAAGGAAAATGAAAAAACGGGTGGGGGAAATGGTAAATATGTTTAAAATGATTAGAAAAATATATCTAAATATCTAAATAAAAATGGAAGAGTGTTGGGGGGTGTTTGTTTTTTAATATGTAAATCTAGTGGTGTTAATTTTTTTGGAGAAAAGAGTGGTTGGGTTGTATTATTTACAAGGAAGCATCGAGTTGACCTACAGCAGCCAAGATGAGACCTCGGAAGAGAGGACAAGGGTTCAAAGGACGAGTAAGGTATTCAGGATGATATTGACAACCGACAAAATAAGGATGATCATCCATTTCAACGATCTCCATACGTTGGCCAGTTGTATCCTTACCAACAAATTGAAGACCGTTCTTTTCGAAAGTACCAATATATTCAGGGTTGACTTCATAACGATGACGATGACGTTCATCAACAGATTGCTTAGAGCCATATAATTTACGAACACGAGAGTTTTCACTTCCAGGTTGGAAAACAGTAGGACGAATACCTAAACGCATGGTACCACCCATATGAGTCTTGGAGATCTCGGGCATATCAATAACGACAGGTGTAGGTGTGTTAGGGTTCATTTCGGATGAATGAGCTTCAGCCATACCACATGCATTACGAGCGAACTCGATAACAGCGATTTGCATACCCAAACAGATACCTAAATAAGGCATCTTGTTCTCACGAGCCCACTTGGCAGCCAAAATCATACCCTCGATACCACGACCACCGAAACCACCAGGAACAATCACACCATCAGAGGCACATAATAACTTCCAGGCTTCGTGGAACTTTGCGGAATCGGATTCGAGAGTATCATTTTCTAAATCAGTAGCTTCAATCCAGTTGATTTTAAGCTTACGCTTACAGTTGAGAGAAGCATGTTCAAGTGCCTTATAGACAGAGATATAAGAATCGTGGAGGTTGGTATATTTACCAACAAGAGCAATAGTCACATTGTCATGAATATCAACGTAACTTCCAGCTAAAGTTGTCCATTTGGTCCATAATTCTTCACCGACTAAACGACGTTCATCACTGATTTGAAGAGCATCCAAGTTAAGACGACGACGGAAAAAGTCAATGACACCATGTTCACGCATTAAAATAGGAACGTGATAGACAGAGTCGACGTCATGAACAGCCAAAACTTGTTCAGGAGCAACATGACAGAACATGGAGATTTTGGCAGCAACACTGGGATCGAGAATCTTGGAAGAACGACAAGCAATGAGATCAGGAGTAAGACCAGCACCACGGAGATCACGAATACTCATTTGAGTAGGCTTGGTCTTTTGTTCACCAACAGAACCGACAACAGGTACCAAAGAAACGTGAATGAGACAGAAGTTGTCATGACCAACACGGAATTGGAACTGACGCATAGCTTCAACAAAGGGAGCAGACTCAATATCACCGACGGTACCACCTAACTCAATAATGACAACATCAGGCTTCTCACCGTCAATAGGTAAGTCAGCAACACGTTCAACCCAGCTTTGGATAGCATCGGTGACATGAGGAACAACTTGGACAGTCTTACCGAGGTAATCACCCTTACGCTCCTTTTCAATAACTTCACTGTAGATTTTACCGGTTGTAATGTTGTTGATACGGCTTAATTCAACATCAAGGAAACGTTCGTAGTTACCCAAATCCAAATCGACTTCACCACCATCATTCAAGACAAAGACCTCACCTACAAACATTATTAATATCACCTCTTAAACTATCTCTCTCTCTCTCTCTCTATCTCTCTCTCTTATCCTTACCGTGGTCCAAAGGACTCATAAGACCAGCATCAATGTTAAGGTAAGGATCGATTTTGATAGCTGTCACACGAAGACCTAAACTCTTTAAAAGGGTACCAGTACTGGAAGCAATAACACCTTTACCAATACCAGAGATAACACCACCAGAAACAATAACGTATTTAGTCATCTTTTTATTTTTTCTTTTTCGACAAGTAAAGAAAAAAGTGATGTTTTTTTATCAATTATAAATTTCGAACCTTTTTTTTTTCTCGGCTGGTGTGACTGTAAACAAATAATGTGTATAAGCCACCAACTTTCCCGCCTGTCAACCAATAAGCCACTGGCATACTAGTCTCGGACATTTAAAAATAAAATACCGTGTGCCTTACAAGGCACATTTGTTCTTTCTTTGACAACAGTGTGGATATTTTAGTTATTTATATAGTCAATGTTGTCACATTTTACAAATAGAAATGTTACAATGTTCTATCAACTGCTTTGCTTGTAAACCTTATTCCCAAATTGTTGTTAATCAAGCAAACGTGACATTTAGTGTAACATATTTTCATTTAAACATCCGATACAATTCCAGTCATTTGATCTTTTTTAAATTGGCATCTGTAAAGAATACATGCAAAGAAATACACAAGGCAAAATAGATATTAAATGGATAAAAATGGTATGTATTAGGTGTTACAGAGTGTCTTATTAGTCTTGTTTATAAATGGGATAATAAAGATGATTCACTTGTTAAGCTTGGCAGGTAGCATATTTATTCCAAAACTTTATTAATGCGGCGTATTTACGGTAAGTTTGCCAGTCGAACAGCTACACTCAAATGTCTAAGAAAAATACATGCATTTATATAAGTATAACTAGATGTATGGTTTATGTCATCGACTGTATATATATGTGTGTGAAGATATTGTTAAATTACAATGTCAAAACTTATTAGTCGAACCAACGATATAAATACACGTTGCACATGTTACATACTTTTTTAAAAAAAAGGCTGTAGGATTAATGTCAAGACAAACATTAGCGTTTAAAATCAAACATTGGTTTGTCTTGTGTGTTAAAAAATGCAAGCAAGGTAGATCGGCAACCCTTTATTTACGCGTAATGAATAAATCATGAAATATGTTTTGTGTGTCATGGGTTAACAGTCCGCACCATATAATATAAACCTTTCCTCTAACCCCCTTTATTCCTTTTATTATTATTTTATTTTTTAATACAATTTAACCAATGAATTCCTTATATAACACTGCTTTGAAGCAGAGTCATGCGCTTCAAAAAGACTTGGACAGTAAAGTCATATACGAACAGTAGATGTTTATGCAGAACGTAACTTAAACATCTATTTTTAAACATGTAGAATTTCAATCAGGGCAAGACGTCTCGGCTGGTTTACAAGGTAAAGGGTTTTTGTCATCTTGCAGTGAAAAGAGGATCCAATTAACATTTGAATGATTCAGGACAAATCTCTGCATCTTTTAATGCTTTGCAAAGACATATTGATGACTATGAGAGCTTGGCCAAGAGGGAACTAATTGAAGTAAAAAAGGAAACAGCCTTAACGTAAACTACAGAAAATGAGAGAACGTGTTAAAAAAGAAACTGACGAGTTTCGTTCTAGGCGAGTTGGGAAATTCAGACACGATTTACAGGACATGAAGCTTAGATTTGAAGCTACTAAGAAACAACAAGAGATAGTACAGAATGACCAAAACAGAGATAGTTTATTAAGAAGATCGAACAGACTTAATTCTAATATGGTAAACAAAAGCAAATCTACTATGCAATATCAAGTTGTTCACTTAGTTTATAAATGTAATAGCCAGAACATCCATATCAGCCTTTATCTCGAGATGAATTTGCAATTCGTGAACAATCATTTGCAAGAAATACGGATTCACAATTGGATGAGTTTATTGGACAAGCACAAACATTATTGGAAAACCTGACAGATCAACATAGCATTTTAAAGGTAAACTAAAAATATGGAAAGGTTTAGCGATAAATATTAACGTACTTGGTATTATAGAAAACACAAAAGAAGATACTGGACACAGCTAATTATTTAGGAGTATCTCAAAATACGATTCGTTATATTGAAAGAAGATCAGCACAGGATAAATGGATATTCTATGGTGGTATGATCCTTACTGTGTTAATTATATGGGCAATTATTCATTACATTTAGTATTACTGTCCAAAATAAACTTTTTTTATTATACGTTTAATTTTTAAAGAAAGAAGAGGAGATTTATTGACGAGCTTCGAGCTTCTCGACCTTCTTGTTGGCACGACGCTCACGGACGGCCTTGTTCTTGGCACGGAGAACATCAGCTTGTTCAGCGAGGGTCTTGGCACGAACCTTCTCAGCCTTGGCCTTGTGGATATGCTCCATGAGGACACGCTTGTTCTTGAAACCGTTACCCTTGGACTTAAGGTAAAGATGATGGTAAAGATGCTTATCGATCTTACCGGCTTCTCTGTACTTGGCAAGAAGACGACGGAGGACACGCATACGTCTCATCCAGATAACTTGGCTGGACATACGAGCATCGGCAGTACCCTTTCTCTTACCGTGACCCATATGACGACCGTTACGCTTGGCAGCAGCACGGACGAGAACACGGAAACGAGATTGAGAGACCTCGGGCTTACGGATGATAAGTCCGTCCTTGACGAGCTTACGAATGTTGGCACCTATATTACAAATGGGGTTAACAATACATACATTAAACCAAACATTGCATTTAACTTACGAGAGTTGGCGTTGGAGATCTCGTTGACCTCATTGGGATCGAGCCAGATCTTACGTTGACCACACTTGAGGACGGAAGCAGCGAGACGCTTTTGAACAAGCAAACTGACCCTGTTTTTTGGTAGTTGTACGTTAGTATCGTTATTCACTTTTGGAAGCTCATCTGAAGAATTACATTTTTAAAATCGACGAAAGCGAAAAAGAGAAGGTAGCAGCAGTTCACCTCTCTTGCCCCAATGTATGTAAAAAAAAATTTGCGTAAAAATTTAGATAAGCCACCCAAAAAAAATTAATATTTTCAATCACAGCTTGAAGGGTCGTTTGCCCATTATGAGACTGACGTTGTGTCCATATCGTAATCCTTAGAATTTGCATGAATGAGCTATTTTTCTATCACTAGTTCACGGTAAAGAAAACATTTACCAGATAAAAAAAAAAAAAAAAAAAAAAGGGGGGGGGGGAGAATGGAAAGGAGACGTTAACGCATGTAAGCCTTGTTTTGTAACTGCAAGTAAAATAAATCAAAGAAAATAAAAATAAAAAAAGGACCAAAAAGTTGTACCCACAACTTCGACACAAATTATAAAACAGGTCTATTCGCAGGTTGTTTTGATTGCAGATAAATCTTTAATTTATTGTTGGTTCGAAGATGAGAAAACAATCTGATGCGAAAAGAAATGCGCAATACCAAATGTTAAAATTTTCCAATTGATCCTACTTAGGCCAACTAATAAATTACAACATCAAAAAGAAAACGAAAAGATGGATGGAAACGGTTTTTACCCTTTGTGCTAATAATGGTTTGTTATTGTTTATGATGTCGTTGTTGCCGTTAGGGCCACAGTTGGGCCTGAGTTTAAACCTAGCGCATAGATCAAAATTATTTTGAAGCTCCTTTAACGCTCTAGTAACAGTTTAGACGAGAAGCAAAAAAGATGGGAGATAGGGATCAGGTGCGGATACCTTTTGATAATGATTATGCATTCTCTCCTTATCTTTAACAGGCCTTTGCCGCAATTCAGTCAAAACATCGCACTAACGCACGTAAAAGGGGCGGGTCCACTGTTTTGGAATGATAGGTCGTATTCTTCTCAATAGAAAAAATTGAAAGTGTGTATCATAATTAACAAAAAGATAATATTTGTCTTTATAAATTTTGAAGGCTCATTTTGCATATTTTCATCCTAGAATAACAATGACTTTGCTAATGGATTACGATTAAAAGAGTCAGCTTGTGTAATTAATGAGTGAGACTTGATAGAATTGAAAAGTAATTAGCTGTAGGCATTAGAGGTAAGTTTGAAAGTGAAAGAACCACAGATTAAGTGTCTGTCTCATTTAAGATCACTTTATCGTCGCTACCACTTTCACCTGTTGATACGAATATCATCCTTGTTTGCCTTGCTCAAAAAACGATAGATATACAGATCTACATGAGCACAAGACCAAGAAGTTTGGTAGAGACTATTTATTGTTTAAAAGCCGAGCCAACATGATAGGACTTGAAAACATTTATCAGCAGCACTGCCTATAATACAAGCAGTGTTGAAGAGAAAAGGTGCATTTGAAAAATTAAAAAGGTGGCTTGTTTTCCATACTTTGACAGGAAAGTTTAAACTGCGGTCACAATAAAAGATGAAAAAAAATACGGAATTCTGCTGTAACACTATTCAACAAGCAGTAAACAATGGCCTTCAAGTTTAACTTTACCGTACGAATAAACTGATTTGCAGTAACAGAAACATAGAATAACTTTTTGTATTACAGAATGAAGATTTAGATCTCGAAGATAATGAAGAGAATCAACAATTAGAAACAAGTCTTAACGACTTGAGCATCGATGAGTCCAATAGTGTCAATAAGCTTCCTAGCCAAGAATATGACATTCTTGTATGTTAACCGTTTATAATAAATAAATAAAAAGCCGTACTAACCATAATTTAGTCTTCCCCTTTACCCAGTGTCATTCAAGGTGATATTCTTCAAGTACCCAGCGTTGAGAAACCCCTTTATAAGCGTACATTAGCCGATGTCAAGTTTCAAATGGCGGAGCAAGACAATTTAGTGGATGAAAATGCTGATAAGGATGTTGTTTCCATGTTGAACTTGAGCGGAAACTCTGATTTGATTAAAGGTGTGTATGAAGGTGGGTTTAAGACTTGGGAGTGTTCCATTGATATGGTTCAATACTTGTCTGGATTACCTGAGGACCAAGTCACAAACAAAAAAGTATTAGAGGTAATAAAAGCATGGACAAAGGAATATTTAAGAGAAAATATATTGATAAATGGGATAGCTTGGTTGTGGTTCATCGCTCCCCTCCTTGTATCTTTTAGATCGTAGTCATACCAACCGTGTTGATGTGCAGGACTATAATGACCAAGTTATTCGCTACATCACTATACCAAATATTCTTTTAAACACCGTTTTAACTGTTCAGGAACCATCTTCTAATGTTGAAGAAGTGGTTGAAGAAGAGAGCTCATCATCCGAAGAAGAGGATTCTGAAGAGGAGGAAGATGATGAGGATGAAAAGCGTATCGAAGAAGATGTAAACACATGTGATGTGGAGGCTGAAATTCCTTCTGATAAGATCCCAGCCATGTTAAAGTTAGTGTCTGAACGTACCAGGGCATTTGTTGGTGATTGGAGCTCTTTACCTGTAGGTTACAAAAACATAAAAAAAAGGCCTATAAAAGGACAAAATCGTGAATTAAAAAAAAAATTATAAATTAGGAACAATTGAACGTCGATCAAGAAAAATATGATATGATTGTTACATCTGAGACGATTTATGCTGAACACGCCTTACCCGATTTGATCAATGTATTTCAAAAGGCTCTCAAGAAACCTGACGGTGTTTGGTAACTATAAAAATTTATTAAACAAAAATAATTTTTGACCTTTTTTGTATAGTTATGTTGCTGCTAAAACTGTCTATTTTGGTGTCGGTGGTGGTATCTTACCCTTCTGTAACCTATTAGCCAAGACAAAAGACGCATCAGGAGATAAGTTGAAATACGAAAAAGTGTTTGAAAGTGAGAGTACGGTGAAGCGTGAAATTCTTAAAGTTTCCTGGGAATTGTAAAATTTTACTCGTTTAAGGTGTCAGTTCACGTTGTGTTATGGTAACACTGAGTACAGAAATCTTGGTATTGCTATTGTGTAACTGTTTCTGCCATCCCCCTATTAAAACTAGTTCCAATGCTAATTATTATTTGCAACTTTCTGTAATAAATGTTGTTTTATTTTTTGGTCTCATTGCGTACAAAAAGTAGTAACGTTATCAACAACAAAAATAGGCGTTTAATTTTTATTTTTATTTTATTTTTTAAATAAATGATCTAAGGGTAAGCAAAGTAATACCATGCTTATAACGTGGTGTTATCAATACATGAGCGACAATTTAATAAATTACCTTGGAGCAATGGTTTAAAAGAAACTTTAGAAGGTCTAGAAATGTGTCACCATAGTGAAAAAAAAAAACCCAGTGGCATTCGCATTTCTTTGTTTTTATTGGTTAGAATTGTACTTTCCGCTTTCGACCCAAACCTAATGCTATTACCGAGATTAGGTATAGGCTCTAAAAAAAAAAGATAGACATTTATCCGTGCAAACACATGTACATAAAGGTTAAGTTCATGGTTGATGTCATGCAATAATCTACCTATATTACAGGTAATTAATTACCCAAATATATAAAAAGAATACCGAGAGCAAGATAAGTGGGACAACCCATTCTTTATCCGTAACCATATCGCGTGTCGGTGTAATTTTTTTTTTATATAAAAAGGTGCAGTTGCGGTTTTTTTCTTGATTTCCTTTTTACTTTTCCATACCTGTTTTCTTACTTTTTATCTCTTTTTATATCCTTACAGCATGAGATCATCAACATTCTTTTATATTTCATGTGTTGTAGCCACCTTATTTATCAATAAAGCAAGCACAAAATCTTTGGATTTAAGCGAGTATGGACTCTGCGGTGTGCAGGGGGATTCCTCTGATTGTGCTTTTGCATGTCAAGAAATGGTTCAAGGCCGAGGCAACTGTATTTTCGATAAATGTTATTGTACAGAAAAAGCAGAGATTGGACAGTGTGAAGATGACGATCATGAAACCTGCGATGCTCTCTGTCAAGACATGTCCTCAACCATGATTGGTTTTTGTATGGATGGTCAGTGTAACTGCATCACCTAAGCAGAACACCCGTACGTTGTACTACAATCACCTTCCTTTGATACCTGAACACCCTTCCTTTCACTACTACTTAATTTTATGGATATCTCTAATACAACAAATAACTCAACCTTTTGTACATAAGAAAACGCACAGAGTTATATAATACAATTCCCCATTCCCTTCCCTTCTGAAATTTAATAGCAACACCATTAATTTACGCTCCTCCCTCACAATCGCTCTTTTTTTTTTTATATTAATAATAATTTATAATGAAATTTAATTTTCATTGTCAACCATGTATGACCCTATGCTATTTTCTTAATTGCCTCTTTTCTAAAAATTGATAATCATCCTTTGCCTATTTCAGACTAGTCAAATGGTACAAACTGATCCCCTGTCGATCAGTTTTAAAAAATAACGCATTCTTAAGTTCATTTTTATAGGATTGCGTAACAAATCGATTCTGGGTGTCATTTGTTACACTAAAGAAGCAACATTATTGTTACAAATCTTAACATCTATACCAATATTAATTCCGGTCAATCAGATCATAAAACGTTATGTGACATTGCGCTATTTCACTCGTCCACGAGGTAATACATCTTACGAGTAGCCTTCAACTATTCAATCCGTGATTCATATATGTTATATGGTTATTTATACTTTTACTTTCGGGTCTCTTAGGGATAACCAAATTTTGTCAGGGACAATTGGGGTGCGCATAGTTGTACCGTAGGATTGGATACCTCAAATGACACCAATAGATCAATTTAACTTATTGCCTTAAACCAAATGCAAATGCAAATTCAATACAATAAACGTATGGTAATTATGTATGTGTGTTTCTTAGCCTGCTTTCAGCATCTCGTTTGGATTTTACCCTAACATTTCTACCCACGAAAGGCGTTTAAACATTCTTATACTGTTGTGAACAAAAAAATTTCGAGATAAGGGAACCAATAGCCAATTTTTCTTGGTTGAAGTAGAGAAATAAAACTAGTTTGAGACAACCATCAACCATTATTAGCTGATAGATGGTGACCTGCAAAAATTTAATGAGTCTTAAGCGATTTGTTGTGGAGCTTTCTAGTCTGAGCATAGACTATTTTGAATAGAATAGATGGGAAGTGTATATGAGTCTAGAGACTAAGTCACTTGGTACGGTTATCTTAGCCGGATATTAAAGCACTATCCTGTGGTAAACAATGTTTATTTCCATTACCATTGACTGACTTAATCAGATCAGAATATCTACATGTCTGTGATAGATCACGTGGTTAGAAAGCAAATAGATTGGTAGGCATTGTCCAGAACAATTGCCCCCAAATAAAGCAGCTGTCAGTAACTGGTTTTTTCAAAAACATGAGGAATTCTATATATCTGTCACGTACACGTTTTTCTCCTTGGTCGTCCCTGAATTCTTTTCTTTTTTCTCAACCACCCTCCCCGCCCTTGGCCCCTTTTTTATATTATTACCGGCTAAATAGAGCCTTTATTATCTAATACTTTTTTGATTTACTTGCAAAGCTATGATATAGCGGCGTCATTGAACCATTAGTATCTGGGTCAGACGGTGAAGGTGTTGTAGGTGTTGTATATTCAAGTTCAAAGTCCAAAGTGAGTTTTGTAGGTAGTGTATACCGCGTCGAAGAAGAAATTGAAGGAGGAGAATAATGATAATAATCCCTGGCACTGTAACTTTCATCATCCTCATCTTCATCATCATCAAAATATTCTTCCTTCTCTTCCTTGTACTGTTGAATAGTAGACGGCATACTCCTGTTATTGTAGCTGTATTGTTTGACGAAAGAAGGCGTCAATAGTCCAGATCGATTGCCTAATGTTGTGGCCGAATAAATGGAAGCGGGTGGATGAGGGATATACCGACCCCAGTTAGGTTCCTGGGCGGGTTGGATTGGGTTTTTGGCGGTTTCTTTCTTCTTTTGCGATAATCCCATCATGGCAAAGAGTACAACCGACGTCCAAACAATACATAACAGAATAGATAAAATCCAAATCGAATCACTCAACATGCATCTACAACATTTATTATGAGCAACGCTTAATTTGTTATATTCAGTATGAGTATTGTCTTTTTACCTTTGATAGAGTAAAGGGTAGAATTTATCACGGGATGAATCGAAAAGAGAACAGCTAGACATGAGAGAAGATCTTTCTATTGGTGATGAATTATTATTTGTCCAGGGCTCTGAAGAATCCATGGAAACGATTATGATGATGGATGTGAGCAGTAATAGAAGAGCGAGTAAACCGATGCATTTATCTAAAAGGTATCGTTTGGGTCTGTTGTAGTAGTACGCATTTAAACATAGAGTAAAACTTCCTGCCAAGGAAAGACCTAATGAAATAAACCATAAGAGGTACTATTAGTTTGATTAGTAAAAAAGAAAGGATGATCTGAAGAAGGAGGGGGAGGTATTTTACCTGCCAATGACCTGCTGTGATCCAATCTGAAATTCCTGTCTTTTTTTTTTAAAAAAAATGAGAAGTGTTAGTTTTACGTTGAATACAAATCTATATGAAAAAATATACCTGCTCTTGGTAGCTACTCAATAAGATACATTGTGCTAAATGGCACACAAATGTAATTAAACTTATAAAAAAAGCTAGAAATCGTACAGTGTGAATATACCAGATAATTTGCATGATTGAATTACAATGAAAAGAAATGTAAGAAAGCATGAAATAAAGAGGCAGAGAAAGTAAGGAAGAGATTTATAAAGCGAATGACCAAAATGCAGGGAATTGTTTTTGACAAGGAGAATATATTCTATCATTACCTCTTGGTGTTGTTGCTAAAGGTGTTTACACACACAAACTCACAAAATAAAAATATATATATATGATAATGTTGATTTTTTATTTTTTCTATTTCCCCCGTCTTTAGGGGGGGATGTTAATCTTTGCGCATTAAAATTCCTCTGATTCAATTACTAAACCACAGCTTTCACATTTCTGAGTGGAGCTACCATTGTCTTCAATAGAGGGACCAAAAACATGTTTGTGAGGACCCTCTTGCCGTTTTCTCTCCCAACTACTCGTCATTGTTCTTCTTCGTAAATCAGCAAGCTTTTCTTTAAACTTCTTTTCTTTTCGATCCTTCTTTTGAGCTTCTCTTCGTTCATATTCTGCATCTAAACCCTCTGGCCCTTCCCATTTCTTGTAGGCGTATTCCTCGACCTAAGTACCCAATAAAAAGGATAAATAAAAAAGCTTGCATATATACAAATTAAAATTTTAACCATTTCTCGAACGTAAAGCATCATATCATTCCAAGTAGATTTGTGAGGATTGGGTTTTGACCAGTGTGGTAATAATTCAGGATCCTTTAACTCGGCTAAATACAGCAAAAAAAAAAAAACATTTAGTCCAATTCCATAAACAATAATCGTCTCATTATATTATTTTTACGGTCTGTCAATAGGTAATCTTCTTTGGCTTCGGTTTTTGTAATTAAGCTGTATTTTTCTGGAAATTCTTCCTTACAAACTGGACAAAGAAAAATATGAAATACGTTGAAAAATATGGGATCGAGATCCATGGAATCACATTCTTTGCATTTGGGGTTTTCATGGGCTTCCAATGAAGGAGCTAACCATTAAAAAAAAAGCAAAGGGTCAACAAAAAGAACAAGAAGATGCCTATGCTCTTACGGTAATAAGGTTCGTATTCTGCTCTTCGTTTATTTCTTTCTTCCATCGATTTGTTCACCTCAACGTCGTCTACAAGGTAACCACCTTTAGAATCAACTAACGTACTCATGTCATATTCATAGAACGACTTTATCCATTTCGCCTTTTTGGGCGGTGGAGCTGCATTGGTAGAAGGAGGTTCACCATTAGCTTGCCTTTTCTGTCTTAATCGTTCGAGAGCTTTTGCCTTATTATTGGCAGCAAGTTGTTGTGCCTCGGTCAAATTTGTGTCTGACATGTTAAAAGTTAAAAAGGTCTGATAGAGTAATTATGTGCTGCGCATAATTTTAATATGTGACTTTTGTTTACCGAGTCTCTGTTTTTCGAAATGAACTCAAAATGGCATTGCAACATGTGTAATGAATAATTGCCAGGAAGTAGCGTTTACACGCCTATGGTCTGGCATGGTTACGAGAAGCGCCTTCGAGTTTCGAACAAGTTAGAAGCTGCACGGGGTTTTAGAAAACGTCATCAACCGAGAACAGATGATCATCGATGCAATCTTCATTTACACACGAAAAAATAAACAATAAAAGAAAACTCGGGCAAATTATGATGGGAAGCCCCGTATATTTAATTTATTTAACAAAACAGAAGTTGAAGTATTAAAAAAGTAAAAAAAAATTTACTCGCGGTTACCACGACCTGTAATTAAAAAGAGTTAATAAACTCAAATGTATGCACTTCACTTTTTTTTAAAAAAAAAAAAAAACTTACCGAGACCACCACGGAACTCAGGCTTGAAGTCACCGGAAGCATCTTCCTTACGCTTGTAGCTATCACGGTCACCACGGGGAGCACGGGCTTCACGATCACCACCGACTAGAAAGAGAGTGGTTAGAAGGGTATCGATTGATTAATCTAAACATGAAACTTACAAGCACGACGAGGAGCAGCAGGACGAGCAGACTTCTTCATGGTAGCGGGGACGATTTCTTGAGGCAAGTGAAGGACTAATCATTGGATGAGTAAAAAAGAACATGTCAAAGAAAAAGAATACTTACATTCACGGAGGTAATCAATACCCTCATCAGTGAGGGTATAGTAGTACCATTGCCAAGAGAATTGGGTCTTGACGAAACCTCTGGAGGTCAAAGATTGCATGAGCTTGATGACTTCGAGGTTAGGGACGTCAATGTCAGCGTGCTTGGGGAGGTTGTAATCCTTAGGAGCAACAAGGGCACCATCTATCAAATGAGATGAATAATCTGATGCTTACTTCGTGTATGCAGCGAAACTTACCCTTGAAAAGAGCCTCGTAGACGGCCTTTCTGTTTTGCTTAGAGACAAGCATTATTGTAACTAAAAAGAAGAGGGTTTAATAACGCAATGCGAATCGAGGTTTGGTGATGAGAGAGAGAATGGGTGAATGCGCATGTCCAAGAATTTATTTCATGTCGTATGTGATGTAATTGATCCATCTAAAATAAACATAATCCATCTATTGATCCATAACGTATCTCTCTCTCCATGATTTTTTTTTATGATGGAACTTACAATACGATGATGAAAGAGGGGCTTGTCAACATTCAGCTTCTTTCCACACACATAGCCCCCCCCCCCCTCCTCCCCGCCCGTCTCCCCCCACCTCTGGGCTTTGGGGGTGGGGTGGATGGGCCTAATTTTTTAGAACACCGGATTTTCCCTTTCCGGTCCGGCATTTACAAAACCGACAAAACTTTTTTTATTTGCACTCTTTATATTTTTTCTTCATTAAAACCATTGTTAAAAATGACAACTAGACTTCCCTTCACCAAAATCATTCATAACCCTACCAAGCCTGAACTTGTTTTAGCTAACGGTCACCACTTTTTAGTTTTAAATACCAGGTAAAAAAAAGTGAAAGCAAAAAAACGTGAAACCAGACATGATATGAATACGTTTAAAATAAAAATAGTACGGGTGAATTGATCAAGACTTATCCTCAAGATGCCAAGGTCGATCCCGTAACTGACTATTACCGTTGCATGTCCTTTAACAAGGACGGTACTTTGTTAGCCACCTCTGGTGAAAACAAGCAAATTTGTGTTTGGGATACTCAAGACTGGACTGTCAAAAACACCAAGTAAATATATTCACGTCTCAGTTCTTTTTTTTTGGCTTGCTAACCCTAAATATCATAGGCCTGCTCATAAGCGTATTAATGCTGTTCAATTCACAAGCGATTCTTCTGAAATTGTCGCCGCTGATAAGTTTGGTGATGTCTACAAGTAACTATTACGAGATAAGACCATATAGAAAAGGCACTTAATCTAAAAAAAAAAAAAAATTACTTTGTTTAGCCATTCACTAAAGGACGATACACCCGTCAGTGAAGATAAGCAACTTCCTATTTTAGGTCATGTCTCTATGGTCACCGACATGGTTTTATCTGAAGATGACAAGTTTGTCGTCACATCTGATCGTGATGAACATATTAGAGTGAGTCGTTATCCCAATGGTTATAATATCGAGTGTTTCTGTTTAGGTCATACCGAGTAAGTTATTAGATACGATGTGTTCAGTGATGAATATTGACAATGCGTGTATTATTTTTCAGTGTTGTCACTTGTGTCAGTTTGTTACCTTGGAACAAGAGCATTTTAGTCTCTGCTGGTGGAGATGGTGTGGTTCGTGTTTGGGATTTCCTTAAGGGAAGCCAAATTCAAGCCATTGATTTAAAGGAACAAATCGAACCTTATAAGCCCACTGCCGCCGATGCTAATTCCAAGGATGCCATCATCAGCTCATTATCATTCGACAACAAAAACAAATTAGTGGCAGTTGCATTTGCCAAATCACCCGCCGTTCTCATTTTAGCCTGGAATGATGATAAGTTGAGCTATAAGCAAACAATTGTGACTGAATCACCTATTCTTGATATCGCATTTGATAACGAAGGTAAGCTTTGGATGTCTCATGATGGTCAACAACTTGTGTCTGTGTACAATGAAGCATTCGAAAAGGTGGATACCATTGCTGAAAAGATCAACAACACAGAGGTCTGTCAAGCTGACAAGATCTTTGATCTTTATACTATCTTTGGTCTTCGTAAGTTCCTTGATCTCCCTGAAAATCTCGTTACTGCTTATGCAGATGAAGCCAAATCCAAAAAGAGAAAGACAAATGCTTAGACAAAAAAAAAAAAAAAAAGGAAAAGGAAAAGGAAAAAATAGATGTATAGAATAAATGTTTTTTTTTATAATTATGTGTATGGGGGTATGGGATATGTATTAGGATAAATCACGGTCCTCTCCGATGTCTATCAATTTTGAAGTACGTCTTGTATGGACAGGCATTAATTCACGCTCTACTTCTTCTTGTGGGTGAAATGAAGAAGGTGTTGGTATTTCAATTTCGATTGCATCAGCTTCTTCTGTGGTAGAAGAGGAGGGATCATGAGGTGTTGTATGAGAAGAAATGGCAGACGTAAAACCCGAGATAATATTACCAAGGGTGGATGGATCATTTCTTCGGTGAGAAGGGGAAGATGGTAATTGAATTCCACCTTGTTGTTCATCATTACGGTCTAGTAATTGAGATGCCATTGAGATACCTCTAAAGACAGAGCTATGTCGACGATGTCCTTGTGTATGGTTCAGTGCGTTTGCAATATGACTATTAGCTTCTTGCCATGCTTCAAAGGTGGTAGTAGGAAGATGGCTTTGTCTATGATGTTGAAAGGGAGTGATTTTTCTATTGATTAATGGTTGCTCACTCTGTAACAAATCAACTCTATCCAGGGCTTCTTCATCTGAGAAAGAAATTGCAGTACCACTATCGGCACTAATCGATAATGCGGGAGAATAAATGCGCTTGGTACGCTTGGAAGTAATTAAATAAACGCCTAAAAATTCGACAGCGCAACCCGACATAAATCTTGACATTTGTTCCATATCCATGCCATCAAAATCATGGTAAAGTACGGCACTACCGATAATGGCAGATACCGTAAATAATACAAATTGGGTTGGAATCACCTCAGTCGAATCGAATCGTTGTAAAGCCTTGTTTAAGTATTTGATTTGTAAGACGGCAGTGACGACCAATACAGCAATTAATAAATAAGAAACAGGATAGCTACGAAAAGAGTAAGTAAAACAAAAATAGATCACTGATGATTATTACTGTTACTTACGCAAACATTTTAAAAAAGGTTAAGCTCAATAGGGAGGCTACGCTTTTGGTAGAGAGGACAGTGTAACCACCTGCAAAAATAAAAACTGTTGGGTATAATAATATAAAATAAAAAATTCAAGATGGCTTACCATAGATGGCAACTAAACCCAAGTCAATCATGATGCTAGAAGCCCCATAAATAGGAGACAGTATAGTTAATGTTACAATAGCACAGGCCGTAAGAATAAAGTAAATAATAGATTGTAATTGAGTAATAGATTCCACAATTAATTCAGGTGACAGCTAAAAAGATATATAGACAACATGTCAGCAGATGATAGATACACAAAGTAAAAGTACTTACGACAATTTCTTGAGAATTTGAGCTTAAAACAACCATGGCAGCACCTGCAACGGCTAAAACGACACCTAACAAATCTCTCTTTCGAAACACTTCGTTCAGCATGAGAGGGGCCAAAATGACGTTTGAAACAAGTGTCGTTGTTCCAAGCGGAGCGATGGTGGAAGCAGGGGCAAAGCCGTAAGCAACAAAGTTACCCACTTCACCCAAAATCATGAGTGAAATACCTAACCACCACAGCTTTGATTTTAAATACTCTGTCTCTCCTCCTGCTTTTGTCTGCTCTTGAGCCATCGTCATAATGAACTTTTGGTGTTGCTCCATGAGTTCAGCTTCCGATCGACGGTGTGTATCCAAGGAGGATCTCGGCGAAGAATAACCGTCGTCAGGGCAAAATCCATTGTACTGTGTTGTAGATATCCATTGTGGTGGTTCATCCATATTGGCAAAATAATTAGCCATTTGCCGTTCTTGAATATTGTTGTGCTAAAGAAATGTTTAAGTTACCAAAATAAGGGGTGAAAGGGCACAGTCTTAACTTACTGCTCTTTTCTGTACGTTGAGTGCAACAGAGATAAGCGCCTGGACAAAAATAGTGTTAGTGGCTTTCATGGCAAGAAAGAAAAAAAAACGAGAGATGAACCTACATTGCCACAAACAGAGACAAGAACTCCAATGAACGTACGAAATGCTACATCATTCTTTTCTGGTTGTTGTAAAGTATCCATCGAATGTAATTAAGTTTTAATTTTTTTTATATACAGGTATATATAGGTTGTCCTGTCTCTAATTAATTTGGCATGCGTTTTTTGAAAAAAAAAAGAAAAGAAGGCCCTTATTTAAACATTTTTTTGCTTTATACAAGTTTTTTTTTTTTTTTTTTTTTTTTTTTTTTTGGGATTCAGTCGTCGTTTAATTCAGTCACGCCATGTCCATAAAGGGGTATGTAGAATGATGTCTTCCTTTATCGTTGTCCTAAAATAAGGCTGTCGCCATAAGAATGCAGGTCCCTTCTTCCCCATATATAACACCATTCACTTTTATGAGCCAGTTACTGCATTCATTTTGTTTTTTAAATTTTGTATGACAATGAAACATAATTTTTTTTTTCAAGCAGGAGAAAAATATCGTTAGGAGATGCGTTTGTTTGTTTATGTGAATTTATTTTAGACCAATAAAAACTAGACTGTACGCATACTATATGCATAAAATGACAGCTCGAGTTATAAAAGTGAAAATGATGGCCAAAGCGATACATTGAATACTACGGCGCCTATTCCGGACTTTATGACTTGAACGATTTTTTAATTTACGCAAGCCAATTACTGGATGCAGTAAATATATTGAGGCCGTTCATATGGAAGAAACGATATTCTAAATTAATTTTACCAAGCTTATTGATGGGCATGCATAGTTACTAATATGTGTACTTTAATCACCGTAGATTGAGCGTGATCTCATTATATTTGATAAGCAGACGCTGTGATTGTATAATTCTGGGTTTACAGGCTAACAACGTAAAAGTTCTGACGTGGAAAAAAGCGAGGGAAATATTCGCTAAAGTCATTAAAATATTTATAGGTTCATAAAAAGATCTCGTGAGCTTGGCATCTGTTGTGGCTCGTGCAAAGATTATAAGGAAAGTAGAGATACTTGTATGTCATGGTTACTGTTGAGCAAGTTGAAATCTGTATGCGTTTCATTCTTTTAATGGAGTAGACAGTTCTTGCGTGTATCTCATATTACCATTGCTACATTTTTCTTTTATAAAGAGTAGGCTTTTATTTTTTTAAAAAAAAGCTCTAATAAATTAGCATCAGATAGCACATATTCCTTTGGTCTAAAGTAATAGAAAGCTAGGCGAACTTTTTTATTGTCTTAATGTATAATTTACATCCCGGGCCTCCTCAAAAACCCCTAAAACATCCAGGAACATCCCATTTTGCCATGCTTGTTATTACCCTTTTGAGAAAAGACGCTCGACGGAGTACACGAGTTGATAGGAAATGGTACAAAAAAAAAGTTTTCATTAATTTATTCTCCTCTCTTTTTCTTTTTTTTTTTCTACAATTTTTTAATAAAGATGGGAGTTCAAGACGTTGTTGCTCGCCTTAATAAATCAAAGTCAGCTACAACAGTAGCGACAACACCTATTGTGCCTAAACGAAAAATTACGAGTAAGGCAACAGCAGCAGTAGTAGAAACGAAGCAATTCTTGCCGTCCCCTTCCCCATCACCCACGAGCTTAAATAATAAAAGTATTGCCAATATGTTACAAAAATTTGGTCAACCACCTACGTATCCCTCTCGACCGATTACAACACCCACTTCCTCACCACCAGAATCGCCTGTTATTTCTTTAAAACGCCATCCCACCCCAACCGTTATCAGGAAGGTAGCACAACAAAAGAATCAATTTGATATCACGGCATCTGAAATTGAAGATCTCTTCCAATCCCTATTGGAACAAAATAAAGCAGCTGAAGAATATATCGCCAAATTACAAGTGGATGTTGAAAAGTACTCTTCGGATGCAACCAAAGTACGAGATTACGAAATCAGAGTGGAATATCTTGCATTAAAACTAGAACAAGTATCAGAGGAAAGAGACTTTTTTGAAAAGGAGTTAAATGAATTACAGTCCAGTAATCACAAAAAAAACCAGCATCAGAACACAATAGATAGTCCAATGTCACCTACATATACATATCAGCATGATATTGTAATGGAGGATGAAAAGATACTGCAGAATCAGAACAATGATGCCTACATGGAAGACATATTAAACGTGTATGAAGAAATATCTGATCATTCGATGACGGGAGATGAAATGCAGTTATTTGATCAACAAAGTCAAAGTCAACAAGAGTGTGACAAGGGTATTCAGATGACCATTGTCAAATACGTGACTGATTTAGAGACACAAAAACTAGAGACAAAGGCTTTAAAGCAAGTAGTGAAGAAGCAAGACGAATTAATAACAAAACTAGAGACAAAGATTAGAAACGAATCTTCGGATGAATTATTAAAAGAACAAGTACAAGTGCAACGTATTGAATTAGATAATAAAAGAGAATTATTATCACAATTATTAAATGAACGAGAAGATTTGTTACGCAGAGTAAACAGAAGACGATCCTCTATCGATTTGATCCAAAGCGACTTAAGGCCATCTTCTTATTCATCCGTATCTTCTTCAGGAAGAGGAACTCCACCACTGACTGCTCCACCAAGACAACCGTTGCCTCCTCTACCTTTGAAATAGTTTCCATACTTGTATTATATCCCCTCTTGGCCCTCTCTACCCCCTTTTTTGTACAGTGATTTTTTTTTTGTTTGTTTATTTAATAAAGTGGTTGTTTAACCCCAAGCTGCAGTTGTACAATAATTTATTATTAAATGCCCATCTGTGTTAAAGCACTACATTAAAAAGTTAATGTCAGCGTGTGTAAATGTATACAGTGTCATACCTTGTATAAATTGGATACTGTCTCGTCCGGTGAAGGAGCAAATGCACTATTGATATACAAAAACTAGTTTTTATACATGTACACTTAGCATAAACACTCCCTTATTTGTTCTACTTTTATTTGTGCCAACTTACTAAAGGATCTGCTCCTTGATATCGAAGCTCTTTACGGAGAAACTGAATGACAGTTTGAAACTTGTAGGATGCAGTTAATTTGTAAACCTTTTGTTTCAAGATGGGTGCATTGCCAATAGCTTGAAAGACAACAACAACTAGTCAATGTTAGCTGACTGATGAACTTTATAATATTATGCTTTTTTTACCTTTGGTATTGTCTTTGACTTTTAGCTTTTCGATCAAATTATCAAGTGCTAGCTCACAAGTGTTAATTAAAAGCCTTTGTCAACATTAATGACTCATTACCTTTTCCACTTTGGTCAGGATTGTCCATGAAGTAAAGAGGGGAAAAGATAAAAAAAGAAAATGATACAACACGTGATTTTATTTATTTGGTATTGTTTAATGTATGTGTTGTGCCTCTCAATTGCTTGGTAATAGGATCCACCTTTCCAATAGCGTTATTAAGTTGGTTATTTTGACTATCTAATTCGCTATTCATTGTGATTGCCATATTCTTGAGTCTACCAACAGCACCACCGAGTAAATCAAGATTTTCATCAATCTCGTCTTCAACTTTATCATCGTCCGAATCTTCTTCAAATTGGTAACGACGACGATCAGCTTCCGATCTACCTCTACGCTCACCTCTTTGACTACTATTATTATTCATGCGTGCTGTCTCTTGGATACGGTTTTGAGATTCATATTCAAATTGGCGGATTTCATCTCTTTGGGCCATATGCTCTGCGTGATCTCTTTGCATATTCTCTAATTCTCTTCGCTCCTTTTCCTTTCTTCTAAATGGGTTGGATACAACTGGTATAAAGATAGATTTGTTCAATTGCTTTAATTCACTGGCTGAACTAGATGCTCTGTCTGAGTAAGCTTTGGACATATCCAAATGTCTGTTCACATTAGCCAATTGACCTAAAAATAGAAGATGAGTTACACTAATTATAAAAAATAAGCCAACTATTAAATATTTTACTTGATTGTTGTCCAAGCATATTCATGGTATTAGCTGCTGTTGCCTCTGTTTCATGAATCTTTTGAAGTGCCAGTCTAGTACTTGCTAAAGAATCCTGCTTGACGTTTTTGATTTGTTGTTTCATACCGGACACTTGAGCCTCTTCTTCCTCTTCGTTGTAAGCACCACCATATTCTTCTGTGTTGTCTCTACCTCCATAACCATTGTCACTGTTGCTTCTTCCATAATTATTTCTACCGCGATTACTACTATACCCGTCGTCATTACGACCTTCATCACGGCTATTGAAACCTTCATTGTCTCTTACGCCACCCATCAACTGGTTTCTTTGGTCAGTTTCTGAAGCAGCATTGTTATAACGACTACCGCCGTAGCGACTATGTTCTTGAGGTTGTTCAGAGGTATATGAAGGAGCAGGGGAATAAGATGGGGCAGGAGATGAAGGCTGACTACTTGACTCGAAGGGATTAGTCGATTCTGCTTGTTTTTTATCTTTCTTCTTCCAAAACATTGCGTGTTTATATTTCTGTGTATGTGTAAAAAAAGAGAAGAAAAAAAAAAGACTCCCTGGCTTAATTTTTTTTTTATACTCTGCCTCCTTTTCAGTTTCTAATTATAGATTGCTTTCAGGCACTTTCTAAATTGTTTAATTTAGAAGGGCTAAGCCGCTTGCCCATTTATTGTCTTTTCCGGGGCACGTGCTCATATATTTTTGACATTGCCTGTGCACACAACATTTTGCTTTCTAGCCGTCTTTCCGCGTATCGTTAATATTTTAATGAAATATTTTTGATGAAGAAGAATACATTTGTTAAGAGCTTATGTTTATTTCAAATTGATTGGAGTGCCAGTGCTAATTTTGGATCATCTGATTTGCGGAACCAATGAAAACCTGAAAAGACAAACTGTTTTGATCAGTAGTTTATTTCAGGAACTGGGTTTTTGTTGCTGTCCCCGCTAGTACTGTACAGATAAAAGCTCTCCAAGAAGACTTATTGAATAGACTCGCATCACGCATGAAGTTGCTTTCAAGACCATTGTCTCCATTCTTTCAAGGACAGTTAATTATCTATTGAATTAAATACAGCTGTATCATTCACATGTTGCAATTGATTATTAACGATATAAAAGGAGCAAATATATTTCAAAATTTCAAAAATGAGGTAAAGGGACGACCCGTTGTAATGATATTCCCAATATAATAAAATGGTTTAGGGGAGCTGTGATGTTTTGATCAGCCACCCTTACCTGTGTTGTTTCATTCAGAAAAACGCGTCCAAAATAGTTAGAATTGAACATTGTCTGGCATCACATAAATTTAGCGTTTCACTATAACTATCCTAGTCTTGATCGTGGTCAGACAAATTTATTACTGCTGATTCAAAAGAACACGTCCCGTAGACTTGAAGATTAAATGCAAAATTGTAACTGATGGGAAATGATTAGTAATTAAGTCATCGTTATTATATTTAAATGTATTCACCATGCGAATGCTTTTCTAAACTTTTCCATTTATTTGTACAAAAATAGTTTGAAAAGACGATCAAAATAATACATAAAAATGAAAAGCCGATCAAAGTAAAGGAACATTTAAAATTATTTACTTGAAAAGGAAATGATAAAATAACAAACGTCTTCAAATCCACAATTTTTTTTATTTTTTTTTGTTTGTTTTTCTTCCCTTTCACTTTATTACTACTTTTTATCACTTACCTTACTATGAACAACACCGAAGCAAATAACAACACTTCCAACAACGCACGTGGTCGCGGTCGTGGTCGTGGAAATGGACGTGGAGGTAGACGCGGAGGTAGACGCGGACGTGGTAAAGACACTGGCACCTTTGTGTTTGTTGTGGACCCTATTTTTCAGCGCAACGCCACTCCTGTCAACAACAGCAACGCTCAAACTGACAACACGACACCCGAGAACAACAACGCTAATGTCGAAGATGACAATGAGCCTTCACGGCCATACAACGTATGGCCTGAGGTTGCAATTTGTATCCTTCTTGAGATTATGGCAGGCACTTATAGTCACTTGTTGAGAAGAGGAGATACTTCTTTAAAGCAGCTTATCTGGATACATTCGGCAGCTTTGTTAAAAGAAAAGATTATTGAGTATGCAAACACCGATGAAATCAGGGCTTTTGTAGCAAATGTCACGCCAGTCAGTATGCAACGCAAGTGGAAAGATATGAAAAATAGATTCACCAAAGCAAGAAATGCAGCAAGAGAAACAGGAGTCGATGGAACTGTCTCCAACGTACCATACTACGAAGAAATTGCGAAGATCATTCAGGATAATCCTAGCATCCAACCTGAAGGCATCAACATGGAGGAAAATGGCATTCGACCTTATAGAAGATCAAACGACATTGATTTGATGAATTCAATTGGATCCGATGGCCCCAAAACTACGTACGTGGCACCTACGGAAGTCGATCAACTTGTGATCCAAAAAGCATTGACCGATCGATACGCCACTGAGGATCCTGTTGATCCTGAAGGATCTTCAGTACCATCATCCACATCCGCACCCACACCCACACCCACTGATCTGAGACCTGCTGGGCCTACACCCACTGAACTGGTTATTGCGGTAGATGAAACAGAAGCTGTGTGGAGATCATCTTTGAAACGATCTATTGAAGCATTGGAAGTGGTTTTGAAAGAAAAGGAACGGGAAGCTCAAAATATTAAAAAAAAAATAAACGTATTAAAGGAACAGTTATAATACTTTCCTATCTCTGTATGTTCAGGACGCTTTTTATAAATAATCTTACTAAAATAAAACACTGATTTATCAACCAATATTGTTTAATCTGTTCATATGAGTCTTTGACTAGATATTCACAAAGATGAACGACAACTGAGGAGTTAAGTTTTTGACGAGGTTTAATCTCATGGGTCATTTGAAAGTGTTCAGCAATTGTTATGAGCCAATATGAACAGAAAATAATAATAATAATACACACGCACATGGTGATATATAATTTGGATTTAGATCCTGACAGAGCTTGATTGACTATCTTGCGACATCTTTTTTTTGAAAGGCACGATACTATTTTTTCTTTAGATGCGACACAATTCTTTCTAAAAATATACGACACTGTTTTTTTAAAGCACGATTATCCCAAAGTATAGTGATATCTTCCTTTCTTTCAGTTTTTTTAAAGTTCTATATTTTATGGGGTTTCTAATTTCAATTGCTGTAATATGTTCTTTCCTGTCATGGCTCATAGCATAGGACTTATAGGACAGGTGGTAAAGGTGTTCCAATTATTGTAAACATACCCCCGATTGAATGGATGATGGAACTCTTTGTGATAATGTTGAGGTCGGCTTAATTACTATACATGTTTGCAAACAATTCATATCCGTACTTCTGCTCATTTTTATCCAGCCAGGGAAATTCCGTTACCGAATTCAAGCAAACCCCCCCCCCGCCCCAGTTTGTAGGTGGTCTTCAGATTGCCGATCGGAATCTATGGCCCTCTCGCTTTACCCATTTTCTCGCCGGATCCTTCCATTGTCGATGTTAATTATTATAAAGCTCTGCCTTACGAACAGAATCGCCTTTTAAAACAAATTATAAAATTCATAAAATGCTACGTAAATCATTTGCGGTTTTTGTTCAAAATAGTATGCTATTTCCTCAGTGGTTATATTTATCGATCCATGATCGTACCAACTCTTCTGTCCTTAAAATTTGCTTTCTTTTCTTTCTCTGACTCTGTTCAGTAAAGTTCCAAAGGCTTCTCTTGGGCGTCTATGTGAGTTAAGTTTCATCTGGCGTTGACGTTCCAAAGTAGCACCATATTAACTTAGTGCAGCAAAACTGATTACATGAGAAGGGGGTTCATCTCTATCATTAGTGTTCTTTCTCTTATTACAATTTGATTTTCCAGCTATCTATAAGTCTTATTTATGAAAAAAGAAATATAAAAAAAAACCTGTGTCTACTTTTTCATTTTCCCGACGAATAGCTGCTTTTACTTCAAACCCAAGATTAATAGTAGAAGAACGGATGTTATACTCAAATAACAAAAAAACTGCTTTTTGAATAAGAGAATAAACGTAATTATAATTTCAGCTACTTTTGGCTTTCTCTGAACCATCTCCTAGCTCATCTATTTTTACAGTAGAGTCATATGCATCATTTAGATGAAAGTGGTTCTGGGGAGTTTGGTAAAGGTATAAATCAACAATTTCCCAAAATATCAGAATCAGTTTAAATTATCATCCTTTCCAACGAAAGAAAACAATTAATGATCATGTGAACGCGATGAGTCGAAGAAAAACGAGAAAACGAATAGGAACAACGCCATTATTGGTGGTGTAAGTACTTAAACCAACTCAAAAACACAAAAAGCCAATGTAAAACGATCTTTAGGTTGTTTAAAATCCGGAGATAAAAGATAATTTAGTTTTGGGGGAACGATCAGTATGGGTGTAGCCGCTGTACACATAGTAGCTGCTTTCGCATGTGCATTTCTATCGTGCCAATTTCCGAGCAAGAACACAGGTTTAGTCCGCTCATTTAAGCTTTGAAGATGCTTTTATGCTGTCCTGATTTTGACAATTAGAGCAACTGCATTGCTTTTTAAGAATCCGAGTTCAGATAACTTAGCCTAAATCAAATGACATGGCATGGCTTAAATTTCACTGAAACATCTATTGTCACAGTACTTGCGTGTAACATTAATGACAGCAATAACATAGAATCATTTTCTTGTACTAACATCACTTGTTAGTTTACCGTAACTTAAAAGCCAACTATGTTGCCTATACTATCCAGTAACGCCAAATGGCTCGGGGCATTATGACTAAACAACACAGTATTGGCGATAATTAAAAGGGAATAATTGTTTCATGTATCAGCTAAGGCTATTAAAATGGCACGATAAAATTTAAATCATGCAATGTTCATCAAAATCGAATGCAATTATGTAACATGTGCAGTTACGACAGTTACATTTGTGTAGTGTAGCCATGGGAGATCCTATAATAAAAGATAATATTGTATAGAAATTATTGGTTCTGTTGTACTAAAAGAAATAGACGCACAGATCTCGATAAAACACTAAAGCGGTATTTTAAAATGACCAACCTTGAAGCGTGGTTTCCCTACAGTTCTGTAATCCCTACATGCATATTGAACATGTATGCAGTCCTTGCCTGACTTTGTTGGGATAAAAATCTTGAATTTTCTTGTTACTGTCACGAAAAGAAGTAAAAGATGATTCCCGTGTAATACAAATCACGAATGCGATTCAGGCTATTGTAGTAAAATGACGGATAGATAATTTAATAATTTTTATAGATAATGGCGATAACCCAAGGAATGGAATGATACAATAATGATCGTGTGTGTATATGTGTAAGTGTTTTGTGGTCAATTTTCTTAAAGTTGGTTATTCATTGTGGTGTGCAACATGAGCTAAAAACATTCTGGCTTCTTTAGAACCTACGATATACTATATTAATAAAGCGCTATAGGCTGGTCAATATAGACAGGGATGTGGGTCTAACTTACCACGCTCAGCAGCAATTTGGTATAATGTCTGTGATTTTTCTTGGTCAATAGCGACTACTTTTCCAAGTCGATAATATTCAGCCAGGCTAAAGTATGCTTGAGATAGTTGCTCCAAATCGTCTTCATCTAAATTGTCTTGATCGATAACAGGATTGTGAACCAAAGCAACATACCATTCTAAGGCTTTTTCTAAATTTTGCTCGACACCAACACCATTTTCATAACATTGGGCTACTTGAAGGAATGCCTTGGTATAACCTTGTTCAGCTAAATGAAGGAGTTTCAAAACTGCCTTTTCTTCTTGTATATTTACACCGCCTAGTCCATAAAGTTCATACTGTGCAAGCATCATTTCGAGATAAGAAATGTGCTGTTCTGGTTCATGGGAATAAAAAACTGTGTGAAATAAGGCATATGCTTCGAATTGGGTCTCAGTATTTTGATGCAAGACACGGGCCAAACAAAGCTGAGCGGGCCACCAACCTGAAGGGTGAGAAAGGGGTAATTGATCAGAAGCTTCTTGTGCAAGTTCCACAGCCACAGTGTACCACGTTTGCGCAAGATCAATATTTGGGGGGACGCAAATACCATGCTCATAATAAGTACCTAAAAACAATGCAGAAGTTTTATCGCCTAAATGTGCAGCGAAACTAAAGTAATCGTAAGCTTTTTCAAAATCTTGACCAATATTGTAAATGACATCTTCATCGCCTTCACGACCAGAATGATAAAGATTTCCAAGCTCACGCTGAGCATCTCTGGACCCTTTATCTGCGGCAATTTCTAACCAATGGAGTCCTTCCTCCTGTAAATCTAATGAAAACACGGCGCAAGTTTCATCTCGAATAGTCAAAAGTAATTGACCTAATTCATACATGGCATCTTGATCGTTTTGCTTAGCAGCTGATCTGAAATGATGTACAGCGATGGACAAATCGGGTTGTAAGACGTATTCATTGTCCTTTAAAATTCCTTGAACGTAATAGAAAGCGATTCTAAAGTGAGCACGAGGGTGGTCATCTTTCGTAATGGCTTGTTGATACCAATAAACAGATTCGGATTCATCGTTTTGTTGAGCATTAATTTGTCCTACGCGGAACATAGATTCCGAACTATTTGTTGTTTTGATAGAAAGATAATACCATTCAAGAGCTTGAGGTAAATTTAGATTAGTTCCTAATCCACGTTCACAACATCTACCAAGATGGATATATGCATCCGTATCACTTTTAGAACAGGAAAGTAATTCCTAATACAAACAAAAAGTATTAAAACGTTATAGTTCATGTAACATAAACTTTGATTTACCTCGTAACCTGCTTTAGTGTCAATTTCTTTACCCCCCAAGCCATAAATCTGATACGTGGCACACATAATACGGGAAGGAATGTGTCCCTGAGCTGCGGCTTTCTCATAGTTTTCTAAAGCAACAGGATAGTCTTTGTCTTTGTGCCAAGCTTGAGCTGTTAAATACATGCCTTCCACGTTACCCATCAATGCCGCCTGACCAAAGCATTGAACAGCCAAGCCATGGTTTTCTTGTTGGACTCTTGATAGCGATTCAACTTCATCCCGGATTGAGCTGTGAGTGGAACCTGAGTATATTGTAACGGAGCCATCATCAAAATCTTGTTGTTGTTGAATGATTTTTCCCAGTTTGATCAGTGCTTCTGAATCACCGGTTGTCGTCAAAAGATGGTGATCCATGTGTGGTACAACAGGATTTAATTTCATGGCGGTTTCCCACCATGCAATAGCTATATGTAAGTCACCATTTTCAAGAGCAATTTGTCCTAGAGCCCAATGACTTGGAGCATAACCTTGGCGAGCAGATCTTGTAAACCAGATGACAGCCATCCCCAGATTGATTGGAATCATTTCAAGTCCACGCCAAAATATAACGCCTTAAAGAGGATAGGAATTTTTTAATGTGTAATAAAATAAATAATTTATTGGAAGGCGATAGGGAAAAACAAAATAGAGAAATAGAAAAAAAAATATTTTTAGTAAATAAGTATAATATATAGGGTACAAATAAAAGCATAGATATAATGTGGTATATGAGGAGAGGAGTTCAGGTTATATGTCGTATGTGATATAATACATGTATAAGACAATGTGTGTGGGTGTGCGTGCGTTTGTGGGTGTGTGGGTGTGGAAGAAGAAGAAAGGGTATTTTAGTGATACTCACCTAATTTATGTTGGCCGACAACAATGTTTCTTTCACCACAGCTTTGATATAATTGATATGCATAAGGGATATTTTTTTTGACACCGTAAAGGCCATTTTGATAGATAGAAGCAAGCTCCATGGCAGCATTCATGTCGTTACCTTCTTTTAAAGATTTTTCTAACCAATGTAAAACGGCCTGGGAATTTTGGGATACACCGTTGCCATCTTGATAACATTGAGCTAAAAAAAAAAAACAAAAAAATATAGTTAATATAAGGTTTTATATAACCTCGCTTTAATTCTAACTTACCAATCCAAAAGTAAGCATCAGTGAATTTTTCGTTTTCTGCAAGAGATTTTAAAAGCAGGAAAGCCTCAGTTGTTGGTAAGGAATGTATATTTGCTTTAAATAACGATTCTTGAATGGTGGTGGAATCATTTGAATTATTGTTTGAAGTTGATGCTTTGTTAAGGAGTGTGAAGGAATCATAATTAAGGCTATATAAAGCTAGCTTGAGGTGCGAAATTTTACTCGATTTCAAGTTTTTAGAGATTCTTGGGTCGGTAGTGACACGCTCATAGTAGGTGTATGCCTTGTCAAAGGACTTCAATTTGTCATAAAGTTCGGCAATGGCAAAAAGTGCAGTAGGTTGACCAAGTTCAATAGCTTTTTCATAATGGCTTGCAGCGGTTTCTTTGTTCATCTTGACTCCATGTCCATTCTCATAATATCCACCAAGAATCACTGTTGATAAGGCATCGTTCAATTTAGCTGCTCTTTCGTAATATTCTGATGAAGTTTTATAATCTTTTTTTGAACCGTATATGCGACCTAATTCACGTAAACCGGTAGGATGATTTAATTGAGCAGCCTTTTTGTACCATCGAATGGATTCTTGTAAAAATCTTTCAATTTCTGAAGCTGGTAAATTATTCTCCTTGACTTTTCCGTAGCAAATTTGAGCATATGAAATGATGGATTCAGTGTTACCCAATTCAGCAGCACGTCTAAAGTAATCACGAGCAAGGTCCAGATTACGAGCAATAGTGCCGCTGCCATTGTAATAATAGATACCGACATAATAGAGTGCACTAGCATGATTTTGTTTCGATGCGGCATGTAACCAATCAAATGCAGCTAAACGATCCTCTTGGACACCAAGACCTTTACAAAGCATATGTCCCACCTGGAATTGAGAGTCACTGTAGTTTAATTTGGCAGAGATCATGTAATGTTCAAAAGATTTTGAAAGATTGGGTTTCACAACCGTAGATACACCTTCTTCGTAACAGACAGCAATCCAATAATGCACCTCACCACTTTGAGTAGAATTTTTGGTAAGATTAATCAACATGTCAAATGCTTCTTTGGGTCTATAAGGAGTAGTTGTATCCTTTTCATCCAAATAAAAGAGAGCAATCATAAGTTTTGCAGTACATTCAATGTCTTTGGGAGCTGGATGCGTATTGAGATCAGAATGAATGACGCCAGCGGCTAAAGAATATAGATCCAAAGCAGTTTTGTACTTTCCATTCTTGTGTAAAAAGATGGCAAAAGTGAGCTGAGCGGCTGACAGGTACTTGCCGGGTATTGAAATTGCAATCTCATAATACTGGGTTGCTGTCGCATGATTAATAGCTGCGCCGATACCACGTTCATAACAAAGAGCAGTTTCAATAATAGCTGGGTGAAATGATTGAGAGGATGCTTGACGGAATAAACGGAGAGCTTCTTTCTTGTTTTGGGCAGAATCACGAACACCGGGAATTTTGCCATCACGGTGCATAATACCAAGGATGTATTGAGATTCAGCATGTTGCTGGGAAGCGGCATTAGAGAGATAAGAAAAGGCTTTGGCTTCATCGCGATCTAAACCTAAAGTACCGGCAGAATAATGAATGCCAAGTCTAAATTGAGATGCGCTGTCATTGAAATTATCAGCAGCAATTTGATAATTGGCATAAGCTAGATCGATATTGACATGAACATGGTTACCAAATTCATAAATGTTACCAAGATGATGATAAGCTCTTGGATCACCCTATAAATTATTTAAAAGTCAGTCGGGAATAAAGTCAGATGATTGTAAGTATTGTCTTACCAAAGCTGCAGCTTTATTTAGCCATGAAACACCCTCTAACGGTTGTTCTGGCAATAACAAGAGACCTAATTCGATTTGAGATGGAGCGAAATTCTTATTTGCACTACGAATATAATATTCTTTGGCACTGATTGAATCGGTGGTCTGTTTTGTACGAAGCAACAAGGCCATTAAAAATTCAGATTTTCTATATATGGAATTATGTGTGTTGGTAACTCGAAAAAAATAAAATGGTCTGTTATTGTTTACCTATTTCCTAAGGTTGCACTATCTTTAATGTAACCGATATTTTCATCACGATTCTCACACGTAATTTGATCCGTTGTGAAGTTGGTGACAGCAATGAGTAGTTTTGCTTGAGCAATGATTTGATCAATACGGTCGCTTTGAATATCACAATGAGTATCAATGATTTTTTTATACCAGGAACAAGCCAACTTCTGATCAATGGGTTGAATGGTGACAGAAGCGTTTGAGGAGATGACTTGTTCCACACCGTTATAGCAACATTGCGCGAGGTAGTAATAAGCTTCCCAGTTGTTTTTTTCGGCCAATTGTTGTAATTCTTTGAAGCCTTGTCTGGAGTTCTTGGTAGTTCCCCAACCACATAACTTGCAGCGAGCTACACAGATTTTAGCAGAAACATCATCAGGTCTTGCACTCCACACTTCAGCGGCTTTAAATGCTTCACGTTGAAGTTCAGGGTTATTGCGAATACGAGGAGAGGCGAATATATTAGTCAGAATATCATATGTAAATCCGGGATTTTGAGTTAATAAATCCAAAATTTCTTGGACAGTAGACACATTGTCTGTATCTGGTGAGTTTGTGTCTATGCGCGAAGGGTATTCAAAATCTGGCACCGACATAATGTAATCGTTATCTTCTCCCAACTTATGATCCATAAATGAATTGAAAGAAAAGCGCGACATGTCTGTGATGACAGAATCTGCAACAGAGGAGAATTGAAATGCATCATGATTACTGCTAAATCCGCTCACGGAAAAACTGGAACTGATTCTTTCTCGATAATGTGGCTGACTAGTGCTAGTTCGTTTTACGCGTTGTGATTTCAATCTTTTGACTGTACTATTGTTTATTGGTGCTAAGGTATCAAGGTGGTTTAATGCTTCAGGCAATTTGCCTTTTCTCTTTTCTGAGACGGAGGCTAATGGTGATGGAGCAGTGTAATTATTGTTGATGAGTTCATTGCTATGTTGTATGATGGATAATGATTTTGCTTGTGATGATATGGATGAGGAGGATAGTTTTTTTCCCAAGATACTTCTGCTAGATCTTGTGGACTTTTCTTCGGAACTCAAGTTGGCTCCCATGTTTTGTTATTAAGGATAGAAAGTTTGTAAAAATGTAGAGTATTTTTTTGTTGGGTATAAAATGAGTTTTAAAAAAAAATATTAGAGCAAGGAGAGAGTATATTTTCTATGAAATGTTGTATAAGAAAAAGAAAAGAAAGCAAGAAACACAAACGATTAAATTATGAGACTTATGTATGTTATTACCGGGTGTGACAAAGTTCTAAAAACGTAATTTAACAACATTCACTTAAAAGAGATGTTATTATTTACATTATTTATTTTTTTGCACCCGCTCGCACTCTTTTTTTTATTTTGTATTTTACCTCCCTTATTATAGTATACATATGTCATGTTTCAACATCATACTTTTTTCGTCATCGATGCTTTCAATCGACAGTTACGCCTAAACTTGCTCACTTTTTCGGATCTTTCCCCCCTGATCATTGGTAGTGTAACCATCATTCGGAATCTTTGGTTCCGCTGAGATGCTTTTGTCAAGAGAACCTTCATCCCTTTACTATTCTGTTTGTTTTTGAAAAAAAACGAGGATAACAAACATTGGACACGTACCAATTTATATGTAGGGTTCTTTTTAACTATATATATCAGATGCAGACGTGTTTTCAGTAAAACACGTCTATGGTACAAAACTGATTGTTGTTATGATTTATTAATAACTTTTTGTTTTTCTGTTCACAAATTATTCTTGTGCAGTTGTTTCTGGGAATATCTAACCCCTTTTTTTTTTAAAATGGCGACTCTAAGTCTACAACTCATTCATGAGAAATCGATCTACAAGCAAATGGCTGTCAAGAACACCAATAGAAGAAAGAAAGAAAAAAAGGTTTGTAGACTTTCTATATTATTCATCTTTTTATGAAAGCCAGGCCAAAACCTTTGATTTGTAATGCTATCAAAGTGAACATGAATGTACTTTTTGATTGGTGTACTGTCAATAATTAGAAATAGTGGCGAAAACATAATGTTACTCTCTTTCTCGGTCCAAAAACAAAAAAAATGCATGGGTCACACATGCCACACAATAAAATGTAGCATTATAGCAATAACAACAAACAGATATTGATTTAATTAGAAAACGGAAGAATAGAATACTGTGATACACTTGGTGTATCCATGAAGCATAAACTGTGTAAAATTGTTTTAATCTTTTTTTTTTTGTGTTGTAACTTTTTTAAAATATAAAAATGGATGACACGCCATTTTAATATGTCACTTGTTTATATTTATGAATCAATGTGCATAAATAAAATAAAAGGGGAAGAGGGGGAGGGGGATTGAGTCATTTTGTGTAACATACGCAAATCTTTCTTTCTGTGGCGAAGGGATAACGGGATGACTCAAAATTTGACTACTCGAATTTATGAGTCTAAACGGAAGAAATTGGAATTTATCAACCAAATTGCAAATATATAAAAAGGCTCAGAGAAACTAAGGGAACATCAATCATCTTTTTAGAGACTGAATAACAACAATGAACAAGACATTAATTTACAGAAACACGACTAGATTGTTGACGACCAGAGGCTTCAATCACTTGTCAACACCCGTCAAGGTAAAAGTAATAATCCGTACATCATTAGTTCTTTCACTGACAACTCCTCTTATTATTTAGTTGGGTATGCGCAGTATGAGCAGTTGGAATAACCATCAGGAGGAATTACCCAGAAAACCCTCTCTCCCATTTAATACTGTAAGCTTAAACTAAAAACAATGACATACTTACTTGACTCTAAGACCCCCCTCTCTTTTTTTCTACAAGATCGCCAATTTTGTCCCTCAACAAGAGGCTTGGGTTGTCGAAAGAATGGGTCGGTTCGATCGTATCCTTGAACCTGGGCTCAATTTTTTGGTACCCATCTTGGACAGCGTCAAGTATGTGAAGACATTAAAGGAAGTAGCTGTGTCTGTACCCAGTCAAAGTGCCATTACTCAAGGTATTTATGAGAAGAAAAGGATAAAAAGAAGGGGTTGATTCTTATATTAAACAGATAACGTAACTCTGGAATTGGATGGTGTATTGTACTTTAAAGTAATTGATCCCTTCAAGGTGAGTACAGATAGAGTTCGGTGATAAACAAGCTAAATAATATTTAACTATATACACATTTAGGCCTCTTATGGTGTAGAAGACGCTGCTTTTGCAATTAGCCAATTAGCTCAAACAACGATGAGAGCAGAAATCGGTCAGCTCACATTGGATCGCACCCTCGCGGAGAGAGCTTATCTTAATACGAATATTGTGAATGCTATTAACTCAGCCGCTTTGGAATGGGGAATAAAGTGTCTTCGATATGAAATTCGTAAGTTATGAATCATTTTTTAGATATCACAGCGGACTAAACAATAAATTTAGGTGATATTCATCCTCCACTCAAGGTTGTAGAGTCCATGCATCAACAGGTATCAGCAGAAAGAACCAAAAGAGCTCAAATCTTGGAATCAGAAGGTAAGGGACAGTAAATGATTAAGAAAAAAAAGTTCCTAAAATAAAACTTAAAATCCATGTATAGGTGCTAGACAGGCAGCGATCAATGTAGCTGAAGGACAGAAGCAATCCAAGATCTTGGCTTCAGAAGGCCAAAAAGCGGAAAATATTAACCAAGCCAATGGAGAAGCACAAGCCATTTTATTGCGTGCTGAAGCATCTGCAAAGGGTCTTGAGACGATCGCTAAAGCAATTGGCAAAGATAAAGGTTCAGATGCAGTTTCGATGTCTATTGCAGAAAAGTACGTGAACGCCTTTGGTCAGATGGCAAAGGAAAGTACCACATTAATAGTACCGGCGACAGCAAATGATGCAGCATCACTTGTAACTCAGGTAAGGGGCGGATTTTGAGGAGAAATGATAAGATGAAATAAGTTTTGGTTACTCACCTATTTAATTCTCAGGCACTATCCATTTACAAGTCCATTAATGGTAAAACACAATAGTATATTGTGCTTTAAATGAGTTCATTTCATTCGTTCCAAGATGTGTGTACGTAATAGTTACCAATAAAAAAAATTAAATAAAAGGCATTCGGTTATTTATAGTTGACTCCATATTTTGAGGGTTTTTTTAAGAATTCAAGGAAAATGGCTTGGGATAAATATTATTTATACAACTTTTTGCTGCAACTAATAACTATATGACACTATTTTCAATGCGTCTAAATTATGCACACCGACAAAAAAAAAAGTAGAGAAAGAAACCCTTTAATCTTGTTTTTTGTTTGTCTTGACCAAATTCAAACCAAACTTTTTGTAAAAGATGAAATCCTTTACAAAAAAGGGAAGATAATACAAGAAGAGGAATATCCAAGAGGTAGCACCAAAAGTAATGTAACGAGGGGAAACAGGTTGAAGGACTCTCTTGACGACATGCGTGGCAAATACTTCGTTTGGTGTAGACCCAGGACCTATTCTATTCATTAGTCATTATTGCTATAAGACATAGGATATAAATATACCTTGGGATAACGTAGCACGAGCAATAATAAACTTGGCTACAGAAATGTACAAGGAATCTACATAGTGTATGGTCAATAAGCGAAAGGGGGAAGAAATAACTATAATAATATACCTTCAGGGACAGTAACTAATTTAGCACCAGCATTACCAAAATTGGAAGTAATAGCACCTGTGGGAGGGGATATGTTGGTGAATGTGTTAAATTATTGAATAATGATCTAGTTACCTGGGGCTACAACTACAACTTCAATACCAAATGGTTTTAATTCAAGACGTAATGTGTCGGACATGGAATGAACAGCGGCTTTAGATGAAGCATAAATACCTAAAACACTAGTTTTTTAGAAAATTCGAGGCGTAATAAAATAAAGAGATGTATATTTCATACCTGCCCAAGGTGTACTTGAATAACCCACAACCGAACCAACATTTACAATCTTTCCTTTTCCTTTCTTTGCCATGTGGGGAGCAACAGCTCTGATGAGCTTGAGTGTACCAAAGACATTGGTGTTATAGCACTGTTGAGCAGTGTCTAAATCGATATCTAACAAGGCGCCAACAGCACTATTATTTAAGGATGTAAATACAGACACACATGAGATAGTTAAATATAATCTTACGGAGCTCCCGCATTATTGATTAAAACATCTAACACATAATTTTAGTTCACTTGCCCTTGTATAATAAAATTTTAAACTTTTTTTACCGATTTGACCAACTGAATCAATGATTTTCTATTAAAAAGTATGAGTCATGGATACATGATGAGAAAGAAGGTGTTACCTGGGTGACTGCATTGATCGATTCCTGACTATTGATATCCAAAGCCTCTTTCTCACAGCCGTATGCTAAGGGCAATATTAACAAAAAAAAATTGATTCATATTGCATACTGTTGTTTATGTACCTTCTAAACCCTCTAAAGCATCAATATTACGTGTTGTTGCAATGACATGGTTACCCTGTTGAGCAAATGTCTTTGCAAGTGCATAACCTAATGAGACTAAAATTTAGCTACATTTTCTTAAAAGATAAACAGAGAAATTTATGCTACTGTACCAATGCCACCCTTTGAGCAGCCGGTGATAAGAATAACTTGCTTGGCCATATTAACTTTTTTAAGAGAGATAAAAAAAATAAAAGAAAGCCCTTTTGGTCATGAATGCCGAAAATTATAAAAAAAGTTGGATAAGCGGCGTTTATAAAATATAAAGTGCAACAAACAACTCAATGCATTATTTATTAATGTAGTTGTGTGTAATGGTATTATCAATATGGAGGGGGGATATGCTAGTGTGTGTGTGTGTGTGTATATGAGAAGGAAGGGGGGAAGGGAAGAAAAAGAGAATTAAGTGAAATAAATAAAAAGTGCTGTACAAGAAAAGAGAGAGAGTGAGTGAAAGGATATACAAGAAATATTAGAAAGTGCAGTGGATTCAACAAATGATGCCGTTATTTGATTTGTTATTATTTCTTTCGTGTCTGTTATGCTGATGGTGATGCTGAGCACAAGAAGTGTCAATAACATCTTCTTCAAGTGCTGGAAACGAAAAATACATCTTTTCAAATGGACTTGTGCTTACAGCAGTAGCTGTTGTAGCATTTTGTTGTTGCTGTTGACTTTGTTTAGGTAATACAAGCAATAAAAGTTGCTTGACAAATGTAGGGATTGTAGTGGTGTTTTGTTGTTGTGCCATAATAATGAATGTAGAATAATAATAAAAAAAGAAAGGAAAAAATAAAAAAGATCTGAAAAAAAGTTAAAAAAAAGTAAATAGTTTTATACAGAAAACATGTCCTCTTGAATAAATATACTGTCTCTATCCCCTTAACAAGTACCCGATCCTCTTTCAGAGGGGAACAAAAAGGTCCAGAACCCGCTTAACCTTTTTTTGCTCTGTTGCAAGAATAGACTTAGAATCACCCCCATACAAAAAGCACTGAATCATTTGATTATACTACACGTGCTATCCAATAGAGATGACAGGAAAATGTTACACTTGTCCTATGCTAAAAAGTGCCATGTTCTTTTTTTAATAAACACAGCACGTTTTAAGAATGTAGGTTTCTTCCTTGTAACTGCAACAACAAATAAATCGTATCGTATCTTTCTTCTCTCTTTCTTTCTTCCTCTTATACGGAGAAATCAAGGGAGAAAAATGAGGGTATTTTATCCCACCCATAAGAAAACCCGGGGCAAAAACCAATTTTAAACCACCCCTTCTTTTTTTTTTTTTGATGACGTTGAAGACAACAAAAACATTGGGACTCTTCAGTAGTCTGTTGTGAAGAGAGAGAGAGAAAAAGCACTCACAAAAACGCACATGTAGGGTTATTCATTACATTTTTGTTATACACACATTTCTGTGTGTGTGTGTGTATATAGTTCTCAGATTAAACTACAGTGAGGCGCTTGTTTAAAATAATAATGCGACGGTTTCTTAATTATCGAGTTTTAAGGATTTTCATTGCCTTTTCTTGAATTAAGTATTCTTCGACATTTTAATCCTTTCAGGGCTTTCTCTTGATAGCAGTAAATAGATAACGTTTCGGTATTTCAAGACTTTGGGTTACACGTTATCGTCAGCAATGCAAAGATATCTGCTACGGGTTACGATTTCCTATAATAACAGACATGAATAAACGGGATATTTAAACTTTGAACTGGTAGTGAATCAAAGAGAAAAAAAGATAAAGGATCACATTATTCTCTTATAAAAAAAATATCCGATCCGGCCGTGTGAATGTAGGTAAGCAACCCGCGGCTACATACACTTATTATTACGCCATTGTATAATCTTTGGTGAATATGTTGCAATATTTATATCACGCAATCTAATTATTGCGCCCACCATTCACGAATCATATAAAAACCCACGCTTGATATTGCAAAAACCACTTCTTTCTTTCAACATACTATCTACATATCATAATGTCTACAGCTGCTACTCAACAACCAATTGATCAAACCAAAAACTGGCGTGGTTTCGATACGGCGACAGACAACCAAACGACAGCTACTGAGTTTCCTGATCGTATTACGGGTCCTTCTGCATGGGATGGTAAAGAATTAGAGGCCAATACTGAAAGCTGGATTTACCATCTTACTGCTGAGGATATTGGTGACATTGATCAAGCCGTTAAACATTTCATTTCCCTCAATATTCCTCTGGGTGAAATCTCTCAATCCAATTTCCCTTTAACAAGCTTCAAGACTGTTATTTTAAAAGAACGCGATAATCTCTTTCATGGTTTAGGTTTTGGATTATTTCGTGGGTTCCCTATTGAAAACTACGAACGTACTGAACAAGCTGCAATCTTTATGGGTATTGGATCTTATATCGGAGCGCGTAAACCACAGAATGGTAAAGGACATGTTTTGGGACACGTCAAGGACTTAACCGAAGGATCCACCACCAAAGTAGTTTACTCTGTCGATGATCCTACTACTCGGATCTATGCCACTCGCAAAGCTCAGCCTTTTCATGTAGATGGTACTGATATTGTTGCCTTGCTCTGTTTAAACGAGGGACAGGAAGGAGGTTTAAGTGCTGTAATCTCTTCACATACGCTTTACAACCGTCTTCGTGAGCTTCGACCTGATATTGTTGAATTGATGAAGGAGTCTTGGTATTGGGATAGAAAGGGTGAGCATGGTCCTAATGATGTTCCATATTTAAAGGCATCTCCTTTGGTATATTATGATGAACGGTTATTTACTTTCTGGGGTCCTCATTTCTTTGAAACGATGACACGATTTCCCGAAATTACAGTGGGCGAAGAGAGATTCGAAGCCATGCGTTACATCCAAGCTTTGTGTGAACGTGAGGCACTCAATATGAAACTCCAAACGGGTGATATGCAATTTGTCAACAATTATTCTATTATTCACGCCCGTACTGCCTATGTGGATATTCCAGGTCAAACCCGTCATCTGTTGCGTCTTTGGTTAATGGTTAATGGAAGTGAGTCGGGCTGGAAAATGCCTTTTACCAAGGGTGACTATAACTATGAGTATTCTGGTGAACAAGTAGTTCCTCTTGAAGCAGAGTAAAACCAGAAATAATGATAATGAAACTATGTAAATCCCCCACCCACCCTTATCATTACTTTTCTTAACAATCAATCTTGTAAAAATAAAAAAAAAGTTCCACATGTATAATAAGATTTTAACTTTGTGCCACTGGATAATCATTACCGGATCTAATCCTGCAAAGAAGATCTTGTGGAACTGTATTTGTAATTTCTGGGTAAAATGCAATTATATATAGCCAATTTGAAAAGTAAAAGTCGTGGCTTCAGAATTTGATGTCGCGCAAACAATGTTTCTGTCCGACAATGGAATGTCAGTTGATCCATAACCATGATAAGTGGTGCCCGATTGATGGCATATATACATTTGCATTTTTATGGCGTTTGTTTCTCATCCTGCCAAATTTTCTAGTAAGCGCCTCAAGGAGAAACTGTGAAGTCTAAACGTATATTCGAGTCCGTTTTTTGTTCCACTTATTATTTATTTTTGGAAACGTAACAATTGAGTTTTTTTATGTATACTTTAGTAAATCTCTACCATAATCTCATCACTGTTATGAAAAACAAGCTGCTCGTCGTAAGGCAATAACTTTGAGCCATAAATAAATATTTTCAAGAACTTTATGAAACAAATCGTCAGCTTGTTGTATGCAATGATTTAATGACTTGTGACAGATTGGCATAAAGAGGTTGTTCCAATGATTCTCAAAGTTGATTTATTAAGGTTGGTGACCTGAGAAAGCCAACTTCCGTGCTATGCATATCAGTTAGGGTAACCAAAGCAGCATGATGCAAACTAGTTATGAGCAAAAACTTTAGTATATGTTGTTCTTGTAAGGCAAATTAAACTGCTTCTTCAAACAATCGGTTTCTTTCTCTGGTTTACTAAAAGAGATAAACGTTGTCATAGAAGGAAGTAAATAAAGATTCCCTGTATTACCTTTACTAGTGTCTGAGTTGAAGATAAAAAATAGCTGACAAGAGAGAATTATCTACTGAATAAACGTTGATTTAATGTATACGTAAATGTTTAGGCAAATTTCACTGATCTATGCTACTGCTGCGACTATATCACTTTAAGTGTTAGACGAGGTACCTGTATTCGTTTAAAATTTATTCCATCTTTTAGGCGTAAATTTATGATATGTTTGCGTATATCAAAATAAAATACATTGCGCCAAGTAAGCCCACATCCTGTAATTATAACTTCATTGCTGAATTTACTGACATGATTGTTGGACAAAAACATTTTTTTGCACGACATCAAATTTTGAAGCCACGAATTTACAATTTAAAAAGGTTGTATACATGGTATATAAAAATCCCACTTGTTACACACAGGATCTGCATTGGTTGAGAGGTTGGGTTTTCTGCACTCTGATAAACTTTGCATTGATTAAAAAGAAGGTCCCTGTTTTTTTCCCTACTAGACTTAATTGTTTAATAGTTTATCTAACTTTCTTTTTTCGATTATCATGGATATTTTTTGTCTATCTATCTAATGCAACTACCCCACTATTTGACATAAAAAAAAAAGCGAAGCCATTGTTGTGAGAAGAAATTGTGAATATGACCCTGGCAAAGCATGTGCGTGGAACCGCTTCATGCGCGCATTTACAAAAAAAACTTTTTTTTTCAAGGGGCTTGCCATCTTGAGATGTGATCTTGGCACAACACATGACTCATTTATTATATGGCACAATGGATGCTACTATTATACTACAAGACTAATCCTTATTTAAATAAAAATGGGGGTCGTGTCCTTTTTGCTGTCAATATAATTGATCTTGCTACATGGCTCTTTGATAATTTGGCTCGTGACGTTGAAAATTAACTGCTGATTCGGTCCAGACTTAAAGAATGTCTGAGTTAATCAAAAGAGAGAGAAAAAAAAACGATTTAGCTTTTTCTCTTATGCTGGGGCCGTCTAATTCAATTTATTGACAAACGCAAACAATAAGAATCTAATTGAAGTGTACATCAAGAAATTTTCATTCTTTTCTTTTGGTTATTACGCAAACCCGATTATTCTCTTTGGTCATCAAATCAGTAGGGTAATCATTTAAATTACACCTCCCTATATCTCGGTAATTCATGATTACAACTGATGATAGATGGATAAAATAGGTTCTAATACTTTTGAGGTATACATATCTAATGTACGTGGCAAAGAGATCACTGATTAGTTATATTAAAATAATTACCACTAATGATGTATCGTCATGATGAGAAAAAAAGAACAGATGTGGATCCGAAAAAGAATTTCCATCATACGATAAGTTTTAAAGGTGCGAATATACTAAAATTTAGAAACACCTGCTCAACCCCATCAATTCAATTCAAACCTAAAAAAAAGAAAAAAAAACTCACAAAAGCCATCATAGCCAGCCTTTTCCCACATGTGGGCTGGATCCCAGCTCAGCTTGATGGTACACTGACCCAAAGGATCGGGTCGTAACTGAATTAGATAAATGGGAGAAATATATTGGTCTTGTTTATCTTCTTTCATCCATAAACAGGTTTATAGCTAGAACCAATACGGTTAACATAAATAAAAAGTGTGAAACCTATCATGAGACTGGCCATATTAAATAGTCTCATTTGGTATGATTAAACGAACCTTTTCGACATTTTGTCAAACTGCACAGATGGAAAACACGCATTAAGCAGATGTTTGTCTTTTGATGCTTACTATTTTTTTAAATGCTTTGTGAAAAAAAAAAAAAAAGGTCGCACAATTAACCAAATCCGTTTGCACTATGGTAACAATATTATTTTGTATTGACGAAAAAAAAAAAAGTTCATGCAATCTGCAAGAAGTGTTGAACACAATTGTTTGATATCACGCACACACACTTCCGGTGTAACCATCATCATTCAAACAATATCTAGCTAGGCTGTTATTGATAGGTTTATCTAGCCTCGGTAAAAGAAAAGGGGTTTCTAAAATGTTCCATTCTTTTCTTTATTTGCATTACTAGTGTAATAAAAAATTGAGCTTTCGCTACATCGCATATATCAAGTTATGTAATATTTATAAAGATTTAAAAAAAGGTACATTAGGCTAATCTTTTTTCTGATATAACCGAAAATGTAACTTTATAATATTTGCATATATGGTATTACTTTTTCTGTGGACCGTATAAACAAACAATAGATACAAAAAAAAAATAGGTACCAATTGTTTACACATCATTATGCAAACAGACATTTATGGATCATTAAAAGGGCACATGAATAGGGACTGCTTTGGGTATGTGTGTGTTTCAATAACAATGCTTGTTTTTTTTCGTGATAACCTAATCGTTCATCACATTATTTCCCCAAGTGTTATTAAGCAGCCCCGCAAGATAGAGTTTTAAGCAGATGGTTTTTGCATGATTTGGTCCTACCCTTCCAAATTTGATGTTTCCCATTTCGTCCACGCAAAAATGTAACTATACAATACAAATCAAGACAAAAAGGCCTCATCCGATCTACTATCAAAAAGACAATTATCAATGGTACGCAAGGGTGTGTCTAATCATAGCTGATATACATGCAATTTCAATCCTTTAGTGTACGTGTGTACGCCCAACTACCTGTTTTATTATGCGATAGGAGTTCTCAGAATGCTAAAAATATAAAATCTCAGTTTTTTTTGTGCTTTTGTTCATGCAAGTCTTTACCGATCGTACACATACATATAAATAATAATAAAAACCGAAATAAAAAAGTAATTCCCCAGTCTTATATATTTCATACATAGCCACTCCCCCCATCCCCCACACACATACACACACACAAACATACATTATGAATCTATCAATAGAAAAGGATAAAAAAACTGCTATTGTACTTTCAACAGTACTTTTATTCACTTCATACAAGCTGATTCGAGCTTTAACAAACAAGTCCAAATCTCAATCTACAAAAGAAATACCTGTACCGGGATCTTCGTATTGGTATGTCGGACATATGTTCTCTATGGGCGAACTTCCTGGAAAAACAGTAGAGGAATGGCATCGTCAACTAGGACCCATTATTAAACTTTATCTCGGTGTTCAAACATGGATCATGATTGCTGATCCTATCTTGGCTCATAAAGTATTTGTGACAAATAGTGCCAAAACCTCCTTCAGACCAAAATCACACTTTACTGATTTGTATAGTAAAGGAGAAAAGTACGTATTCTCTTGCAGAAGTTAACTATTAAAAAAAAAAGATGACTAACCTATTATCCAAACCAAAAAGGGGTGTTGCATTTGGACAACCTTCGGATGTAAAATGGAAGAGTACTAGAGCTAAAAGTAAGAATATAAAAAAAAAAAACTTCTGCTAATGTAACCAGCAATTCTGATATGAAAATTTTGTTATATACACATTTACAGTGCAGGATGCATTTGTACCGAAACAAATCGAAAGTTACATGGATTCTATTCATTGGGAAGCCCAGGAGCTAGTGCATCAACTTGTGGAAGATACTGTAAAAGAAGAAGGCGTAATTCCCTTTGAGTACTTTAAATGGTATGCCATCAATACCGTCTTTGTACTCAGTTTTGCCAAACGATTTGAACGCGTGCATGACCCAGAATTCAAAAAGTTTTCTTATATTATCGCAAGAACAGGTAAAATACTAGAGGCAGTAGAAGATCTTCCAGGGTTCCTACCTAGCGCTTCATTCCTTGATTTCTTCAATGGTAGGAAATCAAGGGGTAAACATTTCTTTGAAGATGTGAGAGATCCTACCTTTCGGAGATACATTGCGGAAGCCCTAAATTCGGATAAACCAAATATAGTCAAGTCGATCAAGGAAGAAGGTGCAAATTGGTCAGAGGAAGAATACATCGCCTTCACTGGTAACCCAAAAAAAAAAAAAAGAAAAAAAAAGTGCTGCATTTAATAACCCTAATGGCAAAATCTACTCCCTTTTAATTTAGCTGATATTATCTCTGCTGGAACAGATACTATTGGAGTTTCATTATGGTGGAACCTGTATCTAATGTGTCATTACCCAGCATGCCAAAAAACTGCAGCAAATGAAGTAGACGAATTCTTCAGACTCAATGGTCGACTTCCTCATTTCAGTGAACGCACGCAACTGCCATACATTATTTCCGTCATGAAAGAATGTATGCGATTTAGACCCACCATGCAATTCGGATTACCTCATTCTACACAAGAAGAACGTAAGTTGAATTCACAATAAAGTTAGATATAAATTCACTTACTCACATCCATATGTAATTTAGTTGAGGTGGATGGTTATGTCTTTCCAAAGGGGTGTAACATTATTTCAAGTATGCATGGCATGCACCTGGGATCTTATTTCGAAAACGCCAACACATTTTTCCCAGAAAGATATATGGGTAATTCCAAAACCATGGACGCACTCAAAAAAGGTAAAATTGAGGAACGAGATCAATTTAATTTTGGATGGGGAAGGTAAAAAACAAAAAAAAAAAATTAAAATTTGCTGCATATAAAACTCGCCCCCCCCCCCTTATTAATCTCGATTTATTATTTATTAGGCGTAGTTGTCCTGGTACTTATTTAGCTGAGGTGGAAATGTTTTTGGCATTTGTTCAAATTCTCGCCACATGCACTATTGAACCTCCCAAAGAAGGTATGCCTGACATAAATGAAGCAAGGAATGTTGGATTAAATGTCGTACCCCCTCCTTGTAAATTACGTTTTGTTAAACGTCATGATTCACTTGTTTAACTAATTTATTACTGCACGGAAAATATAATAAAATATGTACTATCTATCACTTATGTATAAAGATTGTTACGAATGCGTCTTTAAATAAGTATTACGTAATCGATGGCATAGAAAGGTCCCCTTGCTCGGCAATAAGTGTAAATGTATGCGCTAGATGATGAATCATGTCCAATTACATACATCTACATGTGTTAAATCTGTTTATTGAGCCTTTTCTTCCTTCGAAAGAAAAAGAGAGAAGATTATCTTAATAATCCACGAAGTACTAAAAATTGCATCATTCTTAAATTTATCTGAAAGCTATTGCATCATTTTTTTAGAAATCTCCAGGATTTTATACAGAGAGTGTGCGTGTGTAACTTAGTCTAAAATACTTTATCCGTGTCGATCGTGTGAATTCCAGAATTTATCTATTGCGCAATTTTTTCATGATTTGTGAATATGTTGCAATCACTTGAATCACGCAATAAAATTTATCGCCATCGCCATTATTCTTTTGTAACCGCTTTGTATATAAGAGATTCATGGTTAAGTGACATTGGTACTTTTTTTTTTCTCTATACATCATCTCTATTAAAAAATCACATTTAAAAAACATGTCTCCTACTGCTGCTGTTGCTCAACCTATTATTGATCAAGTCAGTTTCAATACTGATACAACAAGCAATGTATATCCTGATCGTATTATAGGTCCCACCACATGGGACGGAAAGGACTTGAAAGCCCACCCTGAAAAATGGATTTATCATCTTACACCCGAGGATATCACGGATATCGATCAAGCCATCAAGCATTTCGTCTCGCTTGATATTCCATTCAGTCAAATTTCACCTTCCACATTCCCCTTGACCACCTTCCAAAATGTCATTATTAAGGAACGCAATAATCTCTTCCAAGGTTTAGGTGTTGGCTTAATTCGTGGATTCCCTATCGAAAAATATGAACGTAAAGAACAAGTCGCCATGTTCATGGGTATCGGTAGCTATTTTGGAACTTTCAAGCCACAAAACCGTAAGGGTCATATCTTGGGTCATATCAAGGATTTAACAGAAGGATCAACTACCAAGGTTGTTTATAGCGCTGATGATCCCACCACACGTATCTATGCCACTCGTAAAGCACAGCCTTTTCATACAGATAGTACTGATATTGTTTCTTTGCTTTGCTTGAATGAAGGACAAGAGGGTGGTCTCAGCTCTGTTATTTCTTCACACACACTTTACAACCGTCTTCGTGAACTTCGACCTGATATTGTCGAGCTGATGAAGGGACGTTGGTTATGGGATCATAAAGGCGAGCATGATCCTAGTGATGCTCCTTATACCACAATCCAACCAATGCAATACTATGAAAACCATTTATTCACCTTCTGGGGTCCCCATTTCTTTGAGACCGTGAGTCGATTCCCTGGTGTTGTTGTAGAAGAGAAATATTTAGAAGCCATCCGCTATATCCAGGACTTGTGTGAACGTGAGGCCTTGTATATGAAACTTCAAACCGGTGATATTCAATTAGTAAACAACCATGCTTTACTACATGCTCGTGGTGCCTATAAGGATATTCCAGGACAGACACGTCATTTATTGCGTTTGTGGTTTTTGGTAGATGAAGAAGTGTCTGGCTGGAAGTGGCCTCCTAACAAGAAAGAGTATACCCATGAATATGTCAAGGAACAAGTGGTTCCTCTTGAAGCCGAATAATTTATCATTACACACAAACACACACCTTTTTTCTTATGTAAACCCCCCCCCCATTGTATTATAGTTTGTCCACTCTCCGATCCTACATTTTTTTATGTGGTACAATTCTCAAAAAAAATAAAATTGAACCCAACTAATTTGGAACACAATGCGAATCCCCAAGTATATCTAATTTTTTTTAAATAACAAACATACTTTTTTTTATATATATGGTATGATAAAGGGGAGTAGTTGACTGAAAATGGTTCAGTTATTTTTTTTATGTGGTCATTTCAGGCTCTATAACCATTTATTTAGTCCGGCTTTTTTTACAACCATGCGACCTTTAAAACTTTTTAAATGAAGGGCATACAGGAAATAAAGTTTTATTAAAACAATAGATCAAAATAACCTAGAGCGGGAATAAAGGGCTTACTTATTCAGTGCATGTTGGCTTATTTATTTATCATGCAGGCCTTCAAAAATAAAATAAACAATGAGTTAGAAAAAAAAAACTATCTAAAAAGACGTCTTTTTTATTACTGCGTTTTGAAGTCAATCAATTGAATGCTCTGGGACAATCCCTTCTCATTTTTAAAATAAAAAAAAAGAGGATAATTGGCATTTCCATAGAAACGATGTTACACAAAATGGATTGTAACTCCGTGTTTTGTTTATCAGATTGATATGATGGGGGGTGATGGAGAGCATCTGATAAAATACAGATTTATAGGAATGGGATCACGGTGGGATTCTCAAGAATGGCGTAACTATCTGGGAGTGTGAGAGAGTGAGGGAGATGTATTTGTGACAATTCAGTGTGATTTGTACGACATGATGAAAGTGTATATATTTCTCTTTACAAGGGGTATAGATGTACGGTAAGCAGGCAATGGTCTCAAAACAAATAATGGAATCGATACCCAAGATCCAATGAGTTTACCAAATAATAAGGGGGAACGATACAGGATAGGTAAAATAGTCTGTGACACTCTTTACAAAAAAAAAACGACGCCCCAGAATCGGATTAAGTTGGTGTTACAGTTTATTATTATCATTTTTTTTTTTTTAAAAAAAAAAAGAAAGAGAGAACTACCATTTGATTCTATTACATTTGGAGTCATTAAAGCTATGGCTCATGGAACCTCTATACAATTCTTTGATGACTTTGCCCTTTAACAATGTTTCCTCGATGATTTCACGACAATGACAGGTCCTGACACGTCCATACCAAACACCGGTTTTACCCTTGTTTATATAACAAATCACGTTTCCGGCAAATTTATGACCTGGTTTATATAAATACATAAAAAAAAAAAAAGGAGCGTTAGAAAAAGACGAGAGATTTAAACAATACAACAACTTTACCACCGACATGACTGACCATAAAGACGGATGTTCCACCTTCCCCATCATGAATATCTAATTCACGCAAGATATGATCGAATTCACGATTGAGAATAGGCGCTGTGACACCACAACGTTTATCTCTTTTTCGATGTGAGCAGATCAGGATCATATTTTCGTATGGGTTTGGGTAGACTTTGAGTTGGCCCAGATTGGAATTTATACTACTATGACTACTACTGCTAGAGGTCGGAAGCGGCATTTTGACAAATACGTCATAGATTTGTTGAGCATCTTCGGGGGTGACATTACTGACAATGATATTATCAGGTAAAATGATGAGATCCATCCCGTTTGGTACGGTTGAACGATGTGCGATGAGAGAGGTATTTGTGATAAAGGTACGCCATGACATGGGTTTTTCTTTTAACAGAGCGTGTAAATTGGCAGCGAGCGTACCCTCATCCTCTTCGATACGTTCAGGCCAATCACATTGAGCTGTACTGATCATAAAATGTCTACCATAAGGTGACATGGAGCCCAGTAGAGGTGAGTCATGATCGAATTCTAAGTAAGAGGGATATTGTTGGTGTTCGTCACATTCCTCTACACAACTGGCACAATCCTTCACCATGAGATCTTGAGGAGGAATCTGGTCTATTTCTACTTGCACCTCTTCTTCTTCTTTAGGTGAAGTAGGCGCACTGCCTGTAATAAGTGTACCAAGTGTCTTGAAAAAGCCTGACATGGTAAAGAAGTAGTAAGTGTACGTGTGTTTTTTGAAAAAAAAAAATTAAAGAGAAAAAAGAGAGAAGTCGGGTTTATATTTTTATCAGATCCTAAAGTAAAAAAAAAAAAAAGGTGTTAGATACACCCCTGTCCTCCCCCACATTGTACTGCATTGGAAATTTCATAACTCCTCCAAATATATTTTTTTAATATCGTACAGCATTCTATTCCATCTGATAAGAGAACATGGTCTCTTTTCTTTTTCTGTGTATTCTCATGTGTGCAACCTCAAAAAAAAAAACTGTCCAGTCAAAAGCGGTCTTTCAATCACTTTTTTTTTCTTCTTCCACGTACACACGCACACACACAAAAAAATGAAGAAAGAGAATACACAAATGGCAGCAACTTACCTTGCTGAATACTCTGACAGTAAACTATTGAATTAAAATATTTGTTGTATAAACAGAATAATCATAGTGTTGCTTTTTGTAGCGGTAGAAGCGTTACCTCTGGAATTACAACGTAATTACACTTTGATTCGACAATTAGATGAAACAGCCGAAGAGATCATGCAACAAGTGGCAGTGGAAACAGCCTATTTATCCAACGCCACAGACATGGATATCGAAACCAGACGTCAAAAGCTAGAGCGCATCGGACAACTCTTAAACGAATCCTTAAAAAAGGGAGAAGAGAAATTCGCGCTTGCAAAATCCACTTATGACACGGTAGATAGACATTGTACACGTCTTGACAATGACCTGCAAAAGATTGAGGATGAACAGCTCATCGGTCCAGGTCGTGTCAATCAACAACAACAACAGCAGCAACAACAACATCAACAGCAAAAGCCTAGTAAAATTATCAATCATACCTTAAAAGAATCAGAACCCACCATGGATACAAGTAGAAGAAAAAGGGTGAAGAAGGATCATCAGCAACAGGAGGATACAGAATATTCTACACAAGATGCTACTCAATATGCCAAAACGTAATGTTGCATTTCCTATTTTTATAAAGTAAGAAAAAAGAATAATCTAATATTAATCTATGTATATCAGTGCGGTGCCGAGTAGTGATTTACCCATTGATCCCAATGAGCCTGTGTATTGTTACTGTCAACAAGTATCCTTTGGTGAAATGATTGCCTGCGAAAACGAACAGGTAAAACCATCCATTGTTAGTCTATTCTTTTTTTTTATTAACACTGTCAAAAAAAAAACACAGTGTGATGTGGAATGGTTTCATTTAGAATGCGCTGGATTAAAGACACCACCCAAAGGAGCATGGTATTGTAACACATGTGCCAACGAATTAAAAAAGAAGAAGAAGTAAAATGTTTTTTATTCTTTTTTTATCATTCATTTCACCTCTACCACGGCTGCTGTTGTTGTTGAGGGAGAAGAAGCACCTGAAGAAGATGTCTCCTCTTCTTCTTCTAACCTTGCCTTCTTTTTCTTTTTTGTTTCTTCCTCTCTTTCTGCCAAACGTTTCTTGTAGCTTTTTTTATATATATATGTACACAGCGTTAACAATAAAATAAAAAGAAGAAGGGTTAATTACATAATGTGGACTTACATGGCAGAATTGGGATCCATGGCAGGATTCATACAATGCTTTAATTTAAGATCGATCTCTTTAGCTTCCAACTGTGTGACTTTATTCACAATCTTGAAGGCTCCGATGATACTTTGAATGATGTTTAATAAATGGGAAGCATCTGCCTCTCCAAACCTATCCTGAATGTATCGTTTCACCTGGGCATCAAATCCATTGACCTCACCTGCAATCATGTAGGCGGCCAAAGCCAATTGTGTCGGTTGATAGATCAAGGGTAAATCCGTCAATAGGATCTCGGCTATCGTCGTATTGACTTTCTTGTATGTTTCCTTTAACAGTTTGATATCCGTAGGCCCTGTTTGCATGTCCAGAAAGAAACCGTAAGCAGGTCGATACGGGTGATGAATGTAGTACTGGAATTTCAGTCCCTGTGAGACCGTGAATTCGAGATCTAGTACGCCCTTGGTGGAAGGCAAGCGTAGGTTTTTACCAAAGTCGTCAATCGAGATGCGCTCACTCTCTGATTTTGTCGCCAAAAACAAGCACGTCAAGCTTTTTTTTTTTTTTTTTTTTTTTTTTTTGAAGAACCAGGTTAATTGGGAATAGTCAGTATGGGGTTTTTAATGAACACTCACAAAATGTCCTTGGGATGGTAATCCATGACAGTGTTGTGTAAAAAGAACCGCTTCATGTAAATAACTGCTGTGGCCATGACCATATCTGTGAATTTACAATGACGACTCATGACTTGCAGTTGCATTTCAAAGAAACGACAGAGCGAGAGTTCTTCTTGTGCAGTGAGATACACTCGATCACCCTTCTGCTTGGAGCTATCCTCTGCCTAAGCGTTGTGCGTTTTAGTTATGAAGAAAAGAAAAATTCTTTTCATTACTTACTAATTCTTCCTGCACGTTTCTTTGTACGCGATGAACGGCTTCTGCAGTACTGGCATGACGTATATCCCAGAGTTGTTTGGGCGAAAACCTCCAATGTTGGTATTGAGAGGATTCTTCATAAATATGTGGTTTCTTTTCTTGATCTGTCATTGTCAAGGAAGAAGGAAGAAAATAATAATAAAAAAAAAAATTAATTTAGTAAAGAAAAAAGGAGGTCCCCCACAAGCGCTATGATGGTCAAAAGAGAGATAAAAAAAAAAAAAAAAAAAAAAGAAGTAGGTTCTCTTTTTGTTAATAAGTCTTCACTTTAACCTCCACCACAACTCGGTGTCATAGAAACGATGTTTAAACTCCTTTTGCAGGCGTTGTCCAAAGTTACAACGTTATGGAGGAGATAACTTGAGTCTACGGAGTTTCACCACTTTGAAGAGAGACTCGTTATTTTAATTTTGATTTTTTTTTTTTAAAATACCTCCCCGACTAAAGTCAGACACTTTGAGTCCGGTTGCTTTTAAATATCAAATACGTGAAGCTTTCGGAATTATGTCTTTGATACATTTTTTTTTTTAAATATTAAAAAGAAAACGAAAATTATTTATTATAAAAAAGAGAGAGAGAGAGATTGTGTCATAAACATAAAAGTAAGGAAAGGCCATAAATCATAGAATCATAAAAAAAGAAAGTAATAATAATAATCATTTAAAAAAAAAAAAAAGAAGAAAGGGCATAAATTAAGTCCAGTGAGCAGATTCATCAGGGTCTTGATTAGATCGAATCATGGGCAAGACATAATTAGCAGCAGTACCTGTACCTTGAGTAAAGCTACGATGCATACGTTGTTCATATTCTTGTTGTTGACGCTGTAACATGTGTTGCTGTTCAACATGGCTAGGTTCTTCCTTGACAGTATTAGGAAAGAACCCAAACACACGTCGATCCTCTGCCGCCGCCGCCGCTGCTGCTGCTGCTGCTGTATTGGAAGATTCGGCTTCATTATTACGCATCATGGTAGGTTCAAATGCAAAGGGTAGTTCGGGTGGACTGGTGAATGCACTGGTTGGAATCGTATAAGGTGAAAAGGGGTAGTTTCCATTGGATGTACTTGTATAATCCTCATTCTGAGGTTGTGGTGTTTGATAGGTTTGAGACATGATGAATTCACTAGGTGAGTTCATGGGAGAACTAACAGGTCTTCCCATGCCATGCTGTTGTTGCTGTTGTTGCTGTTGTTGTCTTAATAAAGGCATGGAAGAAGAGCTTGATGAAGAACTTGTAGGAGAAGCCAGAGAAAAGAAGGAAGAAGAAGAAGCAAAGGGTTGATTTTCAAATTCATTGTTATTAAATACACGTCTGGAAGAAGAATGGTTGGATGATTCAGATAGAGATCTGTTTAATGAAGATCTAACTTGAATAGTGTAACTAGGTACATAAACCATTTGAATGCCCTTTTGTGTATCTGTTGTGTTACCACTGGTGCTTGGAGATTTCTGTATGACCAAAGTGTCATTATTGCCTTTAGCAAATGATCTTCTCTTTTTGGCGGGAGAGCCCATAAATTCATCTTCGATGGACAATCGATGCGTGTTTGAAATCAGCCTGTCTGTGTCTATTTGAATCATGTCTGCTTGTAGGTCTACCAGCGTATTGATATTCTCGGGCGTGAGTCTTGCTAACTGACAAAAGTTTTCAAACATGCGTTGCAAATCACTTTCGACACAGTGAGCCCATTCTTCATTGGAGGCAATAACAGAACACAAGCGAGCAGAGAGCATCAAGAGCCTTTGAGAACGTTCAACTACACCTCGTTGTCGAATACGTTTACGCTCTTCAGTTAATCTGTTGTAAAATCTTCTTTCGTTCCAGCTAATTTCAGGAAATTGTTGCTTGACGGCTTCTCTGATTTCATGTGTCTGGAGACGCTGTCTGGCCAATTGAATAATCATCTCATTGACTTCAATAGGCCAAGCTTTGACCATTTCTTCAGGTGACATCATTTCATGATTATGTTCAGAGGCATTAGGATTCATGGACTTTCGAAACTCCCATTCCTCATGTTCGTTTTCGGAAAGCACAACACGCCAACGACAGTCACAGCGTTTAGAAGGTCGCTTTCTTTGAGGAGAAGGTTTAGGGTTACGTTGCGAATCAGGCAAGCCTTCTCTTGAACAATAGACATAGATATTCTAAACAAGAAGAAAAAAAAAATGTTATTTTTTACTGCTATTTTCATGCAAAAAAAAAAGAGGGCTTACACGATTGGCACTGGCTTCTTGCTTGACGGTGAATCCAAACTCAGCACAGACACTGCGACAATATTCAATGGCTGACACACTATCACCAAATGGCTTCTTTAATAATCTTTCATATAACGGTTCCATCTAATAAGAAATATAAGTAATACAGTAAAAAACAGGGAGACAATTGAATGGCACTCACGGGTACTCGAATAAAAGTTGTCCGTTTGGTGTCATGGAGATCTTGTTTAGTCATTTCGCAGTAAAAAAAAGGCTTTCTTTTTTTTTTTCTTTTTTTTTTTGAGAAAGAAGTATAATAATAAAAAAATAAAAAAAAATTGGTTTTTGCTTGGTTTGCTTAGATTAAGAAAATATATAGAGGTACAAGAGTAATAATTTTCCCTTTTTTGTAATATATAACAATAAGAGTTTTTTTTTTCTTTCAAAGGGAAAAAAAAAAAAGAATAAAAAAAAGAAAAGAGGAAAGGAAAGAATAAGAGAGAGGGGAAAAAAAAAAAGAAAAAAAAAATGAAATGATGGTCTATCTATTTTTTTTTTTTTTTTTTTTGATGTTTATTGTCGTAATGTGGTTTGTGCGGCCTGCTTATGTTTATTGTTGTTGTTAATAATAAAGGGACTGTTTAGAGAATTAAAATATATATGTATATATAAAGGGGATCAAGGAGAGATATATAAAAAAAAAAAAAAAAATATAATAAAGAAAAAAAAAACAACAAAAACAGATGCCTAATTTGTAATACACAACTTTTTTTTGTTTATATTATAAACTTATCACGTAGATTACTTTTTTTTTTTTTTTAACGCACTGATATATCACATTTTTAGTACAATGACTGGAACAGCCAAAAAAAAAAAAAGAAGGGGCAAAGTGTAAATGCAGGGCTAAAAGAAAAAATGTCCATATTATAGGGAAAAGAGACAAAGGAGACGACGATTGGGATAGAAAGAGAGAGAGAGAGAGAGAGGGGGGGAAAAAAAGAGTAGTATAAAAAGAGTAGGAGAGATGAAAAGGGGGGGAAAAGAAGGTAAAAAATGGCGATATACAGTGGGGTAAGGAGTAATTTTTACTCTGTATAATGGATAACTTAGGTTGGTGCGCGCGGGCATGTTTCTTTTTCTTTTTAAAGGATTGCTTATATCAGCCTATTACTGCCTTGTTTATATTTAATTAGGATTAAATACCTTTTTAGTATAAAATATAAATTACTTGTCTAGTTTTAAATATAGTCTTGTCAGATCTACAGCCTCCTTATTATATACACATACTAAATAATACTGTCAAGAGACCCAAAACTGTTTCTATGGACATTCCCATTATGTGAATCAACTGATGATAATATAGACATATATACTCTTTTCTAAAAAAAAGGGGCGCTGTCATGTTGCTATGTACAGCATTCTCTCTCCACACACACACACAGTCACACAATAAAATAGAGAGAGAGAGAGAGAGAGACTTGGTTGAAAACGGGGAGTACACACCCAATAAATATATATAAGGGGAATTACTCCCTACCATGTAATATTAATGCAAAAAAAGTTTAATATCAAATGATACTTTTTCCCACCTTCTAATTATCTTTTATGGCGGGTGAAAAACCTCCTTTATTTACTTTACAAAAACGTGTGTGGTGTGTGCGTTCTTATCTTTCATTTCTCTCTTGTTTAATAGGAGGAGAAAACCCTTCAGGAGTTTTTTATCATTTAGGTGATTCGGCTTGACGTAAACTCATATTCGAATTAATTGCCCCATTCGTAGCCCCAAACACAGCCGTCGACGTCAGGGAGTTGTTGATGTATTTCTGAAGTAATTGGTTTTCAGTCGTGAGTGATTGATGCTCTTTTCTAGCGTTATCTACACGTGATATCATGTCTATTTCTGTCATTTCCTCTTCTTCTTCTTCTCTCTTTTATTCTTCTTGCCTACCTCGTAACTGCGATTGCAACTCTAGCACATGTCTTTTACCTCATTTAGTATTCTCTCTTTCTTGACTGCCCAATTATACTCTTACTTGACCAGCTCCTCTCTCCCCTCATCATCCACAACATCAACAAGTGTATTGTAGTCTGCCATTTCTTTTTTTTTTTTTACAGTGAACAAGCGGGATAAATAAATAAAAAATAAAAAAAGAAAAACATGAAAAAAAACATTAAAGACCAGCAATGCGGTGTTTTAATTATTGGTGTGTGACGCAGAATTTGAATAATTGACAAAATCATCAATTCGTTTAGCTCGATCTGCATATTCACTCTCGCCTACGATATAGCGAATAAGATTAGTGAGATACTCCAGTTCATCAATCATTTCTTCTGATGAACAAGCCATAGCAAACCATGTCAAGTTCCGAAATTTAACCCAGTTGGTCTTCTTGACATCTGATCGGCGATGGTCCATAAGTTTACAGCGTGCAGCACGTGCAGAAGGCATGTACACAGGTAAAGGTGTCTTGGATCGAAGTGAAGCTGCAAGTGTATGAAACGTGAGCAACATCGATGCAATCTAATAAGGAACAGTCAGGATAGTAGAAAAAAAAAAAAAAAGTCTTATAGTTTACCATGTCACGGCGGTCAACGTGATACTCCTTCTCACAAATGTCATGCTTGACAATCACCGGCATCTTTAATAATGCAACACGAATACTAAGCATACGATCCAACAAATTACGCATAGAAACAATCATTTCCTTGTAAAATAACTTTGCAAAGGGTCCTCGAAAACGGGGTTCATGATCCGTCAATTCTAACAACACAGAACATGCATCAATCGCTGACTGGATCTTACTCTCCATCTTTTCGCCTCGTGTGATTTCGGCATCTGTTGGAATACTGCCTGGATCATGGTATAGGAACGTGCCCATGACATACGTGTAATAGTCTTCAAGCTGACCCAAACATCCTGCAATCGATTTACGTACCATGTGACGCGCAACAAACGGCCAGATCATCCTATCCCATATTGGGTATTTTAGTTTTTTTTTTTTTTTGCTTGTAATAAATAATTTCACTACTTTACGAATTGAGGAGTAATGCAACGCAGATACCCACAATAAGAGTCAAGGAGCGTTTCCTAAATAAAATAGTCTTTTAGCACCCACGTAAAAAGTAAGGAGAGCATCTCCCTAAAAAATTAAGAGCCTTTTTTTTTTTTTTTTTTACCATACTGTGGATGCAATGGTTTCACCAGGAATTGGGTATGCATATCTGCTCAGCGCAACTACCATATATGTCGTTAAACACACAATACCAACCTTATTATATGTACTGGCTAAATGAATATAGAAAAAAGGAATGGCTAGAAAGCAAATAAATTAATACATATTAGGGTAAATGCCATCTCCTACTACTCCCAAAACTATGTCTTCTCTTTTGTATAGATCATACCAAGTAATACAGCAAATAACGCCAATAGATAAGGACTGCCGTCGCCCGCTTCTAGAGCCGCCCATCCCGTAAAAGCCCCCACTAGGGTTCCCACAATTCTCCAAAAGCTCGCTTCCAGTGTTCCACCACTCAAAAAAAAAAAGGATTCTTAATTTATGCATTTCATCACTTTTTCTATTATATATAAAATACCTTGTCGGGTTCATGATGGCAATCACCGTCATGGGGGCCCATTGTCCTCGAACCGAACTATACCAACCTATGGAATCGGGAACAAATGCAGGTATACAGAGGATCAACACTGCCGCCGCCATCTTGAGCGCAAATTTAAATTCATAACTGTAAATAAATTGAATCTTGAGCCAAATGCGGTATCGAATACGCAACATGATGGGCGTCTTTTCCGCATCCAAATGAAATTCTGGGTTGTCGTCCGTTTCTACATAGTTTTGTGGTACCTGAATACGGATTTCACGAGGCACTTTGCCTTTCTCGTCATTCTCATCGTCCTCGTCCGCGATATAGGACATGCGGTGTCGCATCATCGTTGGGCTACTCGTCTCGTTTTCATTCAATACTTTGGTCGCTGCGTTGGATTCACGTCGACTCTTGGTTCGCATCAGTGTATTATTACTCTGTAGTTTGGCTAATTGATCTTGTTCACCCATCTCGTTCTTTTTTGGTTCTTCCTTTGGTATATGGTTTGTAAGAGCGGCTAATGATTGGAAAAAAAAAAGTTAATGACGGGTCTATTTCTTATAAATATATATATACTTACAGAAACTATAACCACCCTTATCACGTACACTTTGATGGTTAGTGCCTTTAGCCCATTTTTGCCACATTTTAGGGCTCAAGACAGGCATGTAAAGATGCTTTCGTTTCTTTCCTTGAAAGCTTGCTTTTCGTGAATACAATCTGAGTTCATCCATATGCAACGTCATTTCCTGCAACTCGTTTGCCACTTCACGCATGGTAAAGATGAAAAAAAACACCAAAAAGAGTTCCTGACGCATTCCCAAATCCAGGGCCTCTCTACCCATTCTTGCTTTATTGATTTCATAGAGAGCATGCATACGTTCTCTTTCTGCCTTGTCAAATTGAATAATGGCTAACCGAATCCCCTGAGAGCAATTACACTTTTCATTGCCCTTATGTCTTTCCAGGGACCGTTTATCGCGTTCTGACATATCTTGCTTTTTACCAATGTTGAGGGTGTGTTGTAAAAAAGATTTCCAGGTTTGTCGAATACTTTCATCATCATCGTTATCCATATCCAATTCAGAAGCGATACTTTCACACACACATTCAAGAGCATTGGCACAGTCCAAGGAAAGTTCCATCAATGGGTCTCGTAAACTCTCAAGATAGGTCATGAGTAAATGGCGATGATGGTATTCGGTCTGCTTCTTGGTCTTTTTGGGCGGTTTTGGCTTGGGTATAGAAAGACGGGGTAAATTCAGAAAGGATTTAATGGAGTTGACAGATTTTTGATTTTGATCTGCATAATCTTCATCTTCGGAATTGTTGGCGGACGTGTTGCGTGAATTGACGCGCGAAGGGGTATGTGAGGCACGAGGACTTGGGTTGGCACTGGGTTGTCGACTACTGTACCTGCTACCACTGATATAGTCATTTGTAGCACGTAAAGCGGTTCTTAGCAAGTTCAAATCTTCTTCGCTATACGATGTGCGTGGATGCTCTTCCGTATCGCTATGGTAACCGTTGCCGGCCTGTGTCGTACTCGATGCGGCGGCGGCGGGTGCCTGAGATTCAGCATCTGTGTCACTATCAAAATCATGCATTTCAGCCTGTAAAGCCTCCAAAGCACTTTCAAATAATTCGCGTTCGGTTTTTAAACATCCACCCAAGATGGATAAATGTTTGGTTAAACGACCCAAGGATTTTCGGATATAACCTAATTGTTGAGGTCGGATAAACGCATAAGAAATTTCATACTTGGCTTCCTTATAAGCGGTTTTCACTTTGGTCATGCCCATACGCATTTTCGCCGCTGCTTCATTCACAACAGATTCAGCAACAGGGTCGGATTGAGGGTCCAGAAAGAATTGCTTGGTAATCATGTGCAGCATATCCCGACTACTTGTAATTGTTTCTTTTAATGCACGACCTAAATATTATTGATTGATGATTCAATATGAGGTTTCTTTGTGTAACACCAGGGGGTGGGTGCGGAGAAGGGGGGTGTGTATGTGTGTGGGGGTGTGGGTGTGGGTGTGTAGATCTCTTTTTCATTTTAAAATAAATAAATAAAAAAAAACATACCTAAGCCATCGACGGCCGTTTCGGGCCAACAAACCAAATTGACCACCAATGAAATACCATGACCAATTAATAAGGGTACGCCATAATTTAAAGGTAAAGAATAAGGTATATCGAGATAATTAATACCCTTTGTCATGGAAAAGATTTGAATGATCATGAATTGAAGTGAAAAGAAGTGAAATTTAGGAAAGACTTGACGTAATACTTGAGCAAGAAAGACGCCGACAAATAGAAAGATGGCATTAATGACTCTACCTGGATGATCGGTCAGGTAGGAGTCAAAGTGTGACGAGTTGTAAGCGACGGAAGCAGCTATACCTGCCAAAGCATAAAGGACAGCAGTAACGATACCGAGTACACCGGTGACGGTAGCATCAAATTGAGCACCCATACTACGACCTGGATGACTGAACAACATACCTGTGGTAGATAAAAAGGGAGCGGGACCCAATGCGTGAGAGAGAGGATAGATTAAACTAAATAAGGTGGTCAGAAAATAGGCAATGGTACACTTTAGAACTCTTCGGACAATACGACTCGGAAACTTGGCGTGAAGGTAATTTAAGACCTTTTCTTTACGAGAAGGTAGAGGTATGGGTTCTTCTAATTCGTCCATGGGAGGCTTGGGATCGAGATGATAAAAGCGTTGTTCTAGATCAATGGGGAATTGTACCTTGGATTTCACTTTGGGCATGTCGGTTTTGGTTGGCTTTTTTTCTTCTTCAGCTGCTGTGTCTTCTTCGTCATCGTCAGGATTAGATTCTGTCCCGATTTGGAACATGGTTTGAAGTCGTGTGGTGGGTAAAGGAGCTGCTGGTGAGGCATGATGTGTACTGAAATTGGAAGAAGAAGTATATGCCAGATCAAAAAACCTAGGTGATGAGAAGGAGAGGGAGAATTAATTTTGTTTATTTCAAATTAATTTTTTTTTTAAACACAATTGACAACTTACACACCTTGATCGATTTTCTGCTTCTGACATTTTTTTTTTTTTTTGATGAGAGAAAAAAGAAAATAAACAATTACTTTCTTTCTGCTGCAGAAATTATAAATATATACTCTTTTTTTATAACTCAGAATCAGCTCCGGTCTGTTTTTTATTGTTTTTACATGAAAAAACCCGGGTGACACTTATTTGACCACTTAAAAAAATATATACCCGACTAACCCTAAAAAAATATAAAAAAAAACTTTCAAACATTCTTTTCACCCTTGTCTCATCAAGTCTTGTTTTGAAGAATGAAGGTCATACAACAACAACAACAACAACAATAAAGAAAAAGAATGAATAGAATATTAATTTTTTTTTTTTTGCAAGACTAAGCCCTTGTGGAGCAGTTACACATTGACACGTTATCTGCAATGTCTTTTTTTCTCGGGGCAAAATGTCAGTTTGTGCTCATTGTCACACCCATCTCTCAAAGAGAGAGAGAGAGAGAGAGATAGGTGAACATGCAAAAAAATTTATTTCCCATCTTTAAAGGTGGTTTAGGCATAGTATTGCAATGTCATCTTCTTTTTGGCTTGAACTTCTTGAATGGCTTCCATGAAATCCTCATGAAGAATTTCTAAAGCGCCACGACGTAAAGCAAGCATACCACTCTCAACACAAATGGCTTTACACTGTGCACCATTGAATTCATCACAACATCTCGACAATTCATCGAAATTGACATCTTTACTGACATTCATCTTTCTGGAATGGATCTGAATGATACGTGCTCTGGCCTCTTCATTGGGTAAAGGAAATTCAATCTTACGATCCAAACGTCCTGAACGTAACAAGGCTGGATCCAAAATATCAATACGATTAGTAGCTGCAATCACTTTAATACGATCATCTGAAGAGAATCCATCCAATTGATTTAGTAATTCCAACATTGTACGTTGAACTTCACGATCACCCGATTTCTCAGAGTCAAAACGCTTAGTTCCAATGGCATCCAATTCATCAATAAAGATGATGGTAGGGGATTTCTCTTTAGCCAGTTCAAATGCATCTCGTACTAATTTAGCACCGTCACCGATAAACATCTGGACCAATTGAGGTCCTGCCAATTTGAGATAAGTCGAATTTGTCTGGGCTGCACATGCTCTTGCTAATAACGTCTTTCCTGTACCGGGTGGACCGTACATCAAGACTCCCTTGGGTGGTTTAATACCCAGGTTCTTGAATCGATCTGCATGTGTCATGGGCAAAACAACTGCTTCTACCAACTCTTCAATTTGCTTATCCAAACCACCAATATCATTATAATCTTCTGTGGGTTTCTCATCTACTTCCATCGCCTTGACTCGAGAATCATATTCTGCAGGGAGTTTATCGAGGATCAAGTAACTATCCTTATTAACACCAATTAAGTCTCCAGGTCGTAATTCTGATGGATCCACAAGACCAATTAACGGCAGGAAAATTGTCTATTTCATTTTTTTTTTATAGGTGTTATTCCCAAAATCATGCAACAACTTTTTTATATTACCTGTCTTGTCGAGGTTTTAATAACACAGCATTTTCCTTGGACTTGTCCATGTAAGTCTACATTACCACCTTCTCTCTCATCCTCTCCCTCTTCCGGGTCAACGTCTAATAGCTTTTTTTTTATGGCTTGTTAGAACTATGAACTAACGAAACCAGAAAGTAAGACTTACTTCCACGACATTGCCCACGAGATAAGGTAATTGTTTATTCATTTTAATCTTTTCCTTGTTGTCTTTAATGCGCTCTTTTATGGCAGCTTGTTCATGTGTAATACGAACAGTTTCTGACTTCATGACCTACATGCATTTAATTTAAGAGTGTGTTCCCTTTTCCCCATATACTCTTTTTACTTTGATGTCGTTTTCTAATAACCGCGTACGGTTTGCAATCTCTTCAGGTGCTAAACGAAGAATATCTTGTCCAATGTCTGTATCTGCTTCCCATAAGGATTTATCTTCTAAAGTGGTCATTTATGAAAAAAAAATTTTTTGTTTGCAATGATAAATGTGTTAAAAAGGGAAAGCATTACGCAAACCATGCTGCATTTAAATAATTATTCAAGTGTGAAACGTCATCGTCTTTTTTTTTCAAAATAGGATGAAGCATGATTTTTCTTTTGACACACTACATGTATCTGTCTATCTTCAGAGTGTGGGGTTTTCTGCTTGAGTAAGCATTAAAGGAAGGTCATATTTACAATTAAAAAAAAAAAAAGTGTTCCTTTATTTTAATCTGATACACACGCCAGAAAGATATAAAAGGGCCATTCTTCTTTTATCTCTTTCTCTCCCAATAATCTTAAAAGTCTACGTCCATTACAGCATGGTGAGAATCCATGTTATTCATGGAGTCGTCGTAACCTGATTGTGAAGCCTTGGCATCCTCAAAAGTACGGTGACGAATGACTTCCATATCAAATTTGTTCTTTAGCGCATTGACTTCTGAAATGAGTTCGGATGTGGCGTCTTTTAAGGCTTTTCCAGGTGAAGTGCCAGGTACGGTTTGGACTTTAATCACAAAATTGTGTTCGAGAGGATGAGGCACTTTGTAACCAGCAAATAAAACTCTAGGATCCTTTAATAATTGACTACACATCAAGAGAAAATCAATACACGCACACATTATGCTTTCTTTTTTTGTTCTCTTTACCCTCTCAAAATATTACCAAGCGTATGATCTTCACGTTCAATAGCAAAGGTAGCGGCATTGGGGATCTTGGTATCCACCTCCATCTCTACCCTTTATATTTTTTTTTTTTTTGTGAAATGAGTATACATGTAAAATAGCATGATCAGTGTGTTTCACTTGTGCATACTTCTTTCTTCCTTCAGGAATCACGAATAATTCAAAACGATCGGGAGCATTCATCTTTAATGTGTGTAGTGTTGGTTGGCGAGTGTGTATCTACAAAAGAGCAAAATATCCAAAATCCCAAAAAAAAGAATGCCTACTATTCACAATTATTGGTGACTGTTCTTCAACAAGGAAAATCACGCCCAACAACTAGACAGAATGCACTCATACAAAAAGACTGCCCATATCAAGAATAGATAATGACCTATCCTGAGATTTTACCTAAAAGCCATAGTAACGGGGGAAAAAAATAGACCCTGGAGTCATATCATTGTTTCTCACTCACTCGCCTAAAACCACGCTATATAAGTACGCATGGGCTCGAATTACACGCAACTTGTTATGACTGTATCTTTATACGTGTGTATACTTGAACAACTGTTATATTGCAGTATATTCTTAAAAACAAAAAAGACTCGGTGTCGCTCCTGTTAGCACCCGTCATTGTCGAGTTTACTAATAGTTTTTCTCAGCCAAATGCACCTGTAAATAAGGGAGCTTTTTGCTTTTAATTATAAAATGACGTATTGATAATTGCATTAGTGTTATAAACCCAAGTGTAAGGAGTTCAAGGTTATACAAAAGATGATGCAAACTAACTATAATAATTATGTAGCTTTCTCAGACCATGCTAAATATGAAAATCGAGTACTTGCACGTTGAATTACTCCAATGGCTATCTTTTTGAAACATGTGCAAACCGTATTTTGGCATCCATGAACGGACCAAGGAAATACTGATTATCATAATCATTCATGGATGGCGCTGAATATCCTTAGACTACAGAAGTCTGACTTTTAGTGATTTTATATATATATATATATTACTGTGTTGGGTCTACAGGGTTATTGTATTTACACCTCATGCTAGATAGATGATGATTCTTTAGCTTATGTAAACACACCGGAGATTTCGTAAACAAAATGACAAACCATGGAACATATTTGACCGTGGGTAGAGATCTTAAAATCCAAGTTTGGTAAAGGTAAACAAATCCCTTAAAGTACGCCATGTGATTGTTTACAGATTTTTTAATATAGATCCTGCTGCACATCTGAATAAATCAGGCTTTACCTTATACGGGTTAAAAAAAAAAAAAAAAAAAGACGTGTGGCGAAAAAAGGGATAATAATAATTTTTTTTTTTTATCTATTTCTTGTAAATAATAAAAGAAACAGTATATATCATGAAATAATAGATATATAATAACATATGTGTGTGGTAAGTTGTGTGTGTATGTGGATTGTTGTCCTTTTTTGTTGTTTTTGTTTGTTAAATGATAAAAGTAAAATTACAGAAAGAGGTAATACAGAGACAACCTTGAATAAATAAACAAAAAAAGAAAAAAGAGAGAGAGAGATATACACATTGGAAGAGTTCATTATTGCTTGGAGGAGGATGCTAATGGGTAGGTTGTTACCTCCACATTGCGTAACACTTTTTCTACCAAGAAAGCAACTCGTTGTCCATACTTGGAGCCGCGGAGAGAGACCATATGACGTTTAATTAAGCGACAAATCGAGATCCTTTGTTCCTCTGTTGCATTATTAATCAGCCATTGAACGACATAGTTACCGTATTGATCAGAAGCAATATCAATAAGAGGCATACGATGACGATGTGTGTGGTTGACTGTAGAGACACGCTTGATGAATTTAGAAAGAAACTCCTCGCCGCCAATACGTAACGCCTTTTCAACTACTTTGGATGCAAATTGATCCGTGCTTAATTGCACACCTTCTTCAATCACAATCTTAAATGCTGCTTCTCGGTCACTGCTTTTTTCTGCTTGTTCCAGAATATGTTGAATAACCCAGTTGCCCCATTGGCCTTTGGATATGGCGACTGTGTTCTTGAGCACTTCATTCAAAATGGGTCTCTAAACGGAGTAAATATATTATATATTAAATATATATGTGTCTATTATAAACAGATGTGGATGAATTGCTTACCTTATCTTTTTCCGTGAGGTTTTCAAAGATATTTTGAATGACTAAACTTCCAGTTTCATCCAGAGCAACTTGATCCCAGTGACCTTTGAGAGAGGCATGAACGTGTTTCATCATGGGAGGAGGAGTGATGGTCCATCTAATTTCAAACACTTTTTGCCATACGTGACAAGCATATTTATGAGTGATGGTTTCAGGAATACGAACAAACAATTCAGATACGAGACATGATTTGACAGGTTCACTGACATGATCCAAAGCCTTTTGTACAACATGACAACCAAAGGGTTGGCAAGTCAATTCCAAGATACGACCTTTCATTGAATTGCCCAAGGCCTCGACTTGTTCTTCAGTACCCAATTCCAAAAGTTTTTGAACTAGGAAATTTCCGAATCGATTCGTCATTAAATCTTGCACTTGAGTTAAAATGGAGTCGAAAATTACTTGTTTTTGGTCTAATGTGGCGCATTTAAACTTGCTTTGTAAAAACAAAGATGCTTTTTGATCAGTGTCTGTGATGATACGATCCACTAATGACTGCGCGAGATAATAATTATAGTAATTAGTGTCACATGTGTGAGACTAGTATAAACAAAATCCAACTTACATCCCAGTTGACATTCACATTCTTATCAGTAATAATTGCTGCTGTAGGTGTCATAATTGCAAGAGATTTCTATAAAAGTTTGGGATGATTAATCTCATATACATTCTTCATATATGTGTGCTTTTTACCTCTTCACTCCATCGTCTACCCGTGTTGTAATACACTTCAGGTTCAGCAGAAGTATTACGTACAGTTTCTACTGATTTACTCGTTTCAGGATATTTAGATCTAGTATTTGTTTATAAATGAGATGAGGGCTTTTATCACATTTACATTTCCGGATATTTACTTATTATTACTGAATTTGATCTCGGAAGATTCCATTGTTACCGCCTTGTCTCCTGAAATAGCCGGAAGTTCCAGACCTTTTGATAGGACCAAAGATTGATACATGGCTATTTCAGCCTTCATACTATTCACTTTCTTCGTTTGCGTATCACAGTACTGTACAGCCAACGATAGCTTTTGTTCCTTCTCTTGAAACTCCAAATCTTTATTGGCTAGTGTATTTTGGATGTTCATAAACATGGCTTTTTTCTGTACCATAAAAACATGTTTAGTAATGACGATAGGATGAGTATAGGTAGTACTTTACCTTTTCGGATTCGATATGTAACACATTCAATTGCATAACCAGTCTTTGAATTTGATCGATGGACTCTCTCAATTGATGACGTAAATCGTCATTTGACAGTCTGTCAATATAATGAAGGCTGTTGTCATCTGACTGTAGTTGTTGATCATAAAAAACGCCAGAGAAAGTGTCAGGATAAGTTAGGGTTGAAGTAGTCAATTCAGTCTAATATAAAAAACCAAAAGGATCAGCAAGAATATAAGGTTAATTATATGTATATATATATATCAAATGAGGGGAGGACACTTACCTTTCTTTGATATGATTGATGGTTGTACAGAAAAGGAGGTGCTGTGTTCTCCACTTTAAAGAAATCGTCTCCAATAAAATGATCGTTATTGGGTGAAGGTGTTCTTGTGCCTGATGATTCCAAGTCGACCATAGCATGAAAGAAAGATTCGGATGATGGTGGTGGAGCTGTTGTTGGTTGTGGTGCATTTAATGGGTAATTTAGACCACGGAAGTCTTCCTTTTGACTGGAGTAAAAGGCATCGTACTTGCTATGCTGATGATTAAAATCGTTATATTTGATAGAACCAAATAAGGAAGGCGTATGAAAGGGTGAATCAAACGCATCAAATGACAATTGATACTTTTTGTTGCCTTTCGTACCATCATTCGATTGCCTTGTAGGGTTATTAGGTGCTGCTAGCATCTGTGAAAAAAAAAAGGGAAAGCGAAAAGAAAAGAAAAAAAGCAGGTGAAAGAGAGAAAGATAAAGAAAAAAAGGAAAGAGCCCTTTTCATATACTAACAGAAATAATAAAAAAAAAAAAATCCCCGTTTAATGCTACTCATTCAAGGTTCTATAAAAGTTATAGTCTGATGTGTAATCTACACATACACACAGTCCCCTTGTTTTAGATATATTTGCCACAAGGATTACACACGTCCCCTTAACCTTATAAAATCAGTGATCCCTTGTTTTTTTGTTGCTGTTGTGCTTATTGCCTGTCTTAGTGTCTTGTTGCTAGTATGTGAAAACGCCAAGAATGTTTACAAATTCAAAGATTGTTCTAGCAGCAATGAGATTCTTTTTTGTTTACTGCTCTTTGTTTTTGTAAAAAATAAAAAAAAACACGCACATTACCTTCTGCGTAACCATTGGGTGCTTTTTCAAAAAAAAAAAAAAGTTAGGAGCAGCTATTAAAAGGGAAATCTCGTTTATGTGGGGTCAAATCATGTGGGGTCAAATCGAACCATGAATGGCTTCACTGTCAATTGATGGTTTAAAGTTGCCATAAGCCACCGATTTTACAATCACACAAAAGGTTAAATCATGTCAAAAAAACACACGCACACCCCTCCTTTTTGTATTACATGTAAAAAAAAAATATACAGTCAAATTTTATCAACGTGGAAAGGGTGGAAAATATGTCAGATGGGGGGAAAAAGGTGTGTAAAATAGAAATCGGCATTATTATGTAACTTTTTTTTTTTTGTATAAGTTGCTGTTTAGTTGGCAACCAATAATTGCAAACGTTCGGCAACAGAGAGTTGAGTACGAGTCATGTTGGCGAGGTAAACAACCATCAAAAGATCTTGTAAGTGAGAGTTGAACATCTTTTCGAATGCTGTGCTATCGATCTTGGGAACAACAGAAACAGTATCCATAATGTATCTACCAATGGCGTTGTTAGGTTCGACACCACCCTCCTATCAACAAAAAAGTTAGTCTCCATTGTTTCTATTTCTCTTTTCTTTCAATCTCTCTCTCTCTCTCTCTCTCTGCATTTCTAAAAAAAAACTTACAACAACACTATCGACATATTTGCTGATTCTTTCAAGCATCTCTTGGAGCTTGGCAATAGCAATCTCAAGGTGATCCATATCTGAAATTAAAGAAGCAGTACGGTTCTCGTTGGTCTTGGCAGATGAAAGCATATCCACTATTTCAAACAAAAAATTAATCACTATTCGCTCAATGTAATCCATATCATAGTTACTTACAGCCACTTCTCTCAGCGTCGAGATATTTAACTTCACAAGGAACAGACAAGAACAAACAATCTCCAGGCTTAGTAGAGAAACCAACGGGGGCACTACAATGAAAACAAAATGTCAACGTCTTTGTTTCGTACAGCTTCTTTTTTTTTTATGTATATATAGATTACCTAGCATATGCACGGAGACCCATGTCAGCAGTCTTGAAAAGAGCATCAGTATCGATTGTGACATGAATGGGTTGGAAAGGAGCAACATCTTCAGCAAAGAAGGCATGTACAGGAGTACAGGCAGCTGTAAGGTTGGGACCAGCAGTGTACCAACCAAGGATGATTTCCTCGGGGTTGACTCTTTGATGTAACTCATACATGCTACGATAATGCTCTCTATCAACAGTAATCTCGTCCTTTTCGCTAGTGTGGATCAAAGCAAAAGCATTTCTGATCTCAACTTCAGTACCATCAGAGCTACGAACACCCAAGAGAGCACCAATGACCTTGGTTTGAGGATCATCGCGGCGTAAATAGTGGTCTAAAACAGAGAATAATACAACAGGGCTAGTGCTGGTGGTGAAAGCACGTTGATAAGGTGCACTGGACAAGTTGACAGTCAAAGTATCTAACTTATTGGCCATGATATATATTTAATTTGGGTTCAAAAACAACTAGAAAAGAAAGAAAAAAAAATTGTTAAAAAAACTTTTGTATGAAGTGAAATGTGACTGCGGTTATGGACACTGTTCATCTCTTGTTTTTCATACAAACATGCTAACAACTTGATATAGAAACAAGTTTATGTTTGAGCCGTACCTGTGATTCATCAGTTACTCAAGTAATGTATACTTAGAAGCTAATGTTAGTATACCTGCCCTTTGCTACAGCGTATAAAGCCAACTACTATTTGTCACCTTCACTGGCCGATAAGTACTACCTCGAGGTGTCAATATTATGCAAATGCTCTGAGAAAGGTACAAATGTTTAAGGCCTGGATATCAAAATCTGTTAAACTTTTAAGGCTATCGGATAGCGATGGAATTTTGAGCCAATTCTTATTGGTGAGTACACCCCCAAATGATTTTTCCAGAAGCCCTAAAGCCACACATCCAATTATGGATTGACTTATCACCAAAATCTACATTCCCTGCAAAAAAAAAAGGGCGATATAAACTTTACATTTGACATTTAATGTAGTTGATATTTTGATCACGCCTCTGATTGACGCTTACATAATCTGTAACTTTAAATCATCATTACAGGATAATCTTCATTTTCTCACAGTATCTTATTTAACATACATCTTTCAATTAAATCTTGAGGTAGCAAGAGAATACGATATGGACACTTTTCGCTTGAACATTTTTTAAGTGTGTATTCTGTAGATACTGCTATTAGAAGAGCGCTTTACGATGAATAACCTTACTATAAAAAAAAAACTCTATTGTCACGGCGCATATTTTGCAGTAGTATCAGCATGTATCATCTCTTGGTCCTGGGATGCTGCTCTGATTTTTAACTTAAATTACGACAACGAGTACATCCAGCTTTTAAATGTTCCTGAAAATCAAGCCATTCAAGTTTTACGTACTGTTTTATAGCTTTTTAGCGGATTATCATCAATTTAATGAACTCAACTAAACACAGTAGCCCGAGTGGTGAAATGTCGCTGAAAAATAAATGAACTTGTGTGCCCGGGGCGTCAACCCGCGACTTACACGGGCATTTAAAACGCATCGGGATCTGGAGTCAGAAGTCGTTTCCTTTTTCACATATAAAAAAAATGGCTGATGAAACGGTAGAACATCGATTCATACAGATCCATCACGCTTGCGAGAAATCCTCGGAACCAAAGGCTGAATTATGGTCTACATTAGCTCTCGATTCAACAAGCGTGATCGCCACCTCTCACATTTGCGAAAAATTATACAATCGGGTAACTCTTAACGAGTCCGATATGTTATCCACCGTACAAAGCTTTCAAACCTTGGTGATCACATGCAACGATTTGTCCAAGAATGTTATTTTTTTAAATACTTTAACGCGATTATTAATGTTCAACCTTACGTCTCGCAAAAATGTTCAGTTTGAACATGTCAAACATGTAGCATTCAAAAATGAAACAACCAAATCTGTCATTCAGGTCCATCCCTTTGCTGTCATTATGCGACAAAAACCATCATTATACTACCATCTACTCGATGAAATCGATTATCTGCTTACCAATTATGGTTCCGGTCAAGCCCTACAGGTTTTATCGGGCTTTATTACTGCTGTATTCTTTTTGGACAATAGCGTCGAAGCCGCCGCCCTTGTCAACCGTTTCACTAGCCATATATCTGCCTCTAATGCTTCAACATTTGTACCCCAACTCTATGAACTCGCGACCGAGATCTTACGCAACTATCCGTTACATAAAGACGATGTACACTATTTTTGTTTGGTTGATTGGCTTGTCTTGCTAAATACATATGCTTTGATCTGGAACGTGTCAAAGGACGATATCAGCATTGCAAGATTTTTGTATACTTTAGTGGATCGATTATTGACTTCAGCAACAGATGGATTGCCCATTGTATCGCATTTAATTCGTCTTGAGCGTATTATCAACAACAAAGAAATCGAATTCAACTTCGACGTCATGTGGATCAGTTTGTCGTATGCTTTATTGAAAGTTCAGACCATTGACGAGCAAAAGGCAATTGTGCGTGTCATGATAAATATGCATCATTTGGATGCTGCGAGTAATATCATTCTACGAGTTGCTTATATACCATATTATCAATTAATGTCAGAATTAAATGATAAGGGGGCCTCAAAGGATATGGTAGAATTCAAAAAGCAAGTACTCAACATGATTACATTTCTCGATAATAGTGTAGTACCATTTGAGAATGCGGAGGAGCGTTTTATAAAGGTAATCCCCAAAAAAATGTCAAACCTGTGTTTTTAAATTTTTAAACGATTCATACAGTTGGTCGATGACAACGACATTTATTTTCCTACTTATGGTATGCTAAGTCGTTTACTTTGTCATTTGGAGTATTTGTATAAAGAAGAACAAGCACCCATTTTAGACTCGGGATACAACACAGCGACTGATTCAGTGCTGACACTGAACTTGATCTTCAGTGTGCCCTTTGTATTCTTTGCAGATAATGAATGTTTGATATATTCACGTATTGCCGAAATTTCTAGCATCATCGGAACATGTTACAAGTTTCCAATTTTGCTCTTTTTTCTTCGTCGTTTACATGCATCTTCTGGTAATGCTGTTGTAGTTACTCATATTTTAAAGGATGTGATACCAACTCTGGTCGACGTGAATGATCCCATCATTACAAGTAAGGTATTGCAAGTCATTCTGACATCCATCAACAATAGTGGAAGCAACGATTCCGCAATGGCAAGTCTTGGTGTCAAGGCATTGGCTCATACGCATAATTTACAACCTCGAGTATGGCAAGAGCTTAAAAAAGTGTTTGCTGAATGGGTATTACGTCGCAAATCGGGTACAGTTCGACGTCGTATTGACCTAACCAAGACGGGTCCTATCAAGATGGAATTGACAATTTTGACAACGATGCGTGATGTTTGTAAAAGTCGACCTAGGGAATGTGCTCCTGATATTTTACCAATGGTTATTTCTTTGTTGCAAACATGCCAGGACCTCAGCATGGCCTCACTTTCGATCATGGTAGATATTATCAATACTTGTGTTCAGACAGGATTGGTAGAAGCGCGGTCCATTTGGAATATTGCTGTAGTTTATCTTGCTCAATTTTCGCTTGATCAAGGTGTAGAAAAATCATCCCTTTTGGTGAAACAACTCTGTCGCTTCTTTTCTATCGCTGGTGCAAAAGATGACGGTAAGTTATAACTTTAAAATTTTGATACCAGTAGGTTCAATTAATTGACTTCTTTTTTTTTAAAAAAAAAAACAAAAATCAGTGACAGAAGCTTATTTACAATTTAAGGAATCGTTGTTAAAGGATTATATCTTGCCTTTGATACAATCCAACAATGAAGATGCTGTAAGCTATGCAGTCTATGCATTATCCGACTTCCCAGCCCAAGATATTTCTGTTATTTTGCCTGAAAAGGCAATGGAGTATGTTTTACAGTGCACTCCTGATGACGGTAAACCCAACAAGAATCAGCATGAAGTACTTATCACACTCATGTCAAATGAATTGGATCATATGCGTCGTGGGTTGTTTAAGGAGGAGGCGAAACAGCAGCAAAAAATTGCAGCATTAGCAGAGGAAAAAGAAAAGGCAGAAGTTACCAACGAAGCTGGAGAGATAGTAGGTGAACGTGAAATTGCCATGGAAACATCATTTATCAACAGCTGGGAAGAAGCCCGTGTTGCTCCTGGTCTCAGATCAGGATATGCAACAGCGATCCTTCATATTCTTGAAAGCGAAAGTAAACCCGAGGCACCAACGATGGAAGCTATCAGCAAAACGAAATGGTATCGATGCATGGTGACTTCATTTACAGATGTCAGTTTGACGGATCATTTGCTTATTCGTGTTTCCAGCATCAAATCTTGGGAAGCATTTTTCAAGCATTCTTTATCTGGTACTGGCAATGATATGGAAATCATTGTTTCATTAGTGCTGAAGGATCTGTTATCAAGACTTGAAAGAAGTACAGTACCTGGTGTCACTTGCAATATCTTCTTAGCAATTACAGGTATACATCTTTTTAAATCATAGATGCAACAATTATTTACTTAATCAACCTAGGTCTTGTAAACACGGTTCGATTATATATCCCATCTTTTGCCGCTTCTTGTGCAAACGACATTATTGAAGTATTAATGAAAAACTACATTGTTCTTTCTGGGTCCCCGCTTTCGCATTCCGCGCATTTGATGAGCGAAGAAGTTCAATTTGCAGCCAAATTTGCATTAGGACATCTTGCCGGCCTTATAATCAGTAATGATAAGCTTGCTTCCACTATCTACAAGGTGTTAATGGATTCCGCTACTCACAGCAATACTAAATCCAGGAATATCGATACCGCTATTGATCTGGTTCAATTTGCAAGCGGTTATGCAGCAGGACATTTTGTCGCCTCTCTTGCCATGTGGCCTACTGTTACGGAACAAATTGAAACACTAAAAGACACTGGTATACACTCCCTAATTAGCTATTGTAGTACTCCGGCATCCCCAGATAGCCGTGTACTTGGTATCATGATGGGTCTTGCATCAAAGTTAAAACCTACAAATATGGGAGAGGAACTTCAATTTGCTATAAGCAATATAAAAGCCTATCTGGACGGCAAAAGTATTAATAAGGGTTTATTATTTGGTTCGACATGGCTTGCGGCTGCAGGAGCATTGAAAGAAAACCAAATCGATCTTGAAATTTCTGGAATTATAGAGTCTGTCATGACAGCTGCTTCCAATGATGTAAGTCCATTTTAATGTATCATTTTACTCCTTGTTTACTGAATACGTATTAGATAAATTCTGCGCAACATTTTTATCATTTTTCAGTACCATACACTCAAATTCAACTCCATAGCTTTCTTTATAGCCCTTCAGAAGATAGTCAGGCGGAAACCCTTTATTGGGATGCATTTGAACCTTTACTCAATAGTATCCAAAACGATGACGCATCTAGTAATTATCGCATTGCAAGTCTCTTTTCTTTAGGAAGTCTTTTAGGTGTCAATTATTTGAGTTCGGAAGAGGAAACCCATGTGTATACTGAAGCCGAGAAATACCGCTCTGAATTAAGATACCGTGGTTTGGATAGCTTGTGCTTTGTGGCTGGTCTGAACTCTAAATCAGCTCCTATTGGCAACCTTAAAAGTGGTCGTATTGCTGCCGCCATCTGCGGCAAAGTAATAGAAACAACAAAATCTATGATCTATTCCTTGAAGGTTGCTGCAAATCCACAAGAAGCTTCAGCTGAAAAGAGTACCATGACATTATTATCAGCTTCATCTGAGCCAATCTCTTACAGTCGATTGAATAGCAACACAAGTTATATACGCGCTGTATTTGATAGACTTGTAGTGATAGCTTCTGATAGAAATCAAATCGACAACATTATTATGCTTTTAAACAGCTTGATTGGAACACCGGGTCCTTTGCCACCTGTGAATTGGTTTAGTCTAGTAACCAAAATCTCTAAGTTATCAACGCCCGTCCAAGCTTTATGTCTGTCCTTTGCTTCTACACATGCAACCACATCACTCTCTTTGTCCGAATTCTTACTCACGCAAATGATGAGTATATTTACTGCAGTTAAATCAGAGTCAGACATTGATAGATCACTTTGCGATGTCTTTTTTACTGGAAAAGGTCTTGCTACAGTTTTAGAGTTATCCGGGTTACCCCGACTTGAAAGTAAGGAGGAAAAGAAGCGACGTGGTATGAGCGCAGTTATCAAGCGAATTACAATCTCTGAAAGTAGAGCTATTGAAATCATTGAGCTTTTGGGTCAAAAATATCAATACCTGGATTATGACACTCAGGTAAGATCTCTTTTTTCTTTTTCCAATTAACGTAGTACTAATTTATTTGTATCAGCATGCTCTTTTATCCAACTTCACCGACCATTTACCCGTAGTCGCAAATGAAAATAAGGAAAACTTTGTGTCTAATATTCGTGAAATTATCATGCAGTCAATGACACTTTATACATTTGAACATTCTGACAAACAAAGCTTACGTCAATCAGGATATGAAAAGGTAGTTCGTAAATTGGTGGAGTGTAGTGTGACAGACATCAGCATATTATTTCCTACTGGAAGATTGGACGATTGGAAGGACACGCCCAGCACGATGGCTTTTGCTAAAACGACAGCTTTATGTGAATTCTATCGTTCCCACAAAAAACAACCCCTTGTAAAGTACATGAGTGCGGCATTAGTTCATTTGATCGGCATGTCTGTATCTGAAGACGATACGTTACAAATTTGGGACGTAATGGCCGAAACTATGAGGGATGATAAGGATGAATATACATGGATGATCCGGGTCCTGGATGCATATGTTGTTTATATTGGTTCAATGGATGATGCGGAAGAAGATAATGTTAGTAGCAGTATCGAACACGGGCTGTACACCATTTTGGCTGCTTGGAGAATTGGTTCGCCAATCGAATGCTGTCCAAAAACACAAGCAGCAGAAACAGCCTATTCATTGGGTACTTTTGTCAGTACCGAACATACAGCAGAACAAGAGCAGGTTTGTACATCTGAAACATAATCATGAAACAAACGATACTAATATTAAAGTATAGATCGTCAAGCGTATCTTTAAGCTGTTTGATATGACTAACGGCTTTTCTGCCTCTCTCTTCTTTCATGGACTTCTGAGAGCATTACCTTCTGAGGTTGTTACCCAGTATGAATCGAAGTTTTTTATAATCGATAATAAATAGTACCTGATGAGTCCTTGCTCGTAAGAGTTTAAGATGAATACTTAACCCAAATATTTGGAAACACGTTTTTTTCATGTAAAAGATGGGTCAGATTAAAAAATATATAGGACGATAAGTAATTTACGCACGGGTGCATTTTGGGGGTTAAGTATATCCGAGATCTTATTAAAGAGTTGAAAGTTTCGATTTGTATTTGTCAACCTCTTTGTTTTTGATCACCCTCTAACGACAGGACAAATAATTGTCTATTCCTCCTTGAGTCCGGCCGAATGATAAACAATGCGTATACTCAATGCGCAGCCAAAGTTTAATTATGTGTTTACAAACATTAAAAAAAAACTTCGATCACGTTGTTGAGCGTCATGAAGTGCTTCAAATAGAGAATAAGTATTTATATGGTTAGACAAAATTTATTTATAACAAATGGCGAAAGCAGGTACCGTGTGCATTGCAGCTCTTTTTCTCTATCCTGCCGATGACTTTGGAGGCCTAAAGTGGCTATGAGCTATTTATTGTCTTGGCTCGCAAATGCTTATGCGATAAAGGAACATATATATATGTACTCATCTATCTACGTGCATCGTAATGTATTGAGCAAGTGTGTCTGAGGTTGCGGCTAACCAACTCATTTAGGAACATACACCTGCATTATAACAGTATAAGCGATCAAATCTTCTAAAGAAATACTATTAAAGTGTATATTTATTCTGCGTGCAAAATATTCTAGACAACATGATTTAACCATAGATTGATATCAAATTGCCCAAATAAAACAATATATTGCAGTCGATGCGGCTATGTTGAATTTAAATAAAGTACATGTGGAAATTTCAAAGGACCACGGCTCGACAACAAATTTACATTGAGAACGGTAGAGGTATATAAGAGGTGCATAGAAGCAAGGTGTTTGCACGCCAAGTTCGTCTAAGAGTTTCAAGAACAGTTATGTGTAAAATGCTATTTAAAGATCCACACTTTATGCATGAGTCATTAATTATTATTCCCGACGATACCAATTTTTCATACAGAAGTGTCACTTTCAAAAACCGGTACCACGGATAACTTCTTCAAACAATTAGTTTTTTATTAGGAATAACGCCAGGTGAAACCGAGTTTAATCAATATGTCAGTATCATAAAAACAAATATAGACAACGTGGTTTTGAGTATAAATGTTTATGTGGATTTATATCATTGTTCTAGCCATGACAAAAAAAAAGCACAATATTGCCCGATTAATTGGATGAATTTATAAAAAGAAAAAAAAAATTAGGGCAACTGAAAGCTTGGAATTGTTGAAAGTCTTGAAACAGCAACCCAATCTCTAAAACTTGCTTGATTGTTTTTGATAGGAAAGAGGCGACATTTTCATCTATTAGGGATGTTTACATAGCTTACTGATTTAAATGACAATGTTATTGGCTTTTCCAAATAAATACTTGCATTGCCTGAGCTATCATAAAAACTAAACTTCCATACTTTTTTAATAATGAGGTCTTTTCATTAAAGCATGTTTTTCAATACATTTTGAGGGGTTTTTTTACATCATTAACGATTCTTTTTAATATATTCGATGCTTTTCTTACTTAAAATTCTTTTATTCTCTGACAACCATTACATAAATAGGTTCAAATTATAGTGTCTCAGCAATGCACTACCTTTGGGATTGAAATAATTGGTGTCAATTTAAGCCTTTACAACAGTTTCATCAACGCTCCTTTTTTGATATGACGCTAGATTCAAATTTGACTTGCAGTGTTCTTTTGCGGATTGGAATCCGATTTTTTTTCCTACCGTAGCGACCTACTGCACATCTTATATTAAAGGTTCTATACCATTTGTAAAAAAAAGCGAGTAAGAAGTTGTAACACAATCTGTCAGTCTAGACAATTTCCGCAGCATTATTAATCTATTTTCCAGTATGCTAAAGTGGCCACTTTTAAACTGTATAACTAGAAAACCTGCAGGCAACGCTCGACGGGTATTTACTGATCAATCTGATATAATATGTCTGTGTTCAGGCGAAGAAAGCAATTTAAAATACTATAAATCTTAAAGAACTACGTTTGTTTTTGTAAAGTAAGTATGTGATTTAAGATGTCGGTTTCCTTCAAATATGTCTCAACATAACGCTGAAGTCTTTACAAGAAAGCCCAATGGCGCCATAATTCCAAACACAAAACTACGCAAACGTTTCAAATGGCTTAAGATTGACTTGCATTTTGTAACACCCAAAGAATCAAACAAACCGATCTTAAGCCATAACAGTTTGAAAGGTATTAAACTTTTTTTTTAAGATAATATTATTGGTCCAAGACCACGCCATCATATTCTTTTGGGGACATTTTTATTTTAATACATGCTTCGCCAAGGTTATACGAAAAGATCTTGGCTTTAATAATTCCAAATCCGGATTTCGATGATATTCTGCATTTATTTATTTTTTAAACGTGAAGTAAATATTACCATAAAATTTAAGCCATGCATTCGTTTTTTTTCCATTATAAGAAAATCGTCGCTCTTCCCGGAGTAACAATAGCCACTTAAAAGGGAAACGCGTAACTTCCCCAAAAATTTACACAGAAGGAACCTGCACCTTCGGGTCGCAATCTTCAGACTGTTTTCTTGTGTATTCAAATAATTCTTTCTTAACAAAGTCCTATCAACTAATCAAGCTTACATTAAGCCACTACATACGCTAATATACATGTATAGTCGGAATATTAAATGACGTAAAAATTATTAGTTTTTGGTGATGTCAAATATCATGAACATGAGCATAACTCATTTAAAGGCACTATTTAAGGTTTACGCTCGTAAACGAAATGATACTATTATAGTGCCAAAAGAGTTGTTAAAGAATTATGTGGTTCATAACAATTGATATTCCATTAAAACTGCCATTCATTAACAAATCAACAACAATCGCTTTGGCTTATGGTGTTATTCATCATCGGAGGATTACTCTCCTTAACAAGGTAGGCCACCTCATCGTGTATGAAAAGGAAAGGGTACTCAGCAGTCTCGTGGTTTACTGCGAAATTGGGAAATAGAAATTGAGGCGTATGCATACATTGCTATTTCTACGAATGGCGCAGCTTATTTTTTATATTGTATAGAATTTGAGAATTTGTGTTATTTATTTGTTTCTTTGGGCAGCACAAGATTAGATTGGCATCGAAACGTATAGTGTAGTAACTTAGTCTTGTACGCATTGACGACACGTCAATTTAGTATCCGCCTTTTATATAATGATAATTGCTCTTATGGAATTGAGGCAATTTCGGATAATTGCAGATCACCACGACACAGATTGCATTTGCGTTGGCTGAGCTGCTTGGACGATCCGGATATCTCATATTGCTGAGTACCATGTCACAAAAACCAATAGAAGGAAAAAAAATCACAATTATGTCATACTGAGCTCCGCAATAACGACAGTGGGGATACGCGCGGGATTTATTGGGTTTAAACAGACTTTATTTTGTATTTACGAGAAATTATGAGCATCATCATTACCAATTCGTAATTACCAACAATTTTCGGATTGTTATCTTTTAAATGCATATTCCTGTATTATAATTATGTATTACCCATTAGATCACTTCATAAAACATAAGGGTATATTTTTTTTAGTAATGTAGGAGAGAAATCACTTGTTTTTTTAGGAGCCCCGCCTCAAAATTCTTCGCCTTCCACTGCGGAATAGTTCCCTGTCGTATAAAATATATTGATATGATGTTGTTGGGAACACCAACGCTTTGTTTGGGACAAAATCCCTTTAGGTTTTAGATTTTTACTGTTACTCAGATCTGTGTATCATGCTATTTTTAAATGGCATTTTTTATTTTTTGGCGAGTGGGCATCAAGGGGCCAGTTGTACAAGAAAAACGACGGAGAGTGCTGTAGTACACCGGGTTTCAACAGTTTATAAATATCTTTCATACTTTTGAGCAGTAGCACTATGTATTGATTTCTCAACTTTGCATTGCATACATAGCCGTTGTATGCATATGCGATTGTAAAAAAGGGCTATCAAAAAAATGCTCTCAAAAGGCTTCTTGTCTGTTCTCGGGACTAAGATTGATCCTGATGTGTGTTATTTAAAAAAAAAGTTTTTTTTAGCGAAACTCCGGTATAGACAAAAAAAGATATAAAGGGGACCCGATTTCATCTGTCGCCTTTCTTTTTTATTATTATTATTATTATTATTATTAATTTTTTACATTCACATTCACATACACATACACACATATAAAAATGAAAAACGGAATTCGTAGTTTGTTTGGCTTAAACAAAAAGTCCAAAAAGAGCAGTAATAACATCGCATTGGATGAAGTCTACTCTCCCAGTTCTTCTGTTTCTTCATTCTCAACAGAGTCGTCAAATAACGATTCTGCACCACCCACACCTACGCACGCATCAATCCAAGAAAACAGGGGTATCTTCCGTACACTTGAGCCTGTTTGGTATTTCCAATCCAATTTGCTACAACAACGTGGCGTTGGACAAGATGCCAGTGAATGGATCCGATTCGATGATCATAGCCAATATACCCTTGAAAATGCTTTGCATTCTAAGCCTGAGTGTACTCTTCAACAATCCTCTCTTGGTCCTTGTACTATCTCTTTCACACCCAAGTCAAATAGCTCCAAGTCCGTCAAGAAACAAAGACAAAGCATGATGGCTATGCCCGGTAGTGGAAAAGAACAATATTCTTCTATGCCCACACTTCATACAGCTGGGAATCTTGGCCGCTCATTTGAATTAAACAAGCACATTCGTAGAACGATTTCTCCTGCTTGGTGGTTTGAGCAAGATTCCGCTGACGGCTCAAAGGGTATGTGTAGATTTGATTATAAAAACCAAGTGAGATTGGAAGCCTTATCTGAAGGACGTACTCGTTTGGTCTTGACTGATGACGCATTCAATGTTCCTTTTACTGTCGTGCTGGAAGCCCCTCAACAACCCCAATTGAAGGAGGAGGTTCGCGGTTTCTTATATCTGGAACCTGTCTCTTCAGCATTCCAACTCGCTTATAGTGCTGCACGTACAGAAGATAAGTTTAATGACTATATCAATGCTCAGCAAGAAGAAATTTATTCAGCGGAATACAATGAACCTTGGGGCACAGGCCTTGCTCGTCGTTGCTCCGTTTAATTTAATGTATCTGCACACTATCCCACTACTCTCATAAATCTTCTTGGCATATAATTTCATATCATCCCATTTTTTTCTCCTTATATTATATTATCAACTTCACTTATCCACTAGAAAAGTGCTGCACTTTCTATTATTGTAAATAAATTATTATTAAAAATCTTCAATCTAAAAAAAATATTACCCGTAATTTAGTTTATGCGTACGCTGATCACAGTGTTTACAATACTGAGCTCAAATTATTCAAACTAAATATTTGTGTTATTCTTAGATTTGTACCACATCCATGTTCTGTAAACATGTAGCACAGCCATAGTATCATCCTTGGCTCATTTCTGGATTTAAATATGTTTGAAAGACAACAATTGCGAACCCTTCCCTTTGCTCTGTAATATCCCAGAAACACCTCTTGTTGGAACCTTCAGATTAAAATTACAGAATAGAAAGTTGCGGAAAGTCAATGTACACGCGGCCGGATTTAATTATCCGTAAACATGCTTATTAATATTTCTGCTTACATGGAATACGGAATTTGACAGTTTTTTAACACATGACAATGTGCAATTTATATTAAAAAAAAAGCTCATGATACTTGCATTTCGGGTACTTTGTTCTGACATGTTAAAAATTTAATCTAAAATAAAACGGCGTGTCAGAGAAAACGCGACTTGAAAAAATAAAGTGCCAATATCCCAATCGATTTTATAGGACACAAAGAATTTGCCGGTATTACAGCAAAACATTTGCAATCACATCTCTTTTGCGCGAAAAAAAAAGGAGCAGAAGTTTTCCACAAATCATTTTCCATATGTTTCAGAAAATTGCATTATTTAAAAAATCTTTGACGTGATGTTTTTTTACCGCATGCAATTCCTAATTTGCTTTGGAAGGGGGTCTGAATTGTTAGGATTATAATATCTTCACAATCGCATGTCAACGACTCTTATAAGCGAAAATGGCAATTTAAATCAAATAGAAGACAATTCTTGATATATTATAAGGACCTACTTGCTGTATCAGTTAATAGCATATTAAATAGGCTTTACCGAGATAAGTATATAATACATAAAAAACGGTATATCACTTTAGGAGACATACTTGTTTACAATTTTTTGCAGACAACATTTGATGTGATGGCTTCCATCAAAATTAATGTTTTTAGTATTGTTATTGGTATTCTCTGTTGATACTCACGGCAAAGCTTACAAAGGGTGGTATCATATCCAATCTATATTGAATAGTCTTTGTCATATAGATTATTAATGACCGCGGCACATTTGATCTGCCGGTGATTTTGTATTAACAAGCTACGAAAATGTTATATGGCCTTAATGTTCGGTTTCCGATTCTTTATTTAAAGCTTCAAACAAGCTTTAGTCGTTTAACCAACCTTAGTATATGATCAGTATTTACTACATGACTAGTAAAAACAAACTAATACAAACTTATGGGTGGATTAGTTTCTGGTGTGGCTTTGAATACATGTTTTAGTCAAAACTAAACAATTGTTGGGCGGAAGGATCGGTTGCAGCAGCGCAATGGATCCGAATCATGTATTTTTTAGTCATGCAAACTTCAATCATTTTTTCTCTTTATATTGAGTGTATTATCTGTGTTTGTTATCTAGATAACGATATGGGAAATATCGGATAATAGAAATGGTAGCTTGAGAACAACATTGAAGCAGGCGGCGTTATCCGTCCTTATTCCTATTTTTGAATTGTCCTAAAACGATCAGTAAGTTGCACAAAAAATCAATTGTATGTCCACCCAATGAGACTAAAGTCCCTGTGTACATTTATAATGGGTTTTTTCTCTTTTTGGATAAAGTGAACCTTCTTTTGCCACAGACCATGTTGCCTCGTGGCTTCATTGTGACATCTGAGTAATACAAGCCCCTCTCCCCTCTTCCCATCTACATGTCGCTTTTACTCTTAAACAGAGCATTTTTTAACTACAGCATTAAAGGTTTTCAACAGCCGTAATTTGGGGAGCAAAAAAATCAGCCAATCATTTCTTTTCGAGATGACCTAGTTTTTGCGCGAATATATAAATCAAGCCAAGGTAATTAAATACCACCACTATGCTTGCCTATGTAAAAAAAGGAGCCAAAGATGAAAGAATAATACATATTTAATTTTGACTAACCTGTTTACCCTTTACAAAAGTTGATGTCTCTGAGAAAACCCCTGCTGCTACTCTGACCTCGTAGTATATGTCAGAAAGATATAGAAACTATACAAAAGTCGATCTTAAAACACTTGAAGCTACAGTCAAATCGTTCAAGGAAAACCAATGCCAGGATTTCAAAATGAAGCCAGCCTCGTCGAAAGCAAAAATCCAATCGATGCTGTTGACATACGTTCATACGCTTCAGACCCACTTCAAAAGACTTACCGCTATCAAGATGATTTCATGATTATTTTACTGTGTACTGTGAAGATCAGCAAAGTTTAAACTTACTGTAAAGTAAGGTTTGGGATATCTATATTTACTGTTCAAAAGGAAAATACTGTAGTATTGACAAATAAATTATATGACTTTTAAATGAATATACTTTTTTATAGGAATCGGTAAAGTTAAATGAAGTTTAGATAAGCAAACAACATTTATGTTCGCTGTGATTTGAAATCGTACAAAATCAAATTGGGATTTTATCTACTTTTAAGAGACAGGGGTATGTCTCGAATAAGCTCAGTCTTCTTTCATATAATATAGTTTTTCAACTACGATAGTATTTTGGCCTATTGGAGCGACAATGTAAACAATTCTTATTGTCACCGAATGCCTTGGGTACTTACAATGGCGACGTCTCCCGTGCTAATTAGTAAGTTTGTATATTAAAACTAGTGAAGTGACATGTTTCTAGCTTCATTTGTTTAAAAGATTAATCCACTCCCGTGTATCAAGCAGCGAGCAGAAAAAAAAAAAGGCGGGGTTAATCTTATATGTCTCAATAGAAAAAAAAACATTCGGTTTTATTAGTATAAGTAATGTGGATAAAATCTCTTGAAGTGTTAATTTAAATCATCTTCCAATTCCTTTATGGTAAGGATTGTACAAGTAGTATAAAGTATATCAAGAATATAGTTACATCATTTTTTATAAACATTAATGATAATAAGCAAGGTGTATTAAAGACATTATTATATAGTTTATAAAAAGAGGAATATCTATGGTTCTTTCTTAATCGGCTTTTCATCGGTTTCCTTTAAAGTGTTGGCAAACCATCGCGAAATGTCGTTCATTCTATCTTTCAGACTAGTTCTATTAAGACATTCAATCCAGTTACTCCATTCCTCTTTCGTAAAGGACTCCAACACATCCTTTGTAACATCCGTTATTTTTCCCTTATGCGAAACATTTTTGATTGTCACAGTGTCATTCATCACATAACGTGGTACATCTAATTTTTCATCTTTGTCCTCAGGTGAATTGGTAACATCACGAGCAAAAGCAGCCAAGCTTTTTATTGAGCGTGAAGTAGGCTTATGGGCAAACAGAATTTGAAAAACGTGAGGTTGATCTTCATATATCTCCAATGCAACTTGGGTAGGTTTACCATAATTTAAACTTTCTTCATCGGCACCGGGAAAAGTGTTTGTAGCCATCAATGTTGAGAATATTGACTCATCACGTAATCTTTCTGCGCCACCACATTGCTAATTTTTTTTTAAAACATAGTGATTAATCAATCATGAATAGTTTTCTTTTTTTCCTAAAAACTTACCACTAAGATCGGAGGAAGTCCTCTTAAATGCTTTCGATCAAAAATAGGGCTAACCAATGGTAATTTAAGTGTATCATTACTAGCATAAAATTGAACACGATAAACGTTTTCCTCTCCTGGACCAGGGGTAGGTACAGCTTCACCAAAGGGGCCAATGGATTTTCTATCAGATACAGCGTCATTTTCAGTATGTTTGGTAGCAGCGTCAACGCTTGAGGATTTAGCCTCGGCTTTTGCATTTTCCAATAATTTCGTATGGTCTTCTCTTTGTGGGAGCTGAGCGTAGTCCAAAGCGGGCGAAGGAGCATGCTTAAATCCACTGGGCGGGAGATAGTCAGTCATTATGTTTGATAAAATCGATGGCAATGAATGAGTAAGATCCATCCTGATAAATTAAATTAAAAAAAAAAAGAATTAGATTAAAAGTATGCAAATTATATCCAAAATAGGTATTACCAGGGGGACAGTGTCATTGCACCAGCTGGAGCAGGTAATCCAGCATCACGGATAGCCATAAGTAATGCAAACGAAAGACCACCACCAGCAGAGTCTCCAGCAATGACAATTTTTTTGGGGTCAATAGGTTTCAGATTAGCTTCTTTGGGAGGATCAATCAGATAAAGATAAGTGGCTAATGCATCTTCAACAGCCGCTGGGAAGGGATGCTGAGGCGCTAAACGGTAATCGATAGCACAGACACGGCCTTTAAAATGCTACATATGCACCCACAAACATTTTTTTTAAAAAACATACAATATAATAAACTGTTGTGAATACCTTGATAATGTTGCTTAGAAATTGTCTATACAAGCCGTAAGATCCAATGTAATAAGCGCCGCCATGCAAGTACAGTATAGTACTATCTTTGCGAGGATCCAATAAATCTCCTTTTGATTCCAGCCACTCGCCGTTAATAGGCGGACTTGTCAAACGATCCTTTTCCCAATCCCAGTCAATAGCTTTCTCATCAGCTGGTGATAAGGCCTTTTTTAATGAATTGCCTGCGATATCCCTGTAGTTTTTGGGAACTAGGAACTCTCTAGACGATATATTTGAGGGAATTGGTAATTTTCTTGAAGAGCTCGCTTTCTGTACTTCTTCGACGGTAAATTTATTGCAGTGAACAAGAAGATTACGCAAAACAGCAATGATTATATGAGAAGTAAGAGTCCAGGTCTTTGCAGGGGGACCTAATTTGGTGATTTTTTAATGACAAAATAGGTAATAAAACATTTTTGGTGTTACCTTTAGCATAATGACGATACATTGTTGAAGCAATCACGGGCATTGGAAAAATTAGATTTGCCCATAGTAATGTGTTAGACAGACGGAAACCGTTGGGTTTAGAAGAGCCATCAGGTTTGAACGAACCAGTGGGTTTACTAACTACCTTGGAAGAAGATGCTGTTTTCAAGGTTCTACGCCCATTAAAAACCGAAAATGTCTTTTGGCCTACTGCGATGTCATTTCTAATTCGTGTGATATTGCTGGCCACACCTGCCGATTTTTTTATCTTTTGAGCCCTGAACATAGGAAATGAAGTAAAACTACCGAAAGAAAGGATTGAAGGCACTTTTTTTTTGGTAATTTATCGACATTAATTCAACCACCGAAAGAGATCGCACTTTACGCCGGATGTTTACACAAGTTAGATTTCCACATTTGTGTCCAAACATACACTTTAAAACACGGCAAATGCCTTACAAGATTTAGATACAGTGTCTTAGTTTAAATATAAAAAACAGATATAAGCATAGAGGAATGTACAGAAACACCTTGTTTTAAATTTTTTTAAAAGAAAATTGTTCATAAACTTGGTTATTTCAGTTGGCAGCTACATATCTATTGTAATCAAGTGACTGTTTTATGTACTAAAAAACCCCAAGCTAGACAACACTTTATGCTATGTTGACTTAACACATAAGACCAAATTGGTATCAAGGGATACAACTATCCAATTTTCTGATCATGTACAAATGGGCCAATAAAAGTAGCGACAGTTCCATCACCGATCCGACGTGACAAGCATCAAATCCCAAACCTTTTTTTTATGTTTTGGTTTTTACAAATTAAGAAATGTCTGAACCAAGCAATGCTGGTATTGTCAAAGTAGGAGAGGAACGTATTATTCCAGGCTCTCAACGAGCTGACGGATCTTTCCGCAAAGAACGTAAGGTCAGACCTGGGTTTACTCCTTTAGAAGATGTTAAACGTTATACCATTCCACAGCGCCGAACAGCAAACCCCAATAGTGCTAGACCCGAGATTCCTGTCACCAAAAGAAATGAGGAAGTTAGACCTGCGAAATTTACTCCTGTACAATCTGTAAATAGACCATTAAAGAAAAACGACAATGCTTCAGATCAAAAAGTTGAAAAGAAGGCAGATCAAAAGTCAGTCAAGGAAGATGAACCAAAGGAAAAGCAACAAGAACAGCTTAGCGAGGAAGACTCTTTAGTTGATAGTATGGCCAAACTTTCATTAGAGAAAAGCTCAAAGTAATAAAAAACGTCTATCTGATTGGATGAGTATATTTTAATTGGATTACAGCCCTTTGTCAATTCTGTGTTTTCTCTTTTTTTTTTTATAATTTCTTCATCTATTTTCTCTCTTTTGAAAAACCAACCATGTCCTTGAACGTATCCGATCCCGCTCTGACTGAAGCCTATGATGATGTTAGAGATGACAAGACAGAAACCAACTGGGTGTTTTTCGACTTCGCAGATGGTAAGCCTGACCGTCTTAGAGTTGCAGGTTCTGGTAGCGGTGGTCTTTCTGAATTCGTCAGTCAATTAAAACCCGAAGTTGCCGGATGGGGTTACATCAGAATGAACATGAGTAACGACGAGTAAGCATGTCAACAAGGAACTTATTGCCTCTCTGTTTTTATTGGTTACTAACGCGTTGCCACTTAGATATTCCCAACGTATCAAGTTTGTTCTCGTGCCATGGTGTGGTGAAAAGGTTGGAATCATGCGTAAAGCCAAGTTATCCATTCAAATTTCGGACGTCAAGAACATTTGTCGCAACTTTCATATCGAAGTCCCTGCTTCACACACTCATGATTTAAGTGAAGACGAAGTTATGACTAGACTCAGACGTGCTGGCGGTGCCAATTATGATAGACAGTCAAGTGATTATTAGATTTAAATTAGATATTAAATTTACACCATTCTTTAAATGTACATGGGAATATGTGATGGTAGCATATGGTTCTAGTTGAGAGGGTTTATCTTTATGGGAATCATCGCTGAGATTTTTATTCATAGTAATCATCTATTATCTACAGAAAAGCAAAAAAAAAAATAAGGGGTAATTATAATTTTTCGAGGGAGACGGAAGCTGATTCATATTATGGAACTGCTGATATTATGTGAAGCAGTACTTACAACGCATTAATAACATTTGTGAACTTAACAATTTCATTACCTGAACCTAAATCTGAGTAAATTAACCAAAGCTCGGGTGTAATTAATCTCATTTACAGTTTTTTCACTTTAAATTTAGACAATGTCAGACGAATCCAAATTAATTTTCAAATAGGTAATTGTTTTTTTATAGCATTTTTAACTGTAAAACCTTTAAACCGTCGATCCACTTGAGTGGATTGAAGCAACCGCATCCAAGGTGACGCTTTGTTTCTGGAAGACAGTAGTTCGATCATTACCAGTCCAAATAGGCCGGGCAATGGTAAATATGTTTTGGCTGCCATTACGTCATGATTCCTGTAATTATTTCATTCTTTGGTGAATTCGGTTGACATTTTCTACAGTTTATTTTAAGTAACAAGTACAAGTCTATAAAAGAAGTGAATAACACTCGTATAATATAAACACATACGTATTTTACCTTGGAAGTGTTATATTGATCAATGTCGAAAATCATAAGCTCGCCAAACCTCTCACGAAGTTCTAGTTGCCGGCAAAGTTTTCCTGCCACACCCTGCCTAAGACCGATGATTTATTACATTAGATTTATTTTTGTGCTTGACCCCCCTCCTCAAATTTTCCTTTGTGCCGCCTTTTTGTTGCTTCATGAATTAAAATAAAAAAAATTGAGTTGTACCTTAATTTGTGGTAAATTCTGCAAATTTAAGAAACCATTTGATCTACAAATTAGTATGCTCAGTTTATTTTCCAGTCCAAGTTTTAAATGGCATTTTATAAAGACATATATTCAAAGCCTTGCTAATGTGTTTAGAAGGAAAATCGAACCGAGACAATCGGAGGAAACTCTATTTACATAAACTCAAAAGGCTTTCTTCGAATGTTTTGACCTTAAAAAGCTCGAAATCAACAGGTAAACTCAAAATGCTCTATGGTTGATGAAAGTATGGGTAGTTGATATTGTCGTTTTTTGTTCCTTCTGTTTTTTTTGGTTTTTATTATGTACTAGACTTTTACATTTGATTGTAAGTCTGAACCATTAAAAGCCAAGAAGTACGATGAACTCACTAGTATTTTTAAGAGAAACTGTCATTACCCGTCTTTTTGCATATTTGAATGTAAAGTGACTAGTTTCCACTTGATAGCCAAGCATGCTCAAGTACAAAAACTCTGTGTAAGCTCAAAAAGCTCGAATCTCTATCAGATAAGTCATTGCCTTGAACATTAGAATCTTCTGTTCTTCATCCTATTTATAAAATATCAAGGCTATATGTAAGCTTAATAAAAATTTACACTGAGAGCTTACGTAGTCATCCTCAGTTGTTATTATTGTTCCCAGATTCTTTTATTCTTTTCATACTTCAAGACGTATGGAATAGTTTAAATGGGGAATGGAAGTGAGAGAAGAGCGAATTTAGCACAAGTGGCTTCCATCAGTTAAATTTAGATTAATATCGTAACTTCGTGATGACAATTTTAAATGCAATTATCAGGGTTGAAGTTAAAGATAGAGAAACGATATTTATAAAACTGTATAAAGCATACCAATTCATATTAAAATCCGGTTGTAAATCAAAGTAATAGAAAGTGACAAGCATATGCGTTATAAGTTACTATCATATGATGGTGGATGGGATAATGCATCAGTATCATGCTGGTATGGATATACATATTGGCAAACGCACAATAGCTATGACTGACTGACGCGTGTCTTTCATATGATCAGACACTGTAATTAACAGTTTTGTTTTGATCTAAAAATTGGTAAAAAAAGACAAGCTTGCGCTTATCTTCTACAGGTTGTTGTGTATTAAGGTAAAGTAAAATTATAAAAAGACTAAAGGAATAGTTTGAGATTGTTTATAAGGTGTCTTTATTAATTAAGAAATATAAGAGTATTTATGTAAAGGGCTGTCTGATGCGTTCATATCTCTAGTGCTATCTTGAAGTTATCAAATTAATAAATAGTCACTAATTTTGACTTGCTTTAAAAAATGGAAAGTCTTAACTCTCATTGATTCAAACTAAATGTTAAGTATTTCTCAGGCGTACTAACTTAGTCTTATAATACAATATTTTAGTACTTATAAGTATGGCCTTTGGTGTTATGCTTATAGCACGAATGGTAGATGTCTGCACGGATAAATCTTTGTTAGCTCTAATATGGCTATAGCCTTGCTAAGTTACCAAATAGGTTTATAAGAAGCACCAATTCTTTGGAGGGAGGTGCATACCAAAAACCTGATCCGTAAGTTTGGGTCATTTGGTGCTGGTTCTAAACTTGCCTTGTATGTTATGCTCGCCGATGTTGGAACAATGAATTGATATGGGCAAACTCACAAAGGGCATCACAATCCGTGACTGGTTCAGCATATCAATTTATTGTACTTTAAACTCGGTATGCAGAGATTAAATAACGATATATCTTGTGATGTAGATACTTACGAGTACCATGGCTCAGACAAAATTTTTGGGATAGATCTCTTACTGGAAGACAAATTAATTAAACTAGGAATCAAAAAGGCAGACCTAAGTGTATACCAAAAAAGTAGCTCTGAAGAAGGTGATTTAACAATTCCGGCGCTATAGGAGACAGAATACTTGGTTCTTGGCTTAACATCGCGTCCTAATATATCTATATTGCTGCCCTTACTTTGGAGGATATTTTTCTATTCTCTAAAACATACAGTGAACATTTTGCCTTAGTTACAGTTCCAAACTTTGAACAGTTTACTCTCAAATGGATGCAAATAATTATAATTTTTTTTATAAATCACCAGAACATTCGGAAAAATATTTTAACCATTAGAAGAAACAGGAAGTTGCTAAAAACAACTCGCAGTATCTACCATAATATCATCGAAGCTGTAACTAACGATGTTATAACTAGGAATACCCCTACATCAAAAGCAAGGCCCAATTTTCCTAATATTCTCCCACCTGTGCACAGATGAAATACAAATCGAGCACTTGCCTATAACAACCCCTCACCTGTCACTTTTTCTCACCAAACATCGAACATTCCTTTTACTTTTAGAATGCCTATAAGCAATTCAACTTGCCAGTATGGCACAACAGCCCCAGAACCTCTCGCCTCTCAGCCATACATTTTTTATAATTCACATGGTATGGCTACTCCTCCAATTAAATTAAAGCAAAAGCTCCAATGCTTGAGAAATAGCATGCAAAGGCTGTGGATTGTTCACCTGCCCAGGTAAAATTGTGAGATCCAAATGTGCCCGTTTTATTCTTTTAAAATGTAAGAAAAAAGAACCTTGTGAGGGAATTTGAAATAGAGTCAAAGGTAATAATTAGAATAAACCAAAGCTTTAGATTTAACATCTGCAGTTAAATTGCAAAACCAGGTGTTAAAGCAGAGTTTTATTGGGTGATATTGTTCTATTTAACACTGGAGTTTCCCCCAGGCTTGCCAGTCCCGCCCTGAATTTTTTCAATTGTACTTTATTTTATTAAAAAATCCGACTCTGGACTCTTCCCTAACTACAAATGCTGTTTATCGTTGTCAGAAAAACTTGTAGTCTCCCAAGATATTAAAAAAAGATGCCTGTAAAAAATAAAGGCGGTGTCCCTAGAAACATCTCAAGGTGCAAAAAAAAAAAAAAGAAAAGAAAAAAGGTGGGTTGGTGTACCCCCAAAAAAGATGCCGTTTTTCAAACGAGAGTGGAAGCACTGTATGCCTCTCTTTTTTTTTTTTTGCTTTGTTCTTAGAGAAAAAACTGGTTACACTATAGATATTAGGTGATACACGTCTTAGTCGTACAACTAAGATCCTTTTTACTGTTACATAAGAAAAGCCATTACATAGTTTTGTCCCGGGTCAAAGAAAAAAGCTTAAATGTTGGCGCAGATACTTTGTTCAACTTTATTTTATTTGGCAGTCCTCTTGTACAAAAGTTCTAATTCTTTTAATATTGAATGTTATAGATGGATAGTGTTGTGCATTCAATTCCATGTCATTGATATAGTCTAAAAGCAGTGAAGCACTACAAGTTTTTTTTTTTTTTTTTTAGTAACCGTTTCATAGCCCCGATTTTTTTTTTTTTTTTTTTTTTTTTTTTTGTTCTAGTCTAAAACTCAACTTACTTTTTAGTAGATTCCGGTTTAGCGAAAATACCTTGAATCTGTTGAAAAAAAGAAAAAAAAATTAGATACCCAAAAAAATCTAATCGGTTAGAGGTCGTACCAATGATATTTGGTGATCCACATGTAAATGGTCGGCTGAGAAAAAGATCGATGTTATAAAACAAGCAATTATTATACCATTACAATTAAGTAAATTTTGGCACCTTTTAGGTAAGTCATCATATAACCCTATAGAATTTAAAAACGTGTTTAGCTTTTTTTTTTTTTTTTTTTTTTTTTTGTTTGTTTGATATTCCCATCGATGCACAGAATCACATACTTTGACTTGATTGAATCCAATTTCTCAAACGAGACAAAGATTCAGACTCTCGATTATCCATAGATGGACATATAATCCAATTCACATAAATCAATATATCTTCCATCTATAAAAGTCTTAGACATTTATTTTGCACCCCCAAATATTGGGCTTATTCCCATATTTATATATACCTCAGAAGACCATAGATTATCATCATTTGTATTCCATTGAACAAGTCTGTAAACACAATACCATGTGAACCTTGTGAATGACAGCGATATACACCATGCTTCGTTTCGTCGATTTGAAATATGTATACTAGACCCACTACCGAATATATAGTTCGAAATTGCATTGTGAATAGCATGTGCTTCCACATGTTGAAACGTCGCGTTATTGATTTCCCGTCGGCATAATTCGAATATTTGTGTTCTCAAGCAGTAATTCATGCATTGTACCAGCTTTACCAGTTTCCAACTTTGAAATTGAATTGTATAATGGGATAATGTACTAATAAATCGACAAGCGAGATATGATGATTTCTGTAGCAGCTGCACAAAGTCATTTTTCATATATTGGCCTATAAGATTATCTAGGCTAATATAATCCATTGATGCTGTGTAATTTTCAATCAAATTTAGAATTTCGATTTCAAACATATCAGGGTAGTTATGGAGCAGTTTGATTTTTAGTTCTATTGGCCATTTCAGGTATTGTGTTCTCATGGTTGTTAAGGACATATCTTCTTGTAGCAATCTGTAGATGAATTCGTCGGATAACAATGGATTGGGTAGATCAATGTACAATGAAGGTTCTGAATCATTCAAGGCACAATCCACAAGTTTCTCAATTAGTACAAAAACTTCGCGTTCGTGTATCAGATTCATACAAGTATTTGCCAATTTCGTTATTTTTTGTGCCTGCGTAAAAAGTGCCCTAAGTCATATATTTTTGTATGTTTGTGTCATTGCTTACGTTCAGCTGCTTCCTGTTTTTGTCAAGTAGGCTTGTCATTTGTTGTACAATTGTTCGGGTGGTTTTCTTGGTGTCATTTATATAGGACATGCTTATAAACCGCCTCAATCGAATGATACACCATACTGTTGGTCTATGATAACAATTAAAATCCAGCCCCTTTTAATATCATTTTGTTTGTAATTACTTGTCTTTTGGCGCAGTAGTGTCTAACGATGCGTCTGATTCGAAGTCTATTTTGCTGTATTCTAACAGACAGTTTATAAGTAATGTTGCAATGACAGGCGAAAAACCAATGTACGGATGTGTCTATGGAGATCCATGTTAAATGGTACTGCAAAACAATTTTTTAAAGAAAAGGATCTGAACTTTACGGAGGCTAATGTTAATAAAGGGCCAGCATTAGGGTATTTGTCCATAGTTTCATCGGAAGTGCTGCATAATTTCAATTCCTATTCTTTTCAACGTTTGAGACCTGAAATGACGAGATTAATGTACTGCTATATTTACCTCCAAAAGTTGAGTGAAAAAACTCTCCAAAAAGCCAATATTCTGGACGACATTGTTTAGCTGAGCATGTTTGTCGTTGTGTTGCTTGCTAAATTCCAAGATTTCCTTGAGTTGATCCCAATGTAAAAACATGTTAGTAAGAAAAAAGAATGTTTCAGTCACAATTTTTTTCAGTGTCACTTTCAAGAAAGATATGCGCTTTGACATTTTTTGGTGCAACAAATCTAATTGATGGTGTATCCTTTCACTTCATGTCACCGTCATACAGCAAGTCAAATATTATTATTTGTATTAAATTGGGTTTTTATATATATATAAAAAGAGATAATCTCTTTTCTATCGTAAAGCGTGTATAAATAAGATATAAGGGTAAATAAAATAAACAAAAAAGATCATGAAAAGCATGATTTGAAAATTACATAGATAAAAAAAAAATGGTGAGGTTGTAGGAAAAAAAAGCTTACAAAAAAGTGAGGAGAAAAAAAAAAGAGGAGGCAAGGTGTATCATATGGCAGTATTGTAGAGGTTATTAGGATGTCTGTTGGATGTTTTGACCACCAAACTTTCTTGGGCTGGGACCACCATAAGGCGTGGAAGGAGCAGAGTTATTAGAAAATGCGCTTTGAGGAGGGTTATTAGGAGTAGGAGCTTGAGAAAAGTATGAATTATGTTGTTGCTCGTAAGCAGCGGGTGAATGATGACTACCAGTAGAGTTCATACGTCCGCGATGCCATTCTCCATTATCCATAGGTAAATGCATATTCACACTACCACCGTTGTGATGAGGATGAGGAAGCTGGGGATGACTTAATTTAGACTCTTCGTGCAACGCATTATTATTAGACGCGGATACTCTTCCGTTGTTATATTCACCATTGTAGAGATCAGGAGAAGATGTTTCTGAGGAAGATGGATCAGAAGTCATGCTAGGTATCATATATGAACCGTTATTACCTTGATGTTGTTGTTGTTGTTGTTGTTGTTGTTGTTGCTGTTGTTGTTGTTGTTGATGATGATGGTGATGTTGTTGTTGTTGTTGATGCTGATGTTGAGGAGGTGCTGGACCACTTGTAGGGGTAGGTGGTGTAGAGTTCATGACCATACCTTGCTGCATAGGATAATGAGGATAATTGTTATACGGTTGATAAGGATAAGGAGATCCATATTCTGGAGCCATTACACCGGGAGGTGTCATGGGTGGTCTTGGGAAAGGAGCATTGAATCTTTCATCATGTTGTTGTTGAGGAGGAGCAGAGATAGGCATGTTGTTCTCATAACGATCATGGTTATCAGAGTAATGACCTGGGCTACGGCCGCGAACGACAAGAGGTGCAGATTGGCAAGAAGCAATTTTAACCTTCTTATTACCTTCAATCTCCGCATAAAGGTCTACTAAACAGACGTAATATTGTTGAGCAGCTCTTCTTTTACCGTTATTAGCAGTAGCAGTTTTGAATTGGATTCTTTCAAAAGTAACAATACTTTGGTTGGCGCCTACTGAGCTCATGCTTAAATTACCACCGGGCATGATGAGTTTAGCGATAGGAGTAGATTGGGGACCCTTATCACGCTTGGGTGTGTGCTGAACTAATTCTATTTTTTTGTCGCTATTCGAAACGCGGGCCGAAATGTTCATTGAGAAATTATGAACTGGGAAAAAATGCCCGTCGACTTGAACGAGACATTGAGTTTCCTGATCAGCATAGTAATGGTTTAAACCATGGATAGCGAAGGCACCACTCACTTGGAAATAGTTTCTACGGTAACATGTCCAATCATTATCAGCCAAGAAGAAACCTCTATCCATCTTAGCTTGAATACGAAGTGTTAACCTGTAAAAGAAAAAAAAAGTTAGTAAATTTATTTATAGCAGCAAAAAAAAAAAAAAAAAAACAATTGTACTTTACAATGTAGATCTGTCCAACGCATACAAATTATCAAAGGGCTTTGTGGAACTAAAGAAAGGACCGAGCTCAGTAGAAAAAAGTTCATTTCTTCCTCTCTTGCGAGCTAGTGATGGGTGGGCATAAGGAGCAGCATGGAATGATGAGGTGGTATAATTAGCATGAGCTTTCTTTGAGGGAGGAGAGGAATGATGAGCAGGACGAGGAGTACCAGGTTGGGAAAGAGACATCATACTATATTATTGTTTAATAAAAAAAAGAAGATCAAGATACATCAGCAGATAATACATACCCAGGTAAGCGTGGATCCGTGTCATTCTTTCCAGCAGGTAAGAAATTGGTTGAGGGCGGAAGCTGGTGATGACTGTAATTGAATAAAGAATGGTAAGTTTCTGTTTTTAGGTACCGAATATTGAGAAAAAATATAAATATAAGCGGTATTGCAAAATGCTAAACCAGTGTTTATCATATGAAGGGTGGGGAGAAAGATGCGTGCAATGTTGCACTATTTTTTTTTTTTTTTTTTTTTTTTTTTTGCTTAAGGGGATTGACAGATTAATAATAATATAAAAAAGAAAAAATGGCTTACACAGGAGGATGCATAGGGCCCTGAGGAAATGATTGTCCATAGTGATGATCCATTGAAGGCATTGGTGAATAGTGCTGAATTTGAGGTGACTGAGATACAGGACTTTCGGCCATGCAAGGATTTTGTAAAGAAGCTTGAGACATGTGCCATTCTTTTGTTTCGTGAGTTGAGTTCATTTCGTGATTATATCAAGTCTTTTAAAAGACAAAAAAGAAATAAAGAAAAAGAGAATAAATTGGGATAAGCTTTCTTTTTTTTTTTTCCACAGGATCTAGGATTTTATAAGGACGACCTAAAAGTCGGAAAATGAAATTAACGACAATAAGGTTGAGGGGCAGAATCAAAGAGAATTTTTGCGGTTGGATAACCATCTTTGTAACTAGTGCGACAAGCAATGTAATACTTTTTGCTTCCAATAACTTTTTTTTTTTTTTTTTTTTTTTTTTGCTACTGAAATTATGGACGTGCGTTAAGACCTGGCGCTTAAAGGATGTGTGCATTAACTCCAAATAGGGTCTGTCACACTAGAAAATGGGACTCGGAACTTTTTCATTGATCACGAATCGTATTATTTTGCTTGCATTTTTGCCCATTTTTTTTTTTAAGAAAAGTCTCATGTACTGAAATCAGCCCATCTTTTTTTCTTTGAAAATATTTTGCTTAATACATGTTAATTATTATAACCAAAAAAAAAAAAAAGAAAAAAGAAAAGCTGATAACATAAACTTTTTCCCAAAAGTCACAAAGTCCTCTTGTACAACCTTTTGACAAATTGGAGCCTATCCAAACTATCGATCTTCTGATTAAAGAAATATCCGCCAAACCTAGTCATTCTACTGGTTTGAACTAAATCAAGCTTAAAAAAAGCCTATTTCCAGAGTGTTCTTTTTTTTTGTTTTTTTTTTTTTTTTGTTAAACCAATGTATTGAGCTCTAATGTCTGTGCGTAGTATCATAAATAAACTGTGAATGAATGGGCAAAGTACAAAATAAAAAATAAAATATTATAAATCATTTGGGGGGGACAGGGTCAGTGATTAAAGTAAATTCATTTGCGCGGTGATTTCTCTGTTACTCCGAGCAATTTTTTTTTTATAGTTCTCTCAGGGGAAGTTACTCACAAAAAAAAAAAAAGGCACGTTTTAACATCAGGTAATTGTTCGCGTGTAAAAAGCTAAACAAGAAACAAGATATAATCACACATTACATAACTCTAGTCATAACGGTCATTTCCCTTTTATCAATAATTTACTAATGAATAAAATAAACTCCTACTTGATGCTATTTATAACTAATCATGACAAAAAAGATGCGCTAAAAAAACGTCCATTAGAGGAGGGAACTCGTTTATTTGAAACAAGATAGCACCAACAAAAGATCCACAACAGTGTATTCTATTGGTTAAACAGGTTTTTGTACTCCACCGAACACAAAAAAAAAAAAAAATTGCATAAAATTCCATATCCTGGAAGTGTATGTGCACCTTATTTCGTATCACCATTTTGCGAACCCTTTTATAATATTTAAACAGAATAGAGAAATGTCGATCCCAGACAGATTAGTGTAGAACAAGTCCTTATTTAGGAAAAATGCAATGATGCTCAACAAAGATATTTGAAAGTCCATAAAATCTTGTATGACTGTTCTTGTTGCAATATAGTCGCATCTCGTCAAATAGATATCTGCGTCAGAAAAGTTTGTTGCGCGACCTGAGCTTATTACTCTGTAATGCATATCTAATTAAAACACCTAAATTTTTCCAATTAACCGCGTATTCACTGCATGATGGGCCCTATCATTGACAGTAGAGTAAGACACATAGAGCACAAGTGATCGTTTGTTTTGACTTGTGCGTATGACCAGATCAACTAGTCTATTGTCTTACTTATTGTATAACTATGCACAAATAAGTCCGGTCTGGTCTGTGTATGATATATGGTATGACCAACATTTGTTCAATGTCTATTATACAAACTGTCTTGTCGGCCCCCAATGTCGCACCACATATAGATTGTATATCACAAAATAACCCGTCGGCGGTTGTCTAAAGAACGAATGCGCCACTACAAGCATTTGCGTATTATTTATTTTAAAAAGTTTTATTATTGTACAAAAAAAAAGTATATATATATAGTTTAAATATTAACTCGGCGAGGAGTAGTAAATTTAGAATCTTTACTTTTCGCTTTTGTCATTTTTACTTCCACTCGATTACCATCACCATCAACCGTTACCAAGAACTTGTTACCGGCTTTGATGCCATGACCATAAGTAGGAACGGGGGATATACCTCGATGGAAGGGTGTTGAACGAGACTCTCTTAAAGTTGGCGTATTTCCATTGCCACCGCGAATTGTCACACGGGGGGCATTTCGACCAACTGTCGTATTCAAAAAACCATCGCGTGTTACACTACCACCAGAAGTGGGTAACCTGGATCTTCCCGAGACAAAATTGCCACCTTCCAAAAGAGCATGGTCTCTTAAGAACTGAGATAACTCAACCCAACCACCACCTACTCGCACCATCACCATTCGACTTCTTAAGATACGGCAATACGCGAGCTTTGGATTTATGTTACCAAACCAGTATTTACCAACTTCACCAGGAACCATCTTGACTTGAATCTTGTACGGCGAGTCATTCAGGATATCCCCAAGTGCTACATCAAGATCGTTTTTAGGATCAGAAACATAATTCTCGGGTGTCTTCACTGTTACACGTTGGCGACTTTCTTGGGCCGCGACCTGGCGTGCAGCAACTCTTCTAGCAGTAGGAGAAATAGACCCAGCTGTTGTTCTCCTTGTACTGGTTCGTGCTGCAGTAGCAGAAGCGGCACTCATGGGAGGGGTATTTGTTGAAGTGAAACTAGGCTTTGTAGTGCGATTATAACCTGTCATATAGCGCGGAGTAGATTGCATTGTCTTGGGACTGGGTGGTTGTTTTAAAACCGGTGTCGAGGTCTTTTTCACCAAACTGGCAGCTTTTCTTCCTCTTTCTTGAAGTATACCTTCAGTAGTATGTAAAGCATCAAATGTATCTCCGAGAGGACCAATTCTGGCCATCAGATCAGCCTTCTTGGCAGCGGCTTCAGATTGCAATTGAGCCCATTTATCTGAGAGCTGCTTGATACAATCAACTACACGACGATCATCCATAAGGTTTTCGGCGACAATCTTTGACTCATCCAGGAGATCATTGATTTTAGGTTCATAGTAACGATAACGAGTATCGAGATCAATTAACAATGCTTGCAAGTCAGTACGACTATAGTTTCCATCAACAATACGAGCATTTGAAGGATCAGCACGGGATACAACTTCTGTCAAGGCAAGTAATAGAACTTCCAGCTCCTCCATGACAGTCAAAAATCCCTCCATCTTTTCCGCCTCGGCAATTGCTCTTCTTTTGGTCTTCATCAAATCCATTAATCCACGTACAGCAACGGTAATTTCGGTGCGTTGTCCTGAAAATATATCATCGTTACTTTGTTGACTAATGACATTTAACATGGCATCTAATTCTTGAATGGAAGGCTGTAAATGAGTCTCCATATCGCGATCCAAAATGGTTAATTCAGCTTTTGCAGAGGCTAATCGATGTTCAGTAGGGATTGAAGTAAGTGGGCAACTTAAAACGGTCTTGAGATCCCGATTTTCGATACCATCATCCAGATGAGTGTTACGACAAATACGGACAGCACTGACACGGTCCTTCATATCACCTACTTGCATTAAAATAGCCTTGACCTTGCGAGCAATTTCTACGCCCCGTTTTGAATTATCCAGCAAAAATCGAGCTTGTTGATGTTGTCTCTTCAAGTCTTCCCATGATTTCAAAAGACCAGCTTCACGATCACGAACAGAATCCTTGACTTCATTACGATCTAGACTGATTTCACAAAGATCAAGTGGAGAGCCATCTTTTTCAGCAAAAATGCGAGACTCCATAGCTTCAAAAGCTTGAATGGTAGGTCTCATCTCATTAATCTTTTGATCCAAGTTCTCTAATTCAGCCGCTAGTTCATGCTCATCATTCATGCAGACATCAGTAGGCAAATTTACAATAGCATTGGAGCAGTGATCAACCCATATTTGCAAGTCATTGGCAGCCTTGGCATGGATATAAATCTTTCGAATGAATACCGCTTGCTTTTTTTCCAATCCAATCGTATTTGATAACTGATCTAAGCTACCCTGAATACGTTTAATAGGTTCCTGAACAGAAGCACTGTCATATCCCTCGGATTCCAGCTCCTTTGCGATAGCTTTAAGAACATCCAGTTGCTTCAAAAGTTCCTGAGCATCTTTTTCAGAACCCAGACTTGCTGCTTGAGTGGTCTTGTATAAGGTATCAATCGAGTTCATGGGCTGAGAAGAGAATCCACTCATACCTGCAGTACCCATACGCCGACCAATGTATTCTTTTTGATACTGAACTTTACCAAGTATCTTATCCGCCTCACTGAGGAAAGCACTGTAAGCCATGGCCTTGTTTGCATTATTTTGGAGAGCCTTCAAGTTATTTGAGGCAGCAAGCACCTTGTTTGTCAAGAAGGTATGTCTATCACGAGCACAAGAATAATTAGCTGTTTGAAGAGGATCTTCTTTATTATCCGCCGCATGAATAGCATCACCCGTCTCTTTCAAATGACTGGAGGCTCTATCGATTTTTTCTTGAAGAACCTGCAAGTCAGGATCAGACCAGCCTTGTTTTGCCAAACGAGCAATATCTTCATTGACACCTACAATCAAATCGTTTTCTACCATACTCAAGCGACGTTGACGATCGTACCACTCACCCACAGTCTGCGAAAAAAGGTCGAGATCACCAATTTCTTTACCAAGTGAAATCCAATCCGTTTCCAGAGATTGCTGAATAACACGAATTTCCTCCATGTTTTCCACTTTAGAAGGTTCCATCAGAGCAAAATGAGAACATAATTGAGCAAATTGGGCTTGTTGATCCTTGTAACTGGTATTGATTTTGTTTAATGAATGGCGCAACATTTCGAATCTACGTTTATCTTGTTCTTCTGATTGGCCCGTCATGAAACCACACGTTTGTTTTAAGCCTGGCATTGAATGACGAGTTTCGTTCATGAATGAACGTAGTGAGCGAGCATTCTCAAAATACGTATTACCGTCCTCCATTTTTTTACGAAGCTGCTCTAGATCCAAGCCATGCTCTTCCAGTATCTGCTGTAATCGATCGAATCTTTCCTCCAGTTGCTGAGATACTTCCACTAGCCCTTCTTTGTCCAAGGATGAAACGTCTAATTTTTGACCTGTTTCCAAAAGTAATTGTATCCGGGTCAACAAATCTACCACTTCATTCTCCTTGCCGTTTTTGAGTTTACTAACAATATTGTCCCGATCTCGCTCAAGCCGCTGCAGATCCTCTACCGTAAAAGAACTTGTTTCATGATGATTAATTTTAGCTTTTCGGATGGTCTTGACACGTTCATCAGCCCAATCACAAAGACGAACTGCATCGTCTAAATATTCTTTTGAACGCCGATGTAACTGTAAGATGTTTCGAAAAGTATGTAACCGTTCATCCAAGTCTTCACTCAGCATGATGAGATCGTTACGCTTTGATGTGATGACACCCTGAATTTCTTCATTGGCAGCGGTATTGGGAGCTTGATCAATATCCAATCCAGGCACAGGATAGCGTATACGACCCGCAGTAGATGTAACAAGTTGTACGATTCTCTCATGCATGTTTTGGACACGTGCCGTCATTTCTCGGTCATTATCACCCGGATGGGCTTTTGTTTCCGCATCCATAAGATCTAATTGTAAAGATTTGGTGTCATCCATAACCATATCTGTCTGATATAAGAAATCCATCACATTTAATCGTTGTTCAACAACATGTCTAGCAAATGTCATTCGTTTCATCAGGTCATCAAAAAACTCCTCACAGCCGTCTTGTCTCGACTCCAAATGACGTGGTAATTCAACAGATGATGTGCTATCCAAATCTTGAAAACTATCCACGGTTTTAGTAAACTGACCTTGATCGAACTCAGCCATCTTTCGTTCTAATGTCAAGAGTTGTTGCACAATAATTTCCTTCTGTCGCTCCTTTGCCATTAAACGTTCACGTTTCATGTGATCCTCGACCACTTCTTCTTCTGCTACTGTCCAACGAGCACTTGACTTAAGAAAGTCATCCACTTGTCCATCTGTTTCTTTCAACCAATCAATCGCTTTAACGTACTCCTCCTCCCATAACACACGTTGAGTTAATACTTGTAAGTCATAGCTCTTCCTGCGAAGTGAATGTATGAGCTTATCCAGTGTAGTGAGAGTAGTGAGCGTAATTTCTATTGTTGTTGTGTCAGCAGGACTTAGATCCTTGTCGGCTCGACCGGAACCAGTCAGGGTCTTTACATGTGACCTTAATCTAGCCATATCTTCCTTATCAAAAGCTTCGATTTCTTTTTCCAGCAACGAATGAGCAGTATTAAACGCCTCGACCTGTTCATGAGAGGCAGGCAAGTCTTCCGAAACGAGTGGATCCGGTAAAGGGGTACTATTGAGTTGATCGATTCTGATCTCAATCCATTGTCTAATACGTTCAGCCTCAGCAAACCAAACACGTACTTCTTCCACCCAAGTACCTACCAAGTTATTTTTACTGGAGATGGATTCGAACTTTGTGATGTAAGAAGTGTCTGTATCTTCTGTATCGGCAATTAAGAAATCACTGAAATTTGTTTTCAGTGTATCGACCATATCGGTTGTTTTTTCCATATGATTTTCGAGTTCTTGAATATCATGATGCGTAGTAATAGACTTTACCATTTTATTTTGTACAAGATCTAATTCATGAGAAATAGAGGAACACATACGAGCAAATGCAAAACCCCTTCTAAAATTGGCCAGAACAGTTTCTGATCTTTCGAATTCATTGGACAATGTCTGATGTAATTGTAATAATTGTGTTTTACGTGAGACTACTTTTGGATAATCCCTCCACATTGGTTTCAATTGTTCGGCCATGTATGTTTGCAATAATATCAAATCTCCGTCCGTAAGTGCTTGAAATTCAGATTGCAAAGCTTTAAAATTACGATCGTAGGCCGAATAATCCTCTTCGGCGGCTTGCAGCGGATGAAGCACCCTGACCATTTGTTGCTGCATCAATTGAATATCATCACCACTCATCATGCTGCCGGTATGACTACTATTGTCATGATGCCTGGATGTAGAAGCCGTTGTATTATCATCTGTTAAGAAAAAATCCATCGAATCCACAGAAGAGGGTGAATAGTTTAGTGACCTTGTTGGCACTATCAAGATCAAACGATGTTGCAATCCAGATAGTTTTTCATTTAGAGCAGAAGCGCGTGATTCAAATTCTTCCAGATCAGTTGGTATCTCTGTGCCGTCACTATATCTTAGGATGGTTGTCTTTGTGATTTTTAGCTGCTGTAATGTATAGGTGGACGTAAAAGTAGTACTTGTACCGTCTGCAGTATGATGTCGTGAATTTTTGAAACGTTCAATATCACGATGACGTTGTATCGTTTTGTCTTTTGTGGGTGTATACATGCAAGGTATTAACTCCATGAGATATGCAATCATGGAAGATTCATCCTTTGTATCGTCTAATGTTGGGTCAAATAAGATGGGTGAATGAAAATTTTCAAAGGCTATTTGGAAAGCGGTAGATAATTGATGATGTTGAAATAAATCAGGTACAAGAGATGGGTTGTGGTAATGAATAATTGCTAATAGATATATTCCTGATTGCCATGATGATACATATAAGTCGGCTAAAGGTGATATTAAGGACGCGCCAACATAGTCAGCTAAGATGAATGTTGACCATGAAAAGACAACTGTTCTCACATCTTGTAGTTGTTTGGGTATAAATTGAGCCATCTAAATGTTTGTTTGTAAAGACGGGTGAGTGTTTAATAAGAGGCATACATGATTAAATATACATTACATGAGCGGTAAAAGATAATTCTCTATTTTGTAATATTGTATGAATAATGGTATAAGCTTGATATTGAGTTTGGATAATACCTAGGAGAGTTAAGATCTGGTTCTGATCACCATTCAAATAGGCAGAAATATCAATTATATTTTGTGGTAAAATATCACAGACAGGTATAGTTAAATTAATTTCATTCAATAATAAAGGAATATCATCTTCATTTAATAAATCCAACTTATTATTAAAAAGGCACTGAATAAATAATACAAGTGTTGGAATCTCTGCTAATTGTTGTAAACTTGAAAGGCTGAAGTGAAGATTGATCCAATTTAATAGACTCGATTGCTTAATGGTGGTTTGCATATTGCCGTTATCAAGTTGTGTTGTCTTTTTTTAGTTACAAAAAAAAAAAAAAAAAAAAAAAAAATAGAGAGAACAAGAAGAACAAAAAGAAAGGGGTACACACGATGAAAATCAAATAGAATATGCAAATCTTTTTTTGGTCTTTTTCTTTTTTATCCGAATATTGTCCCACGAAACACGTTTTATCTTACACTTAACCCCGAGCCGAACATGTGAATGCCTTGTCCGTCTTTGCTATATTAAAAAGAAGAAGAAAAAAGGTTATATGTCTTTCTTGTTGGTTTAATGATGATGTCATCCGCATCTCCTTTATTTACTTTTTCATTTCATGTTATAGTCGTAACTTGAAGATCGATGTGCATACTAATTCCACTTTAAAGTGGTACATAATGGGCTGAATTATTTAAATACCCGTACCTTAAATACGATGATGGGACGTAAGAATTAGTCTCTTTTTGCATATTGTATTCCCGTCACAAACAATCCTACCTTTTGATTGTTTATTCCATCAAAAGTGGCATCACATCTTTTGTTTATGGTCAATTTAACCCGAGTTTTCTTGGCCAAAGCAAAAAAAAAAAGTTCAATTAGTGTATATTTGTATTCGGCCCGAGCGGAGACCATCAATGGTCCCAAGAGCAAGTGACTAGTTATTGTTCATACCAAATAAGGAACCCAAAGGCTTCTTTAAAGACAGTTTATCCCCAATCGCTTGGTCCTTCTATTGTTCGTTTAAAAGACTGAGACCGGAAAGCTTATTTAAAAAAAGGGGTCGATATCACCTAAAGTTTGATAAAGAAATCAAACTACATTAGACGCCCTCGCTTCTCACTTTGCTAAAACATAAAAGTGTTTAGTAGCTTGTAAGCCCTACATGTGTAACTTCAGAAAGCTAAATTTTGGGGTAAAGTGGCACAGATTTCAAGGTAATTTATACTTTATATTAGACTATGATTGCAGATGCTAAAGACGCAGATGTAATTCAATTAGCCACACAAAGAAAAGATATTTCATGGTTTTTAATATGATTGTCAGAGGAAGAATAATCAATAATAATTGCAACTGTCATTGCAAAAGATCACGAGCTAACACGAGCTAATGTATTTTCTCACAAAATATGATAAATCTTGCTCGTTTGCATCAAATATGAAATCTTGTTTTTGTTCATGAATCAGAAACAAACAAGCATATGTCAATCGTAATCGTATCGCCAAATACGGTTAATATTTTTCATCGATTCATTGGTGATGTATGTATCTTTAAGTAAGGCATCGTTTGTTATGCTTATTGCCGATAAATATGTATGCCTCAGAAATAACCTACCCCCGGATAATATTAAAGTGGGCTTATCTTTAGAGTATCTATGTATTCAACATATCCCTCTCAAACAGGGTCATCACTCTTCGTACTATCAGAACGTATCTTGTTAGACTTGGTATTTGTTGGGGCCCATACAAGCTAATGCAGTTCCCTCATCAAACTGACAGGTTTACGGGTTAAAAACGGGTAAAACTAGACAAGCTAACATCACTAGCAGCATACTAAACTACAAAGACGCAACTTTTAAAGAAGTTTCACCAAGTGAACAACTCTGTTTTTCGTTTTTTTAAAAAGTTAAAGATTCATAAAGATGAAACTCACGAAATTGCACATAATGCCATAAGTTGATACGAAGACCAATCCTAACCATTCTGTGCACCCATCTCATGTGTTATTAGGTACTCTTCAATTGTTTGACGATTTCGATGTATCAGCGATAATTACCGAGGTAACCATCTCACACGAATGCTTTTTATTTCAATTGGTGATTTTTGCGTTGTTAAGGAAAACAAAAATTACCCCATTTTGCAACCCCTATTTATACTTTTTTCAAAAAAAATTTTTCTTGATGGTAAAGAGAGGTCACTTAATTTACCGCTCCGCGTGGTTTACCGGCACTGTTTGTTTGCAAATAAATTAATACAATTTTTGAGAAAAACATTTGTCGTAAGTAGCACTATTCTATTTCTTCTCTCCAGAAATAATATAGTGGCAATCAAATTCAACGTTTCGATTGCCATCCGCTTTATTTGTACTCGTCACTCTAGTGCCACCCGGTTTCTATGTATAGCCCGAATTACTTCATGACCTAGTTGATCATGTTGTGCAATACAAAATAAAGGGACAAAAAAGTCCAAAATTTGTGGATATTAAGAAAAAACTAGTACATTCGTATGCTGTTTTTTTCTGATTCTTGTCTTGATTGAACTCAGTTTAACTAGTTTTTATTACGTGATCAGATTCTAGCGATGGCGCTGCTTCGGTCTTTGTACTGAATTTATCAAAATAATCAATAGCATACCAAGTATGGAAACCAAGCCTGTGCTGAGGCTCACCCTAGTGCCACACTTTTTTTTATTACAACCGTAATCGCTTATCACATGAATACGGTACGATACTACAATGAAGCTTGGGAAGAACTCAAATAAACAGCGGGTAATTGTCACTTTCCAGCCTGCGCACATAGGCACACACACGAAGGAGTTAAATTAGTGCTACGAAAGACGATTTTAGTTAAATTACAAATTGTGTGTCTGCATATCGAATCAAACGTCATTTCCCACTAGGAATAAGCTTTTAAATTACGGTTTTAATGCAAGTCTATTTAATGTAGTAATAAGAACCGACGCATGAACATCAAACATGCAATGTGAAAAAGTCAAGAGATGGGGGGCATTCCAGTTATCTACACACTGATTCGTAGCGTAATAGGTTCTCCCGCTATTAAAACCACGCTGTTGTATCCTTGGATGATTACATTTTTAATGCACCCTACACAATCATTCGGCTGGGCATTGATTTATTTGGCAATTCCGTGCTTCTTTGCTTGATCAGGCAAAGTGTGAGTCTTAACCTGTGATTTATTCTTATAAATAATGGCACATCTCATTTCTCCTTTTTTATAGTAGGCATCAGACACATCTTATTTTATCAACGTTTTTTTTAGTACTCCGTGGAAAAAAGAAGTAGCAAATTACCATTTAAGAAAAAGGTACCTGCGCGACTGGTTTTCTTGTCAGACCGAATAAATATTTATTTTTTATAAGCTCCTTCAAGACACCTTTTAAACAAAAACTTTGTTTGAATATACCCGATATAAAATAAACCATAAAACGGTGGCTATGGAAACACCCAGTAACCACAGGAGAAGCAGTAGCGCAAACGACGCCATTACACCCACGAGTCATCGTCGAATTCCTTTTGTTCATCGTTTATCATCATTTAGACGCAATCACCATAATAGAGGAACTTCGTCGTCTTCGCAATTGTCGTCAAGTCTGTCCGATACCACCAGCACCACCAAGCCCAAAGATGATATGCTATCTTCAGATTTAATCCTGAAAGTTGCTATTGTTCGAGGTCGCAGTTTGGCCCGAGAAGATGAGGTAAATACTTAAAAAAGAAAGAAAACCTCGTGTGTGTTACCTTCGTATCCCTATTTTACATTGATGCCTAAAAAAATCAATTATTTATAGGCAAATATTCCGAATCCATACGCAAGTGTAAGATTTGGAGGGATTCGACACAGAACAGATACGATAAAGAAGTCGTCTGATCCAGAATGGCTTTGCACTTTTGAGTTCAATTTATCAAATGATATCATTGGCCATAAAAAAAGATTGAGGGCTTTAAAAAATCATGGTTTAACCGTTACCGTTTATAGCAAAGACAGGTTTACCTCCATTTTCTTGGGCCAAGTGCATTGGTCATTTGATCAACTCTTTCAAAATCAATCAATCGCTTTTGATGGGAATAACGTACGTGCTCAGTAATGAATACGTGTAACGTGCGCTAATTTTTTTTTAAATAGGCTAAATGGTTTCCGCTGTCCCAAACCAGTCAGCGAAGCAAAAGATTTAATTTAAGAAAAAAGCGGGAAGAAGTTGATACCAGTACTGCATCTGACACTGACCAACCTGAGATATGTATTCAGTACGGCTTGAGTTATAAAACAGAGGGCGGAATGGTATTACCTGCAAATGCCGTCACCATGGAGGAGGACTGGCAATATCTGATGAACGACGATGATCTATTGGCTGATTCTAATTCACTATCTACTTCTCCCCAGCTAGTGCAACCCGCTATGCAAGAAAGTACTAGCTCGTCTACGTTTGGGCGCTTTAAAAGAAACCCCAGTCAGCAGAAATTGAAAAAAGATAATTCAATGTCTTCTCTTCACAGTTTAACACCTTCCACATCCAATACTACCCGTCGAAAGAAATTGAAAAACAAATTTACTCGTCGTCGACGCAATCGTAAATCTGAAGGCTATGCCAAATTCTATTCTGACATTATGGGTATTACCTTTTTAGAAATCGAAAGTGCCAAAGATTTACCACCCGAGAGAAACATGACTCGAACCGGATTTGATATGGATCCTTTTGTGATTGTGACTTACGGTACCTCCACTTTCCGTACAAGAGCTATTCGCCATAACTTGAACCCTACCTGGAATGAAAAGCTCTTTTTCCATGTTCGAAACAGCCAAGAAAATTACAAGATTAAATTTGCCGTTTATGACAAGGATAAATTTTCCAATAATGATTTTGTAGCCTCACAAGAAATCACCATCTCTGATATAATTCAAAAAATGCCATCACCCTCCTCGTCCCCTCTCCTTTCGGGTGAAACTCCTTCGGAAGAAATCGACCGTTGCATGGGCAGACATACCATTCCATTAAAGCTAGCAAACGCAGATAAATGGCAAGGCAGTAATCCCACCTTGACAATTCGTGCCAAATTCGTTCCCTATGTTGAGATTCGAAAAATGTTTTGGATTGCCCTAGCAAAAACCTGCGATGGTGATAGTTCAAATACGATGAGTCGACTGGAAATCCAAACTATGCTGGAGACTCTCGGATCAAATATATCCGCCGGCACTTTAGATCATTTTTGGGTGGAACATAATAAAGATCCTTCAGAAGACTTGACTATGGATGAACTCGTGCAGAGCTTAGAAGCTTGCCTACAAATGGCGGATGAGAATCAGATGCTCCGAAAAGGCGCTGACTATACTATTATTGAAGAAGGGAAAGATTTGCCTGTTGATATCAAAAATAATGCCACTGTCGACCCATTTTTCATGGCTTCTGATGACGAAGATGAGTATGATGAAGAAGAGGAGGATGAAGAAGAGTCTGACGATGAAGATGATGAAGACGAAGAGGATGATTGCTTCACCAGCCTGGGTGAATATGACGATGAAGATGATGATCTGATGCATTCCAATTCTACAACAACCACTCCACATTCACCAGATGAAGCCGATTACGAGGTCCTGGCCGAAGCTGACGGTGTTCAATACATTAATAGCCCCTTAAAAAATCTGGAACTTAAGGATGACGAAGATGCGAAACACCACTCAACAAATCATTCACACGAAAAAGTCATTCGACTGACTGAATGTCCTATTTGTCATAAGCCAAATCTTGCCAAACGAGGTCAAATGGATATTGTCACACATGTTGCTACATGTGCCGCAAATGATTGGACTACTGTCGACAGATTTTTAATGGGTAATTTCGGTACCGAAGCGCAAGCACAAAGAAAGTAAGTTTGTCCCAAATATTTATATGATGATGTTTAGCTGAGCATAATTTCTATAGATGGTTTGTCAAATTGGTAAACAAGGTTGGATATGGTAGATACTCGGCTGGAAAGAATAATGCCAATATTATTGTCCAAGATCGTCAAACAGGACAGTTGATAGATGAACGTATGAGTGTGTATATTCGATTAGGTATGCGCCTCGTCTATAAGGGTATGCGCTCTGGTATTCAATACAAGACAGCCCAAAAGATTCTTGCCAATATGTCACGTAAGCAGGGTCGTCGCTTTGATAACCCTTTATCTGTCAAAGAAATCCCTGCCTTTATCAAATTCCATCAATTGGACATGACTGAAGTGTTAGAACCCACCGAGAATTTTAATACATTTAACGAATTCTTCTACAGAAAGTTAAAACCTGGAGCTCGTCCTTGTGATTCACCCGATAATAAAAATGTTGTGGTTAGTCCAGCGGATTGTCGTATGATGGCGTTCCCTACCATCGACATCGCCACCAAGATCTGGATTAAAGGTACAGAATTTAGTATACCCAAGTTGTTGGATGATCCCGAGGAAGCTGCTGCATATGATGGTGGTGCATTGGCTATTTTCAGATTAGCCCCTCAAGATTACCATCGTTACCATTCTCCTGTTGATGGCATCATCCGAAAAATCCACAGTGTAGAAGGCCAATATTATACCGTCAACCCCATGGCCATTCGAACTACGCTGGATGTCTACGGTGATAATAAGCGTGATATTGTCCATATGGATACCGAAGTATTTGGTAAAGTGGCTATTGTCTGTATTGGTGCCATGATGGTGGGATCGATTATATTGACAGCAAATGTCAATGATCGATTGGCTAGAACCGATGAATTAGGCTACTTTGCTTTCGGTGGTAGTACACTAGTGGTGCTATTTGAAAAGAATGCTGTCCGCTTCGACGATGATTTGATCCAAAATGGAACAGATTCGCTTGAAACTTTGGTAAGCTATTAAAAGTACTTATTAATATATTTTTATTAATATTCTTCATAGGTTCGTGTTGGTAACCATATCGGTATTCATCCATAAACGCTCACACGCATATGCATACACATATGCCCCTTAAACTATCTTGACACTGTACTAGTAAATTAATCAATAAGACTTAATCTTTATTTCTCACTTTCTCCCATTATACATTGTAAAAAAAACAAACAAAAAAAGCAAACTAATAAAATATATTAAAAATGTCTTTATAAAAAATAAGGGAGCGAATCATACTTCATCCGAAAACCCTTCTTCAATTCCTGGTTCCATTACAGCTGCATGCCCCAAGATTAGTAATGCACTAGCACCTAAAAAAAATGTTTAGGAAGGTCGTGATGCGATGTTTATCTGTTTCAGTACCAATAATCCAGAATATGGCACCTGTTGCACCAGAAAATAAGAGCAGCACAAGCGAGCCACATGCATAAGTTACGTACAGGTTTGAGGCGGATAAGGTCATAACACCAGCGATATTAATTGGCCCACTTGTTCCCAGCTTTGAAATCATGTAAAATCCTCCGAAGATAAATCCGATTGTAAACAATAAGAACCAGTCTGTAAGCCTAAAAAGCACATGTTAACTGATACTTCTTTGTTTTGGAAAGCAACTTTTATTACACTGAATAAATGGCTAAACCAAGCATGACTAAGAAATAATTGGATGCAAAATATTGCAGATTGTAGCTGCACCAAAAACATGATGAATGAAAGATTATATTTGTAATATACTCTATAAACCCTTACTTCCATCTATGACTAATAAGCTGGAATGATGTTGTGTACTTAAATCGATTTCTATCAAAAAACTCGCCCAAAGGTCGAATATTAGAGAGCTTTTCTTGCTTGAGTTTGTATAAAAATGCAAATCGGTCATTGGACACGTCATCAATAACGCAATCTGAAGTATTGACAGCAAAGGGACTGAAGGAAGGTGTTAACACGGCCGTTGCAGACATTTTCTTTTAAAAATAAAGCAGGAGAATACGACAATTGCTGGAAAAGAAGGGTCTTTAAATAAGTGTCTGTCACGAACATTTTTTTAATAAATCTACGTTTTAGAAACAAAAGGTACAAGCGGGGATATGTGTCGTCCGAGAGAGAGGAATGGGAGTTCCCAAACAAATACCATGCACGTGCCAATATTGTTAATATAGCTTCATAAAGTATTAATATGAGCAGCACACTGTTCTTAAGGTTTCTCGGGACTAGATATGTGTATTAAAATTTTATCACTTGCATCATATTGTAGCAGTTTTACAGTGTCATATATATTAATGTAATTACGGTAGCTGGCCGTGTTTCCAAGTATTACAATGTATTTTACTGGATTGTTTCAATATTTAGCAGCAATGATATGATGATGCTGAGCCAGCTTTACTTAAATGACTACATCATAATATTAAACGTACCAACATCATGACCCTTTAATTTACCAGTCTATTATTTACCGCACCAGCCTGGGCTAGGAATTTGATGAAAGTAATTGATGCTTGTCTTAATATCTTTAAACAATCGAAATCTTTTTTGCCCAATGCAAGTGTTAACAAATTTAATAATCAATTATAGGTTTTTTTTACATAAGAATTTCGTTATGGAAACAAGATTTAAGTTCTTTGTGGGGTAAAACAATACAGTTACGAATAATAGTTTCATCCATAACAGAAACATCCTTGCCTAATATTTTTAAAAAACAATGTTAATGGGTTGATAAAATGCCGCTAAAAATATACTAACCCAAGATGGTAATACTCTGACTCTTGACACCATTCTTCATCATGGAGCTGTCTTCTTCATAAACAGGGCATCCTTCAACACGAGCCCAAGATCCAATACGACTGTTCCAGCCAATAATTGAATGAAGAACACAACTGGCCTTCTATACTCATACTGTTAATTCGGATAGCTCACTCTTACTCTTTTTAACTTACTCCAATGTGAACACTATCGAGAATGATAGAATCCTTTACACGAACACCGCCCATAATGTTGACACGAGGGCCAATTGAAACATTGGGGCCAATCTAATAAAAATCCTTTAATATCAATTACATCGATATGTTATCTTGATATTCACCTTTGCGGTAGGATCAACGTGAGCAGATGGATGAATATAGACAGCACCGATAATTTCAGGGCCGCCAGGGGTATTCTTTGCGAGACGATCAGAGCCTTCGCGGGCTTCAGCTTCAAGATAAAGAGCATTTGCGGAAATAGCGGATCTACAAAAAATATGTCAATTTTTGTGCTACATCCGCCAGACTATTTTAGTCTATTTACCCAGCTGTTTTAATTTGCTTCCAAAATTGTTTTGTAACATGAACGTAGAGGTTATTATTTTCAGTTAAGGGTCTAAGAATGTCTTGCTCCAAACGTAACTCATCGTTGGATGAAGAAACAAAGTCAGTTTGTTGATAGCTCTCCTTTTTATCCAAAGCCTTCTTCATTTCAGCGAATACTGAGGTATCGAACAAGAAAACACCACATGAGATCAAATCAGAAATAAATGTGTCAGGCTTTTCGACATAATGAAGAACTTGGTTTGTTTCGGGATCTGCAACAAGACAACCATATTTGGTAGCCTCACTAGGGTTGACCTATGTCAATTGATTTGAGTTTTTGTTTTTACACGTTTTTTTTTTTTTTTTTTTTTTTTTTTTTTTTTTTTTTTTTTTTCACAGTTTATGTGCAGTTCCTACCTTGGTACCTAACATAGTACAGATAGATCTATGCTTCATATGGGCGCTTGCCATTTCGTTAAGGGGGAAAGAGCAAGCAATGTCAATGTGCATAACGAAGAAATGCTTTGTGTGTCCACGTAATATTTCATCACGGAAGTGGTAAATACCACCAGCTGTTCCTAAAGCTTGATATTCGTGAAGATAACTAGAGTAGAAAGTCAATATTTTTTTCCTTGACCTTTCCTTTCTTTTTTTACCGAATGTTTAAGTGAGGGAACTCAATGGCAGCATTGTCAATATAAGGAGCAAACACCTTATCCTCGAACAAACCAATAATCAAAACTTCCTTCAAACCCTTAACTTTAGATAAAGCATCGAGATGATGAGAAATGAGAGGTCGACCGGCAACAGGGAAGAGAGGTTTGGGTGAGTTAAGTGAGAGGGGTCTGAAGCGTGTACCTCTGGAAGGTCCACCGACGAGAATGACAGCCTTAGATTCAGACATTTTTATTTTTTCTAGTAGATGAGAGAAAAAGGCGAAGTTTTTTATTTATTTTGAAGCAAATGTAATGTTACAAAAAAGCCTGAGGTTGAAAAACTAGACTGGATTTTCAAAACACGAAACGAGTATGAATAATGAAGCACTGGTCTTGTTCTTGATTTCGAGCCAACATGCTGTATTAATTGTCAGTCGCGTGAGAAATTATCCACTTTTACAACTTGTTATTTGACAAGCAGCTCAGAAAGTTCAAATGGTAGGGAAATAGATATAATGATACAAACTATGATACAAAATTTATTTCTCAGGCATGAGAGGTAGGAAATACAAACCACCATATTGAAATTCCTATTATAACCAGTATAAGCAAAAACAGAATGAAACAAAACCATTTTCTCTACACAAAGAGAGGAAAGTTAGCATCTGTTTCTTTTTTTTACATACAGAAGGCAATTATACCTTCCGGGTAATCTTTGCTCTAGTCACAGTAACTGCAACATGTCTGGTGCCTTTTTCTAAATCGTGTACAACTCCTTCCGACACTTTTTCTAAATGTATAATCGTCTCTTGTTGCAACTCTACCATTGTTTGCATGTCTACAAACAAATTGTGAAGTTCCTATAAGAGCTAATTAGTACAGCGCGTTTCTATAAATGTTTCGTCGCATACCATAATTGTTTTCTCGATTCTCTTAATATCTTTATGTCTGGTCTGGACTTCATCCAATACTTGACTTGCATTGCCTGTACGACTCGAATTTAGAAGCTAACGAGAGCATTAAATTATTTATGCAAAAAAAAAAAAAAAATAAAGACTTACGGAATGAGCAAATATTTGTGGTGCCTGATCCGAATCGATGGCCATTTCAATTTCTTCAGCCGTCGCTTCAGGCTTAACTACGCCAACAATGTGTTAAGATATATTAAATGTCAGCTAGGTTTTTATTTACCAATAAGAATCTGTCTTTCGATACGTTGTCTATGTTTTTTTTCGAAGGCACGTTCAATGTCTTGATACCTTTGGATGGTCTCTACAAACTTCTTCTTGAGTGCGTTTAACTATATTATACCCTTTAAGATCCTATATTCGGTTATAATAAATTTGTCAATTTTGTACCTGAGTTACACGCATCTCTCTGTCGCTCGTATCAACCGATAGCCTGGCGTTGTTAGTCTCAGTTTCTTGAAGATGTAGGGTTAGTCAATGTTGAAAGTTACTATATATATATATTACCTTTAATGCTACTTCTAACTTCCTTATTTAGTTTACTCGTTTCATTTACTAGAGATCCTAAAAGCTTATTGCATTCGATGGTTTTATTTCCATTAATAGTGGAAAGTGATGAGGTATGCAATGATTCTATTTCGGTCACATTTTCGTTGATTTTCCCAATAAGCCATTTGATATCTTCAATCTTATAAAAACAAAGCGCGAAAGATTTTAGTTTTTGGGTTGGGGAGTAATGTTTTATATCTACCTTGGCGAAGAATGCTCCAGTAGATTCTGGCGCACTATCGAATTGACTTGTGGGTCTTTGGCTGTTATAATATGCTGCTGTTTCGTCTTGGCTGATTGGAAATGTCCTGAATATAATGGTCGATAAATGCAAACGTGGTTTTATTTTGTGTTTTACCTTTTCACTTCAGAATCAATAATAGCTGAATTCTATCAAATAAAAGTTAGCTCATGTGTATTGTATCGCAAATATTTTAGTTACTCGTTTAAATTCTTCTAGTCTATCGCGGCTAAGAGTCATTCGATAATCAGGCATATAAGTGAAAAGGATGTTTAAATAAGGAATAACAAGGGCTTAATTTTATTGTAAAAAAATTAAACAATAACAAAGGACTAAAGAAAGAGAAATATATTCGGGATGATAATTTGCTCGCATTTTCATGTTTATAAATTGATTATTAAAAATGCCTTGATTTGGATATTAATTCTCCTTTCTCCTGAATTCTCTGGGTTTAATAATGTCTCGACTATTAAATTCATTTTATTTATTTTACATTTATCTTTTTCTTATTGTTCAAAATATACAATCAATAGAACGGTTCAATTATCCTCACATCATTGTTTCAGATCATAACAATATTCTAAAATTATACATAAACATATCTTACCGTATAATTAAATCTCGAGGGTGACTTCCAAGATATGTAATATTACTCCTAACAGTCTAGCTAACGCCACCAGTATAAAGCTGATGCGAGTAGTAAATAATTTAAAATATCATATAGCATAAAAGTATGCGAACTAGATATTGCGTTGCCGATGCAAAAAGCCAATATTTTCAGCTGATTTCCTATCAGTTACAACAAAAGAATACGATGAGTTGATCGGCTGTCAATTAAACAGATTTGTTAGAAACCAAAAATAGAAAACTAACTCTTTTAGTTTTATTTGGCCTTACTTTTAAAGGCAGCATCAACTAACACTATATAGTTTTCATAAAAGGCTCAAACAGATATAGAAGCGTTTCTTTTAAACAATATATGCTTTTTAGTCTGCCTCAACAAAAAATTAAAAGTTTCCCAATTGTATTGAAACTAAAGGAGTGCGGAGAGAGCAAAACCAAAATATATACCCTCTTTTGCAAGGGATGCAAGGGAGCCTAATTCTGAGTAATATGATATCAACTAAACACTAGATAGAACTAAAAGTACTTTCAGTTGAAAATAACGGCATAATATTATAAAACAGGATTATGCTTATCAAAGTAAAAATTGGGCCAACATTTTAAATATTAGGGACATCCTCATTTGTAACAAAATTTATTTATAAATCTTAGTATGTTACGCCTTCAAAGCATTACTTATTTAAGTTCATTAATACGAATTCTCATATATAAATTATAGAACCGATCTATTGATTCGCATCATGTTGAAGATATCAAGAAGGAAAGCGATTTTAGATAAGTGGATGATGGTCATGGATCCAATCGCGAGATACAATATAAATCAACTTCAACGAATCTCATAAACTCTGCTTGACAGTTCCGTTATGTATTGACAAAAAAAAACTCTGATTTTAGCATTTTAATTTAAATGTTCTAACCTTAAAACGTTATTTCCGATTATCATATTGAGTTTCTTTTTACGCTCACAGTTAAAGAGAGATGAAAGCCACTTTATTCAAGGGTTATTTGGATATATAGGCTGATAGAAAATAGCATTAAATAGTATTGCCCGCTCTTTGCTGTTAATAGTAGTTCTACATGTGCGACTATAATGGTTGATACTTGATAAATATAAGTTACACATGCATTTGTACACTATCATAAAATGATTCATGAACTTCATCTAATTATTGGATTGAGGTTTGTTCATGTACTTTATAAAATTTCTGTTTTGGAGCTCGAAATCGAGCTACTAGATAATGCAACTAATGACGATCACTGGAAAGACAATGATGGGTAAGCCAATAATAATATGCGGCTTAGAATTTTATTGATATAACAGTGTTAAATGTGCCGATATATGGTATTTATTTGTAATTTTTGTGTATACTCAGGTCCTAAGTCTTGTCCGATCACCTTAAAACAAAAAGAAATATTACACAAAGCTATCACGATATAATATCTTCGACTGGATTTTTATTTAGGCAGACTGAATTTTTCATCGAAGTTATGGTGTAGATATATAATTCATTGGTATTGTCACGCATTTGTTGTCGTAAGGCAGTAGTAAGCGAAACTTGTTAAATATTACCCTATAATTTTTATATACATTATTAATGGTTAAAACTTACTCTTTTATCTACAATTGTTGATAATTATAAAAATTAAGCGTAATAAGCCACTTTCCCGTTCGTCTTTTAGCAGTGCTTAGAAATTATTCTATTTTCAGATAGATGTATTTTATTGATATCAGTGATTTGAGCTAAAGAAGAGCCTAATCCTTAACCTGGGTATCATGGCGCAGTTGTTCAAATAGTACTGCATTGAAATCCTGACGTTGCAAGTAACTGATAAACATGCAGCACATATAAGTCGTATAATTTATTCATGTATACAGAGTTGTCGCAGGAGATAATAAATAAGGAGATCGCATTTGACCAAATCCCGGTTTAGGAGATGCACCTTTTTGAAAGAAACCCAGCCACAATAACGTTTGAGGTCCTTTGCAAACAAGAGCACGAAGAAGTTTTTACGGACCTTAAATGAGCCACACCCGAACAAATATGGATGCTTTTTAAATCGCTCGTACTGCTCACTATGATGTATCATATCAGCTATTATTTGAGGTATATATTCCCTTAAAAGTTTATAGTAGGAAGTGGAATGAAAAAGGAGAATTGATTGATTAAGAGGGTCAAATTAAAAGAAAAAAGGAAGCCTGTGATTCAGGTGCCGTGGCTGAGATGGAATACTAGGAAATCGAATATCAAACAGAAACCGATTCCATAAATCATGACGCGTTTTGTTACCTAAACATGCACAAGAGACAAGGAAAGAAGCAAACTAAGCTGCCACTATCAGACGACAAGTTAAAAAGAGTCAACAAAAAACATCCTATCCAACAAATAGTGTCTTGTTTACCACAACTGGCCATTTCCTGTGCAATCTTATTCTGTGCCATTACTACATTCAATGTTAAATTGCAAGATGTTGGGTAAAACATGAGAGAGAAAAGAATGAATAAAATTTGTAGTTTATTGACACACTGTATTTAGAGGTACTGTATTTCTAGTCTCTTTAGTAGCAGGCGCCGTTATATGTATAATTTTTGTTCTACTCCAGCTTGGAGGAGCTCAATATAAAAACTGGCAACAAGAACCGAAAACACGTCAATACATCCAAATAGCCAGCATAAACGCTGTGGTGTCTTTTATTGGATTCAATATATCTTTGTGGTCATTTTTTGGAATTCTTACACCCATTGTGGTTATTTCTGGATTTGTATTTGTGTTGTCCACTCTAATTATTACAACTGCCCTTTTTTAATTGCTGTGCGACATCAAAATTTTTGTGATTTAACTTGTCTCCTAAGTCCTTTTTCCTTTTCTTTTTCGTTCCACACGAATAATAAAAAAAGGGGCAAACAAATCACACTCTTCTCTCTCTCTCTTTTACTTTATTATCGTTTACAGTAAAAATCAAGCTTTTTTAACCATAGCTTAAATTATATAAAGTGGCGTCGAATAATAATAGTAATACTCAAAACCCTTTCGAAGACTCATCTGAGTCCGGGTTGAGTCAATCTCGGTACGAATATTCAACACCATCTCATCATGAACAAAGTCGAGATCTAATAGACTTGCAACAGAACCGTGCCATTCAATCTCAGCAACAAACTTTTTCTACTTCCACTTCTGCTTCAACCATAAATCCTCAACAGCCTGCTTATACTCACCAGCAGATCAAGAGAAATGATTCATCTTTTGCTATCGATGAAGGTAAGGGGAGCTATACGGGAGTATGAAAAGAAAAGGGGACTTATATTGGTTTATGTTAGGGTCGTTTTATGATGATTCAGTCGTAATTCATGACGACGATGATAATTTACAACTCCTGACAAATCGGGGCCAAATAGCTGGCCGCTATGACAAAAGCGCAAGCCCATCATCAGCTACATTGGATACCGGCATACCTTTACATAGACCTACATCTCAACCTCAACCTTCAAAAGTCAAACAAAAAAAATTTAACATCAAGGATACCATCAATAAACTATTAGGCAAGACAAATGCTGCTTCCGGAACTGCAGGCGAAGGCGGTGAGCGTATTATTCATGTCAACAATACAGAATTAAATGATCAGCAAAAGTTTTTACATAATCGTGTATTCACTGCTAAGTACACTTCCTATAACTTTTTATTTAAATTCTTGTATGAAGAATTTTCTAAATATGCCAATTTGTTCTTTTTATTCATTTCCGGTATTCAGGTAATTTATACTTCGGGAGAATCCAAAATATAGACATTAACATAAGGTATATAGCAAATTCCCGGCATTTCACCCACTTCTCGATATACGACATTGGTGCCTTTGGTGATTGTTTTATTCATTACTGCTATTAAAGAACTTGTAGAAGATTTGGTAAGCTCTTTCTTTAATGTCATATACAAAATACCTAACCATTTAAGTAGGGTGTTCACCGATCTGATGCTGAGCTCAATGCAAGAAAATGTAAGGTGTTGGAAGGTACACAGTTTGTTGAGAAGGCTTGGCGTGACATCAAAGTCGGAGATGTTTTACGAGTGGAAAGTGGCGAGAATTTCCCAGCGGATATCATTTTAATTAGTAGCTCCGAACCAGAAGGTCTTTGCTATATTGAAACCAGTAACTTGGATGGTGAAGTCAATCTTAAAATTAAGCAAGCACTTCCCCAAACATGTAATATTTTGAACCCAGTTGACATGACTCATTTGCAAGGTACTATTCGTAGTGAACAACCTAACAATCGCTTGTACAATTACGATGGTGTTTTTAGTACTTCGGCTATGAATGACGCTGGTAAGAACAGAGATTATGCGTTGGATCCCAACCAATTATTGTTACGTGGTGCTCAACTTCGTAACACTCTGTGGATCTATGGTATTGTGGTGTTCACCGGACATGAAACCAAATTGATGCTGAACTCCAGGTATTTTGGGTCATTCTATTTATTTGATTTGTACTAACCTGATCACATACAAAAAGTAAGAAGCCATCCAAAATTTCCAATGTTACACGTATCACCAACCGTAATATTCTGTATTTATTTGCGATTTTGGTTATTATGAGTGTTGCATGTGCTATTGGTGGTTTAGTATTTACGGTAAACATCAAACAATCACAAAATTTATGCATCATCTAATATGTTCGTTAAACAGATCACAAAGAGTGATTATGTTGATGGCTACTTGCAACTGGCCGCTGGAATGTCTCGTCCTCAAGCATTCGGTTATGATATTCTCACTTTTTTGATTTTGTTCAACAGTTTTATTCCCATCAGTTTGATGGTGACCATGGAAATTGTTAAATTCGTGCAATCTTTCTTAATCCAATGTGATTTGGACATGTATTACGATGTCACAGATACTGCCGCAGTAGCCCGTAGTAGTAGTTTAATCGAAGAGTTGGGACAGGTCAAGTTTGTTTTTTCAGACAAAACAGGTACTTTGACGTGTAATGAAATGCAGTTCCGTGAGTGTTCCATTGCCGGTATTTCATACGCTGAAAAGGTAGAATCTGACAAGCAAGCAAGAGAAGGGGTGGATGATCCTACATTACAATACAACTTTACTCAATTGAAGGAACATTTGAAGACTCATCCCCACGCCAACGTAATCAATGAATTTTTAACTTTGCTAGCTACTTGCCATACAGTTATTCCTGAAGCCCAAGAAGGGTCTGACGAAATCATTTACCAAGCTTCCTCTCCTGATGAAGGTGCTTTAGTCAAAGGCGCCAGTGATTTAGGATATATTTTTCATGTACGTATTTTAAAATCAATTAGCGATGGCAAATCTAATGTGTTATTATAGACCAGAAGACCTAACTCCATCACTTGTTCTCAACGCGGACAAGATTCAGAATACCAAGTCCTTAATGTTTGTGAATTTAATTCCACCCGTAAACGTATGTCAGCCATTATCCGTGGACCTGATGGTAGCATTAAACTCTACTGCAAGGGTGCCGATAATGTCATCTTAGAGCGACTTGCCGAGAATAATCCTTTTATTGAAAACACTTTGATCCACTTGGAAGAGTTTGCATCTGAAGGTCTTCGTACACTTTGTATCGCCATGAGAGAAATTCCCGAAGAAGAATATACTCGATGGTCCCAGGTATATGACAAGGCTGCTACTACATTAGTTGACCGTTCTGATGAACTTGACAAAGCTGCTGAAATGATCGAGCAAAACTTGTTCTTGTTGGGCGCGACTGCCATTGAAGATAAGCTCCAAGAGGGTGTACCAGATACTATCCATACTTTACAAGAGGCTGGTATTCGTGTTTGGGTACTAACTGGTGACAGACAAGAGACAGCTATCAATATTGGCTACTCTTGTAAGTTGTTGAATGAAGAGATGAGTTTGATTGTATGTAATATGGATAGTCATTGGGAAACAAAGAGTTTCTTGGAATCAAAATTGAAAGATGTTACCGGTGCGATGGAAAGAGGGGAGGAATTGGAGGTAAATTATATACAGATATCTTATAGGTGACATATTGACATTTTTTTTATAAAAGCCGCTTGCTTTTGTTATTGATGGAAAAGCATTGACATTTGCGCTCGAAAAAGATATAGAAAAGCTCTTATTTGATTTAACAGTGTTATGTAAAGCGGTTATCTGTTGTCGTGTATCTCCACTTCAAAAGGCTTTGGTTGTCAAACTTGTAAAAAAATATGACAAATCCATTTTGTTAGCTATAGGTGATGGAGCTAACGATGTTTCTATGATTCAAGCAGCTCATGTGGGTGTCGGTATCAGCGGTGTCGAAGGTCTCCAAGCTGCTCGTAGTGCTGATTTTGCCATTTCTCAATTCAGATTCTTGAAGAAATTGCTATTGGTCCATGGTGCTTGGGCATATCAACGTTTGAGTAAAATGATTTTTTACTATTTCTACAAAAATGTTGCAATGTATTTAACACAGTTCTGGGTAAGCCAATTTTATACTTTTATCACTGAAATGGAATTAACATCAATATAGTATGCTTTTTATAATGGATTCTCCGGCTCAACACTTTACGAGTCTTGGACAATGTCTTGCTTCAATGTTATTTTTACCTTCCTGCCTCCTTTGGTTATTGGTATCTTTGATCAGTTTGTCTCGGCAAGAATGCTTGATAAATATCCTCAAATGTATATGCTTGGCCAAACGAACGAATTCTTCAATCAAAAAAAGTTCTGGGGTTGGTTCGGTAACGCTGTATTTCACTCTCTGGTAAATAGTTATTAGATATGTTATCCTATCCCTTTATTAATTTCATTTTGCAGATTTTATTCTTCCTTGGTGTTGGCATTTTAAGCACAGATGGTGTTTTTGGAAACGGCGTTGTAGGTGGCCAATGGTGGGCTGGAACAGCTATGTTCACGGCCGTTTTGGGCTGTATTTTATGGAAGGGCGCATTGATTACCGAGTAGGTATATCCACGGTAAAAAAAAAATTGTGATATATTAATTTTTTGTTGCATAGTGTTTGGACAAAGTATACATTTATTGCCATCCCAGGTTCAATGGTTGTTTGGTTCATTTATTTGCCTGTTGTCGCATTTATTGGTCCTGCCATTTCAGTTGATATTTTCCCTGAATATTACGGAATTGTTCCCATGTTATGGGGCAACGCTAACTTTTGGTTGTTTATTATTTTGGTGCCTTTTGTCTGTAATTTACGTGATTTTATTTGGAAATAGTAAGTGTTACGGGCATTTGTTGCGACTTAAGATCTAACGTTATTTTATAGTGCAAAGAGAATGTATAGACCCCTTCCATATCACTTTGTTCAAGAAATTCAAAAATACAATTTACCCGATTATAGACCTCGAATGGATAGATTTAGACAGGCTGTGAACAAAGTACGTCGGATACAGCGTCTCAAGAGAAATCGTGGTTACGCTTTCTCTCAAAATGACAGTGACCAAACAAAAATCATTCGTGTTTACGATACCACTCAACAAAAACCTCTTGGATAAAGCCTCCTATTACTATACAATTTACCCAAGATTTACACATCTTACTACTTTCAGCAGAACCTATTATAAAGCTTTGTCTCTTATTATTTTATATATTTTACATATTAAAAAAACATCATCCTTCACGCCTCTTATCTGTATAAGGATTGTACAACTAAGTAGTCCAATAGCTATTATGTATCCACCAATATTAATTAACATGTGCATGTTTGGGTCAACCCAATGAAAGGAAGTGTTAAAAGTTTGCATTTATATTATAAAGGTTTGCTTATGAGACAAAATGTATGTGTTTATTATGTTTGATAGCAAAAATATTCCAGCAAATGCATAGGAATTTGTAGTTGGAGTAGATTATCATTATAGAGTAGTATAATTATGAGTCAAATGAATGGCATTATCTAATCATTTAAAGTTTGAGTCAAAACCTTATTAGAAGTCTGCAAGAGATTGATAAAATCTACAGCAAAAGCTTCAGAATGAGTATAATACCCGATATGCCCGCCAGGACAAGGCAAAGTTTCTTTCCCCAATGATTGAGCAATAAAGGCTCCAGGCTCATAAATAAAATAATCTCTGGAATCTGCACCATGTAGAAATACCAGCTTGTCATCGTGAGTTTTCACCAAATCCAAATCGATATTAATAAACGGATCTTCACAAAATTCATGCTCTAACCAATGATTCCAATTATTGACCTTGTCATTCCTTTGGTTGCGAACCAATATATGGTAATCCAATGCATTAAAATACTTATGTCCAAAAAGTTTCAAACTCGCATTTCTGTCTTCCTTGTGTAGTATTCTGTAAACTGAATTGTGAAAATTTTGGACATTTTCAGTTTCTGGAAAGCTCTTTACAAAATAAAGTGGTTCATGAATAAAAACTTTTGAAACGGTCTCGGGATAAGCAATCAGATACTCCAATATGGATGGAGCAGAAGCACTAATACCAAATAATATAAAGGTCTTGTCAGTTATATGAGTCATTAGCTTGTGCAAGTCTTCGACATTCGTTTCAACATTTTTTGAGTAATCTTGAGGACCAGTCAATTCGCTGCGAAAGTAACCACGTCGGTCATACAAAACAACAGTGTAATACTTCACCAAAAGATCACGAATACGTTTAAATAATCTATGTCCACCGTTTCCTCCCGGGACAAATACAATATAGGGGCCAGTACCTTCAACTTCGTAGCAGATATTGGCTCCGTCGACCTGTAGATATTGTTCAGACATTGGATTACAGCTTCTTTATCAGCGTCGATAGTTGTAGAAAAAATACAAGTGAGGGTAAGAAAAACTTTATATATTTTCTCTAATCTGGTTTTATCATTCCAAATCTGCAAATATTTAAGAGTTTACTCTGAGCTGTCAGATTGTTAACTGTAATCAACAAATATATGATTTTCACTAGATAAATAGCTTGGATGACTGGATAAGAAATGGCATGAATCTCTTAAAGATGCATTAGATGAACATTACACTTATGTGCAACGAGCTTACTTTAAGACTTTCGTAATCTATGATGCAATCATTTGAACAGCTAGAATATCACGAATAAAACAAAAAGCTTGTATTTTTATAGCATATGAACTATATGTAATTGCATCAATATAAGCTGTATGTATATATACAATATTTAAAACTACAATAAATTATATTGAGGTTGGAAAAAGGTCCCGAAATGTAAAAAAAAAGAAAAGAAACCCATGGTACGCTACTCATGTAAAATTTGGATTATGACTAGTGCACTTGCCTTTTGCAGAAAATGTGTGCAACAAGCAATGAATTATACTGCCGCCAGCTGGAAGATTTTGAATAGTTCATCATGTAAATCATGCTTTATTTTATGATTAATAAAGTATCCATTCATACTTTGTATAAGTTTTATCCATTTTTGTTATTTGTAACAAGCATTCAACATTGATTAGAATCTTGTTACTTGAACCAATAAAAGTTACTTGAGCACTATTAAGTATCTGAAGCAGCACTAAGTCATATGACTGACGATCATTTACCCTGATAAACACATTATTTATGATAAAAAAAAATTAGAAGCCTGGTTCATTTCGTCGTCACTGTAGGTTTTATTTTGAAGCCCAGTTCTGTTTGTTTCTAAATGTCTCTTCTTCTTCGACTTATGGTCTCGTATCTTCATCATAAGAAGGCTTCATTTTTTGTTATTATCCCTCCCTCCTTTTTTCTTTCTTTCTTCAATTAGATCATTAATTTCCCTCCACCTTCATGGTAAGTTGTTTGTCCTGTTTAACTTAATTATTATTTATATCAAAACCTTCTGCTTTAGTTAATTTATTTAAAAATTTTCAACTACTGCTATGTGATCCTCCCCTTTAACTTTTCTTGTATTTTCTATGGCGAGTTTATGATGATTTTTTTGAACTACTATTTTAATCAACTCCCTTTCGTGAAAGTCCGGTTTTATTTCTGTGAGTTAACTTTCATTCTCAAAAAAAGTTACAAAAATTAGCATTGATTAATTTGTAAGAGGTCTGGTCCAGGATAATGAACCATAATATCGAGTATAAAATTATGAAGCGAACGCGAGAAAAAGTATTTTACAACTTTGGTTGGTATTTTAGGAGAAAATTAACTCGACAAAGTTCGAGAAAATCGGCCGCGAATTCTTCAGGACGAGTGTAAAAGCCAGTATGACCACCAGGAAATGGTAGTGTCACTTTTCCCAAGGTATCAGCAATGAAAGCTCCAGGTTCGTGAATAAAGCTTTCTCTAGATTCTACACCATGTAAAAATATCAACTTGTCACTATGAACTTTTATCATATCCAAATTCATTTTGGTAAAGAGATCTTCACAGAACTCGTGCTCGAACCAATAACTCCAGTTATTTATCTTTTTCTTCTTTTGATTACCAAGAAATATCTGACGGTCCATCTCATTGAAGTAAAAATTACCAGCAAGATTCATACAAGCATTTTGACCTTCTATATGGAAAGTTCGATATGCATAGTAGTGAAATCCTCTAGCTTCATTTATACCCGGAAAGTTTTCCAAGTACAAAAGTGGTTCATGAATAAACATTTTCGATATTGTTTCAGGGTGAGCTGTTAAATACTTCAATCCAATCGCAGCGGAACCGCTCATACCAAAAAATATGAACTTATTAACAGTTATTTTTCTCATCAACATAAATAAGTCTTCGACGTTAGTGTCAACATTCTTTGAGTAATCTTGAGGACCAGTTAGCTTGCTCCGAAAATATCCACGCCGATCATACAAGACAACAGTAAAATATTTCACCAAAAGATCACGGATACGCTTAAATAATAAATGACCTCCATTCCCTCCTGCAACAAATACGATATAGGGACCAGCTCCTTCAATTTCATAACAAAGATTAGCACCATCTACTTGTAAATATTGTTCAGCCATTTGATTCAGTGTAGATATTTTATTGCTCAACTTAGCAAATTTGAATTTACTTTTATACTTTTATTTACCTGACCTGAGTACACTAAAATAGTTAATTTTTAAATGTTAGGCAGTGAAATAGCAACGGTCAGAAGATAGATGATGTTATGTGCGTTCTTTTTACTCCTTAAATCTGTAAGCAAGACCCTAGCAAATAAGACTTTTCCGCCCTTTTTCGCTAAAAAAGAAATATAAAAACATAATATGATACGCTTAATCACAGCTTTAATTAAAATTAGTTTGCTCTTTTGCTGCAATATGGGTTCGTTTTAACCAATGAAATATATACACAAAATAAAATTAAGAACATGCACAATATACTTCTTCGCACAAATAACGGTATAAAAGCACTATATCCATCAATATTGTATTAGGGGCTATTGGAGACAGGTGTAAGTGCAGTTAATAGGTAACCGACAGTATAACTATACAGTTTGTTTATATTATCGTAGATACTTTTAAAAATACCTACTGTCAAAAATATATTTAGAAGCTTGTGAAATTAGAAAGAAAAATTGGCTTGGGTTGTAATTTGATTTACTGATGCACTATTTACACGAACTGGTTTTTTAGCACCACATTCTATAATACACGCTTATGACATTTGTTGTGAGTGGTAAAAAAAGTGACACGGTACTATCTTAATTGAATAACACAAAAAACACCAACATAGGTAAATCCTAGCAAATGATGGACAACCCGATAAAATGTTTATATAATAAAATATACGCCGAGTACTTGTAAACAAATTTATTGTTCTCAAAAGATGTAGCATTTCAAGCAATTTTTCTCCCTAGAGTGACGAACAAAACTTGATTGTTCGTTCAATTTAAACTACATGTTCATAGCAAAAGAGGACGGATATCAAAACATATAAATATAGTACTTTTAGTGCACGCATCATCCTTATGTATCAGTTCAAATAACAGAGAAGCCATGTAGCATACTGTAAAGTGGCACACCGGGAAAATGGTAAAAACGTATAAACGAGCAATTTTTTTGAGGCACATAAGATTCAGATGACTCTGTTTATTGTGGCATCTAACATACACTATGCAAAGTTTGATCGATTACATGACACATTTAGGTAATCAAACCAACCTCGCGAACATTAAATTTAACATAATATTTATAGGGGCTATCCCAAATCACAGCTTATAATGATCCTCACGTTTTATGCAGATGCAGAGGCTGATATAAAATACGTATACATCCCAGCTTAATTATACAGAAAGAATATTCTTAAATCCTGTTTTTAGGAATTGAAAAAATTCATTATATTGACAAGAATTATCGCTATCTTTGTTCAATACAATTTGGATTGTTTTCTTAATAAATAATGAGCATACAGCAGTATTATCACAACTTGGTTTGGCAAATAAATTAATGGACTGGTTTAGGTTTGATAGACGCAATAGATTATAGGCCACTATCAATTTTAAAGGTGGTAAAAAAAGAGTAGTATGCACTGACTTTGGCCCTAAAACATTTGGGAATTTTTTCGTTTTGAAACAAAAGTTTATAAGTGTACAGCATAATAGCTTTTACTTATTATTCGAAACTGATTGAATCAAAAATGTCTCCAACAAAGTTTTATTTCGAAAGTAGTTAAGGATGTAGCTAATATAAATTAAAAAAAAAAATATAACTTATAATTTTGGTTAATATTTTAGGAGAAAGTTTTCTCGGCAGAGCTCCAGAAAATCAATTGCAAATTCTTTAGAACGTGTATAAAATCCAATATGCCCACCAGGAAGTTGTAAATTATCTTTTCCCAAATATTTAGCAATGAAGGATCCAGGTTCATGAATAAAGTTTTCTTTAGATTCAGCTCCATGTAAAAATATCAATTTGTCGTCCTGGACTTTTACCAAATCCAAGTCAATAGCAGTGAACAAATCTTCACAGAATTCATGCTCAATCCAGTAATTCCAGTTGTTTATGTTCTCGTTCTTCTGATTACGAGTCAGGATGTGCTGGTCCAACTCATTGAAATAAAAATCTCCGGCAATATTCATACAAGCACTTTTACCTTCAGTATGAAAAATGCGATATATGTAGTAATGAAATGCTCGAACATCCTTCACATTTGGGAAATTTTCCAAATACAAAAGTGGCTCGTGAATAAAGAACTTCGAAACGGTTTCAGGGTGATCAACCAAATATTTAAATGCGATTGCAGCTGAGCCACTTATACCGAACAGTATGATCTTCTTATCAGTTATCTTTCTCGTTAATATATACAGATCTTCGACATTAGTCTCGACATTTTTTGTATAATCTTGTAGACCAGTAAGCTTGCTCCGAAAGTATCCTCGCCGATCATACAAGACAACAGTAAAATGTTTTACCAAAAGAGCACGAATGCGTTTAAACAATAAATGCCCGCCATTACCTCCAGCAATAAAAATTATATAAGGACCAGTTCCTTCAACTTCGTAGCAAATATTAGCACCGTTAACCTGTATGTACTGTTCAGTCATTAGATATTCTAGCTTTTTATTTTGCTTATAATTTGGTATACGTATTTAGAGAAAAAATAAGTCTACCTTTATATGTTGTCCTTTCGAATTTGGCAGAATAGTTAAATCCGTAAACTGTTAAGAGTTAAATCGGTAAGAAATGTATATGATATTATAGATGCAGAATTCAATATTTACAGAGATAAACAGAAAATCAGTCATATTAACACATGAGGTACAATCATTTATACGGAGAACGATTAAAGATCAAACCATTTCAGGAGGGCAATATCATCATAAAAATATTACCGGAGCCAATTTCATGCGACTTGTAGGCAGCTCATAATGAAAATATGTGTGGTATTTATCTCGCTTGTATATTTTTGGGTTTTATTTTCTGCTGTTTTTCTAACAATGCTTTGCATTTACAGTAACGCATCAATGTGTGTGCATCCGATCAAATACATGAAGTTCCTGCTTTCCCGGAGAATCGTGACCCAACATTGAATTTGTATTCCAGAATCCACTCTCAGGTTATAGAAAACTACGAATAAAAAACCAAGAGTAAATTTTAATCCCAATTAATTCATCACAAGTTAAAAATAAAATGATGTTTATTATATAAAAATTTATACCTGTCAAGAGAAACATGAATGTTAGATACTAAATTTTTGGATGATATTCTACGAGGGAAATTTCTTGGCAAAGCTTTATAAAACTTATTTCAAAAGCTTTCGAATGAGTGTAAAATCCATTATGACCACCGGGAAACTGAATTGTTTCTTCTCCTAGTTCTTTTGCGATAAATGCACCCGGTTCATAACAGAGATATCCAATTGATTCTTCGCCGTGTAAAAATATCAACTTTTCCTTGTGAGTTCTTAGCAAATCTAAATCAACGCAAACGAACGGGTCTTCACAAAATTCATGCTCAAAAAAGTAATCCCAGTTGGTTTTTACTTTTTCATCCTCATTTAAATTACGAACAAATAGGTTGTGATCTAAGGCATTGAAAAACTTCTTCCCATATATTATCACAGCTGCATTTTTGCCTTCTTTGTGAAAAACCCGGTACAATGCATTGTAAAAACCTTGAACTTCTTTTACATTCGGAAAAATGTTCAAAAAAGTAAGGGGTTCATGGGCAAAAACAGTGCGAACTGTTCCAGGGTAAGTATTCAGATAGTTAAATATAATAGACCCGGCACCACTGATACCAAATATTGAAAAAGATTCATCTGTTAAATGATTCATCAACGTATGTATGTCCTCGGTATTAGTTTCAACATTATTGGAATAATCTTGAGGTCCTATAATCTTGCTGCAGGAGTATCCACGTCGATCGTACAGAACAACAGTAAAGTATCTAACCAGAAGTTTTCTTATGCGTACAAATACTCGATGGTCACCATTTGCGCCAGGGACAAATAGGATATAAGGGCCGTTCCCTTCAACCTCGTAGAAAATTTTTGCACCTTTTACCTCTAAATATTGTTCTGTCATTACTTTGATTGCTTATAATTAATTAATCGACAGTGAAGTGGATTAAGAAGCTGCTTTTATCACTTTTTTCTTAATATTATCAAATTGGATTTGTATATTTTTAAGATTAAAGATGTAATTTGTCAGTTACAAAACAAGAGATTGTGTAATAACATGTGCTGTTGCAGTCTCAGGTTTGCTTTTAGAAGTCTTAAAGTCGGAGATGTGTAAAATTCTTATTAAAATTATACTAGTTCGTAATCTGAAGTTTTTGTGCCTTCTAAAATTTATATTATACAATTGTAAATCTTGTTCCAATTTTTAAATATCTGATGAAACTTTTGTTCAGCATACACTTAGTTGACAAACCCGTGCTTCTCGTAAAAATACTGTTGATATATTCAATTGTGAAAGGATTTATTTTGTTGTTATATGTAAGTCTAGCCCAAATAATATGAAGATAAACATTTCTAGAAATAAACGTTCTGTATCTTTCCAGCATTAAAATCTTCAGTATCACAAAAATCTAAATATGAAAAGTACGGCTTAAAGTTTGAAGAGGCTGTCATTTTTAAGAGTTTGAAAAGCGGATAATCGTCAGACGTGAAATCCAGAGGAGTCAAATTAATTTTTTTGCATAAGTCCGGTCTCGCGGAACGAATAATTTATGTTCATTTCAATTACCGCTGCTATGAATTCAATTTGTAATAAGTGATTTTCTCAAGTGATTTTGGGGTATTCTTGGCGCACCTGCTGGCGCACCCAAATCGGGCTTTAAAGTATAATTCTTACGTAATATATTCATTTTGGGTGCGCGAAAGCAATGCACCGAGCTATTACATAATATTTTTATTTTATGTGCGCGGAATGGGTGCGTCAAGCGAAGCATGCGCTATGGCAGATCGTATTTATGTCTTACTTAAATACAATAAGGCCTTCTTTAAAAATCACAGGTCCCACCATTATTTTTTTTTTGAAATCTTATAAGATTGACGCATATAATCAGTTTCACATAGATCAAGTTATTCTTTCATAGCATGCTTATGATAAAGATTAACAATTAGCAATACATATTTTACTGTTCGGCTACTTTGTTTTCACCAAACTACTTTTAAACTAAGAAGATGTCATTTCTTTTTAGCTTTAATCCGACAGTAACGAATACCATGTTATGCTTTCTTTCATACACGTCGGCAATGGAACGCGAATGCACAATAATAGTAAAAGTACTTACGATTCCAAAGGTTTCGACCATTCGCGATTACTTTATTCTGTTACTTCAAAAATGTCCATTTTTTGATAGATGTATATAGGACTGAAATTTTAAGAAGGGATCTCCTTGAGCAAAGTACTGTTGCGTATAAAATATAGTACAAATACGTTGTCCCTTTCTTGACGCACCCATTCCGCGCACATAAAATAAAAATATTATGTAATAGCTCGGTGCATTGCTTTCGCGCACCCAAAATGAATATATTACGTAAGAATTATACTTTAAAGCCCGATTTGGGTGCGCCAGCAGGTGCGCCAAGAATACCCCGTGATTTTTTGGCAATAATATTAATGCCTAAAATTGGGATTTTTGGCATATTTGTTTAAGACAAGTTTAAACCTCACTCTTAACAGGTAATTTAAAAAAGTTGGTTTTTTAAAAGCATATTTACCATCAATTATATTTACTGTTCCTAAAGCCTTTTTTTTTCGAGACCGTGTACTTTCCTGATTAAAAATCATTATAATACAATATGCTTAGACTTCCAAAAGTTTTACACAACGAATTTGCTTTGTTTAATTTACAGACAATACATAATTTATCGTATTAGCAACACATGTATAAAGCAAACACAACTATAGAAATCTTAAGGGCGTCGCTGATGAAATATAGGATAAATAAATGTTTATTAAGTGACGCAAGCTAGGTTTCATTACTCAAAATTAGATGTTTTACAACTTTGGTTGGTACTTGACTATAGAGTTTACTTGGCAAAGGTTAATAAAATCTACGGCAAAGGCTTCGGAGTGAGTATAAAACCCAATATGACCACCGGGTAAAAGATATGTATCTTTTCCTAAGGTTTTTGCAATGAAGGCTCCTGGTTCGGATATAGAAAATCCGTTTGATTCTTCACCACGCAAAAATATTAGCTTGTTTTTATGAACTTTTACCAGATCCATATCTAGTTTTACGAACGGACTTTCACAGCATTCATGCTCAAGCCAGTAGCTCCAGTTGTTCGTCTTGTCATTTCTTTGATTGCGAACTAAAATCTGATAATCCAGTTCATTAAAAATGCTCTTACCAAGTAATTTCATACTAGCGTTTCTATCTTCGTAATGGAACACTCTATACAGAAGATAATGAAAGTCTTGGACCTGTTTCGTCTTTGAATAGTTTTGGAGATACCAAAACGGCTCATGTATGAACATTGTAGAAACTGTTTCAGGGTAATTGACCAAATATCTGAACACTATGGGACCTGATGCACTAATACCAAAAATTATAAACTTCTCATTTGTAACATGTTTCATTAGGCTGTAAAGATCGTCAACGTTATCATCAATAACTCTAGTATAATCTTGAGGACCTGTAAGCTCGCTTCGAAAATAACCACGCCGATCGTACAAGACAACAGTAAAATGTTTTACTAAGAGATCCCGAATTCGTTTAAACAACCGGTGGCCACCGTTTCCACCAGCGACAAATACAATATAAGGACCGCTTCCTTCAACCTCGTAACAAAGATTGGCGCCGTTTACCTGCAAATATTGTTCAGACATTGTAAGGTAAGAATATGTTATGATTAAAATATTACTAAGATAAAATAGAAGGAAAACAGGCTGTTTTGTATGTAGTTTTTAACCAATTTTACATAGATTTTAAGAGTTTAACTTAAAATGTTGTATACAAAGATTCGATTGATCATATAGGAAAACACTATCCTGCTAATCGAATCAATCACCTGCAGTCATTAAAAATTACTGAAAGTTATTTGCGTACTGGCGGGAGTGATGTTAGCACTGTTGGCATGAGAAAATTGCTCATCTACTACTGAATATCGTAATTTTTGAACCAAATAACAACAGCCGCGTATTTTTTATCAATTGATAATATCCTGCCTTCAAAACTACATATTGCATTATTAGACTGCATATTATTAAAAGACATCTGTCAGAAACAATGATTTCGGTTCGATCAGTTTGTTCGTAGCTTTTCTCTTAAAAAAAGGGGGGATTCCCCTAAAAAGATCATCGGAAAAGTACATCGATTGGGTATCTGTTATATTTGCATGCTGCATAGAATTAGGTAAAAAAACATTTGATCACTTTTTTTCAATATCGGGACGACTAGTTAAAAAGCAGGCGCGGTAGTTCAAATGCCAAACCATATAATTTCACTAAAAATAACCAAGCCTAACATCCGTAGAAACAATGACGAACATAAAAAGTCATTCCGCTTTCCACTATTTTGTGTGTTTGTTAAAAATACAACACGAGATTTTTAGATATAGAGTTTTTCAATACTAGAAATCAATAATGGAATTTTTTTTACATTGCAAATACAATAGGTGTTGCAAGAATAAGCTATGTATAAACAATTATATGTCGCTGTGCATAAAATTGCATATTATGGGTTTACTTGTATAATATACCATGTAAACACTGATGGGGTATTTAGACAATGTAAAGACCGGTAAAATATATATACAACGTAAAAATATTTGAAATAAGCTATATTTATTTTGAATACATAAGTATTTAAATTAAGAATACGGTAAGTTTCTTATAAAAGTTAGAATATCGTGTACTATAAAAAAACGGGGTATGAAGAGGGTAGCTTATACCTCAAATTTACAATGATGGCTTTCAATTATAAGTAAGAGCAATTGTTTTCAAGATTAGATAGTAAAATATGCATTTATAATAGGCTGCGTTTGAAGGTTTTATATTTTTAGTTAACTATATACTAGAAGAAAATTAACTTGTCAAAATTTTGATGAATGCTTTTGTAAAAAATATGAATCACCCGATGCGTAAAATAAAACAAAAAATATTTATTTACCACTTTTTATGTAACGAATGATCCTTTTTTGTTACTATACTGCATTAATATAAAATACTAGATTTTTGTTTTAACCTGATTATTTTTAAACTGTTAGGGAAAAAGGGATGTTAAAATAGATCACGCCAGTATAATAGTTCCGATTGCGAATCCATATAATAGTCTAATGATTCAAAGTTGTACTTTAAAAAGGCAATCTACAAATGCATGTCCAATTCTTCGGCACTCATAAGTTACGGTTAATCAAAACAAATTGAATCTCAAAAGTAACTTTTTACCCTTTTTTATAGTTTTAAGGCTCCTTACGAATTTTCTAAAGAAGATATCTATATTAATGATGAAATGCAATATGACCTTTAATGATAACTTATCGCTTGTGTAAAACAATTTTTCTTAAATTTGAACATGTAGCTTCAGAAAGTTTATAAGTATTTTGTCACTGAGATACAAAGAGTTTTATTTTAAAAAGGTTTTTAATTATGCTGAGTAAAATTAAATATTCTATAACTTTGGTTGATATCCTATGATAGAATTTACTTGACATAGCTTAATCAATTCTGCAGCAAATTCTTTGGAGTGAGTATAAAAGCCAATATGTCCACCGGGAAGGGTGTATGTCTCTTTTCCTATAGCTTCAGCAATAAACTTTCCTGGCTCTTGAACAAAATATCCTCTGCAGTCTTTTCCATCTAAGAATATCAGCTTTGCACTTTGAGCTTTCAACAATTTCAAATCGATGTGTATAAATGGATCCTCACAAATTTCGTGCTCGATCCAATAATCCCAATTGTTTGTCTTGTCGTTTCTCTGATTACGGACCAATATGTCAGAGTCTGCTTCATTAAAGTATTTCTTCCCGACTAGCGCCATACTAGCATTTCGACCTTCATAATGTAGCAATCTGTATAGATAATTATAGAAATCTTGCATGTCTTTTGTACCTGAAAATTTTTTTGAATAATATACGGGCTCGTGGGCAATCATTTTAGAAATTGTTTCGGGGTAAGTAACCAAATATTTGAATATAATAGGCCCAGCCCCACTAATACCAAATATAACGAATTTTTCATCTGTGATATGTTTCATCAATCGGTATAGATCTTCGACATTGGCTTCCACATTTTTTTTATAGTCTTGAGGACCGGTAAGCTTGCTTCGAAAGTAGCCACGTCGGTCATACAAGACCACAGTAAAATGTTTGGTCAAAATATCACGAATGCGTCTAAATAAACGATGACCACCATTTCCACCAGCGACGAATACAATATAAGGACCGCTTCCTTCAATCTCGTAACAAAGATTGGCGCCGTTTACCTGCAAATATTGTTCAGACATTGTAAGGTAAGAATATGTTATGATTTAAATATTACTAAGATAAAATAGAAGGAAAACAGGCTGTTTTGTACGTAGTTTTTAACCAATTTTACATAGATTTTAAGAGTTTAACTTAAGATGTTGTATACAAATTCTTAATTGATCATATATGCAAACACTATCCTGTTGATCGAACCAATTACCTGCAGTCATAAAAAAATATTGAAGGTTAAATTGATATTGGTGATACTAACATTGTCGGCGTTCAATTGATACTAAATACCGAAATTTTTGAGCTAAATAGCAAAAACCATGTACGTTGCTTCAATTGATAATATTTCACCTTTAAATTACATATTACATTAGGGGTCCTCAGTCGTCAAAGTTTTAAAAAAATAATGTTTTCGAATAAAAATTGGCCAATCATAATTTTTTAAATTTTTCGTTGAACGAGCTTATTTTAATAATATTTTTAAAGCTTCGATGACTGAGGACCCCTATTATTAAACCTTTTATTGTCAAAGACATTTGTCAGAAACAACGATTTCGGTTTGATCAGTTTGTTTGTAGCTTCTCTCTTAAAAAAAGGAAATTCCATTAAGAAAAAATCATCAGAAAAGTACGTCGATTGGGTATCTATTATACTTGCATGCTGCATAGAATTAGGTAAAAAAACATTTGATCACTTTTTGTGAATTTGGGGACGACTGATTAAAAAGTATGCCAAAACCTGTAATTTCATAAAAAACGACCAAACCTGATATCCCTAGAAACAATGACGAGCATAACAAGATCATTCAATGTTTTTGTATTTTTATGAAATGCGGTAGGGTATGTTCAAAAATTGAGTTTTTAATATTTGAAATCATATTGAAGTATGTTTATCACTACAAAAAAAGCTATAAATAATGATATTTTGCTCTGCATAAAATTGCATATTATGGGATCACTTGCATTATACATCATGTAAACACCAATAGAGTATTTACACAATGTCAAAACCGGTAAAGTATATATACAACGTAAAAACCCATGTAACAAGCTAGATATACCTATCTTTTGAAGAAAGGTACGTTTCTTATAAGAATTAAAACATTGCATGTACTAAAATAAATACGCTAAATGAAGAGGGTAACATATTATTATGTCTCAAATTTACAAAGATAAATTACAGTTATAAGTAAGAGCAACTTTATTCAGGATTAGTAAAATACGTATATAGGCTGCGTTTGAAGGTTTATATCTTTGGTTAATTACTTGGGAGAGGGTTGACCTGTCAAAATTTTGATAAATGCTTTTGTAAGAAATATGGAACCTAATGAGTACAATGAAATGGTTTATTTACAACTTTTTTTTTTTTTTTTTTTTTTTTTTGGTAACGAAGGCTCCATATTTTGTATACTGTACTATCAAAAAGTACTAGTTTTTTGTCTTAAACTAAACATTTTCGAACTGCTAGTGAAAAAGGGATGTCACGCCAGTACAACAGTATCGGTTCACATTTTGGATCTGTTGATTGCAAACGCACATAATAGTCTAATAACTGAAAGTTGTAATTTAAAAGGCAATCTACAAACGCATATCCAATTTTTCCGGTACTCATAAATTACGTTTTATTACAATAAATTAAATTTAGACCCTTTTTTTTAGTTTTGAGGCCCGTTAAGAAATTTTAAAGAAGATATCGATATTAATGATGAAATGCAACATGGCCTTTAATGATAACTTATCGCTTATGTTAAACAATTTTTCTTAAACTTGAACATGTAGCTTCAGAAAGTTTTTAAGTATTTTGTCACTGAGATACAATGAGTTTTATTTTAAAAAGGTTTTTAATTATGCTGAGTAAAATTAAATATTCTATAACTTTGGTTGATATCCTATGATAGAATTTACTTGACATAGCTTAATCAATTCTGCAGCAAATTCTTTGGAGTGAGTATAAAAGCCAATATGTCCACCGGGAAGGGTGTATGTCTCTTTTCCTATAGCTTCAGCAATAAACTTTCCTGGCTCTTGAACAAAATATCCCCTGCAGTCTTGACCATTTAAAAACATCAGCTTTCTACTTTGAGCTTTTATCGAATTTAGATCAATATTTATAAACGGATCTTCACAACATTCGTGCTCGATCCAATAGGTCCAATTGTTTGTTTTATCGCTCTTCTGATTATGGACCAGTATGTAAGAGTCTGCTTCGTTAAAATATTCCGTCCCGATCAGCGCCATACTAGCATTTCGACCTTCATAATGTAGCAATCGGTGTAAATGATTGTGGAAATTTTGTACGTCTTTTTTTCTTGGAAAGTTCTCCGGAAAATATACGGGTTCATGGGCAATCATTTTAGAAATTGTTTCGGGGTAAGTAACCAAATATTTGAATATAATAGGCCCAGCCCCACTAATACCAAATATAACGAATTTTTCATCTGTGATATGTTTCATCAATCGGTATAGATCTTCGACATTGGCTTCCACATTTTTTTTATAGTCTTGAGGGCCGGTAAGCTTGCTTCGAAAGTAGCCACGTCGGTCATACAAGACCACAGTAAAATGTTTGGTCAAAATATCACGAATGCGTCTAAATAAACGATGACCACCATTTCCACCAGCGACGAATACAATATAAGGACCGCTTCCTTCAATCTCGTAGCAAAGATTGGCGCCATTTACTTCTAGGTATTGTTCAGACATTAAATAAAAATATATTATGATTGATGATATATATGATTCAAACGGAAAATGATAACAAGTCATATTTATAGAAATTTTTTCAGCGATAGAATTCTGATAAAGCTACCAAATAATAGGCTTTCCATAAGTAATTTTAACAGCAGGTAGCTAACTATATCCATCGGCAACTCTTAAATTTGAATGGTGTGATCAGAAGAGAACTTGCGTCACAATTTTTACATATATTATATAAATTTTGTAAAAATCAAAAAAAAAAAACTAATTGTATTTCATAATAAGTATACTGACAATCATATTTATTTAAGCCAGCTATTCAACCTATATTTACATGATTTACATTATCAAAAACACTTAAAGTTTGAGGCGCCTGATCTACTTCGATTGATTTGCTTAAAACCTTTTTAAAATCTCATGAACAATCATATCGGCTCTGTAAAGTATACTTGCGTTTTAATTCAATAAACGAGCAATTGGTTATATCGGATAAAACAGCTTGTCTGCCATCAAATGTGCATGAACTAAGCCCAAATGTCAAAAAACAATGAATTATTGAAGTCAGAACTATTGCTAATACGTTATATCAAGTTAAATTTCACAATAACTCACGATGTTAAATTTTTTTCAAAAATTCTTTTGCCTTCCATACCCGAAAAATGATGAAATCGATATAACCTCTCGGTCGTAAAATATGACCTTTAAAAGCATGGTACAAAATATTGGCTTCTTATGGGTATACGATTTACAATACATTACTTTTTACCGAAGGTATCTTACCTATAAGGCTGATTTTAAGAGTTCAAGTGATAAACTGACAGTTTAGTGGTAATGACACGCTAAGCAATCCAAGGGGACGGGCGATAGGATTAAAATAATGATGTGATTTTGTGTTCCCTTGAAAACCTGGTTTGTACCAAGAGTTTGAGTGACATTGTCTGAATGGTGGTATTTCCTGGTAATTTTTTGTAACCGATTTAGATTGTAGCCAGTCCAATTCTACCCACAACACGTAAATTATCACGTAAATCTTCTGCATATATCTACCAAGGGTGCCCCATTACTTAGCTTAAGTTTCCATTTGTCCGTTATGTTAAAAAGAGGATAGCGTCTTTGGCTTGCTCTTACTACTATTGGAAAGAACAATATGCTGGTTGTGAACGACACTAACCAGCTGTTTGTTTGAATCCAATAGAATAATCTTTTTTGGTTAGTTGACCCGATTTTACACCTGACATAATGTCATTATGCCATGTTAGTTCAAAACGAGATTAAGTAATAAAAAATTTATTTACACCTTTTTTTTTAGGGGTGGGGGGGGAGAAGAAAGAAAAAAAAATAATTAAAATGAGATGAAAAGAAATATATTAAAAAAGGAAGAGAGAGAGAGAGAGAGAGAGAGAGAGAATCTAAAAAGGTAAAAAAATAATATTTTATAAACGTCCTTGAAGGATGTATTCAATACTGCTATTGATAAAGTCTTTCTTGAAATTCATGTCAAAGCCAAACATGTCCGAAAGTTGTTCACGCACTTGTTTCTTGGTGATGCTCATCAGATTAGCAGTGGCCAAAATGTTTTTGATCTCACTAAGGATTTCATCATCTGTAGGGAAGCCAGCAGGTATCATGGGGGGTACAGATACTTGACTAACATTACCCATGGGTATATCGTATTCACTGTGTTGTCCCAACAGGTTGGTAGCAGAAAGGTTGCTTCCGCGATCATACGATGCGTTACGAGCTCGACTACCAAATGCGGGTGAGGGAGCTCCCATATGATCAAATGTACCAGACATATGAGAAGGTGTATTATTATACATGCCAGGTCCTCCTCCAGCACCATGCATATCGGACTGCATCATACCATAAGCAGGATCCATCATCATTGGTTGAATTTGGCTCATATAATCGGGATTAGCTGAACTTGCATAGGACATGGGTCGCATCTGCATACCAGGTGGAGGTGTACCCATCATACTACGGTTATATTCAGACATCATTGTTTGTTGATTCATACCGCCATTATGTCCTCCGTATTCAGATCCAATTACAGAACCTGTACCAGTGGTATGAGCATAAGCTGCACGAGAGCGAGGCTTTTCATTCTTCTTGCCATCACGATAATAATCATAATCACCACCATTACCAGACGTTGAGCTGTATTGACTGCGATTATCATAACCAGGAGGAACACCTGCGTTGTAACTATTATACGTATTGCCGCTCATACCCGTATCACGTGTGCCTTGAGATCCCATTTCCCAAAGTTCTTGTTCATAGACACTCCATTTCTTTAAGGGAATCATCTTTTCATCGAACTTTTCTTCATCAGTCACAATAATCTTACGTTGACTTTCACCTACGACCACACGAGTGTTACCCCAAGAGAAATCATCCATGTGCCAGAACGAGTAGAGAGGCAAGAAGAAGGAATAAATGGGAAGCGCCAAGATATAGAAGAACATCCAACCGATATGTTGCCATTGACGTTTCAAGATAAAGATCAAGATCTGAAGAGCGTAAAGACCAGCGAGCATACCCATAGCCAAAGTAGGGAAAGGACCTGCATGAGCTGCCATGACGTAAATCAAATAAATCAAGTAAGCAAATGAAACAGGGAGAGAGAGAGTACCAAACAAATCAAGCAAAACGACAAATCGCATGGAGAAACAACAGAAACCACAAAGATCAGGAAGTAAAACCACTTCTGCCAAGTTATGGATGGTGGAGTTAATCCAACGACGACGTTGAGAGAGCAACACACGCCATTTATCAGGAGCGACGGTACGACACATGGCATAAGGCGTAAACTTCATCTTGTATTGAGGGAAATACTTCATCATAAGGGTGGTCAAGTAACGATCCTCACCAAGTGACAACAAATTCTTCTTATGAAGGGTATCGACATGATTTTCAGCATACGCGTGGACAACAAGGGGGGAGATAATAAGAGGCTCGTTCTTGACAGGTGTACGTACACGGTACATACAGAAACAACCAGGTAAACAAGTGACGGAACCAAAGAGGGATTCGAAAGCCTTGGCCAAGTAATGGGAAATAAAGTATTCATAAACTTGAATCATGGTGGTCCAAGACTCATTTTCGTTTGATAAAGCAGTTTCACCACAAATACCCATGATACGACCATCGTGAAGCATAGAAGAGATCAAGTAACTAAGCGATTGAGGCATGACTTCCGTATCTGAATCCACCATAAGTACATATTCATAGAAAGAAGGGTTTACACCAATGACGTTCTTGATTTGATGATACATTTCCAATTCCATAGGGGTCATTTCACCATCGAAATGGACACGGTTAAGGAAACTCATACAGATCATTTGAGAATCACGTTTACCACGATTACCAGGTTTAGCACGTTCAGAGGCCTTACCGACCTTGGCAACAACAATATAAGGTACGACATGACCTTCACATTCATACAGACCAGAATAGACCTTACCATAATTCAATTGTTTAGCACCTTCACCTACGGATTTGAACATGAGAGGCTCAGGATCGTTCTTGGTATCATAACCGAGAATATCAAGCACTATACGAGGTGTAGGACGATCGTTACCACTACCCATAACCATACCATCAGCAATAATAAACAACAATTTACGTTTATCATCGTATTTCATCACTGTAAGAGAATCAATGGTCTTTTTCAAGGAATCTTCATCTTCGGTATAACAGGGAACTTGACAGATGACAAATTTATCATGATCTTCAGGAGTAGGTGCACTTCCGAATTGAAGGGCGGCCAAAAATTTGACAAGGACCACAAAACACATGAGAACAGCAGCGGTTAACAACATGTAATTGGTGAACATACAAGCAGGTGTATCACGAGGATCCACATCACCAATATAGAAAAAGTTGTTAAGACAGTTCATGGATTCTTGTTGTACTTCAGCTGAATTAGGTGCCATAGCATCTGCCCAAAAGGATTGAGCATCTGCTCCCTTATACTTGCTAAACAAGGCGGTCAACTCATCAGGTAAAAACTTGTAATTGTCACCCAATTGTGTGATGGTAGTCAGGTAATCGGTAATATCATACACTTTGTTTCCAATTGCCATGGCAGAACGACCCCAACCTTCGGCATCGGCAGCAATGTTAGCAAGACTATGTACCAAGATTCCCTTCTTTTGTTCATTCATTCTTTTCATAAAGACAGCTGTGTACCAATTATCTGCCTTCATGGCAATAGGGGCGCTAGGATCGTATTGATCACCGGAATAATGAAGGAAAGTAGAAGCCAAGTTGACAGTGTAATTATATTGAATCTTGATTGCGGCACTAGTGACCAAACCAGCGCAGGCGGCAGTCAAAGGAGGGGCAATAGAACCGGTGAGATCCATACCTGCCAATATGGTCATACCATCTGGGCTAGCGATGAGACCCGTCACACCATGGTTTGACTTTGCAAACTTAGTAATATCATAGACTACACCTCTAAAACTGATATAATTATCTACTTCGGTATTGTGTTGTTGCACATTTACTGTAGAATACATGTTTTTGGTACCGGGACAGATGACTTCACCAAGACCGACAATGACAAATAAGATGATACCCGAGATAATACCAATGACCATACAAAGTGTGACCTTTTCACGCCATGCCATTTGAATATCCGAACGTTTCATTTTACCACAAAGACTAAGACAGAATGAGGGGATCCAAAACGTACAAAGCCAGACGAAGCGCACCCACCATCGACGAACAGATGTGATTGGGACTTCTTCAATATTTTCAATTTGAGGTACTTGTACATCTTCAATCATTTTACTCATATCCATATTAGGACCAAATCTATTTTTATCAAAAAAAAAAAAAAGGATTAGCTTTTTCGGTTTCTTATTAATAGTAAGTTTTCTATAATAAAAATTTGTTACCCTTCAGAAAGCACATTCATGCCCCATTCGGATTCTTCACCCCATTGACTTCCATCTGCTTCACGTTTATCTTCACTATATGCGTAACTAGCATTATCTTCAAAACCGTGATCAGGAGAATGTAAATAAGGATCATTCATTTGTTGAGCATAGCCATAGGGAGCCAACATTCTTTGACCTTGTGCATCGTAACTTGCTTCCGAAATCGGACCTTGACTAGCATCACCGCCTTCTGTCGCGGGAGGAAGAAGTCCCTTGGCACGAGCACGATCTTCTTTTTCAAGTGAGCGTAAGCCATCCTCTAATTGTTTCCAGACCTGATAGTTTAACCAGACCATTTCATGACCAACGTATACTGCTTGCGGGGACCAATGCATGGCCACACAAGCTTGTTGTATTCTCTCCTTGGCAGTCGATCCGGTCATATTGAGAGAGGTGAGGAAACCACTATAATGCTCCTCGAACTCATCCACTGTATAAAAGTTTGCATACTCGTACTGATGGCGTATGACTAAATCGGGTAAGAGGAAAGCCCGAATTTGGGACCGAACACGATTATGATCGTATTCGGGTGATTGACTATCGTTGGGACGAATATGTATAATGTTGTAAATCTTGGTATCTGCCATGGAAAAAGTGATATCGCGTAGTGTAATATACAGTTGGTCTACCACGGTCATTTGTTCCATGTTTTCATAAGCTTCTTCGGCTTTTTTGATTTGCATTTCCTTGCTATTGTTGTCTTCGGGTATGGGGTTAGACTCACCAGTAGCAGTGGTGGCACCGGCGGCGTTAGGTCGACGCTTGGTAGGCTTTCGTCGCATGGAAGGTGCACGTGTAGGTTTACGAGACAATTGTGCCTTCACAATGGTACGGTCATCCTTGGGATGTGATTCGGTGGCCATGGCAGTACCTTGGAATAAACCTGACAAGAAGGAATTCGAACTACTTTCTCTAAGCATATTGACGAAATCCGGTGAAAGATCATCCAAATTCTTTTCTAAAAAGTTGTCGACCGAGTAATGAACGGTGCCAGAGAAATGGTTGATACCAAATGAATAAGTTTGTGATCCTCTTGATAATGAAGGGTGACTAGAGAATTGACGTTGTAAAGTGGCCAAGAAGTTAGCGTTGGTGGCATCGCTGACACCACTTTGAAGTCTAGCTGTATCTCTATCCATTAATCCAACCACACCAGTTAAGCCCAAAGAAGAAGATTTGTTGAGTTTTTCCTTCTTTTCAGCTCCACTGACGGCATCTTCAATCAGTTGCTTCTTATCTTTACCGATCAATAATTCAAGACAAGCAGAGTTATCGGTAACCTTGACTGTGGGTAAAGGAACACCATCACGCAACATGATGGCATGGATACCTTGATCGTTTCCAAAGTTTTCATTGACCAAGAAATGATGCATACGTTCGTTGGCGAAATTGACACAGAATTCTTCAAAAGTGTTGACACTAAAGTTTTGGAAACCGAATTGATCCATGATACCAACGACATTGGTGGGTTGTTCCGTGCCTGTGTAACACACCTTTCTGTTGATAGATTCGACAATCCACAAGAACAAGACGTTGTAGAGCGCACGAGCAAGATCATCTCGTTGTTCTGAAGCAGCTTGAGGGTTGAGGAACATGGTACATACTTCTTTACCGATCAATTTGAGTTTGTAGGTCAAACACATTTCCAATTTAGAGGGGGAAACACCCAACATGACAGCGACGATATCGAGAACATCTGTGTTTTTGACGATACAAGCTTCTTGAGCCAGTGTTTCAGTGCCTTCCATGAACTGAAGGTTACCGATGTGAAGGATAGCGGCCAAGAGTTGAAATATCTGAGTTACTGTTTTTGCCTTGAAGCCACATAATTTAAGAGCACTTTTTAAATCGGCAAATCTAATTTCGTCGTTCCAATCAGGGGTAGAAATACAATTGGATTGGGAGAGATAATTAAAATATTCGGGCTTAAAATTGATATGGAGGGCATTTTTTTCGTCGATAGAGGTACCGGCCATGAGAGAATAAAAGACATGATAGGTACGTTCATGTTGGGGTACCTGTGTGACTCTTGATTTATCAAACTGGTAAGCCATTGTCTTGGTACCTAAAATACGACCTCGTTCATTAAACTGGACTTCCTGGAACATACCAAACTTGGAAGCAGACGTATTTTGAGTTGTGCGTGCATGACCAAAAGCCTCAATAATTACTAGGGCGTTTTGGATTTGGCTCGAAAGTTTCGTCTCTCGCTTGTTATGAGTGGACAGTTGTAAAAGTTCACAAAGAAAATGGGTTCTCGTAGTACTTTTTCCGGATCCCGTAATACCACTAATATGAGAGAGTAGAAAATCATATCAATAGTCCGCTTTATTTTTAACTCTAAAAAAAAAATTTTTTTTTACCTTAAAATAACACTTTGATCTTCACCGGTTCTTCTCATATGGAAATAGACTCTGGTAGCGAGTTCATAAACATGAGGTTGTAATGATTGCTTGCCTTCAGACAAGTCTTTATATCCAATCTCAGCATATGATTTTAAAGTAGCGTCGTTTAACAGTTCCAGGTGCTGATAAGGGTTGACGACAACCAAGTTAGAGTAACCGAGTTGTGTGTAAGGCAGGTTACGTTTATATCTGTTTGCCAATAAATTGGATATGGTGTCTTCTGTTGGTACGGAACCGCCAACATTGTAAAGAGAGACAAGGTCTGTGCGCGAGTCTTCTTGCATGCTGATGTATTCGTGGGGATATATAAGAAGAACAGCAAATAAAAAAACAGAAAAATATAAAAGAGAAGAAGAGAAGAAGAAGAGAAGAAGAGAGAGAGAGAGGAAAAAGAGAGGAGTTATTTTCTTTATGTGGAGTACGAAATAATAAGCTATTTTTATAACAAGACATCTCCATTCTGGGTTTTTACCCAGCCAATAACACTCGCATCGAGTTTTTTTTGATTTTTTTTCATTCATTGTTGCATTGCGGGATCGTCATTTGTCATATTTTCATTGTTTTGGCAAGTCATGTACCTTAAAACTCCCTTAGATGTTGTAGCCTGAAAAAAAAAAAGTGCAAAGGGAGGGGCTAATTTTTTTTTTTTTTTTGCTACATCAAGAATGAAAAATTTATCTCTTTCTTCTTGTCACTTTTTTTTTTGATTATTTCTCTCCGCCCATCATTTTTCATCAGAGTAGTTATTATTTACTTTTAAGGTTTTTTTATTTTATTTTTTCATTATTTTATATTTCTTATCCCTTTTTATACATGGAAAAGAACAATCCCCTTTATTAAAAAAAAACCAAAAAAAAAAAACTATATATATTCAACAATTTAAAAAAAAAAATTAAAAATCGTTGTGTGACAACATCCAATTAGGCTCTCATCACGCGATAACTCCTTTAAAAAAAAAAAGATGACTTGAATTCAGCCCGTATTTTTTTTTATATTTATCTCCTCTTGTAAAGCCTAGAACACAAGGTTTCCCTCCCTCCGGAAAGGTCAAACCGGACAGGCATCCTTCTCTTTGTAAAAATAGATTGCTTTTTTGCTTGTGTGACAACGTAACACATTGAAAATATGTTTTTTTTGGCTCCTCCCCCCCCCCTCTCTATCACTTCCCCTGGGTTCTTTTCTCCCCTTATTTCTCTTGTAATGTCGTACACTGTTCTGTCTATTTTGGCTAATTTATCATTTTTTGAAAATTGAAACATCTGTTGGGATTCTGTATCAATTACTAAATCAAGATGTTTGGCTTATTAGAAGGATGTCCCAATTAATCATACATTGTAATATGCTCAACGTTAATTAAAAAGAAACCCTAATTATGACAAATACTTAACATTTTGCATACATTAAGGATAACAAGAGACTGAAGGGGGTTCATTCTCAGGGCCTCTTTTTTTTTTATGCGTTACGTATCTTGGTACAATCATCTGGGAGCCCATGTTCTCGTATCCGTCTTACTTTTTGCAAAATTAGAAACGGACAGCCCCAAACATCTTTTTCAAACACAAACAAAAATCCATACTTGTCAGTGGTCTAGGGTTTATTTCTTTGGAATAATACAGCTCCTCGATATCAATCAATTTTACTCACTTTACATGAAAAAGGACGATCGAAGCCAATCGTCCTAATAGAAAAACAGGGAACACGGAGTGATCCGGCCTCCGAGAGGAAACATGAGTGTGTACGCCACTTTTACTTATTGTAACATAAAAAGCGCTAAAATAAAAACGAAACCCCGTTTTTTTTTTTGCATTAAATAGTAAAAAAAAAAAAAAAAAAAAAAAAAAAAAAAAAAAAAAACGCACACCTAAGGGAGTTCGCCACTTATTAAAGAAAAGATCGATACGACAACAAAATCATACATATTGTCTGATTAACAACAAGAGAGAACTTTGCTGCTCTAGATTTAAATAAATTTACTACACGATTTGTGCAAGAGATAGACTGTAAATCATGATGAATACACGATTACACTCGAGATTCTAAAAAAAGCGACACCTGACGTACATGTATTCTGGATGTAGTCTAAAGTAAATGTAGACCCCCTCTTAAAGAGAATGAAATCATTGTTATTGTCGTTAGCGCCAATAAAAAATACGCTAAGAGTCCATAGGTTGGTATCAATTCTCGGCAACCCAGCATTTCATAGAGTAAAATTTCCATAGTGACACTTGTTACTATGGCAAAATTTAATTCAGCACGAAAATCTTTTTTTTTTTGGACTCAAAAACGCGTTCTCTCTTTTTCTTTAAACTTACATTATTATGTCACCCTGCAGAGTGCTCATGGTAAACAAAAACAGAGGCATAACCCTTCAACTTGACATTCATCATAACATGCACATACATAGGTGGCTGAAAAGCCTTCATTAGCAGAAGCCTTGAGTCGTCTACTTGCTCCCAATGGCCAGGTAAAAAAAAAAACGGTCCACCGTTTCTGCCATACCCATTAACATCCCCTCCTCTCAAAAAAGTTTACAACAGAACGTCATGCTACACCTGTTCACGAATGGAAAGGCATGTTTCGTAACGACCCCGCCGACTATAAATTCACTTCAGTCACAGGTCATGTCTATGGTCTCGATTTCACCAAAGAATTCAACTCATGGGATATCGATCCTTTAAAATTGTTTGAGGCAAAGACAATCAAATCAGAATCGAACCCTAAATCACACATGACACACCATTTGCAGACTGTGGCGAGAGGCGTGGATTTCTTGGTGCTCTGGTTGGATTGTGATCGGGAAGGAGAGAATATTTGCTTTGAGGTGATTGAAAATTGTTTACCGAATATGAAGCATGGTAGTATGACCAATGTCTTGCGAGCCAAATTTTCAGGTACGCTTTTTTTTTAAATAGACATAGACCTTATTTAATTATATGTTGTTTAGCCATTACAAAGGAAGACGTACGTAAAGCCATGAACAATCTAGGCAAACCAAACGAGAACGAATCCAGAGGTAGATCGAATAAATAAAAAGATCAATACACATACTCACTCTAGCACGTTAATAAATAGCTGTGGATGCACGTCAAGAACTTGATTTAAAAGTAGGTGTAGCATTCACTCGTTTTCAAACCCGTTTTTTCCAAGGAAAATATGGCGATCTAGATTCTACCGTCATCAGTTATGGTCCCTGTCAAACACCCACACTTTCTTTTTGTGTGGAACGTCATGATCGTATCCAAGCATTTCAACCAGAGCCATTTTGGTCTGTGGCCACCACAGTCAAGAAATCGGACTCTTCTATTAAACTTTCTTGGATTCGAGAAAGAGTCTTTGATCGTCAAGTGGCTACCATGTTCGTCAATATGGTCCAAGATGCTAAATCTGAGGGAGCAAAGTAAATATCACAAGAATAGGTTTATATATGAATTGATCTAGTCTCTAATACCTTGTAGGGTTGTGAATATCAATATACAAAAGAAATCCAAACCAAGACCTCATGCATTAAATACTGTAAGAGTATTTATTCTATTTAATGTAAACAACAAGACTAATTTTTTGTTTTCTTGTAGGTTGAAATGTTGAAACATTGTTCCTCAAGTCTAGGCATCAGTCCTAGTGAATGTGTAAGATATTCTATTATCCCCGCATTTTTTATGCTTGTATATATAATATTAATTTTAATTTAGATGAGTCTTGCAGAAAGACTGTACATGCAAGGTTACATCTCTTACCCACGTACAGAAACATCTAAATACCCAGAAAGCTTTGATCTCGATAGCGTACTGCGGGAACAGTCTTCTCATTTAGATTGGGGTCAACACTGTAAGACCTTATTAGCAAACGGGTATGATCGTCCCTCTGGTGGTACGGATACAGGTGATCATCCTCCCATGTAAGTATAGTAACCCCTCTTTTTTTTTTTTTTTGTCCTGCCCCCCCCCCCTTTTAAATTTTTAATTATTGACTATTAAAATAGTACACCCATGCGCATGGCAAATGAAGGCGATATGCCGGGTGATGTATGGCGATTATATGATTTCATCACACGTTCATTTATCGGTTCAGTCAGTCCTGGTTTAAAATATACCACCACCAATGTGACATTTGCCATTGGAGATGAAAAATTTGATTGTCAAGGCACCAAAGTTACTTCACCTGGATTTACATCTGTTATGCACTGGTGAGTTTAAAACGAGAAAAAAAATAGGCGGGGATTAAGTATTGATCAAGATATACAGGATAACCAAAGCAGATGAATATATTCCTGAATTCAAACAAGGAGAAACACTCGAGATTCAAACGATTCAACTGTCAGAGGGAAAGACGAGTGCGCCTGATTATTTGACAGAATCCGAATTAATTGGGTTAATGGAACAGAATGGTATCGGTACAGATGCTTCGATTCCTACACATATCAATAACATTTGTCAACGAAATTACGTCCAAGTCACGTCAGGTCGAAAATTAATTCCTACAAATTTGGGTATTGTCTTGATTCATGGTTATCAAAAGATTGACCCAGAACTTTCTTTACCCACTATGCGCTCTGATGTTGAACAACAGTTGAATTTAATCGCTTCAGGTAAAGCAGCACATGGAGATGTCTTGCTTTATTTCTTAAATATGTTTGCAAAAAAATTCGCTTACTTTACAAAACAAGTATAGTCACCAACATAAGATTATATAACAATGAAAACCTAATTATATTGTACCTTTAGATTGAAGCAATGGATGAACTTTTCGAGGCAACGTTCTCTCCATTGGCTGCAACAGGAAAATCGTTTTCCAAATGTGGAAAATGCAAACGGTAAAATGATTTAATTTAAAGAACCATTCATTATTGTCTAAACCTTTTTTTTTTTTCATTATCAAAGGTATATGAAATACATTTCATTGAAACCCAATCGTCTTCATTGTGCCACTTGCGACGAAACTTATTCGCTTCCTCTCAATGGTCACATTAAACTCTACAAGGAACTTAAATGTGTATGCAAATTTACAAGAAAATATATGCATGTACTTATTAAACCCCTCCTCTCCTTTTTCTTGTAGCCTCTGGATGATTTCGAATTAGTACTTTATTCAACAGGATCCAAAGGAACGGGTTATCCTATCTGTCCCGCATGTTACAACAACCCTCCGTTTGAAAACTTTAAAAAGGGTATGGCTTGTAACCATTGTCCACATCCCACCTGTCCTCATTCAATGGTGACAACAGCGGTCTGTCCTTGTCCTGAGTCTGAATGTAATGGTTCATTTATCTTGGACGCTACTTCGGCTCCTCGATGGAAATTGAGTTGTAATGAATGTAATATTGTTTCTTCCTTTGTGGACACAGTCAAAAGTAACGTATAGAACACAAACGCCCTCCATTATTGTGATGCATAGTGTATATTGACTAGAGCTTTTATCATAGATGTAACAATCCAAAATGACATGTGTGAGTGTGGGTCAGTAATTCTCAAGGTGGAATTCCGTGAAAATCAAAACAAGGAACCCATGACGGGCTGTATTGTATGTGACGATGGGATGGAAGCATTGTTAGCCACACGGTAAGTGCCACTATAATTGATACAAAGAAATAAAGAAACGGGAGACTAACGCTATATGAAAAGGTTTGCAAGAAAGAATGTAAGGTTTGGCGGTGGTACAAGACGTAGAGGACGTGGTGGGGGAAAACGATTTGATCCCAAATTAAAAAAATTGTATGCGGATATGCGATAACCTTTTTTTTTAATCAAAACCCTTTCCTCCCTTTATTTTTTTTTCACTTTCTTTTTTCTTTTTCTTTTTTCCTATCATTAAAAAAAATGAAGTTATTCGTTGTATTATTTTCATTAATGGCTGTAGTCTTGTGTGAATTACAAGGCGAGTTTGAACTCCAGTAAGTAAATACACTATGGAGTAGGTAGTAGGTCCCTTGTTTAAATAATCATTTGATAATAGACACATGCATGACGACCATCATATTGAAGTGACGGATGAGGTCACTTTCTTCAAAATACATGATCTGGATGGAGACGGTTTTTGGGATGAACAAGAGTTAAAATCCATGTACGGTCTGGAGCGTAGTATCGACCCCAACGCACAACATATTAAAGTCATCATTGATCGCGTCTACAAGGATATGGATATGAATAAGGATCGCTATATTTCTATGGATGAATACATCACGAGTAAATTACCAATCCTGACCCAACTGGATAAAGAAAGAGAGCATCGATGGAAACAAGAGGAAATGGATAAACACGTTGATAAATCATTTGTGAATATTTCTCCAGGATTGTTTAGACAAGAAGGAGCAAATTACGTACCTAATAAATTTAAAGCCTAGTCGTTAGGGCATTTTCCTATATACTTACTAGTTGGTGCTTTGGGATAAAGAAAATAACAGTAGGACGGGGTCGGCTTATAAATTAAGGACTCCATCGTAGCTTTAACTCATCCTTAAAGAAAACCTCGAAAGGGAAACACAAGAGAATAACAAAGAAACAGAGACCTGATTTTTAAAAAGCACGATATAATATTCTGCTTGACCTTGTCATTTGCTATTGAGGTATATGGGAAAAGAGACTGTCCCCCATAATCTGGGCACACACTCCCTTCTGCTCTCTCACAAAGACTTGACGTCAAGCTTCCCATCGTTTTTCTTAAATTGTTGTTCCAGAGCCATTACAAGTGATGCAACATCACTATTTCTCTTTACAACCGAATCCAGGCTCTGTATTTTAATTATTGTGATATTCTTATCACACAGATGATTATAAAAAATGGGGAAACCAAAAGGATAGACATGCTGTAATCGTTGGCTGGTATACCCAGACGATTGCCATGACTGCAAGTGGCTGCATGTCGGGGTTTCAAGAATTTTTCATTTGTATGTATACCAGATATATAGACCTGTGGTCAAAGGCAGGCATAAGCTGACAGCAATCAGTGATCCTTGATTCATTGAGCAATCCACCGTTCACTTCGACTTCTTCCTGATGGTAGCAACGCGCATGATATCTTTTTTGATCGGTACTGTCTAATACGATGTTGCGTTCCATACAGATATTTTGGAAAATCGGTTGCTCTTCTAACGTCGATAAAAAGAGCTTGCCAACAAATAAAGGGGGGTTTGTTATGCTTATAGCTGATAACATAATCGTTATTGGCGACGTTGTTTACTCTAAACCTATACCAGATAATTATATTGCCTCCAAAAATGAATTTTGTCATTCTTGGGATAATTATCTTGAACGCTTCGATCAAACCTTCTTGGACCGTGTATGCGTCCTCTTTTTTTTTAACATTTACTGCCTGCTCACAGCCATTTACAGTCTGATCCAAGATATCTTTAGTGTAAAATATATCAAGCGTAATATTTACCAGATCCTCCAACGTAAAAATTGTATATCACAGAGAATTATTACGAACAGCAAGAAAGTTAATGAAGATAACCTCATTCTATCTCGGAAGTTTTTTGTTTAAAAAAGAGTAAAAAAAAAAAAAAAGAAGAAAAAAGGAAGTGGGCGGCTTTTATTTATAAATAAAAACTGGCTTATGTCAGGATTATAAAAGGAATAGATGCGTTTCAGATTTTTTTTTTTTTTTTTTTTTTACTGATATTGATTGACTTGTGAAAATAAACATCTGGAGTATACACTCTCAAATTGTTTATCAGTGATTTAACATTACGTATCAATAGTGACAGGGTTCATTTCATAAAAAAACCCCAATTATCATGTAACTAGACACAGACATGAACTAAAAAGAATAGAAATCAGATTTGAAATAAGAGATCACATAAATAAGACTTAAATTATAGGGATGTGTAGATTTCAACCTTGCAAGCACATACATAGCTCCCTTCTTCAAAAGTAACCTTTATACGCGCAGTTAATATGCTAGGATTGCTATAACAAAAACGTGGTGGCTTTTAATAATATAGCAATGTACACACACTGCACACATGGTTTGTCAATTGGCTTACATAATTCTATGTAAATAAAAGCCAATTTAATTCAGTGAGAAAATTGATAGTCGCGTCTAATAAAACAATATGATTACTTCATGCAACTTTTTTTTATCTCATCCTTTTTTTCCTTCTTCTCTTTGACGTTTGTTGTGTGTAACAAGGTGCGTGATTTTTATTAGGTGTAAAGTGTAAAAATAGATAGAGAAAACATTTATTTTCTCCATTTGCCAAAGACTTTAACAATGGCAGATTTAACGGTATTGGCAGCCTTTTCGTTTTCCTTCTTGTTTAATCCAGTGGTGATGGAAATCTTGATACTAGGGCGAGGACAGTTTTGTTCTTGCTCATAGACATACTTGGCACGTGTGACAAGGACACCTTGGTAGGCACATTCGTCTACCACATCTTGTAACAAGCGTTCTTCAGCCTCTCGTGACACCTTATCTTCGTTATCCAAAGTGTGCACCTGTAAATAGGACTTTTTGACACAGATATGGAAGAAAGGAGAAGGGCAGTTAATATCGCCAGATTCAAGGTAGATAAAAGGCTCCAAAGATTTGTGTGTCAAGACTTGACGGAAGGCCAAAATACGTTCAGCCAATTCCTTCAAGATAGCGGGTTGTTGTTCAAGGATACGGAAGGCTTCAGAAGCAGATACGGCAAGCATAGCAGGCATAGAGGCAGAGAAACAATAAGCACTACCTGAAAGACGCTGATGGTCAATAACTTCGACACTACCGGCACAGAATCCACCAGAACCACAAACAGCATTAGCCAAAGAGCCAGAAATCATATCGATTTCCTTAGCCTAATCATTCCTTTTTGTTAATATAAAGAGTATCGTTTACCTCTGCCATACAAAAAAGAGAACTTACATCAATATTGTACAAGTCGGTTAAACCGGCACCTCTACGACCGATAACACCAATGGATTGAGACTCATCCAGGATCAAACGGTACTTGAATTTCTTTTTCAATTCAACCTAATTGGACAAATATTTAGGTTTATTGTCTTGTGTTACACTCATTATTTTCTTACCAATTTATCTAAAGGAGCAATGTCACCGAAATTTGCGAACAGGCCTTCGGTAACAATGAAGCGACGGGTCAAACGTTTCTTATGCTATAAAAACAAATGGGATTAGATGCTGAGTGGAAAAAGAGAGAGATTGAAAAACTTACGACAATATGTTCGGTATTGATATCGTTCAAGACACGTTCCAAATCCTCCATATCATTGTGCTTGAAAGTACGGATAATCGAACGAGAAATTTGGACACCTTTTTGAATTGCAAAATTAACACCAGCATCGCTGTTTGTAAAAAAGGTGATATGAATTAGAAATCATTAAAAAGTGAGACATTTTATGGGGGGACCTTACACAACTAAGTAATCGCCACGTTTGGCAAAGGCAGGAATGACAGAAGAGATAGTAGAGAAACCTTGGGCATAAATAATCGCATCATCGGTACCCAAAAAACGTGAAATATCTCTTTCCAAATCCATGTGCACATCAATGGTACCATAGAAACCAGGAGGACCGCAAGAACCAACACCGTAATTTCTCAAAGTCTCAATTGCCTTTTGACGGATTTGCTCGGAAGCAACCAAATTTAAATAATTACTGGTGGCCAAGTTCATCAAGGGCTTAGTATGTCCTACCACTTTAGCTTTGGCGGATTGCGCACCTACAATCATGGGTGTCTTTTCAAGATTGAAACGGTCGTAAGATGTAAGTTTAGGTGCCAAGGGCTCAGGCTGCCATTCTTCAACAAGGTCATCCACTTCCTTTTTCAAAAAAATAATTTTAAGTATCCAACAACGCACTGTGCAAATAAGACTTTACCTTTTCGGTCAAGACAACATTGTTATCGTTAGGTTTGTATTTTCTGGAAAGCATATACTTGATGGCAAAAAAGACCAAGAATAACTCAAGCGCAACCCGGAAGGGATCGTTTTGGTAAGCATTCTTCAAATACGATATAGCTAAATGAGAACCGGGAATAGCTACAATGAGGTTATACACGGAATTAACTGTGGAGTTAATGAACACTGCATGTTCATGAACAAGTTGCTCGTTTTGTTCCATTTGTTTACTAAAGAAAAAAGAGGGACCCGAAAAAAAAATATTCTTTTTTTGGCTTTTCTTTATTTTTTAAACCAATGAAATTCTGTTTGTTACTGAATCTTTTCTTGGCCTTTTGCAGATAATCACCGAGTTTCTATGGTAAATGTTGTCTTATCGGTCATCTATTCTGGACGATACCCCAATGGGTTAGATATCTCCACACAGTTAATAAACTTGCCATTTTTATCTGACAGCATTTAGAAACAAAGGGCCCCTAAAAGTTATATAAACTGGACTTGTTTCCCACCTCACTCATCTGCATATTTTCCACTCAAATATAAAATTCTTATCTAAAATGGGTTCTTGTTGCTCTAAAGGTGGTTGCAGTAGTTGTGCATGTAAGTTATAAAAAAATTGTTCCCATGTTGAATTGAACATATATTAACAGTGACTTATATATCTACTTAGCTTCTGACACTATCTCTTGGTAATGTCCTGATCGAAAATGCAGTAGTTTCTTTTATAATAAAGTCTTATTTGCTCAATTATATTTCTATATCTAAATGAAAGTATAGACTCACTTAATACATTAAGTAAAATGTCTTTCTACCACTTTAGTGCTGGCCTGGTAAATATTTGCCACCTTATACAGTTCAGAATTATTACTTTTGTCGAGCAGTAAAAGTTCTATGTAGTCGTATAGCCTTATCCACGCCCCATGCTTTAATGTATCAAAAAGAGAGGGCTGTATATATGCTATGAGACAAGTTGTTTTATTTATAATAAACGCCGAAAAGAAAATTAAAAAGTATAAACACCGATCGGTGGAGGTATGTTTAACTTTTTATCAACATTAAACCCTTCTTTTTCGTCATTGTTGTTATTATATGAAAGATAAAATGTTGTCTTCTTCATTTCTTATACAATGGGGTCACAAAGAATAGAACATCGGGGCTTGTATTGTTCATCTGACAGCATTTGACAAATAAATATAAACCCGACTTTTCTTGTTATCGTTAACGGTTTTGTTTTGTTTAGAAACTATAAAGTATTTTCTAACTATGGGCTGCTGTTGTTCCAAAAAAGGCTGTGCTGAATGTAGGTAAAACCTTTGATTTACTACCACAAATAATTAATGAATAACTATCTGCTTTTTAGCCTCTGTAACTGTTACTTGGTAAAAAATAATATGTACTATTAGACTTTCATTAATAAAGTTTTTTTTTCTTACTTTTTTTTTAACTGTCTCTATACCTAGCTACAGGTTTGGTATATACTTAAAACAATGCATTTAGAGCACCCGCCTGTTTTAAGGGAAGCTACATAATAACTATAATCTCACCTTTATACAATTGTGTTAACACAAGTCTAACATGTCAGATAATTCATCTAGAATTCTTTTTTACATCAAGCTATAACTAAATGATCTAATATAGTTTTGAAGCATGTATATTAGTAGTTTTTTACTTGGACGATTATGTCTATTTAAATTAATGGTTATCTAGTTTGTGATCCACTCATATTATGGGAGGATAATTCAATTTAGTGTAAGGTTTGATTGATATATAAAACAAAGTGATACAAGGGTCAAATTACTAAATAGTTAAGGTTGCCATTATTACGTTTAGTAGGTAGTGTTTTTTTATTATTATTATTAATTTAGTAGATTAACATATTAAGCATTAGGTTATTGAATTTGTAATTTAGTTTCCAAAGATTCTCTTGATGAAGGGCAAATACAAGACAAGGAGAAGAGCGGGTAAGAGAAGTGAAAGTTGGTTTTTGGCGGCAAAACTAACAACAGGCTTTTGATCCCAAGATTCAAATTCGGCAACACCCAAGTTACCAGTCAAGTTACCGTTGCTACAACCATAGGAGATACTACCTCTTTCAGCAGAGTTGTAAATACTAGTGTCCAAAAACTTATCGTAATCACTGGTGATTTGAGAGCAAGTCAAGGAACAGAAGTCACGTTTGGAACATTCGTACTTGGAGGCAAGTGTATTATCCGTCTTATTCAAAGTCTCACTGTAGACACAAGTAGAGGCAGTAAAGTTACCTTTGGGACAGTAGACATCAGGACAGTTGTTGTCGCTACCTTCACTAGGGTGGGAGAGTTCACTAATAGAGCATTTCATTTTTGAGAGTTGGTATTTAAGATTGTTAAAAAGATAAAGATAAAAAAAAAACTTGGAATTGTGAATGAAAGGCCTTGTATTTATACATGTATTTTCAAAATTTCAATTGACATGACGTAAATACACTTTTTCCCCAAGTAGACAGAATACATCATATTCAAATGGCTCAATGACCTACTTGGTGATACAAAAAATTAAACTGTGCACAAAGTGTTCACCAAGCACCAGCGTCATGGTCACTATGACGACAGGCAATTACGCTCTGTACGCAGATCAGTAAACTCTGTAACTGAATTATGTAGACACTTTTTAAAAACAAAACAACGGATTTTTTTTTATATTCATAATCATTTTTATTGCACGAAAAAAAAAGGAGATTACGAAATCTATGTAATTATTAGATGTTAAATATATGGCAGTTTTTTCTTTTTAAAAAAGAGTGGTACTAAAATCGAATTCCCATATTGGGTCTTTCAAAAGTAGGAGACATCGATCCCACTTTATTTTGGGAAATCGATGGAACCAAACTAGTTTTACGTTGAGCAAATTGAGGAGATCTTTGTGATTGATAGACATTGCTTGATTTCGATACCTTGGGTGATGGTACCATATTGTAGACACTTGAAGGTTCTGGCGATGCCGTCGTAGAAGATTTAGATCCAGTCAATCTTCTTACGGCTGAGGAACTAGGTGACATACGTGATTGGAAAAAGTCACCGTCTTCCTCTGATTGTCTTTGTGTTGAGTACTGTGTAGGAAACATGGAGGGTGAATCCATGGAAGGATACTCTTGATGCTTTTGTGGGTGGATGTTTTGCTGCTGCTGTTGCTGGTGCAGCATCTTTTTAGCATTGATCATAACTCGTAAAGCACGAATTTGAAGGGCAGTACGGCCTGTAAGTGCAGAGGTCTCATATACCATACTTGCGGTCTGGATAGTCAGAATTTGATGTAACGCATGTGTAGCTAACAATCTTAATCGAGGTAAATTGTATACATCAGCTAATACCAAAAGTCTTGAGAGAATCTGCGGATAATGCTGTTGAGCAGTCATCAAATGATCAGTGTAAATAAATTGTAGAAACGCCAGGGTTACAGGGTAACTTTCCGGGAAAGATAAACTTTTGAAACCAGGATTCTCTAGTTTTTCAGAAAGCAATGAAGCAAAATGAGTCCAACGAAGTGCAATTACACTAGAATTGGCAGGAATTGAACGACCATCGTCTGTTAATATTTCTATATCCGCCATACTAGGTTCATTTAACATGCTGAGGCCTAGTTCTTGAGCAACCGGTGCACAAGTCTCCTTGGGGTAGGAATAAATACCAAACGCTTCCAATTCCACAATAGCAACATGGGCGAAATTCACTTGGCGATGATTATAATCCTCTAGCAAATCTCTAGACTTATCTCCAAATACAAAAAACTTTTGTTTGTCTTCATACAACACACCCCTATTCCATGAACCGTGAGACAATATAGAGCCCGTGTCAATTCTCACCCAAACTAAATTGGCTAGATTGAGAGCCCAAATGTGAAAGGATCGATGCGTAGGTGTTAAATAAGTACCAGTCAAAAGCATGTGATGTCCAAGCAAATCACCAGAGGGGAATCGAAGACCAGGTGGTAAGGATGTACCAGACATATCCATCGAATGATCTTTGAATTCAGCTGAAGTTAGTGGTGAAAAACTTTGTAGGTCGCGAGTAACGTCGGTGAAATTGTAATTGGAATACACGCAAAGTGGTAAATCATTGTGGGGCTGATTATTTTCCTGCCAAAAGGGCTGTGTAGACATTATACTAGTATCTACATTGGAAGGACAGAAGGCTACGGCTCTATATGCACCATATTGTCTACTAAGCGCACCTCCATGGATCCAAGATAATGTCGTGAGATTAAACACATTAATTTCATTTATATATTGGTTCGACATATCCTGACCACCCATCACAACAAGTTTATCGGCTGAGCATACTGCTAAATGAGCATATCGTGATTGCGGTGCATATATACTTGGTTCAATATCCGGGTATTTCCATGTCATTAATTCCAAATCAAATAAACAGACATCGTCTAAAGCACACAGACTTTGGGATGAGCGTCTAACTGAATAACTCATACCGCCAAAAACTACCAAATAGCGGCCAAAAAGATTTGTCGAATGAAAGTATCGAGGACGTGGTGCAGGTGGAGAGTCAGGTTGAGCAATATGTTGCGTCCAGACTAAAGTGTCTAAATTCAAAATGTAAAGATGATTGGTCATTTGACGTGAAGATACTAATCGACCACCAAACACATATAGGCTATTCCCAGCAACTGTAGTAGAGGCACCTACCAAAGGTGGGGGAATAGACCCACTAGTTAGCTTGATTTCGGTCGTGAGGTCTGCGATCGACTGTGTTCCTGAACTCATTGAATAATGTTGAAATGAGATGCCTCTTTTCTATCTGAATAAAATACTTGAGTCGGTTTCTGTGCTTGTTAATCTACACTATTTCCCCCAAAGGGAAGAACAAACAAAAATGAAATAAAAAAAAAGTGTTGAAAAAAAACAATCGTTGAACAAAATTAATCGAATTGGTCAAACTGGTTGAATTGCCGTGGCACAATATGTATACTTGTAACACATCAGTAAGCAATACATCCTTTTCCTTCCTCCCAGCTTGAGTAACCCTAAATTATCGTATGCAATTTTTTTTGTTGGAGTCTTGTTCCATAGTAAATGCCAAAGTTTTCTTATTTGATGTAGATTTTGCTCATTAAAAGTTAAATAGGGTGTAATTTGGCTCATTTATTAAATATTAGCGGGCCTGTAATTATCATGAATATCTGGTTTTCCATTGGTCAATCGACTGGATTACAACTTTATACTCTGTCACTGTGGCAACAGCCTAAATCCCTACACAATTGACAATTACAAGGTGATCATTTCAAAGATTGCTTATTTAAATTGATATCTTATAGATGGACTATCGTTAATTAAAATAATGAATCGTCATTTTTAGTCAATAATTACATTTTAAATGTGTAGATTATCGTTTCTAAGTTTGAAACCAAGAAAATAAAAGTTGTTACGCATGGATCACTTTAAGAGATCCCAATGTCTTGATATTGTTAACTTAAGCAAAATGTGTCACAAGGTTTGCCATTCACAGTGGTAGTCCCTAATGTTTTCCGGATGTGAAATCGTGAATCTGTGCCAGATTTTTATCACAATTTGTAGAGTAACTAAGGTATAATTTTAGCTAATTGCGCATTCATGGATGATGCGGGTTTAAATGAGCATCAGATCAGAGGTAAAGCATGGTTTGTCAGGGGAACGATTGTTATGGTAGGCTTAAGATACAGATAATGGTTCGATATTATTTTAAAAAAACGTTTATTTTGGGACAAAAGTACTATTTATGATGTGTAAGTGGAGTAATATTTAGTCTCATTTCACATAGACGGTAAAAAAAAGTAAACTTTGTAAGGAAAAAAAAAGGAGGGGCGGAAGGGGAGGGGGGATAAAGTCATGTTTTGTTCATGAAGAAACTTTAGGCATCAGCCTTCTTCTCTTCCTTCTTCTCTTCTTCCTTCTTGTTTAACTCTTCGTTTAACTTTTGAACTTCCTCGAACTTCTCCTTGAAAAGGTTGGCGTTTTCAGAGTTGGCGAAACGGATAGCTAAAGTCTCAGCTTCGGGCTTACCGTCAGAGACATCGGCAGTGACGTTCCAAACCCAAGAACGGTCAGAACCGACATTGGGAGAGAGCTTCATGAGAGAATCGACGAGATGGTTGGCACAGACCTTGAGGGTCTTGTCACGACGCATCAACAAACGAACCTTCTTGGAATCCTTATGTTGTAAAAACTTAACATCACCAGTACCACGTTCCTTCCATTCCTTGGTGTCCTTGTTATAACGGAATAACTTGGCACGCCTATGTCACAAATGAATTTAATTTATGCAAATTAAAAGAATCGATATAGTGTATAGTTACATCTTGAAGAGAACATCTTCTTGTTCTTCGTTAGTCTTTACTTCGACCTCTTCCAACTTGACAATGGGCTCGAAATGAACATCAGGAGACTCAACCTCTTCCTCTTGCTATACTTTAGTGGTTAATATTTTTTTTGAATTTTTTTTTGATTTTTTTCAAGTCATATTTACTTGTTCAACAATCTTCTTTTCTTCGGTATCAGCCATTTTTAAAAAGTGTGGGATAGATAAAAATGGATGGATGGATGTATTAAATAAGAGAAAAAGGATTACGTCGCCCAAGGGCCAGACACGCGGTAAGCGGAGATTACATTTTCTCAATCAACCATGCCCCCACATACTGTTACATTTAGAAATAAGTTTTTATTATTCTTTTAGATTAACAACATTTATTACTTTCCATGCAAAAACTACAATACTTTAGTGACTAAAAGAATGGAAGTTGATGCTGTATTTGGCGACACTGAGATGCTTAGAGGAAATGAGTTCCTCGTAGATTATAATTTTCTATTTGTCTAAAAAAATCCTTAATCTTCTCAATTGTAACCGAGGTTACGTGAGCCTTCTTTTTTTTTTTTGTCTTTTAGATTGTACTAGAAAATATATATCAACGACTTGATTTAAACCGATTATAGACTTATGAAAGGTGTAATTGATATCGTACATATCAATCCCTAAATTTACTATGGTTACTTTTACTTTTTTCCAAAAGGGGTGTATCACCAGTACATCCTATTATAAGCTTTGGAGAAAGAGGGCGAGACCTTCGCAGCGGAGCCGAATGGTAAAGTAGTAACCACAGTAAGATCGCTGTAAAATCGCTGAAATGTAAATAAAAATAAAATGGTGTGACGTGTTGGGAAAAGTTGATTTTTCCTTTCTTTCATATAACACCTCAATGACTGAAAAAAAGCATAAAGCGTTTGAAGAAAATATACCAGATTTGTTGCAATCTTCAGAAAGAAGAACCGATGCCACATCAGCAGAAATCACTCCCTCAGCCTCTTCTTCTTGTGCAAAGTTACGAAGTGTACCGATTCCGCAAACACTCATTTTAAAGAGACGTACAAGTAAATCGTCTATTTCTTCAGTGGATGACCATAATGAAGTCCTTGAAAATTATCCTACTTCACCCACCGGTTCCATATCAGGAGGAGATTTATCACACAGAAAATCATTTTTATTCGACATAGACTACAACAGTAGCAGTCCAGGCAGCGACGATATGTATCATCGTTCTCCTCCTCCGCCTTTACCATTATCCAACCCGAGATATTCCTCTCCTCCAGCAGGTAGTGGAGGTAAATATATGGTTAGGTCCAAACGAGCAAGCTGGATCGATGGTTCTTCTTGTATGACACCGTATGATTCCACTCCTTCAACTCCGTTAACCCAGCCTCAGTCAAAGATACCACCTCTCGTATTACCCAAATCAATTGACGATACCTCTTTAAAATCCGGCTCATTATCTAAATTACGTGAAGATAGACAATTTCAATACCATTCGCCTAGACGTGAAAACTCGGTTGACAGCGCTGCTCCTTTATCCGCGTCCTCTTCAACCACAGAAAGGATACAAGATGACACCGAAGACTTATCCTTCAGAAGATCATCTGCTCATGAAAGAAAGACTTCGGCGTCTTCCATCATTACTGATTCAAGTTTAGCTAGCGAAGAAATTTATTCCCCAGTATCATCTCCTCGTAAGTATATGTTATACAAAACACTATATTTTGATTAATGTTTTTATTTTATTTGTAACAGACCGGCACAAAAGCACAAGCAGTAATGGTCCTCGTTCTGCATCCGCATCACCATTAGTCGCACACGCTCAATCATCTACCTCGACACCACACACACCTTATGCACCCACACACAAATCAAGACGTCGTTCATCCATGAGCATGCTTCGAAATATTCCTAGTTCAGAACTAGCCGATATCATCAGTGGCAATTCACCTAATCCCATCTTGGAAACACCTCCTGCTGATCTCATGCAACAGCAACATCCGTTTTCTTCGATAGATCCCAGTGAGGAACCCAGTCATACACCTGAGGGTGCACCCGTCAAACACTCGATCCAATCGCTATTAAGAAAGCAGCTTTCGAGTAAACGTAAACCCATGAGAGATCGTCGCTCTTTACCAAACATCGATGGCCGACCTAATGAAGCTGATAAAGATGTAATTGAAATGAATTTGGATTCAGGAAGTGTAGCATCTGATGAGCAATCGCACGGATTTGACATCTCTTCGCATGAGGGCGCAAGTCCTGTATACCCTGCCATGCTATTAAATGAGACCAAACCCAATCGTAAAGACTTTTCCCCCACTTGTCTCTCTCGCACTTCTGTGCCTGATATGTCAAGTTGGCATACTGATGATCATTATGGCGATTACTTCAGTAATAAACCCGTTAGAAGTACTGCTTCTTGTAAGTTTTTTTTCGATTTCTTTTTACCGAGTGGTATACACTGACAGACATTTATTTAACATCTAGCCGCTGCATTATATGGAAAAACAGATGCTTCTCAACATAGTAAACCTTTATTAACATCATCTTCATTGTACGGTGCCCATTATTCAAATTCAGGGTCCGACGAAGACTATGCAAAGAAATTGTTCATGTCAAGATCAGCCAAAGTAAAACGTTGGTGCAGTCTGAAAGTGGATGGAATGGAAGAAAAGTTTCAGAATATACATAGACGAAGTAATAGTGCAGGAAGCTCCAGTAGCGTCCCAACAAGACGTTTCTCGGCACAGACTTTACGCCGATATCCTCAAGATGATTGCCATATGCCCACCATTATGGTCACAACCGCGGATGAACGTAAAGATGAATCAGATCAAAAGATGGTAAATAATGTGCCTTGGGTAGATTGGTTAGAAGAATACAAGATAATCAAGGCAAGAGAAATCCGAAGAAGATCCTCTACACAACATGATATGGAAACAACAGCATCAGAAGCAGTGCGTCGTCAAGAGGAGCCTAAACCATCACCTTCCACTTCGACGACAACGAATGCTAGTGGTAAATCAGACTCGGTCGTAAATCGTGTTCTGTCTAATTGGTGGAACACTGTCAAAATTGGCGCCGAACATTATTCTAACCATAAGCATGACGAATCTCATCACAATCCACTCAACAAACTAAAAAATATGCCCGTCTTGAGCCATTTCAAACATAACGAAGAGAAGCATCACAAGCCGACAAAGAGAATGTCGGGAGGATTTCAGTTACCCAAAAAATCTCACACCCCTTCACTCATCTCCATGCCTCCTCCAGCAGAGGAAGAAAATCAACATCATTTGAATAAAAACTCATTGAATCTCTCGTTGGATTTACATGATTTGCAACATCCACTGGAAGGAAAAATAAAGCCCTTCTTAGTCGACACAACAGCACCCGCTAGTAGACGATGGTCCACCACAAAAGATAGTATGGACATGGACAGCATATCACCCATTTCCATGCAACATGATACTAGTGAGCATTCATCCCTTCCTGATAGCCCATCGACCTTGACTCAACTTACAAAAGTACCCAGAAACCCAATTACTCAAAAGAGTCTTGCTAAACGTGTTGGTTATCGATTTTATAATCCTGGGAACCGTATGGGTACCTTTGGCCAGTTAAGTCATATATTTGGTTCACAATCTGATGAAACGGACACAAATTCAACTATACGTATTCAACACTCGATCAAATCAAGGCTGCAGTTTGCTAAAGAAGCATGCAATGCAGAACTAAGACAAATCATTGATGGATTAAATGAATATGTCGAAAGAGGATTACAATATGTGGAAGATATGGATGCCATTTTAGAAGAGGGTATGCATTCAGTAGGAAGTCTGGATACAGAAGAGGAAGAAGAAGACGAGAACACATACACTCATCCGCTGCCCAGGGTACTTGAAATAGACGAAACACCATCTCCACCAAACGGCAAAGCACATTCAAACTCTTCCAGCATGAATAGTCTACCTCATAAACGTACGTTATCATCAGCTATGGATGAAAACGAGTTTTTATCGCCCAATCACAAACACCACACCGGCTCACCCTCACCTATAGCGGCTGCTGTCGTTGTACCGGACGACAGCGAACAACAACATACAATGGTTGCCTTTATTTCGGAAGATTCTTATTTACCTACTCCATTTATATTGACCTTACAAGATTTGATCACAGTTGCTCAAAATGTGATGGATACTTCGTTAGACGAAATCATTGAAACAAATGGTGCTTGTGCAGAGGCCGTAGCAAACATTCAAGTCATTGGATCTCGATGGGATGATCATCCTGAATGGCCATGTCGTGAGTGGTATGTACGCTTGTTACTAGGTATTGCTGCATTAAACCGTGTTGTGGAATGGTGGGCTGCGGAACGAGGCTTTTGGTCTGTCACAGGTCCCTCTGTTGCCGCCAGCGATACAGATGATATGGATACCATCAGCAATCTTTCGAAAATGGATGAAACCGATGATGAAGATGGACACATGTCTATTGATGAAATATCTAATAGCCCTAGAAAGTTTCCTTCGCGACTGGATAATGATTCTATGATCTCGCATGATACGAGATCGCCTATATTTGAAGAAATGGACGATGAAGATCGTGAGCAGTTTGGTAGCTTACAACTTCAGGCGGAAGCTGAAAGAAGCCAGAATTCCACCATTATTGTAGAGCTTAGTTTAGGAACTACCACAGTACGTTATGTAAGCCCTGTCTGGTTCGATGTTGTTGGGTGAGTTTAGTATAAAGTATTTTATCATCGTATCAAAACTTATATTTCTTTTATATGTAGTACGGACCCACAATCAGTTATTGGTCATAGTGTCACTCGTTTGCTTTCTATTGATGATAGCAAGATATTCAGCAATGCTACTGAAGAACTGCTAGCCGACAATTCCCACACTGTAGAAGTGCGATTTAACGTGATAGGTGCTGAAGGCTCACATATCGAGATGGAAGGAAAAGGTATGCTCATGTGTAACAGAGTCACCAACGAACCCAGCCATACCATGTGGGTAATGAAACCCGTTGTTCCTCGACGCTGGTCTATCGTTGATATGTCCCTAACGCCTCGTGCTGATAATAAATCTGGGTGGCTAGACCATAGCCCCACACAACCCGATTTTATACTAAAAGATGAACCTGTTACTGCTGAAGAGCAACGTGCTATGATGAGAAATCGGTCTAAATCAGAACCTGCCATTCACACCCCACCATTCCTACCGGCTATTAAAGACGCCATGGTTGAGGAGGATGCGGATCAAGAAGGTGTGCCAGTTTCACTTTCCAGTTTGATGTCTTTACCGCCTGTACTATGCCGTGTGTGCGAAAGATGGGTGGTAGCAGCGTTCTTCGAACAACATTCAGAGCTTTGTGTAGAAATTCACCAGAGTGAGATGGATGTCAACGGTTGCAACGATAGTCTGATGGAAATTAAACACCTTATTCACGAACGAATTGAAAACACAAAACAGGAGATTGAAGAATTGTCATCAGAAAACTCTGAAGATCAAGAAGCTATTCCGGAGCAAGAAGAATCTGATGACGATAATGATTCGATTTTCGGTGATCATCTACCCTTAGAGGAAGCCATTCATCCGCTGGAAGTCAAAAAGGGTGAACTGGAATTATATAATGATCTTTTAGAAATTTTGGATGTTTCCTTAAGTATATCTATGCCAGGTACGGTAGAGGATGGTGTAGGTAATATTGAGGCTGATGGTTCAGATTCGGATGATAAACATTCACAGTCGCCACGATCTAAAGATAAAATGGTTCAGATTTTGTATTGGCGGCCACCCACAACGGATGATCCTGCATTAGCAGCACTTGTAAAAGATGTGGAGGAATTGACCAGAGGTAAGGTCGATGCTGTGAACCGAATGCGCGATCGATTGGACTATAATAGTCGAATTCGAGCCGAATTTCAAAAGAATACCAACCAAGAAGATCATTGGACAGAGTTTGTGTTTGATTCCTCTGAGGAAAAAAAATCAGATGATGGAAACGAAAACACAACGGAAGAGCAACAGCCTGTCGATGTCAAAGTTAGCAGGAACGAAGATTTACATCCAACACATGCACGAAAGAGCTTGATTAATCGAATAAAGTCTTGGAGGCGACGTCGCTCTACAGGTATCGCTTCTCGGTTATCACGAAAATTGAAGTCGATTACACCTGATACTACAAACACGCCCATCGTCGAAATGGAGACAATAGAAACGCCTATTGGATCGCCTGGCCTTCGTCCTAAGGGTTCTCCTAGCATTCATAAGGATCATGTATCATCTGGTTCACGCACCCCAAATAGTGTATTAGGAAAGCCACCTTCTTCCCCACTTCATGCTCCTGTTGCCTCCCGTCCTACTTTTCCTAGCATTAAAGATTTTGATATCATCAAGCCTATCAGTAAAGGTGCATTTGGATCGGTATTTTTGGCAAAGAAACGTACTACAGGAGATTATTATGCTATTAAGTTCTTAAAAAAGTCTGACATGATTGCCAAAAATCAGGTCACAAATGTCAAGGCTGAACGTATGATTTTGATGTCGCAAACTGATAGTCCATTTGTCACCAAATTATATTATACATTTCAATCTAAAGATTACTTGTACCTCGTTCTGGAATACCTAAATGGTGGCGATTGTTCGGCGTTGATCAAGGTTATTGGGAGTTTACCTGAAGACTGGACTCGAAACTACCTTGCTGAAGTCACGCTCGGTCTAGAATATTTGCAAAGTAAAAATGTTATTCATCGGTAAGTAATATGTTTAGTTAAAGAACAAAGTTTTAACATGTTTTACTCGTTAGTGATCTTAAACCCGATAATTTACTGATTGATCATAACGGGCATTTGAAGTTGACTGATTTCGGTCTATCCAGAATAGGTTTTTTGGATCGTCGTGTGAGGGATGAGTTAACCACAGTATCCTATCATGATAGAGTTCAGCCTATTTCTCCGGCGCCTTCCAGATCGGGCACACCTCCGCAGTCTCCTAATGAAGTGCCGTCCACACCTAACGGAGGTGCTTATCGACATTCTTACTTTAGTTTGTTATTTGATCAGGGCCATAGCTCACCATCTACACCATATTCTGGCACTGTAAACAATGAAGAAGCTGTAATCAATCCTGCTTCCCCTGAAAGTCGCAATCATGATCATAATCATCGTCGACACTTGTCCTCAGCATTATCCGAGTCATTATCGTCCGGTATAACATCGACGAGTATCTCCAAAACAGATAGGGGAGCCAAAGACGATCCATCGCCTCGTCAAGCTGTAGGAACACCTGATTACTTAGCTCCCGAAAGTATTTTAGGAACTGGTCAGGATTCGATGGTAGATTGGGTAAGTACAAAACGTGGCATTAATAAATACTTACATCAACTAAAAAATTTATTATTTTTATAGTGGGCACTTGGCGTGATTTGCTATGAATTTCTGTATGGTATCCCCCCTTTCCATGCTGATACACCTGATAAAGTATTCGAAAATATATTGTCTCGGCGTATTGATTGGCACGAAGACGTGGTTCAAATATCCCCTGAAGCCCGGGATTTTATGGAAAGGCTTATGACAGTAGACCCCGAGAAACGTTTAGGATATAATGGGGCAGAAGAAGTTAAAAGACATCCATTCTTCAAAAGTATTAATTGGGATACGCTGTTAAAGGAATCGCCATCTTTTATTCCTCAACCCTCTGGAATGGAAGATACTGATTATTTTGATGCTCGTGGTGCTACGATGCAAAATGCACCTGAAGAAATGAAGACGCCTGGGACTTTAGACGAATCAGCAAAGGCCCAAGTCGAACGTGCAAAAGCGATTATTCGTGAGCAAAATCCAGAAAATTTACCTCCTGTATCTAATAAACGTAAATCGCTTGGCAAGGCCCCTGCAAATGATTATAAACAAGACGAAGTAGAGGAAGATTCAGATAATACAGATTTTGGAACATTCACCTATAAAAACTTGCCTGTACTTGAAAAAGCCAATGAAGATATGATTCGAAAGATTAGACATGACAGCATTTCAGCAACAGCTTTAAGTGACGCAAGTCCACCTGGAAAACTAATTCATCGAAAGTTCCCCTTGATATCTACAAAAAAAAGCAATTTATCTCATGAGAATTCGGGACAATGTACACCCACTGGAAGTAACTATAGCCATTCACCATCGTCTTCAACATCTGGAACCCCGCTTTCAATGTCTCCTTCTGTGTCTTCTAAACTGCATATGGTATCACCTCCTGTAGGTCGTAGACCTGTTGATTCAACTTTACCACATATTCCAACCAAAATGTCTGATATATCTTCGCCATCTTCATCTCGTGATAGCACACCACATCGTGCAAGATCTTTATCTACACCATCAATCGATCCTGTGAAAGCCGCTGCTGCTGTTGCTTCGGTATGTAATAATTCATCACAAGCAAGCTCTTCTGTAACTACACCATTACATCATCATCGCCATAGCCCTAGTGATTTTCCTTACCATCGCCCTAACTACCACGATGATGTACGTCCAACAGCATCAACATCCGGGGGAACTGAATATTTTGGCTTAAACAAAACCACAGTATCACCCTTGGGTAAGCCCGAGCGAAAGTCATCACTGAATAGCTTTTCTGACCATGCACGCACGGACTCATCGGGAAACCGTATAAAACCTATAGCTTGTCTCGTTGCTGATGATAACCCGATTAGTTGTAAAATTATCGAGACTATTTTGCAAATGTTGCATTGTCAATGTGTAATTGTTCGAAATGGAGCACAAGCAATTCGATCTGCAATGAGTGATGTTCGATATGATATCATTTTCATGGATATTCGAATGCCTATCGGTAAATGTTTTTTTATCTTCATAAAGAAATGCACATTATTAATCTCCCCCCTTTCTTTTAGTTGATGGAGAAACCGCTGCTAGAATGATCAAGTCCACAAACAATATCAACATGAATACACCCATTGTTGCAGTGACAGCGTATGAACGTAATGTACAATTGGCTGATGCATTCGATAGCATTTTGAGCAAGCCAGTGACGAAAGATATCATATCACAGCAATTGAAGCAACTGTGTAGGTTGGCCACATCAGCTCCAGTGATAGAACCTTCTCCTTCGAATACAATTGCACATCCTGATCATACAAAAAGTCTGTTACCTTCCATCGGACATCCATAATCTTATTAGACTTTGTTTAAAAATCTAGTCTATATATCCTACTTTATAATTATCGATCAACGAATAAATAAAATGATTGAAAAGTATAGTAATTTTATAACTTATTTCCAATGTGATGCTTATGAACTACTATGCTGAAAAAGGTAACACGGCAGTTCTCACAAAATAGAAATAAAATAGAAACTGAAAGCGAAATAGGAATCATTCAACATTCCTCGGCCGTGAATGAAATAATAAGTTGATCTCTCAAGATAAGATAAATAGGTAAGGATAAATAAAACCAGTGACTAAACCATGACTCAATTCAATCAAATGCTTAAAAAAACGTGGCACTGCTACCGTTGCAAAAGCCCATAGTTTTTATTTTGTTGAATACGAAACGTGCTATGCTGGTATGCTACTAAGAAGCTCTCTTTTAAGAGACAGAAGAAATTATTATTTCTGCTGAAACAGCAAATGCATTGTCTGAATTTGAAGTGAAACACAGCAAAAATGACATGATTCAAGAAAAAGATCAGGAACAATCGTCCTAATCCTAAATTAGTAACTTAAATTTATTTCCTTATCAAGCGAGACCACTTTAAGAAAAAAGAAATCGAATTGTAACCCTATTTTTTCTTTCTTCTTTCTTTATTACCCTTTAACAACCGAGTAGAAATCTAAATATCTCTTATGGTCGACACTGTAAATATACATTGATAAATATTAGGGGAGGTGGGCTTTTGAGTGGGAAGAGGAGCATAGTTTTCACTTACAAAAGCTTGTAAGCTCTTAATTTACTAACAATGATATTTTTTTTACAGTCGACCTCACACGGCGTTAGCGGCTTTCTTACTCGAAGACATTCTACTGGGGATGGCAATGCTCAAAACAACTTAGTACTTCCATCTTACCCACCTACAACACCTGAGCATGATTGTCGACATTTCAATGCACCCGAAGGAACATATACACTTGGACATTCCATCTTTGTCAATTCAATGCAACCCTTATATTCAGTTGGAACCACCGCCACTTTAGTGTCCATAAAATATAAAGAAGCGATCTCGAATAATTTGCAGCGTTATGAACCACAGCCTGGAGCTCGTAGTTTCAGACGGATGTTTGGCAATGGCCACACCCCTTCCACTTCCAATACAGACTCTGATGAGGAACATGTTTTTCGAACCCCATCACTTTCAAGTTCTTCTTCAAGTCATAAGAACAATATTGGTACTCCTTTGTCACACTCTATTCCAGAAGAACAGATAGCAATACCACAAAGTGATACGTTGACTCCTCCTCATAATGCGGTTTCGCCAGGTAGTGCTAGCCCTACACCTACATCCACCCTATCGTTTTTAGCAAGAAATCACACAATAGGCAGACACCCGAGAAAACCAAAGACTAGCATTACAAAGACAAATTCGAGTTTTGTACAAAGAATTATAACAAATGATCAACTAGCTAAGATTTTAATGGCCAGAACAAGTGAGGATACAAATTTATTTTATAACTGTGGAACGAGTTTTGTGTGGGTAGATGCGGCTGGTCATCCAAAGGTTCGTATATTTAAAAAGACGAGGTAATTATCTGGAATTTTCTCACCCAAAAAATTATCCCGTCCCTGTAATAGGAACCTCTCTCACGCATTGTATTTGCTGGAGCATGTCCAACGTCGCACGATGTAAACGTACTGACGCGTGGCGCAGATCACTTAGATATTATTATTGGGTTTACATCTGGGGATATTGTTTGGTTTGATCCATTATGTAATAAATACGGAAGAATTAATAAGGGTGTACGTACCTACTTTGTTTATTGCCCAAACCCATTCATTTATTGATACTCGTTATGTATTTTTTTAGGGCGTGATGAATTCTTCTCCGATTACAATGATTAAATGGCTACAAGGCTATGAAAACTTATTTATGGCTGCTTTTCAAGATGGTACGATGATGTTATTTGATAAGGAAAAGGAGGATGAAGTATTCCATCCTGGTGATGGACACAGACCCACTCTATCAAAACCACCAATTCATTATGATGAAAAACACATGTAAGAAAAAGAAAAGTCCAGTTTAGTGTACAAAAAGCACATACATTTACTAATTCATCTTAGGTTTAAAATATCTAAGCCATCCCCAAAGAATTCATCAAAGTGTAACCCAGTTTCACATTGGAAGCTATCCAACCAATCAATCACAGGTACAATTAAGCTCAACAACTTGTCAAAAATAAAAGCTTCTTTTTTTTTTGCTATTATTACATCAGTAACTAATTTCTGTATCACATAGCGTTCGCCTTCTCACCTGATTGTCAGCACGTCGCAATAGTAGGACATGATGGATTACTACGCATAGTAAATTTTCTGCATGAAACGTAAGTTAGAAGTTAACATTTTTGATCAGAAACAAAGCTAATCGTGCTCAGTATACACGATATATATGAAGCGTACTACGGTGCATTGTTTTGTGTTGCATGGAGTCCTGATGGGAGATATGTCCTAGTAAGCAAATATTCGATTTAAAAATATTCTAATCAGCTGACATTTATTTATTTACAGACAGGTGGCCAAGATGATCTCGTTACTATTTGGGCTTTTAGGGAACAGCGGATCATAGCAAGATGCCAAGGGCATCATTCTTGGGTAAGATTAATTATGCCATTCTTCGTCAGATAAAGTTTTTAATGGTGCTATAATAGGTAACAGGTGTAGCATTTGATCCTTGGAGATGTGACGAAAAAGTATATAGATTTGCAAGTGTAGGAGAGGATGCAAAATTAATTTTATGGGACTTCTCTGTAAATGCCTTGCATAGGCCTAAAACGGTAAGAATTGATATATATGTGTTTGTATGACGCTAAATGAGGGACTGTTTGTAGAAACCTGGAAGTAGAAATCGTGGTACATCTGTATCATCTGTTAACGCCCCACCCCCCTCCAGTATTTTAGCAACTATGCAGGATCGGAGACCAACGGTTCACCCTGTTCAATCAAAGACCGAAGTCGCGTTTTTGCAACCCACTATGGTCAAGACTATTCATGGAGATCCTTGTGTAGGTGTGTATTTTAGAGAAGATGTCGTTGTGACTACAGATAAAAGAGGCCGTGTCAGTACATGGCAGAGACCATCCCCGACACCGACAACATCTGTATCTTCCTCATCGTAGTGCTTTATTACATGAAAATATGAATATCGTTCTACCTTAATAACTAAATGTACTGTTCTTGAAAATTCCCATTAATTAATAAATAAACCATGTTTTCGGTTTACACAAGATAATTTATAATCGATTTATCCGTTTTTCAAAGGAGATAAACACAATAATCTCCTTCAATGCAGATACAACAATCAATAGAATCATAACAATCCTATTTCATTGCCAGATTGTTATTTATAGATTTATAGATTATAGAGAAAATCATTTTCAGGGATAAAATCACAAGTTTTTATTTAATAAATTCAGTCTGGTTATACAGATAGCGATTTAATTTATCGCTAGACATCGGTTTATGATAACGTAAATGTTAAAATTCTCAAAAGGGCTTTCTGACTTTGACACATTCCTTTGATTCGGAACAGGTAGAGCCAGGACAACAAACTAGCTTTCTTGAGCAATCTTCGCCAAGGGGAAGGCATCTATAACCTTGAGTAGGTGAAACACCGGCTACAACAGCAAATAATACTGTAACAACAGTGATAAACTTCATTTTAACGAAAAGAAAGGTTAGAAAGTACTTAATAATTGGAAAATTAATGGTGTGTTTATATCTGATTGGAATCCCGTACCAAGGGCTACTATGTACATATAGGGGTATAATGCATTTTTCAAAAAAAAAAAAAAAAAAAAAAAAAAAAAAGTGGCATTGACGCGGGGCGTTTTTTATCGAAAATTTGTTCTTTATTTGTTTTTTAGATCCAGTAAAGCTTTAAACCGCCATATCACTTCATGCAAAGTTCTATAAAAGTGTATGAAGACTTAATTCTCGTCAATAGAACATGTATATACATGCATTTAATACAAAAAATGTTTGTCAAAAATTTAAATCCAACGGGATGCTTTTCTAGAAGGTTATGTCAGATAACATATTCTTACATTCTTCTTGACGGCTAGAAATAACCAATATTTATAAAATCGGTGTTACTATGGTTATTTTTGTTTTTGCTTTTTTACTTTATGTTTTGATAATGTTTCTGAAAAATTTAAACCATTTGACTAATCTAGTCCGAATTAGCAAAGACTATAGTTAGAGAAAAATGTAGATCTACTTAAAAGTGTATACCACGATTTTACTAAATTAATTCTTGATTGGGAAAATATTAATTATGGCATCCGGTCAGCCTTATATTTTAGACATCAAACTTTTGTTTCGAGCCGGCGTAAGCTCTCTCTTTCTTTTCTTTTTTACTCTCATATTTTAATTCCATGAACTGATGGTTTTTATTGTTATTTTTTAAAAATACTAGGATTAAGTTGAACATGTACTCTTCCTTATCCGTTAGAAATTAAGTATACATCATCTGATACACCTACCATAACATTCACAACGAAGCTGGCAATAGAAGAATGACTCCATATATACTAAAATTATGCCGATATTTTACAACTGCCAAACATGTTAGATCGATCAGCAAACTCGGTGTAGAATTGGACGATCAGAAAATTGGTATCATAACTGATTTTGTTTGTAAGTCTAATTAAAGTTATAAAATTCGACGGTTGTTATAATTAAGGCTCTTTCCAAAAACTTTAAATTATTAAACCAAAATAATTGAATATTAGTAGTTTAAGTACGCATAATGCCACTGCACTAGCTTGCAAAGATTTTGAATGGTTTTGAAATTTTTTACCTGGCAACACAAAATCAAAATTGTCTGGTCAGTCGTCAATGAAAACATTATTAGTCCCTGCACATTTTACCGCGGACAGAGAAGGATGACATTATCATTCCTATCTTGTGAAAAATGTGGCAGATCACATACAGCATGTGGAAAGTATGAACAATAATCATGACAGCTATAGATAGATTTTATTGAAACATTTTTTAAGATGTAAATATTGCGTGAAGAGCGGAAACTTCACAGAATTGCTATTGACCGTGGGGTTAATAAACTCAATTACATCATTAACGTATTCAGTATCCAATAACTTAGACACACCTTTATTATCCGATTTATGAATCACGACCTCAGATAGCTAAAAATGTTAATGCTGTGAATTATTAAACACAAAGTGCCAACCGATACTTTAACGTGAGCTGCTTTATTACTGTGATTGACGGTTTTAAAGGCTCGATGTGGCTTTTTAATTCCACTCTCACTTTGCTATGCCTTACTTTCCTGGCTAGTTTTTGTTCCAAACAAATTTTGTCGTCTTGTACATCGAATCAAGCTTGTTTTTTATGCCTTGAGAATAACTCTTTCAGACTCCGGCAACTTCAGGGGTAAAAGCATTATTTTAATGATTGCTTCAGTACTACTTACTAATGCAAATACTTGTTCAGCATGTTTTAATAAAAGTTCAATATCCAGCGACAGGTAAATTATGGACTGTCAATTTTTTTGGGTTTACGACTATACATAATTCTAACTTCCATATTAGTTTCAGATATAGCATGCGCCCAAATCCATCCATCGAAACCTGAGCAAAATTTGGAAACCTGAACGAAATTTGAGCGAAGCAAACAGATATGCCAAATTTCTTTGTGATTACTACCAAATATATTCAAAAAATTGATCGCTTAGACAGCAAATCTGTGTCAATACTAACAAGCAATAAGGTTGACTTACTGTAATTATACAAGATAGCAAACTATGGCGTTGTTGAGGAGATTATAGACAACGATACCAAAATCGCTTATTAGATCATGCGTTGCCTAAAATACGTGGTGATGGATCTGTCAAAAACACAACAGTTCCATCCTTGTCCCAAAACGGGGGGGGAATATTAGGTAACCGGAATCTCCCATTGTTAGTTGAGACGTTGACATGCTACTGAATAGTCTGAGTTATGTTTTAAAGGCTAATTAAATGTTTAAGTAATGAAACAAAAAATAAATGGTTTATTTACAAGAAGATTATGGAGGGTAGGGGTTTATGATTGTAATAATGTAATAGTGTAATAGGGACTAAATGTGTAAAGTGGATGCAAAAGGTCGCCAAGGCAATTGCTTAAAAGCTGTCACTTGATATAGGACTATAATCTGAGGTCTTTTTAGTAAATAGACTTTTCACCTTGTCAAGTATCGATGCGTTATTTTTAGCAGCATTTCTTGTGTTAAGTAGGCTATCATCTTCTCCATCCATTGAAGTATAGTTTTGCAACGTCATCTCAATGTCTTCTTCCTCTATGTTAGATCTAATCTCATTGACCAATAACGATAAGTGGACGGCAGCATCGGGAGTAGAATCACAGTCATCAAACATTTTAACCAATTTGGGTCTTCTCCAACTCCAACGAAGCATTAGACTGCTTACAACCACACTTGTAGAACTAGCAGCCATAGCAAAACCAGCCATCATTGGATGAAGACGATAACCCCACGGTAAGAATACACCCATAGCTAAAGGAATACCGACCAAGTTATAGATACAGGCCCAAATAAGATTTTTACGAATACGACCAAAAATAGCCTTTGACAAATCTAAAGCAGCTACAACATCAGCCAGATCATTTCGCATTAAGATTACATCGGCAGCTTCCATTGCAATATCAGTACCACTACAGAGTGCAATTCCTAGATCGGCAGCAACCAAAGCCGGAGAGTCATTGATTCCGTCACCTACCATAGCAACAACAGTCTTAATACCAGCCTTATTGTTTTGATGAAGAGGCAAGTAATTGTTGGTAGTGCAGCAATAACTAGACCACCATGGATTGCGTTGACGTATAAACGGTTTTAATTGCATTGATTTGATGATTTGTGTTTTACCGTTGGGTGACACACCGGCATGAACTTCAGCGATACCAAGTTGAGTTGCAATACAATGAGCTGTTAATTCATTATCACCTGTAACCATAGCCGTTTCGATACCCATGCTATGGAGAGTAGCAATTACACGTCTAGCTTCGGGTTTAACGACGTCAGATAAAGAAATGAAACCAGAAGATAAACCGTTGACACCAACAAGCACACATGTACGACCTAAAGAGCCTTGAACACGGTATGCCGCTTCTTGTTCATCTGAAAGTCCGATTCCGTTATGATCCTCGAGCCATTTCTTGTTACCGACAATGACAGTATAGCTGGTATTTAACATAGGTTCTAAGGCCTCCAACAGACCAACATCCTTGGGTAATTCATTTCTGAAAGTGACGTCGCAACTGATACCAAATCCAGTGACACTGTTAAAGTTTTCAACCATAGCTAAGGAATCCAACACAGTAAGGCCAGTCAATTCTTTAGCTTTAGCAACAACAGCACGACCTAATAAATGTTCACTATGCGACTCGGCAACGGCAGCCAAAACCAACATTTGCAGGTGTTGTTGTTCCTCACCACTCCAGCTCTTGGATTCGACAAGTTCCAATTTACCACAAGTCAATGTACCGGTTTTATCGAAAACAACCTTGTTAACAGCTTGTCCGTTCTCTAATACAGCTCCACCTTTGAAAAGCACGCCATTTTCAGCACCAACACCTGTTCCAACCATGACAGCCGTAGGAGTGGCTAGACCAAGAGCACAAGGACACGCCACGATGATGACACTGATACAAAGCTTAAGACATACAAAAAACCATCCACCGTCACCACTCTTTGCAATCTCCATCTGTAAAGCGGAAGGCAAACCTTCTTCACCGAGTGTTTTTACAAGAGTAATCCAAACAATCAAGGTAGTCAGACCTAACAAAATAACAGTAGGCACAAAGTAGCCAGCAACACGATCCGCAAACCCTTGAATAGGAGCCTTACTGACTTGAGCATCTTCTACAAGCTTTACGATTTGACTCAAAGCAGTGTCAGCACCTACACGGGTAGCCTTCATAATAAATGTACCCAAACCGTTGACAGTACCACCAATCACAGTATCACCTAACTCCTTGGCAACCGCATCCACTTCACCAGTTACCATACTTTCATCCACGGTAGTTGAACCAGTAAAGACCTCACCATCAGCAGGGATTTTATCACCGGGCAATAATTTGATCAAGTCGCCTTCCGAGATCAACTCGGAAGGAATTTTACGTTCTGACAAGACTACGTTATTTTCATCGACAGTCACCATCAATGCAGTAGAGGGAGTCAATGACATCAGCTTGGAAAGTGCTGAGGAAGATTTACCCTTGGCTTTGTTTTCTAAATATCTACCCAAGACAATAAAGGTGATCAACATGGTAGATGTATCGAAAAATACGGTGGGTGGGACCTTGACTTGAGTGAATATACCATGAGCCATAGATAAAATGGAGAAACTGAAGGCAGCTAAAGTAGAAATAGAAACGAGAACATCCATAGTTGGAGCACCGTGTAAGATCGAAGCAAATGCAGAGGTCAAGAAGCGCTTTCCAACACCAAATTGTACAGGCATCGTCAAGACCAGCTGGGTGATATCCATTAAATAAAGACCTGGTAGGAAAATAGGAATTTCATTGATGATATGCCACCAGCTGAACATGGGTAAGATCATGGCTATGAAGAACACGGGCACAGCAAAGAAAAGACACTCGATAAAGGCAGCTTGCCATTCCTTAATTTCACGGACCTTGGACAGACTATCAAGTTGAGCATCCTTTGTTGTATTTGCCATGATGGCGTTGAATCCTAAAGATTCGATTTCCTCTACGATTCTACGGGGATTTGTGACATGGCAATCAAACTTGACTTTTGCTTTTTCAGTCATTAAATTGACGGATATTTCAATGACACCAGGGAGTTTTCCAACGCCTTTTTCAATACCAGCTACACAACTTGCACATGTCATGCCATACACTTGAAGCTCTAACAAATCGTCACTTTTGCGTTCAATAATCTTTGCATCGAATCCAGCGTCACAAATGATGGTAGCAATTAAGTGGGGTTGAACAATCAGACGATCAAATGTAACCGTAGCTCTCTCGGCCAATAAGGCCACACTAACGTACGATATTCCCTTTTGAGATTTAAGAGCCTTTTCGATACTTGTTACACAGGACGCGCAGGTCATACCTCTAATTTCCAATTGAATTGTATCATCATCATCTTGAAAATGTTGCGATTTCTCGTCGGTTTTCATATTGATCAAGCTACTACTGCTGCTGCCACTGCCACTGCTGCTGCCACTGCTGCTGCTGCTACTGCCAGATCTGTCACCCGTTGGTCTATCCACCATTAACACATCAAATCCACAATCCTCAATCAATTCGGCAATATCGGGTGTCGAAAATAAAACTGAATCATAAACCACAGTACATTCTTCCTTTTCAAGACTTACAACAACGGATACAATAGCTGCTTGGCAAGAAAGGGCGTTTTGGATGGCTTTTACGCAAGATTGACAAGTCATTCCCAGTACAGGTAAAATCACCGTAGTCAAATCAACATCGAATCCGCAATCTTCGATAACATTTTTCAGGTCGATATAACCAAGTACAAGAGGGTCATAGTTGATAGTAGCACATTCCTTCTCGAGATCGACTGTTACTGAATCAACACCAGCAAGAAGCGAAAGGGCATTGGTAATAGCTCTTACACAAGAGTGACAAGTCATGCCTTGAACAGGCAGCCGAGTAACTTTTTTATTATTACTCATTGTCTCTTTCAATGTTATAAGAAGAAAATAGAAAGCAGGTTTTTTTTTTTTACGGGGGGCGATAAAAGTTGATTTTATATAAGGAGAATCTTCCGATAAACTCCGCTGTAATAACAATGTCCATGAAACACACTCCTCGTTCACTCCTTAACGTACGGGAAGAGTGTTGTCTTTATTATAGCAGTTCATTTATGTTTGATATTTCCTTCAATGGATAACTAATCTGATCTATATTCCATGTGTGCAAGGTTTCTTACTGATATGTTCATCGCGATCTGATAAGGGCGCCTCTCTAATGTTTGGGAAAACTTTTTTAGTGAGAAATTTAATCTTACCAATCAATTTTATCAGATTTTTTTTCTTTCTTTTTTTACCTGCGTTCACCAACTTGGGGATCGGGTGCTACAAAAGAATCAAAAAGAAATTAGTACCATCACACAGCATGTGCAAGTGCAACGTTTATTTACCTGACGAATGAGATACAGTTTGTGGGGGTGGGGTGATAATCCCAGCTAACATATCATCTCTATATAAATAACATTAGTACTGTTATCTTGCATCTTATCTTTCATTATGTATTTACCCATCGTCCGCAAACATAGCGTCGTCATCTTTTGCCAACATTTCTACTAAAAATGCCTCGTCTCCCTCTACAAGTAAACAAAATCTTACTTTTGTGGATTATAACATAAATGGATATCCTCTTACCATACGTAAAGCTGTCTTCAGGTACAATTGGTCCGTATAGAACATTGGGTTTATCCTCATCTGACGCATGAACGCTCAAAGGCTCCTCTTTCATGTCTTGTATAGTATGGTTGGTTTTTGATGACACCGAATTAGATTTTGCTATTGGGGTAACTTTAGACATTGAATTAGCTGTGGATGTCGAGATGGTAGGTTTGGCAACCGTTTGTGGCTGTCTGGCTGGGATTGATTTGGGTAAAATGGTGTTTGATTGGGTTGTATTGCATATTTGTGCTGCTGGTGCTGCTGGTGCTGGTTCTATCTTGGGCGCTTGGAATTGATTATGACGGTAAAGGTTTTTAGGTGAGAATTTTATCTAATAATGTTGTTAGTTTTGTTGGCGATATTATTTTCGGTGTTAGCATTACCGAAGGTTTTGCCATTTTGCCAATGCCACTCAAATATGGGTTGTCATATAAGCAATTTCCTAAGGCATTGCCAAAGTATCGCAGTGTTCGTTTCGTAGCATCTGTTACTGCTTGCTTTCTTGCTTTTTCAAATGCTACACCCTTGGACTTTGCATTCTGGTCGACTCCATATCCTATGTCCTAAATTACAACGTCGTCAATTTTTAAAAGGTTGTCTGCTGGATTTAATATTATACCTCGTGAAAGCTACCGTCCTTTAAGGTGATTCGAACAGTAACACTGATGCCAACACTAACCCTACTGTCTGATCCAACGTCCACCTATATTCGATAGTGGTTAATACAAGCCCTATTGTTATTTTAATATCTTACAAAATCAATAGTTGTATCTTTAAGTTCGGTGCTCCAACCATTGAAACCGAAAATGTCGTTGGCAATATTAATGGCTGTTTTTCCTTCGATGTAAGTTAAAGGTTTCCCTGAAGGTCCTGGTCGTTGAGCTAAAAATTCGGGTCCTAATTGCTGTGATAATTTCGTCGAGATCTGACTCCATTCTTCTTTTTTAAAGGGTTCCGGCATTTATTTATTTATTTATTTTTTAGAAAGGAAAATAAAAGTGGGCCAAAAGTAATCGCGCCTTGTGTCATTTTCGTGTTTTTTCGTTGCGACAGTCACTTTTCAAGTTATCCTAAGCCAGTAGGGTTACTCGGCTCTAGATATCTAGTGAAAGGTTTGCAGGAAAAACGAGGAACTTGAATTCGTTTTACCAGATTACAGGTTTGTACTCAAGATGAAGATATGGTTATATGAAGTAGACATGGCATAATAAATTGATTAAGTTGTTTACTTCTTCGGTTAAAAACGTCTAGCAATTTTTTGATCTCTGGCAGTGAAGATAATTTAATCAAGTTGTTTCACAAGCACATCTTTTGAGCCCTTCAGAAGATTACAAGATACCCCTTTATCCAAGGACAAAAGAGAAATTGAAATATCATCCATATACAATTATAGAGTGTCATGAATATCTCTAATTACAATTATCATGTTGTATGTTCTAGAGAATTATATTCCAACGTGTCTATAGTCAGTGAAAACCCAAATATATGGAAGGGCACAGAAGGTATACACGTTTCCTGAAAAACATTCTTTAAAAATTAAGTGCTTTAAAACCATGAAGTTATGCACCAAAACTATCGTATTTTACAGTCTTTGTAAATGTGTGAGAAAAGATTAAAGGTGGGTTACGTGTTGGAGGACGATTTACCGTTTTTCTTGCATGCAATGTGTTTTTATAATTGTATCCACTAAGGAAATGGGGACTATTATATCTGCCTCATAATTGAAGTTTAGTATTTGAAACTTTAGGCGTGACGTAGTTGAAGTAAACTGTCGATTCATATAACGCGAAATAGAGTTGTTCCAGGGACAACATAAATTTTACTTTGCTACCACAAAGAATATGGAAACAAGTCAAAAATATTTAAGAATTAAATTTGAGATAGTCCATTATTTACCATATAAATTAAATTGCTTTGGTATTCATTTGATTTGATATCTTCAATTATTAAAATGATGATTAAATATATACGGTAAAACAGATAGGCGAAGCACCAAGTGAATTATACACTGACTTACACACTGGCTTACACACTGGCTTACACACTGGCTTACACACTGGCTTACACACTCGCTGAAACAATCGTGACGTACAAGGGCAGCAATTGCTTCGACTGTCGATGATGCAATGGATTCCACACTAGCTTCAAGGATTAATTTCCTAACTGACTTCACCGACTGACTTCACCAAGTATACTTTATTGTTTATATGGTAAGAATTGTGAGCTAATAAAGGAATAGTCGTGTTTTTATACGCATTGAGAGTTGTGCTCTCAATAAATAATTTATATATACCTTATTTCTGATTCTGAACATTTTCACTAGTTTTCATCTCTTGAAGCAAAAGAGATGGATGGAAAAGGTCTATGCAGTCTGCAGTGATTTTTGAAAAACAAAAAAATCCTTCCATCGTGTGAGGTGTGTATAATAGATATTGACCGGACCTGAAAGGGTAAACTTATATGTAACGCAACCTCCTCTCAATAGGTACGGAAAAGTTGTACGTCAATATAGTGAACTTTATGGTAAGATGTCAGAACAAATATATTATAATAACTGAGAATTATTTATTCAAAGCCGAACGAATAATTGCCCATAAACGGCCATTCACTTAGATTTCAACGCATAGTTACTTAGACTAGCTGCCTATACGTTTGAATTTACTCAGATTAGGTAGGTGCTACTTGCACTCAATTGTTTCCAATGGATAAATAATGGTCAGCATTATCAGAGAGTAAGCTATCGACGTGGTTTACAAGGCACTCCTCTGCTGTAAAAAAGGTAATTGGAAGAAGCGAAATAATGAAACAATAAAAATTTATAAAGTTTTGACAAGCATTTGAACCAAAGATCCATATTTATGATAATTTTATTGGATCACAGATACGCCATTAAACGCTATATATTTACTTTGGTTGATGATAATTAACATGAAAATCTTCTCCTGCCTTATTTTCCATTATTATAATTTCTAATTGCACTTTCATCCTTTAAGTTCTATATGGATATTGTGTCCAAAACATTTGAGCGAGTTTGAGTTGAGAAAGGGTCGCTGGTTTCCAAATAGACAATTCAGAATCATATAAGTATTACACTTGTAGTTTCTTTCGCTGGTTTGACGTTTTTTCTAGCATTGTGCATATGGATAGTACATTCGCGTACCTGAATTAACATCAAAGGCTATTGACATAATTATATAAACCTAAGTGCTTTTAAATCTATAATTGGAATGCTTTTTTGAAATTTAACTGAGGATTGTCTACTTTTCGGTTAGTTTGATGATCTTAAACGCGTTACAAAAAGGAACAGTATCTTTACATACAAAAATTGAATATTATTCCAGCGACCAATGATGTCGGAGAATACTATCCCAATAATTTGGCTCGTTTGTCTGAAAAACAAGTACCTTGTGTTCTTTGGGCGCTACTATTTTTGAAACATTCTATACCACCATGTCTGAATCCAACATTGATTATTCAAACGAGCCAGAAATCAAGCGAAGAAAGTCGGATTCCAATTTATTAAAAAGCAATGATACCCTTCTAAAGAGTCAAGCTTATACCAATCGCAAACGCAACTCACAAATGGCACAGCAGGTCAATAAATCCATTTCCTCGACCATTGCAGAACGACAACTGTCCCGGCTGAAGAAAGATGACGCCCCGCAAGAAGACACTTTCTATCGGGCTCTAGAGATTAAATTCCACCACTCTGTAGGGTCTATGAGTATTAGTCCTGCTTGTAGAGATGTTGTATTGGCAGGGTAAAAAAAAACTAATGTGGAAGTTTATATACATATTGCAACAGCAACTAACTTTTGCTCTTATTAGACGGCAGGGTTTAGTGGTAATCGATTTAGAGGATCCTTGGTTGATCCCACGTATTTTACCACACATGTCTAAGTGGGAAGTAGCTGATGTCCAGTGGAGTCCACATATTTCTCGAGAATCTTGGGTCGCTTCCACTGTAAGCAAATATGGAATTCTTGCATTTAAAAAAAAACGCAAACTCATTCTATTCACTAGTCAAACCAAAAATTACTTGTGTGGAATTTGAACTATTCAGGTCCAAGAGCTATTGAACATGTTTTTCATGCACACGCGAGGGCTATTTCTGATATCAATTGGTCGCCGCATCAGCCGGATATCTTAGCTACATGTTCAGTAGATACGTATGTTCACTTATGGGATTTAAGAGAACCTCAGATAAGGAGCAAGGATCAAGATGATGATAGAAAAATGAGGCCAAGCTGTTCATTTACTCCCTGGAATGGTAAAACTATTCTCGTCACAGAAACATCAGTGCTGATAACTTAAACTTTTTTAGCGGCCGCTACACAGGTCAAATTCAACAGAAAAAGCGAGTATCTCATTGCATCTGCACATGATAAAGATGTCAAAATTTGGGATTTAAGAGTAAGGTTGCCAAAAAGAAAGAAAGAAAAAGTAATATAACGGACTAATCATTTCATTTTAAACCCGGAAGAAAGGCGCAGTTCCAGTTACAAGTATCACGGCGCATTCAAAAAAGATTTATGGAATTGATTGGAGTCGGCAAAATGATCATGATATCGTTACCTGTAGTTTGGATAAGCTTGTGAAGGTAAGCTTCTATACAAAAAGAGAATCATCAGCTTATATAATGATCTATCGGATAGTTTTGGAACATTCATACACCGGAAGTCGAGGAAGAAGTAATCGTAACAGACACACCTATTTGGCGAGCCAGAAATACGCCATTTGGAAACGGTGTTCTCATCATGCCCCAACGTACAGACTCCAAATTAACACTTTATAACCGAGCCTGCGCAGAAACACCAGTCCACGCATTTGATGGACATCAAGATACTGTCAAGGAGTTTGTGTGGAGATGGAAGGGCGATAGTAATGGATCAAATGGTGATGATCGAGAATTTCAACTAGTAACATGGTCTAAAGACCAAAACTTGCGACTATGGCCAGTTTCAGAGGACATTATGAAATCAGTGGGACATGAGCCCAGTGGGACTAAAACAAAGCTTTCTGCGCCCGTATTTGATAAATTTACGCCTCATTCCTTTCAACAAGAGCCAATCGAAAAGGCCATGCTGGATGTTCGATCCTCGTTCTCATCCACCACAGCACCTGTACGACAAACTCCCAGTGGAACCATGACACCTTACAGGTCCAACTTGTTAAATAATACAACAGGATATGAACAAAGCAATGCATATAGAGAGCAAAAGTATTCCGCAATCAATCCTTTGTTATGGATGCAGAATGTCAAAACGGTTGGTCCCACCGGTGGAGAAATCCGTCGGGATGCAGCTACGGCTGAAAATACATATCAGTCTGTAGCCGAAGAAATGACAACCGTTTTAAATAAATATGTTTCGGTTGGTGTGAAGACAGAAAAAGTAAATGCGTCATCTCGCACATGTACCATATCATTGCATGGACCTTGGTCGGATACAGGCGATGCTCTTTTGCGTATCACTATCCGTTTTAGTCCTCAATACCCAGACCATAGTCCGCCCGAATTCGATATCCAAAAGAACAGCATGATTTCTATATACTATCGTGCGCATATGACACAGGATTTAAACTCTTTAGCTTCCACTTATACATCTCACAAGAAATGGTGTTTGGAGCCGTGTATCCGATATCTATTGGGTGAGAATATGCAAGATGAATCAGAATATGCGTTGGAAAATCAAAATTCCTCTGTGGATTCAGCAGGTGGAATAATAAACCCACAAGCAGGATCAAATGCCTCTGTAACCGGCTCACCCGGGCACTGGAAAGGAGCCACGGCTATTGATGCAGGTGATTCAGATGACGAATTAGGTCAAGGCTGGGGGAATATGGGCGATGGATATCGATTTGGTAAACGAGAAAGTATGACAAGCGAGCGGGGTATCATGGTCGATATGTCTGCCAAACAAAGCACCGATGAAAAAGTGCCGTTTCCACGCTTGTGTGGTGGCGTGTTCTCCGGAAGTGGACAGTTGGTCTGTTTTTTTTCTACCTTACGTGTACGAGATAACAATCGCACCAATATGAAGACTACGGAAAAACGAGACGACACGTCGCAAAGTGATCGAAGTAATGGAGAGTATTTTGAAAATAGCACGGAAAGCGAATTTTACCGACACCCCAAAACATATGAACAATTTGAAGAATATAAAGAAATCGCTGCAATGTCTAGACAGGGAAAGAATGCGACAGTGCTTGTAGGTGGATCGGGTGGCGCTTTTGGTGAATACACCTATGATGACGAACAAGATGACATTGATGATGGGTTAAACAGTGCAGGCGGAATGGGCGCTATTTATTACAAAACTGACGTACGTACTGGACATTGTAAATATCTAACCCTTTTTATATATTAATTATATCCCTCTTTCCATGTTTTCTCACAGAATATAGCACTAAATGGGGCAATGGGTAATGGTGATAACCTCTTATATCATGGTGCAAAAACAGACCGTATCACACATAACATCGTGATTGCTGATTTCTCTGATAGAATGCCTTACAGTCCTTGGCTTGCAAGGGAGTATATGTAAGTTTTTTTATTTTACTTGCATTTTACATGACTAAATTTTATTATGTAGACTTTCATCGAAAGACCCAGTATCATCTTGTGTACATAATGCAAAAGTTTGTCGTAAGCATGGAAGACTGGATCTTTATAAAGTATGGTATTTGGCTGTGGAAATCCTTAGAGGCTGTGTCCCCTCAGATTTACCCGAACCTGATCGCCTTGTGACGGATGGACATCATGTTTTGATAGACAGTATTGATTCGCAAAAGATAATCGACGAGAATTATCAGCGGGATCAACAATTAGCAGAAGTCAAAACGTTGCTTCACCAACGTCAGGTTTCGCCCGAAACGAACGATTTACAAGTAGATATTGTGGTAACTAAGCCTATGCACAGAGTGAAATGGGGTATGCATCCCCTAGGACAGAAACTCGTGGATGATTTGTAAGCTTACGTTCTTATACAAATTAAAAAATATATATATTAATTATATTTGTAGGTTACAACATTTCATTCATACCGGAGATATTCAAACTGCAGCTATGCTATCTTGCACATTTCAGGTAAGGCCTAATAAGGTACCATCAGCTTTATTTGGACAAAAGGTAAGGGGGTCAAGATATCATGAGAATAAAAACTTTAATTTATGTTTTAGACTATTCCGGTCGATAAATCTCCTGAGGGTACTGAGCTGGATTACTTCTCCTTGAAATCAAACCAGCGTAACGTAAGTCACTCGAATCTCCGTGCCAATTCTGGGCCAAATACTGCAGAAAATCTCGAAAAGGTGTCTGTTGCACCTGTCAGCGCATCATATGGGTCTAAAACGACAAATATGCTATCCTATCTTTGGGAAACGGATAAGCGTTTGTCACCTACTGAAAGATTAACAGATAACCCTAACGAATTGCAGTCGCCTACCACCAAACGCAATTCTCGTTTGAACCGCTCTTGGACAATGACCCATCCCAAACTAAAGATTCCAAGTAATACAGCCCCAGGTGTTCGGCATAATGTTGGTAGCTTAGGCTCGCACTCATCTTATCCGTCCTCGCCAGCAATAGCTACACCAACAACACCTCTCTTTAATAAGGAGGGAAAGGTTTTAGTTGACAGAACGGAAATGAAACTTGAATATACAAATTTAGAACACTTTGATAGTGAGCGGTTCTTTCAATTTAACCATATTCCGTTGATGGATACAAAAGGAATGGCACAGCGTGATGCGTTACGACTAAATTATGCAGACATGTTGTACAGATGGAATTTGCTGGACCAGCGTGCAGAGGTCTTAAGGTTCTTAAATCATCAGCCTTTCCCTGTAGATAAAGAAGTGACTTCAACGCACATTCAAGTATCTTGCTATGCATGCGGAACTGAACTTTCAAGTAATGATAAGTACTGCGTACACTGTAGAAAGATTCGAAAGTTGATTCGTTGCTGTTTCTGTCACATTTTGGTCAAGGGACTTGTCAATTTTTGTGTTCACTGTGGACATGGTGGTCATAGTAATCACATGGAAGATTGGTTTGTTACGAATCAGCAAGTGTATTGTATGACAGGTTGCGGTTGTAAATGTGCTTTAGAGCCCTTAGAAATAAGTAATTGATTTTTTTTTCATATTATTTATTTATTCTAAATAAATTTGTACATAATTTTAAAAATCTATTCTAATGGTTGGGAGGTCAACTTTACTCTTTCAGCAAAATCTTTAATTTGTTTTCGCATGTCGTCTACAACAGGGGAATTGTGACATCTAAACACTTTTTCGATTAATGGTATCCACTCGTTGCTAACGATATTTGAAATTTCAGTGACGGGAGCAATCCACTCTTGAGGTAAAGGGGTCAATTCAGTCTCGGCGGGTGTAGTTTCATCTCCTTCTTTGGTTTCTACGAGCTCTTCTTTAGCTACAGTGGCCTCTTCTTCGGCCACCACGGCCTCTTCTTTAACTTCTTCAGCGTCAGAGCCTGAGTCGGAATCCGAGTCAGAGTCAGAGTCAGAATCAGAATCAGACGAGTCTTCTTCATATGTCACGTTTGCATACTTGTTTTCGGTGGCCTCCATGACAAGGTCAATGACAACATGGAGGATACGCCATCCAGCAAAGAAAGCGGCCATAGGGTTACCATGTGATTTTGACTCAGAGTTGTTATGGGAGCCAATGGTATTGTTAAAAAACTGAATGTAAGTCAAGGCTTCTTGTAAACCTTTCTCGAGTAAGCCTAAACGCGAAGCCAACCCTTTACCGAATGCTTTTGGAAACAATAATAAATGGTACGTAGCCAAAAGGGAATGTACGATACTATAAGTCCAATGGTTCTTAGGCACGGGAGTTTGATCCTTATTTGCTGGATCCAATAAGTCGAACAAATAAGGCTCCAACATACTCATCATATTTTGATTTATGCGATTACTATAAATACGAGAAGCGAATCCCATCAAGACCCGGGTGACACTTTTTTCACGATCACCAATAAAAGTGGGTTCATTCAGGTTATGGCAATTGAAACACTTCCATGTGCCGTTATGGTGACGGTAATTCACAGGTTCGTTACATTTGTTACAGATAACACCGCGAGACCAATCCCAATCCATACAGCTTTCGCATGTACAGGTAAAGAACTTGAACTTTTCAAGTTTTGCTTTACGATCCAAAGCTGTGCCACAAACTAAACCGCCGACGGATAAATCATCCTCAGGCAAGTAAGAGAATGAAAGGGGTTCACCAACTTCCAAAGGACGAATGACAGTAAACACCATGGCATTACGAACAGGTTCGAAACGTAAAAATAAGTTGGGAGTACATGAATGGGTCATTTTTGATCCCCAACGTAAAAGTGCAATCGTAGGCGTGATCACCAAGTCTTCGATATCTTCACCCCAATAAGTTTCGTTGTCTCCAAACTTGTCTTTGTATTTTTCCCGGCGAGCTTTTTTGTGGCTGTGGGTGGGTATCTCTCTAGCTCTAGGAAGTGCCACTGTATGTGCGTTGGAATAAATTTTTAAAATGAAATTAACCAGGTCAACTTGATCAACATGAGAATACAAAGGTTCGGTTTCGACAACCCTTTGTACAACATCACGAACAAGTTGTACGGTTTTGTGCTCTGACCATTGAGGTTCTTCTTGTGAGTTGGGATAATAAAAGAAGTCAAAATCGTCTGGCTGGAATGATTTACGTGGACGGATCTGGGTGTAAGTGTGTGTAGGTGGATGGATATCGAGATATGCAATGATAGCAGCTGGTACACCGGGGCAAAAATCCGAATCAAGATTGACTTCTTCCTCCTCCTCTTCGTCACTCTCTTCATCACTACTATATCCGCTGTATGAATCGTCTTCGTCTTTCTCTTCCACTTTTTTTGTATTATCATCTTCATAGTGCTCTACGGGTTCTTCATGTTCTTGGACAATATCTACAAGGGATTTCCAAAGTTTCTTGGAGAAATAAGGGGACTTTGTAGATCGACAGGTAGGCTTTAAGTCATACTTGATCAAAGGTTCCTCAACGAGAATGACATCGCCTGGAATAAGAGGACGCCGTGCTACCAAGGAGCGACCTTCGACTTCTAATTCCTTTAAAAGTACCGAACTTTCGAACTCTTTTTTATTGACCACGGTCGAAACGTTATATTGATTGACACTTGTCATGGTGAGGTCAAGAGAAAAAAGAAAACAGAAAAAATTTACGTTTATAAAAACGGCGTTTCAATTCTACGTGGAGGGGCATCCGGCAGCCAAGCGCCACTATAAAAAGTAGACTCACAAAGTTCCTTTCTACTTTCATTTAATTCTTATTTACAAGATTAGACCATGTTGACACTTGGACTTGGTCAACTATTTTATGTGTTGCTTTGCTTTATCAATGCCATTGCTGTCTTGAGTGAAGAAAGGTTTTTAGCTAGAAGTATGCAACATGAAAACAAGATGATGAAAACACGTTAATTAACTATTTTTCTTTTTCTGAACAGTTGGATGGACAGCCCAACCAGAAGCAGGATTTGGCAATGAACAAGGTCAAACAATAAAGTACAAAATGATCAATTTAATATCTGCAGTAAGAACTCTGATGAGAAGTGAGTGCATAAATTATTCAATACACAAACAGTGATTAATCCATTATATAGTCCCGTTGATTGCCATCAATATAGTCGTTATTATTTACGAGCTGTTACTCGGATAGACCCTAACATGATACCAACGCACAGACATTTAAAAAAAAACTTTATTAAAGACATAAACTATCTTCTTTTATTTTATACTTTATTCTGCTGATCCAAGACCAATCAAACACCAAAATGAATAACTCTTGATCTTTTCGTCATCAAACCTTATAGAAGAGCTGGTCTTCTTTGAGCCATCAATACTATCATCCACGTCCATATCATCTATATCATCAGCATCCACGTCACCCGAAGACACGTCTGTACGATCTTCATCTGACTTGTAGTTATATGTCACCAGCAATGGAAACTATTTGCAAAATGATAAGTATGTCGCTAGCATATACATCATATGTATACTTTACCTTAAATTCGCCTGCTTGTTCTGGAATAACCTCCACAATGATACTTGTGTAATTATTTCTCTTTTCATATACACCATCAACCGAGGTCCCTCCGACAAATCCGTTCTGACGTCTATTACTTCCAGCAGGATACATCTCATCATCATACTCAAAAGTTTCATTATAAGCACCCACAGTAAAATGAGGTGAGAGAATAGTGACTTTACCACGGATTTTGGAGTTATCCTCATCAGAGGCAGACTTCTTTCTTATTTGAGGGGTTGCCAAGGTAATGCTCATTTCCTCGTATAAAGGGTTGGTGAATTTGATGACGATTTGAGTAGGTACATTGACCTGAAGTGGCCAGTTTTTTCGGGGTAACTTGGAAAGACTGATGGTGGGTATGTAGTTCATGGCTACAAGCTTAATTTTAAATCTTGTTGCCTGCGCTTTTTGTTCAGGTTTGATTAAAATATGACGGCAATTGCGACAACGTTTGGATCGCTTAATTGAAAGATGGATACGTTGAGGATGCACTTTACTATCAGAAAAAAAAGAGAAAAACATGTTTGAGTTTAACAGTAACATGTCTTTGTCGATGGAATCTTACGATAATTCATAAGGTTGATCATAAAGTTGTGTGGATCGTTGAGTTAAAGTTGATACTAGATATTACTGCATAAGTAAAAAGCTCCCGAGTATCTCATGCTAACTCACCTCCATCTACACTTCGAAGCGAAATCATGGAATCCAATAATTTAGGATCACTATCGGGTATCTGAACACTGGGTTCATAATCACTAATATCATCGAGTTTCCCTTGTTGCATTTGTGGATCATGATGAAAGTGGGTTCCCATGTATTTGCTGAAAGCGTTCGAACTCGAGAAATTCAAAAAGCTATTGGGTAAAGAAGGCGGTGCGTTGACACGAAGATGCTTTTCAAAATGTTCTTTGAGCTGATCAAATTCCTTTGCATCGGGTAGAGCTTCCTCGTTTTTTTGTAATTGCACTTTTTTATCGGTTAGTCTTTGTTTTTTGTATACGTGCGATGGTTGCTTACGTGCTAAACTAGTTGGTTTCTCGAACGTCATGTCGATCTCTTGGGAACTCCATCGGCAAACATTACAAGCTAGAAAGTAAGGGCCAGGAGCAGGCCCTGAACTTGTGAGTTGAGCTTGTTCTTGAGCTGCTACCACAGATAACGTGTTCTGGCAAATGGGACATTGAAAGCAATTTCTTGCGCATCTAGTCAAAGCATGAGCCATGGAAATATAATCATTTGATTTATTGTTGTGTACCTATTCTTTTCACTTTTGACACTGGCGGTAGGTACTTCAAAAAGACAATTGGGACAGTAATAGGATACAATTTCGTCCTGAACGCATGATGGGCAACGAATTTGATGACAATCTTCACAAAAATAAAGACGTGACAAAGGATAAAGATAATTCGAGGCTTGACTGGATAATAGATGACGACCAGTAACTGAAGCGGCACTTTCTGCTGTTAATGTAGGTGTATTCTCAAGTGTTAAGTTGGGGTTGATCTCGTTAGCTTTTTTGTCCGAGCAGGCACAATAATAATCTACAAAAGGTATAGGCTCTTGCCCATTCGTTGTCATCATTTTGATTGTAGCAAGGAAGAATTGAAGAAAAACAAAGCTGTACCTTTTTTTTGAGAAAAAAACGGGGTCACAAAAACATTAATTTCTACTATGTTTATGATTGGGAACTGTTACTGACCTCAATTTGCATTGTTAGACTAGGTAAAACCCTGGATAATCCAGTAAGAAATGTTAACTGGAAGGTTTTACAGCAAAACAACCTTTTTACACACTAAAAGGTACATTCTCGTTTCATCTAATATACATGATATCTTGTGTTACTAAAGGAAAAGTTACCTCATGCAGATAATGTGTATAGCGACATTTTCATTGAGGGTAGTTTATTATCAAAGGGTGTACCGTAATAGATCCAGCTATTTAGAGACAGTCTTGTAATTTTTTTAGTATATTTCACCCGCTCTGTTTTATCATAAAGGGCGTCAGCTGTTAAACCAAATCTTCTTTAAATTTATTACATAATCCAATTGCTTTGACCATTAACCAGATCAGTAATTTGTTTCGAATATTATCCAAAAATAATAACCTTTTCATATCATGAGGCCGACAAATTTGAGCAATTTTACATACTGTTGCTATGATTGAGGCTCGATGACATGCTGGTTACAAAGCTATAAAAAATGTTTCCAAAACCATAGACGTTGCTTGTTAAGAGTTGTTTTCAAACATTATTATCTTGGACTCGTTTTGTTTCTTACACGATTTCTTAATGTACCTAAAAAGTAAGTGTTTTATTCCCATCATATATTAGCTACTCCTATCTTGTTCATGATAAGAATCTGCGGTTTAATCATTCGTCTGCTATTAAGATATAACACTCGTTCCAAGAATGATTGTTGATTATGCTATTTTTACTTTGGTTTTGAGACAACTCTGACAGACAAAGAAACGACTGTATGGTAGGTTACTACATTGATAAAAACTACGCATTGCCCGCTCGTCTATTTTCTCACCCGCCTCTCACCCCCTTATAACTTAATAATTATCTAATGACAGGATTTTTTTGGGGTAGATGCCATTGACCTTTGGCGTTCAAGAAAGACCAAGCCTTTATCGTTTCGGATACTCGTGGTGCCCCCCCCCCCCAAGGTTTTGGGGGCTGGTGTTTTGCGCAGGGGGTTATGGATACATGTATCTTTTTAAACCTATTGATATTGACGGTAACACAAAAAAAGGAGCACTGTTGTAACAACCATGACTTGAACAAGTCTTTGCTGACGGCGGTACTACAAAAACGTTATGGATTTTTCCCCGCTAAAAAATAAATAAAGGATATTTCGACACATGATGGACAATGCTCCCTGCACTTCTCGCATATCTTTTTAGGAGAGATGTTTTAAAAGCTTACTATAATTGTCTTTCTTCAAGCACTTTTGAGAAGATCTCGCTAACCCAGGGAAAAAAGCAAAAGTGTTAAATGAAAAAAGTCGTCGTTGCCGGGGATACATTTGATCTCAGAAGCATTGACCCAGGGAAGTCAATCTAAAGACAACAAAATCGCTCTGTTATTTTTATATATTCTATTATTCAACAATGGAATTTAAGAAGAAAAAACTTTAAATACAAATGTATAAACAAATGCCAAAATGGATGATCTTTTTTCTAAATCTGACATTAAAAAAATTCTGTCCAAAAAGGACGAAAATCCAGCTAGTCAATTTTGAAATACAAGATACAAAAGAACAATCAAAATAGTGTCAATAAGATAAAGTGTGAAGTACAAGATTATCAAAACAAGGTTATGTTATTGTTGTGAGAAGAAGAAGAAGAAAAAAAAAAGGTTATGATTATTTTACTGGGTTTTATGCTATAAAAGGCCAATCTCCGGCCTTAAAAAAAAAGGGCTTGCAAATTTTTGTACGACTCAACAACAATGATGTTGAGTCTGGACCAATTAAACATACTTGCTCTCAGTCCAGTTACTGACTCCTGTTTTTTTAATCTAATATCATACGTGAGTCTGTGCCATTCTTCCCTATAAGAACGGGTGGTGAGACAAGAGATAGGTCTCCTTAAACATAATTCACATATAAAATACCTCTCTTTTTTCTGCTTCTTTTTTTCTTTCTTCTTTTCCCACCAATACACACACAAAAAAAAAAGAAAAAAAAAAAGATGCCTACAGCTATTTCAACAGAACACCCATTAATGCTTAGACCTTCTTTCAGCACAAATACGCCTACGCAGATGACCAGCGTAAAGTTAGCGACAGCCATCACGAAAGCAACCGTGATATCCTTTGAAAGGCTTGCGGATCAAAAGATCTGGTACACGATTCGCGTTGAGCCCAATGCTAGCAAGAAATATTTTATCTCTAGAAAATATGAAGATTTTATTCAATTCTCTCAAAAGTTACATGACAGATTCAACACTACCAAATATCGTGCGGGTTCACGTTTACCTCCCAAAATTAAAAGTCGACTATTGTCATTACCCAACAAGCAAATTCATTCACAGCGTGTACAAGAGCTCAATCAATTTCTGACGCTCTTACTTCAAAAGCCATCTATTGTGACCGAATCTTTTCTTGTTCACGACTTCTTTGGAGCGGATGATACGGCTGAAGATGTGTTTGTCAAGAAAGAGTATGCGGCAGTAGATTATGTGATTGATCAAGATAGCATGCAACCAGAAGCGACCAGCTCGTCAAGATGGAAACGTCTTCGGTGCACGTCTTTTTTAGCAAGTCGATCTCCCCCTTCCTCCGGTTTATCCTCTTTATGTAGTCAAGCTGCCAACAAAATCATTCCTTCGTGGCACCGCAATAACACTACTGCACCTCAGCCTTCCGTCTCAACCCCTGCAATCAGCAGCAGCAGCAGCAGCAAAACCAATACTATAATGACAGGTCAACAACAACGTAAACAAGTATTAAAGAAGAGTCAGTCTAGTCTTGGTATTGTGGAAGCGCATCACCCATTGGACGACAGTGTAGTAACTCCTACCATCAGTCACCATGACACACATCAATTAAAAAGCACGATTAAAATCAAGGTGATTTACGATGCTGACAATATCATTGTGATTCAGGTTCCTAGATCGATTTCACTGGTGGATTTACGGTCTAGAATTGCACAAAAATTTTCCGACCCAAGTATGGGAGCTATCCAGGTTGCCAAGGACCTGATTTTATTATTTAATGATAACAGCAGTAGCTGTTGCAGTCTGGTTTCTTCGCCATTAAAAAATGATATTATGTTACCAGCTGTATTGATCAATAAGGAACAAGATTTAGTACAAATTATGCATACCAAATGGAATAGGCTTGAAAAAGTTACTTTACGCTGCATCATGTAACTCTCCTTAAAAAGAAAACTCTCACACTCATTCACACACACACTCCTTTTTGTTCATATTTCGTGTATATAAAACTTTTTTCTCATGATACCCCCTTCTCTCTCACTAACTTTTTTTGATAAAATAAAACAATAAAAATAAAAATAAAAATCCATTTCTTATAAATGACAGAATTCATTCTTTTTGTCTATCCATTCCTTTAAAACATTCCTAAAAGGAATATGTGAATTTATTTTTCTCTCCTCGTCCCTTTTATTTTTTTTTACTCTTTTTGACAAGACTAATTTCTTCTCGTCGAAAGACAATAAGTGCAGGTAGAATCTTCTTTTTTTTAGATTGATGAGGAGTACATTTCTTGACCACATCGTCTTTGACAACTTTAGCCGTATATATCTTCATTCTTGTGAACTGATCCTGAATCTTTTCTGCATAAATTTTCATTTTAAACACGTCATGAACATACGCCTGCGTACTCTTGAGTAACATTAAATTGATCTTGAGTTGTTCTTCCGCATACCCTTTAAATTGCTTTTGGTTATATTGAAAGATACGTTTTGCCGTATTATGAATCGCAAAAAACATGTGATGGTAGGTACTCTGGTCACACCCTACATCCTTCAGCTGCTGCAACGCCTGTAACAACTCCAGATTTGTTTGCAAGCAATCAATCACCACATCTTGAGTCGGAGGCTGCTGCGGTGTCAAAAACTGATATAGCACCACAAGTCGCATTGAATTGTAACAGATATGCAGATGGAGTTGGGCGATCGTACTGTATCTAGGTAACTGATCATACCACTGCGTTAGCTCGCCTGTGATTTGATAATAAACCAAAGATGGTAATTTTTGTTGATCGTTCGAAAAGATCTTTCCAGAATGAAGTGCTCGTATATATCGCCGCATATAATGTGTAAGCATCGCAAAACTGTAAGCATGGTCTTCATCGCTAGCCGTAATCGATTTTTGCATCATCTTCTTTATATCTATCAGAGGAACAATATCAGGTAATAAGCAGTCGCGGTTCAACGTAAGGCACATCCAAGCGTCCACGTAATACCACCGAAACCAACACCCTAATGTGAGCTTATCTACAGGCTTTGGCATTTTCTTGGCTAGATGCTGTAACGATATAGAAGCGAGACCTCCCCATGTGCGTTGCTGTTCATAAAGCCGTAACAAGTTAGAGGTGTAACTTAGACAAAAATACGACTGTATGATCATGGGCTGCATATCATCAAACAGTATATCATCCATTTTGTTCCGTGCTTGTTCATAGAACACCATGGCGGCCTGTTTAGAATACTGAGACGATGTGTTTTCCCTATCCATGAAGGTGACCAGACTGATAGAAGCAATACAATAAACAATGGCTCGAGGTGCCGTCCTCCAATTCTGAATGACAGAGATATTGACAGGAGCGACTTTAAAGCCTATACAACACCAGTGTTGTACAGCGCGATGCATGAGCATATCCAGCATTTGAGAATTTTCGACGCCAAGACGTACGGAGGGAGGCACTGTGAAATTGGTACTTGATAGGTTGATTAAATCTTCTTCGGTGGTAGACCATCTGTTACACTTTTTTTGATGCGCACGAGCTCTTAAAGAAGAAGTGGGTAAAGGGTCCAAATCTTCAATGTCTTTTAAAGCCACTTTAAGATCTGAGAAGGTATTTAGCTCGATCATAATATTCGAGTCTTCTTCTTCCAAAGACAGAAAAGTATCATCCCAGCAGGCTGTCAAAAACAGTTGGGGTTGTTTTAACTCGTCAATCATCATAACGTAATCATTTGGTTGATAGTCTTCTTGGTGCTTCTTTTCTAATTGAGGTCGAAGGTATTCAAAGAGAAGCTTTTCGGTGGATTCAGGAGAATACATCATTGTTTGTATATAAAAAAAAGTTTAAAGAAAAAGAGAGAAAGAGAACAAGTAAAAAACCTACTTTTTTATACACAGCGATCAACGTGTGTTACTTTTTTTAAAGTTAAGGAGTTATGCACAGGACTCCTTGTTTTTGATACTCTTTTACTATTTGTTTGCCAATCGTTAACACTGCTTTCACACTTATGGGCAATCCGAAATTCTGGGAATCCCCAAAAAAAAAAAAAAATTATTTAGTGTTCTTCTTAGTTCATCTATTTTTTTTTTACAATCTGATTATGAAGTCTGTCAAAAAGAATATCAAAAGTTGACAAAGAGAAGTAAAGTGAAATTTAAGAACAATGAAATGCCTGTGCTTTTTTTAGATTGTTATTGTTTTTGGATGTACACGCTTTTATCGCGAAGCTCGTTTTAAAAACTCTAAAACATCATGTTCCGATTGTCTTCATCATCGTTTATCATCATCATTGCCGTTCGTCATCTATCGCCTGTCATCATCATTTACTACCCTATTGCTTATTTTAAAAAGAAAGAAAAAATGATCAAATTATAATATACAAGTATATTTATTAAAAAAAAAAGGGGGGAATCATAACAGTTATATCTTTGCCTTGTTATCAGTAGCAACAATCTTCTTTGCATCTGCTCTTTCTTTAGCATTGTCTTCACCTAAAATATCCGCCATGCGAAGTACTCTTGTACTCACTATTTGACATTATCAGTATCACTTTTTTATATTAAAAAAAAAGGGTGCAATTTTCTTTCTTACCCGTGGCATTATCTCTTCTATTTTTACCCTCTCTTCTAAACTTGCCAATTCTCTCGACAAGTTCCCAAAGATGTCCTCTTGGTATCAAGATACCATTTTGGCGTTCGGGTGTATAAGCAGGACTGACAGCCACCTCTGACCAGGTCTTGGGTGTAGTATGGCGTCTTTTCAACAAAATGTGCTGTTCTTCATAGCGTGTGAAAGCATTACTTAAAGTTTCCTTATTGACGGCTTCCAAATAACTCAGATCTCCTTGGTAATACAGCGTCTTACCCAATGATTGCGTTCGATTCGCAAATAATTTACTATCCACCCAAATAGGCTCTTGACCTGCAACAGACGGCGCCAATGTAAACAAACTAATCGCTGCTAACCAATAAGACTCAATAAACGGCCAAATCATAAAGCAAAGGAAATCTAAAAAAAAAAAAATCTGATTAGTTCTAGTGCTCTTTTAAAGTTCGGAAGAGGCAAATCGGTTACCGTAATTTTCTCGGCCGCACTGTCTTTCCATGTCGGATAATCCAACCCAGCCATCTTTGTCGATTTCAATCACATTGTTATCTGCAAGCCATTGCATGGTGCGCTTTGTATTAGACTCGACGCCTCCAGGCTTATAAATCATGTCTAACTTTAACAGACTAGAAAGGAACGAGATTTCATCCAGCAGATCACTGTACTGCATACGCTGTAATGGCTTTCCGCCGCCCTTTTTCACTACCGTGTATAATGCAGCACATACAATGGCTTCTTCCACAAACAAGTGAATCACTTGGTTACGGTAATAAGATAATTCGAAAGCTGCAATGGGATAGAATGTAGGTTCCACAATATCTTTACCCTTTCTTTCGCCAATAAGATCCTTGTGGATGACAACAGTTCTAAGTACGGATGTGAGAAAAAGTAGAATAAAGGATAGCAAAAGTGAATACTTTACTTGTCAACAATTTCTCCAGTAGACATATCATTGAATTCAGAGACTTGACCGCCTTTGGCTTCAATGACATTCTTCAGCCAATCGACACGACGGATCAATTCACTGCGGCCAACACCTCTACCTCTCAATGTCAAGATGACGGTACCTACCAAAGCGGAAGGCATGACAACAGCAATAGCATTCTATATCGAGCGTGAGATTTCATGTATGTAAATAACACCGAAAAATTGCGACTTACAATATCAGCTAAAACTCTAAAAAGAAAAAGAAGGTTCAATCACATGAATCACCAAGTATATTGTTTGCTTGTCCTACCTATAACCCAGTGATTTCAACAAAACGGATTTCTGGTTATGATCTGAAAGGTCCATCGGGCTACGATTGGAAGAAAAGAGAGAGAGAGAGAGAGATGTTAGAATAGGTAGATACGATTCGCGTCTAGAGTGCCTTACCCTCTCATTTGAATTTGCTCATCGACCCAATTCTTTAAAGAATAAGGTTTGCCCACACGCACTAAGTTTATATTAAATGATCAATAAGGAGGGACGGATCCAGACATGAAAAGAACAATACCATCTACTCGGCCCCATTTTAATTGCAATAGACTGCTATTGGTTAAAATACCCCTAAAAAGTATAAAAAAGTAAAAATTTAAACAAAAAGGTCGTATTCTAGAATTTGTCACTGTTACCATAAACTTTCTTTCTCTTTGGGTGCACCTAATAATTCTGTTGCGTAACTGGATGTTTCGATAATTTTGTCATAACCCAATGAAATAGGCACGATATGACAATCCTCGAATCGTCCATCGACATACGCATCGAGAATGATTTTAACAATACCCAGTTTTGGTTGAAGTAACTTTCCCAATCTTGAACGTGTGCCTTCTACAAAGCACTCAAAATTCACTTTTTTTTTTTTTTTTTAATAAAATGGGTTAGTGACTTGATTCGGGCAGGAACGGATTCCCCCTTTGTACTTACATCCTTCTGCTAAAATGGTGGCCACATACTCTTCCAAAATAGTCTTGTACATGATATCGTTACCCCATTCTCGACGGATATAGACGGCACCCGAGGATTTCAGGATTTTACCGATCAGGGGCAAATCAAGATTGTCACCAGCAATGATATGAGGAATTTGAATTCCCAGTCTGAACATCAAATAAGACACTACCATGTAATCGATATGCGATTTGTGTGAAGGTACAAAAATCAGCGACTGTTTCTTTTCTTGGGCCATAATGGCTACTCTTTTCAACTATCATTACATGTCAGTCGGCATCTATGCACACATACTGAATTTTTAAATCGCAATGGTTACCTCGACCCATTCACTTTCTCTAATATGGACACCTTGGTGATAGAGTCGCACAAGAATATTGTTGACTATAAAGGCAAAAAATCTATGGGGTATATAAAATGGGTTACATTGCTTAACTAAGTCCCTAATTCCACTTTGTTTTTACCTTAGTGTACGACTACTGTCCACGGTAGCTACACACTTTTGAACAATGGCCTTGGCAACCACTTGTAACTCTTTTCTCATTGCCTTTCTCTGTTTCTCAATACGCTTATCGTCTTTATTCCAGTTCTTTTGATTGGCCAGTAATTCGGTTTGGCGATCTGCCAATTGATCAATGATACTTTGTACTATAATCCCAGTTTAATTTGGATTGAGTCATGATTTTCTCTCTTCTTTTAGAATTGGCGTCAATATTTACCCTTCTTACTACCGAGGACCATGGATCTCATTTTTTCGGAATAACCAGGATAAAGAATCTTGGTACCAATATAATCTTTATAACCACGCCATCCCTATTTGGAATTTATAAACATCCCCAGCAAAAAATTATATATGTATATGCATTGGGAGAAAACACTTACGGTTCCTTGGTAATATAAACCCATATTAAACAAGAATGCAAGAGGATCTTCTCTTATACGACGTGGTTCTTTCTCACTGCACAGGAAGAAAAAAAAAACTATTAAGAAAAAGGGCATTGAAAGCAACATGGTAACTTACACAACATTACGATGCTCAGAAAGGTCTCGTTTGACATGGATCTTTAAAGCGCGAGGATTCTCAACGGTAGTGTATTCTCTACCTGAGCCTTTATATTCTTCCACAAGTCCTTGTAAACGTTTCTCGGTTTTATTCATTGCTGTGGAGAAAGAAAATAAATAAATAAAGGAGGTGGGAGAGGAAGGGGGTGAGCACAAAATTTGTTTTATAATTGCCAACAAGGTTTGAGAAAAAAAAAAAAAGTGTGGGGTACGGAAAACACCCAATCTCAGCTCATTGGCCAAGTTTTTTTTTTTTTCTTACATGTAAAAACCCAGGGTGGGCCTTTGTTATATACATGGTTCTCGCTTTGGATACAGATAGTAAATATAATGGCGATATTCTTATGGAAATATCATCAGATATTTTCGAGTTAATTGACCCTTTCGTACCTGGGGAATATTTTGAAATTATTTAGCACATGTTGTATTGACGAGATACCAATGTAAAGGTATCAATTGAAGTGGTGCCTTTAAAGTATAGGTACTCTTGTACTTACATTCATTAGATGGTATCGGAAACAATGTTTAGCTTTGGTATAAAACTCCCTTCAGAATGACTTGTAAACGCTCAATAAAACAAGTTACTGGAATATTCACTCAAAAGTGTAATGTGTCACCTTAATTATATCTCTTGAAAACTCGAAAATTTTGTTTCTATAAATTAAATGTCTTATATAAGCTTCCTTTTTTAACATCAACGACTTTTAGCATTTATTGTACGGACATCACCCACAAGTTTTAATTTGTTGATGAGTCGTCGAATCTCCTTGTCTGTGATATCCTCTCAACAAGGCGAATGCGAAATCATCTCTAAGGGTGTCCCCTTAGTCATCAATGTACGTATAAACATGTTTTAGAAATTGCGGTTGAACCATATCCTGCTGGTATTTTTTTCGTTGATGTGTTGTATAAAGTACACTGTGTTGTTCGAGATGTCTTAACATGTTTTAAACGTTACAAGAAAACATATCTCTATTTTTTATAGCTCTCTCTTATTCAGGCACTATACAGCCTACTACAACCTCTTGAGTAAAATGAGAAAGTGCATGAAAGATATTAATCGTGAGTCTATGCGATCATATGGAGAACCCTTGTATATATAGCTGATGATATCGCTGGATTTGCACCAGGGTAATCGCTAACTTGGTCTTCATGATGAATGCATTATCGCTACTTTTTTCTCGACTTACAGTTGCCTGTTCTCTAAATTGGGTAGACATTATGCTGTACTTTCGTTTTGCTCGTGGCCCCACTTTTTTTTAAAAAAAATTGTTTAGCGATTCAATCATTTTATCTTCAACCGAGGCCAAAGAACAAGTGGATATTTTTTTTGAAAAAAAAAAAAAAAAAAAAAAAAAAAAAAAAAAGAGACAGCAGTGACGTTAACAAATATGGCTGTTAAAAAACCCAAGAAAAAAAGAGAGAGAAAAATTAGAAATTGGAGATGTAGTGTTGCAGCCTATGCGATTCACCATGGCTTCTCGAGTAAGTAGATATTTGTTTATTCATGATGAAAATGGAACATCAATTCAGATAAATTAAAATTATTGGCCGATGACATTATTTCCAAGATTTTCTTGTAACTTGGATACCGTTGTATATGAAATTATTGGTCAACATCTTGCTGTTTAAAAAGAATTGGGTAGATGGGCTTTCGAATCAAGTTATAACAATCCTGCAAAAAGGATACCGGTCATGTTAACCACTTGCCTGTTGACAATGAACAATGATATCTCTACATGGCTCTTTTTTTAAAAAGATAAAGTTGCACTTGGCGCTGTGATGTAACTTTTTTAATAGGCAGAAAAAAAGATCAGCATTTCTAATCTAACCACGTTTGTTCCTAAGAACCGACAACGGGAATCGACACATTTGCAGAATAATAGGGGAACAAATCCTTCTTGGATAAACGTAGGATAGACTGTCTGTGAAATCAGAGTAGTAATGTAGTGTATCCCCAGACGAGGGTTCTAGATCACTTTTGACGGGCGGCAGTTCTAGATCTGTTTGTTTCAAACCCGAGAAATGTATCTTGTACATAATCGTGCTATTACAATCAAGCTAGGCTCTACATTGCACATACACTCTACACTCTACATTGCACACACACACTCTACACTCTACATACACAGTTTTTTTTTATATGAGTTTTTATTATTTGCTGTAACAAAAAGATATGGGGAGATGTGATTGTTTTTTTAAGCAGAGGCGGCGACGACCTTCTTGGCTTGAGTTCCTATTATTAAAAAAGAATGTTAATACAAGCGTGTAAAAAGATGCTTAACCAAAAAGAACATACCCTCACGGAAACCGTTCTTGAAACGACGTTGAACATCCTTCAAGTGAGCCATGCGACCGGTACCGGTGGTCTTTCTACGTTGACCCTTTTCGGACCAGTTGAAAGATCTAATCTTGGCAGCGGGATAACCACATTGAGCACAAGTCTTCTTTTGCTTGTGGAAAGCACGGTTACCACAACGTCTACAGAGAGTGTGGGTCTTGGTGTGACGCTTACCGAATGAACTGGTACCCTTAGACTAATAGATTTTTAAAACAAAAAAGAGAGAGTCAATTTTTTCTGTTTTTATTCGCTTTCCAGGCTAATGTTGGATTCAACATGTCGAATGTTCCCTCCAGTTATATAAATAAAAAAAAAATCTTTTTTTTTTTAAGCTTTTTTTTTTTTTAAAAAAAAAAATCAATATAATCCATCCATTCATCTATCGTGCATTGTTGTATTCGTACATGTTGAATCCATCATTTTTAGTCTTTATGTTTTTGTATTTTTTTATTACCATCTTTTAAGAACCGTTTAGAAAAGGAAGAAACAATACCGTATGCACACATTAATTTTGACCTTCAATGAATCAAAACACGGGTTGCGGGCGGACGGGTTGGGCGTGCGGGTTTGCCGCGCTGCTGAACTCCCCCCTTTCCTCCATAAACATCCACTGTCCGGACCTGTTTAGATTCGGTCCGGACCACATTAAAAGTCAGATAGTATCCATGGATAGCCACTCGTTGTCGGACATTGAAATAAGGATGAAACGCTTACCCTTTTTGGAAGAACAACAATTTGAAGAGAACTTGGCAACTGGGGGGGGGGTAGAGGCTAATCACTAGGTTATTTCTATCCATGGTGATACGATCTTTACGGGCGGGTATTCGTAGTCCCTAAGGAACAGTGTACGTAGTTAATGCGTAAGATTAAGTATCTGTAAAATACAATGTTGAAGTTCTTGGACAGGCAAGGTGGGACTTTTTATTTTTAATTTTTTTTTTACAAACGGGGAGGGAGTCATATGGGAAAGTAATTCATAAAAAAAAAAAGGCATATATCAAAAAAGAAAAGGGAACCATGGTAGAGTGTAAGAGAGAAAAAAAAAAAAGAAAAAAAAAAGGTGGATAAAAAAAAAAAAAAAAAACAGGAAAGAGGAAAGAGGAAAGGTGAAGGTGAAAGAGGGAGGTTTACGATTTACGACGATTTTGCTCTATCGAAGATTGATTTTTTTTTTTGGATCATTTAATACGGTACGTTGATTTTCTTCGGTATTTGCGCTTACCATGAATAGGATTTAACATGTGCGATTGTTTCCCAAAACCCATCATTGTTGATCTGTTTTTCGAGTCGTCTGTGTCTGTTTGAAAAGAGAAGTGTTAAACAAATGGGTTATATATATTAAGAGAAAAAAAGGGGGAAGAGAGAGAAAATAAAATATAAATGTTTTACTTGTATATTTTGGTACTGCGACAGACGAGGAAGAAGAAGAGGATGAACAAGTGGACGATTTCCTATCAAAAGAAGTCTTGTCATCTTCCCTTGTAGCATCTAATCTGTAACTTGACTGGCGTTGTTGTTGTCGTATCGAGTCAAAGGAAGGTAATTTTCTTTGTTTGGTATCGTTGGGTTTTTCATTATTATTATTGTTGTTGTTGTGGTTATTATTATTGTTGTTGTTAACTGAAGGAGAGGCAGTAGTTGTCTGTGACCAATTCGTCGTCGTTGCCGTCGTCGCATTGGTACTTGTCCCATTCTTCATCGAACCAGAACTCTGACTATCGGCTGAAGGCGATTTTCTCGATTGTCGACTCTCCTTTAATTTAGACACTTGTATTCGAAGATTCTCCGCTACAATTTTTTTTTTGTGCATTAGTATTTTCCTCATGTGTTGATGATGATTAGTACTCACCATTTTGTAATTCTTGATTGTTATTATCATTGTACATGGAGTGATTCGGGTTATTATTGTTGGAGCATATACAGTCTATACAATACAGAAAAAATTAATATCTGACTGCATATTTAACAAAGCAAAAAAAAAAACTTACTGTTATTTGATTTAGTTGAAGATACCACATCTACAAGATCTTGCATTGCCTAATTTGGATAAATACCCATTTTTTTTTTTTTAGTATGTGCGCCAAAAAATCAAATAAAAATAAAAACGTACATCTTGCTGCTTGGAGACGACCATTCTTAAATGGACAACTTCATTGAACAACGATTCACAGGATTTAGTAACACCAAGTAAGTGTTCTTCGATTCGTAAAATGTGTTTAATGACCGGACTATTATTGTTGTTGTCTCCATTTGACATATCTTGCTGATGCTGCTGATGCTGTTGTTGCTGTTGGTATTGTTGTTGGTTATGGTTCTGTTGTTGTTGATTTTGGTTCTGCTGTTGTTGGTTTTGGTTCTGTTGCTGTTGATTTTGGTTTTGTTGCTGCTGATTCTGTTGTTGATTCTGTTGCTGTTGTTGCTGTTCGTCGGCCTTGGAGGGTGGCGTGTATGAACTTTCGTTACTGTTGAAATTAAACTGTGGCGATGCTTGTAACTGTGTCTTTGCACTCTTTCGCTTGATATGTTGCAAATCACCCACAGCACCCTTTCGAAAGTTGGGATGCTTGAATTCCCAGGTCTGGTTTTCGTTTGTGAGATTCGAATGGATCAGGTCATTGACCTTATGGAAGCCATACACTAATTTAGGTTTAGTGTCCAGGAAAGTGACGTCAACACCTAGAAAAAAAAATTAAGAACTTACTGTTAAGTTGCCTGACAAAACTTTGCCAATTGTTATGCTTAAAGTATTGAGGTAGGACTGTTTTGGAGAATGACGTGGGGTTGGAAACACTAAAGAGATCACCATGGCTTGACCATGAGATTAATTCTGACGTATCAGGGTCTTCTAGCATTCTAAGTTTTGTAGTTAGTACGGATATTGAAATGCATGTGATTAAAAGAGAGATTAAAAATTAAAAAAAAGGATTTACTTGTATAGTTTGTTGACAAAGGCAGCTTGTGTCTTCATGTTGGCAGGTAAAGTAGGTTGTGTTAATGTAGCTTCTGTGCTTGAAGGAGAGCCATCCAGCTCGCTTGGGTCTAATTTAATTCTGTTTGCTGTATGTTAGTAAGAGAATAGAGAGAGAGAGTCAAGACTTGGAACACACCTTTTGTATCTGCAATCTGTTTCACCACCACTAGAACTACTGACGGAACTAGATCTACTGCTATTTTGGGCCATATTTTTTTTTTTTTTTTTTAACAAGAAAAAAAAAATAACTGAATTGTTTTAAAAAAGGAAAATTGTCGACTCTTTTTTTTTTTAATACCGAAATTTTTTTTACAACAAAAAGGTAAAAAAATACTAGATAGAATAAATAAGAAGGCAAGAATAAAAAAGAAGGTTAAATATTATATTTTTTTTTAAACTTGTGTTTGTTCTATTTTTTTTTTTTTTTTTTACGTTTTTTTTATATATATTTTTTTTTTTCCTTTCTGATAATCGATTTTTTTTTTTAAAGAAACGGAAAAAGAAGAAAAAGAAGGAAAAAAAAAAAAAAAAATTAAAAAATGGGGAAAAAAAAAAAAGAAAAAAAGAATCGGCGCCATGGCAAATAATAAAAAAGGGCGAAAGTGAGTGTGTGATGTCACCCATTCGATACCGACGAGTTGGGTCTGTTCTCGTATTTAGAAAGGTTAAAAATATGTCTCCCCTCTCCCCCCATTCTACCTTCTCGTTTTGGAAAATACGATATTTTAAAAATACGGTCTGACTTTAAAATTAAAACATTAGCTTTTTTTTAATCTGTCCTGTTCCATTGGGGGTTTAGCTGCATTACAAATCGGCATCTGCTTTTGCTTCTTTGGATAGGTTTTTGAGTAAAATGAATACCAATGAGGAAATAGGTCATTCCATCACAGGTCAAAAAAAAAAAAGGGTACTGTCACACATTTCCTTATTTTTATCACCTTTTTTTTTAATATTAGGTGGGGCTAAAAGAAAAGCCCACCATTAAGAGAAGTGGTAAACAACTATTTTTAGTGTCAGACATAAAAAAGGGGGCGCGCGCGGGGGGTTAATTGGGTATCTTTAACCCGCTGATCGCGAAAAGGCATTTTTTTACTACCTATAGGTGTCTCTTTTGAAGCTGTCACCGGGAGAAAAGTGCAACTACATCAAGAAAACTTTCATTTAACCAGAAAGCAAAAGCTTGTACATTTACAACTGTAATTCATAATGCCAAGACTGTCATGCTTACAATTCATTTCCTATTCTTCCTAAAAAGGTAAAGTGCTTCATCTGAATGCTAGAATATACAAAGAACAGCAATCGATTTTTTATTATTTGCCAAAATGCACATGTGTCCTGTGCAACCACGTATCCGATGGGTATATTTTTATTTATTTTTTCCTTCTTCTTCTAAATACGTCGCCATTTAAAAATGGAAGCTCTTGGAAAATAATTAAAAGTGTGACTTGATTGTGTTTCTGGCATCTTCCAATGCGTTCTTGATAAATGCAAGTCCTTTTTTTTTTATATATTTTTTTTTCTAATATTTATTTATCCTTTATTCTTTAATTAAAAAATGGCAGAAGACTACTATACGTTACTTGGTGTAAGCAGAAATGCGGATGAGAAAGAAATAAAGAAAGCCTATCGTCAACAAGGTATTTTAAACCTTTTTTTGTTGTACATATACACTGCAAAAAAATATTAACTTTTTTGACAAGCATTAAGGTTTCATCCCGATCGTAATAAGGAAGGAGGCGCCAAGCAAAAGTTTCAAAAGATTAATGAGGCATTCGAGACCCTGAGTGACCGTCAAAAACGTTACGCATACGATGACATCCACTCCACTACCACCACTTCTCATGCCGACTTATTCTCCCAATTCTTTCACAGCCCTCCCGCTTCCAGTGAGGAAGAAGACGATAACCCTTTTTTCAACATGTTTAAATCTTCCAAGCCAAAATCTGTTAAACGCTCATTGGATGTCTCATTGGATGATTTATACACTGGCACAACTAAGCGTCTGAAAGTGACACGTACATTGTATAATGGACATAAGGATGATACCATCCTGAACCTCAATATCTTGCCTGGTTGGAAGGATGGTACAAAGGTAGTCTTTCCACATCAGGGCGATGTCTTATCCAATGGAGAACAACAGGATATCGAGTTTGAAATCAAGGAAAAGCCTCATCCCATCTATCGTCGTGATCGCTATGATTTGTCAACAGTTGTTCAAATTAGCCTATTGGAAGCATTGACCGGATTTAAAAAGGAGCTGAAACGTTTAGATGGATCGACCTTGCTGATTGAGGAATCATCCATCATTCAACCAGGCCAAGAACGTGTTTTGATTGACGAAGGCATGCCAAAGTACAAGTCACAGAAAAAGGGCAATCTAATCATCAAGTATCATGTGCAATTTCCTAAATCTTTAACACCCGAACAGACTGATATATTAAAACTTGGCTTAGCTCCCTCTACTACCACATAAATACCCCCCCCAAACAACAACAACATACTCTTTTTTTTTGTAAATAAAAATGTACATATTGAAATGCAATCTCCCCCTTTCCTTTCCTATCCCCCCTTTCCCTTTTCTTTTTTCTTCTCTTTTTATAAAATATAATGAAATCAAGCTTTTCTTCACAAGAACACGATCCGTTAATAGGCCATAAACAAAGCATGTCCTTTTGGTCCGTGTATGCCACTTGTGTGGCTTGCTTGGGTGGTTTCTTGTTTGGATACGATTTAGGTGTTGTCGGCGGTATGCTTATCGCTCCTTCTTTCCAATCCCACTTCGAGATCGATCCAAATGACATTTTACGAGAAGCTGAAATTAACGGTACCATTGTTTCCGTATTACAAATCGGTTGTTTGTTTGGCGCTTTAATTGCCACAAGTACTGCAGGTAAAAATGTATCCATGATCATCAACAACAACAATCTTACATGGAGATAATCATAGATTCCTTTGGTAGAAAGAAAAGTATTCTGTTGGCTGCCATTGTATTCACCTTGGGTGGGATACTTCAAATCATAGGCTATGGGTTAGCCATGATGTATATCGGAAGAATTATCTCGGGCTTAGGTGTAGGTGCATTAAGCATGTTGGTACCCGTAAGTTATTCTTTTCTCCTTTTAATTTTTTTTTCTTGTCCCACCTTTAATGTCAATATCACTCATTAGATGTATGTGGCTGAAATCGCACATGAGAATCAACGTGGATGGTTGGGTGGTTTATGGATGTTCTTTATCGCTACAGGCTTAGCCACTTCCTATTGGTCTCATTATATTGTACGTAAACTATTGGACCCACAAGACAATTTACTATGGCGTATCCCATTGATCATTCAAGTCCTCCCTGCCGTCTTTTTATTCGTCGGTATGATCTTTTTATTCGAAACACCTCGTTGGCTATGCGCCCATGGCAAATCAGACGTTGCCTTTCTAGTCCTCTGTAAAATACGCAGTGGTAGTACAGCAGAAGATGTCAAGGTAGAAATGGAAGGTATTCAATCCAGTGTCGATCTGGAACAATCCATCGTCTGTACCTGGGAAGGCGTGATTTCATCTCATAATCGTCCTCGATTAATGTTGGGTTGTGGACTGCAGGCATGGCAACAGTTGTCAGGTACAAACGTCATTAATTATTTTAGTCCCATTGTGTTCCGTTCCATTGGTTTGTCCTCTGGTGACGCAGAATTGTTCGCTACCGGTATCTATGGTATCCTGAAAATGATCGTGGTACTCGTAGGCTTCTTAACATTGATTGATCGCTTTGGAAGAAGACCGCTGTTGATCATGGGTGGTGTCGGTATGGGTATCTGTATGTATGCCTTTGCCATTTGTGTCGCCAAGACACCCGTACCTAGCTCCCTTCAACCTCCTACCAATCTCTTGACTGTCACAGCAGGTCTGGGCATCGCGTCCATGTACAGTAAGTCTCATACCGTGCTGGGATCCCCCCCCCTATAAACTAAAAAAAAAACATGATTTTGTCTAGTCTATGCCATCTTTTTTGCTCTGTCTTGGGGTCCTTGTCCATGGATCTTTTGTTCCGAGATATTTCCCATGAGGTAAAACAACAAGGGCGAAACACTCTTTCTTTTTTTGGTTTTGTTTGGAAATAATTCTAATGAAAAAAAAAAAATAGTACACGAGCAAAGAGCTTATCGATCACCACGGCGATTAATTGGGGTTTGAATGCATTGATAGGAAAACTAAGTCCCATCATGTTGGCTTATAGTACAATGGGAACCTATCTCTTTTTCGGTTCCTGTTGTATTTTTGGTAGCATCTACTGCTATTTCCTTGTACCCGAGACTAAGGTAACTTTTTTTTTTATATATATCGTACATGACGAACAAGGTAGTAACCTAATCACCATCACACAGGGAAAAACTTTAGAAGAAATAGATAAATTATTTTATTAATTAAATATATATAAATAAAAAGAAAACTACTCGACATGCTGATAGTTTTGGACAGGAATGTCCAAGAGATCATACATGCTCACCATTTTAGACTCTGTCCAACCATGTTCCCTTACTAAATTAATGACTTTTCCACTAGCAAACCCTTGTGGACTAAGACGTCCTGTTCTACCCGCCATATGCAAATACGATGTCACCGAAACAGGTTTTCCCAAGATAAACACATGCGATACACCGGGAATATCCACACCACGCGCTGTGAATTCCGTAGCGATCCACAACTTGTTTTCCCCACGTCGGTAATCCTTGATATCTGCTGCTTCCACTCCATGTCCTGCTAATTTCGTCTTGACCGTATTCACACTCACGCCATGGCCAATAAATAAAATACCGTCGCGCACATGCTCCAGTTCCTGTAACACCGCAACACTTTCCATCATACGATCATCGTCGTCACCAAAATCTACCTGCGACTCTTTGCTCACAATGGCGTCCTTCTCGCGCACATTACGGATACTGTCCTCGGATATGACTAGACAGTAATGCTGCACCGTTGAGTTGCGTTCCTCGTTCAGTCCAGATCCACCAGCCAAGTCCACAAATAAAGGATCATGCACCCACTCCTTTTGGCTTAGGAAATAACGTAAAGGTCGGTTCAAGGTAGCGGAAGAAATCACAGTTTGTTTATTCAAGCGGCTTAAAGCATCCAGTAAAAGTTCAGCGGGTTTAGGATGAGAGGCACGCTGCTGTTGCTGACGAACGGTGGCATAGCGTTTAGGCAAGGACAAGGCTTGATCGGCTTCATCTAGTACGAGTCGCTGTAGTCCGTGTAAGGGTAACTTGCCTTGACTGACGAGATCGAGGATACGCGCAGGGGTACCTACTACGGTATGAGGGATCTGTGTGAGTTCGACCTGATCCGAGTTGGCAAAGACTTGATGACTGGCATGAGGAGTTAATTGAGAAAGCCAAGATCCGATCTGGTAAGCCAGTTCTTGATTGGGGACAATGTAGAGTGATTGAATACTTTTAGAAGGGGTAGAGGGGATGAGAGAAGCCAGTGTGAGTGTAGTGCCAAAGGTCTTGCCTGTGCCCGTACGATCTCGTAACAAGAGATCTTGGAAGCCTTTGACGAGGACAGGTATGAATTGTTCTTGCGCATGGGTGGGTTGTGTGACATTAAACTTGGAACTTAATTTCTGACATGTAGCAGAAGATATCCCGAGTTTCTAAGTGGTTTTCGAGAGATTTTTTTTATTTTAGTGAACGTACAGGAAAACACATTTTATTTTAATTTACCTCAAAGGTAGAGTAACATCTTTTAACTTTTAAAGACGAACGAACAAACATTGGTAAATGAAGAAAGAAAGATATATTATAATTTTTTTTATTTAATTTTTATAGAAAGAAAGTTTTAAAGAAGCCCATAAGAAAAAATCTGTTAAAAAAAAAGAAAAATAGGTTAGGAAAAAAATGTTCGAAACATAAATCTTTTAAAAAGAAAAAAAGAAAAAAAGAGAATATATCTTTCAGCTAAGGCAATGTTTTATCTTCAGTAAGAGTGCAGAACAGGTCTGTTTTCTTCATCTTTGTAAGATAATCCTCCCTCTTTCTTTTCCTTCTCTCAATATTATTTATAAAATGAATACTTGCCTTATGTTGAATGAATGAAGAAAAGAAAATAATAGTACAGCTTTTTTATTTCTTTTATATTTTTACTTTCTCCCAAAAAAAAAAAAAATTTTTTTACCATCTTCAAAAATTTATCATTTAAAAGAACCAGTCACGCGATGGGATGAGGATTGGTTGAATCATCAACAACAAAAAACAAAAATTTTTTTTTCCTTATCTGCGATCGAGCGCAGTGTAAAGTGTTCAGGGGGGGTAGATAAGACAGAAACAAGTGTTTGATTAAAAAGTAGATGATAACATTTTTATTAAATTTATGTATTGATGGATGGAATGATAATGATATATATATATATAAAAAAAAAGAAAAAAGAGAGAGAAAGAAGAATAAATGTAAATAAGAAAAGGTCTATAAGAGAGAAAGATCTAAGGTCGAGAAGAAAGAGCTTTATGAGCTTCTGCCAATTGTTCTTCTAACACCTTGATTCTGTTTTCAAAGGAAGATTCCTTGGCCTTGAGGTTGGTCTTTTCCGAATCAAGAACGGCTACACGCATTAAGAGACCAGCATTGACCTTTTCAAGATCACTCACACGAGTTTCTAAGGTCTCCATCTTTTGCACCTTACGAAGACGAGAACGACGCGCAGCATCGGTATTCTTTTGTCGTTTCACAGCTGCATCATCCGCAGGATCCTCTTCTTCCACCGTTGCCGCACGTTTCTTGCCAGTGGTTGTCTTTGTAGAGAAAGTAGGAGTGGAGGCACTGGTAACAGCGGGGGACATATCCATGATGGGCTGAGGCGCAGCAACAGCAGCCAAGGCAGCAAGTGCGGCAGGTAAAGAATCACCAATATCCGCAAACAAGTTATCCAATGTGGTAGGGTGAGGAGTAGCAGGCGCAATAGAGGTAGGGTTAAAGAGCTGAGGTGCAGGTGAATCCAAGATGGCAGAGACATCCATATCATCACGGAAGAGACAGCTACTGGGATGAGTTAATTCATCTTTTGTTTGGAAGGGAGGAGACATTAAGAAATGATCCAAGGGAGTATTGATTTCAGATGGTGAAGAATGCACACTGCACTCCGAAGAGAGAAAATCTTGTTTTAACCATTCATCAAAGACCGATGAAGGTTCTTGAAACGGTGTACCCATCGTAGGGGTCAGCGATTGGTAGAGTTGAGAAAAGACGTCTTGATCCATCATGGTTTGGGATTCGAGAGCAGGCGTGTTGAGGATTGTCATTTTTATAATATTTTGATTGATAGTGATTTTTTTACTGGATTGGCGATATTGAAATACTTTTAGATTTTTTTTTTACTTTAAAAGAGTTAACAGGGTAATAAGTGAGGTTTTCGAGTTTTTCGGTTCTTTTTGGTTGCGGTGAACTTTTGAGTGTGTAAACATATTAACGAAGAGTTAAGGTAGACCATGTTGGCTACGGAAGAAATTTTAAGCGGGATATAAAAAAATGTGTTGTCTGGTTCTATGTAAGAAATTTTCGTCCAAAAGGGAACGAGTGAAATTTAAGCGGTGGAGATCATCGTTGCTGTACGGATTGGGAAAAGTAGGTAATGAATAAAGTATAAGGGTTTAAGAAGGTGTTTAAGAAAGGTGGGCTGAGAGAGCGCTCAAAAAAATATAGTTTTTTTTTTCCTTTTAAAAAAGAAAAAAAAAACAGATATATATAAAAAAAGTGATTGGATTATAATATAATCCAAAAAGTGTGTATAAAAGGTGTGTGTGTAAAAAAAAAAAGATTTTTTAATGAAAAGAAAAAAGAAAAAAAAAAAGTTTTTTCATTTGGGCACCATTTCATTTACTCTTTTTATAGCCATATGGTTTATCTCTATTCTCATTGGCTGGATTAGGTATCCTGAGCTGTGAGTCATTGCTTCCCTTTCCTGTTATGGTAACGGTGGCTTGGGTAAATGGGAAGGGGGGGGTGCTCAACTGCAAATGGGGTCACTTGTCAATCCCATTCACTTTTACTATGGGTAAATCGGGTGCCGAGAGGGAAGTCATAACCCAGTTTCCCTTCTCTTTTCTCTTTCCATTTCTTTTTTTTTTCTGTTATTATTATTTGCCCAATAACAAATGCACATGAAGGATTATTACTGGGGCCCAGTGTAATAAACCGAAAATAAAAAAAAAACCAATAGAAACTAAAAATAAATTTTTGTTATCATAGCACATCGACAATTGACTGGTGTGAAGTAAGCTAATATGTGAACATTCAAAAAAAAAATTTATAGATGTTCCCACATTCTTACATCCGATTACAATCAGGAAAATTACACGGTCTCTCCATATATAGCCGAGTTTTTCAATACCGTAACAAATTTGAGTTATAGTAAGTGCTTTTCCTTCTCTCTCTCTCTCATTCTCCGCTTGTCGTTTGTGTAACACGTCTTTAAAAGTATTATTATCCTTGTTTGGTGTCTATAATGTCTATCACAACAAGACAAGCAAAACGGTTTATCTTTCTTATTTGGGCATCATGTTTGTCGGTTTTGGCTCGTAAGTATTCTTTCTTTTCTAATTCGGTGCCTGAATAGATTACTAAACAAAAAAAATTCAATATCAGCTGGTGTTTCCATATGACACTTCAGTACAATATGCAATTATTAGATGAATTACCAAGTAGGGTGGCTATTAATAATATATTTTAACAACCTCCTCCTCCTCGCGTGCTCATCTTTTGACCCTTATTTTTTTTTTAGTGCTTTATATCGCATGTATCATGTTATGGCATACGTAAGTTGTGTACCTTTACATGTCCAAAGCATGCGTTACACTAACTTTTTTTTTTATATACAGTTTTATAGCAGATCCCTCCAGTACCATTGGAGCTAAGCTTCCTATCGGTCTCGCCATCTATTCCATCCTTGTTTCATACGCCTACATCATTATCAACGATCCTGTTTTTCATCAGGTGGCCTATGGTACTTTGGTTGTCACCGTAGTGTGTCGAGCCATCCTCTTATTAAATAAGGTTCCCGCCCAACGATACCTGTACGAAAGGGCACAGATGAAAACCTTGCTTATATTGGCTGCGGCTGGATTTATTGTGGGTTTCACACTTTGGAATATCGACAATATCTTTTGTTTGACCTTGAGAGATTGGAGAAAGACGGTACCTACCCTTACAGGATCCGTGAGCGAGGTAATGCGGAAATAATTTGTATTTAAGACTGTAAAAAAAAAAAAAAAAAAACTTACTATTTATAGCTTCATGGATGGTGGCACATTGGCACAGGTATAGGAATAATGAGATATATAAAAAGAGGTAAAAAAAAAAGAGATAGATATTAACTAAATATTTAGCATTGGGTGCTTATTACTTTATCGTCTTTTGTGAATGGATTCGACCTGTATTATACAACAAGAACGAAACCTATCGTTTGTACTGGATTGGACCTATTTGCTACTTACGACCTACCAGTAGTAGTGATATGAAGGCGAAATCCACGTGATGAAGAGCAAATAAAATGTTTTACAGGTTTCCCTTTTTTTTTTTTTGTATTCTTTTGTCCTCTTATATTTTTTTTTTTTTATACTTTTTTCTGTAATTTCATTACTCATGATGCATCACGGTAGAGATTCCTCATTGTCTTCCATCTCTGGATCGTTTCACGATAGTTGTTCGATATCTTCGGGATCGCCACGTACTTCACCTATTAATTCACCCTATGTCTCACCGGGTGGGTCTCCTAGAGAATCCTTAAATAATCAATTTAGTACGGGTATGTCCCTTCAGCCACCTTCCTCCAATAAATCCAATACCATAAGCAGCAATACATTTGTTCATAAACTCTACAAGTAAGTAACCCTAATACATAATCAAACCCTTTTTTTGTGGGTTATCCTAAAAGGTGGTTTGTTTTTAAATCTTTTTTAGTATGGTTGTGGATAATCAGTATCAACATTTGATTGCATGGAACTATACAGGATCTTCATTTATTGTTTGTAATATCATGGAATTTTCAAGAGACGTCTTGCCAAAGCATTTTAAACACAATAATTTCAGCAGTTTTGTGCGTCAGTTGAATATGCAAGTCATTTATCTCTTTCTTTTAAAATTTTTTTCTTATCTAACACACTCACAGGTATGGATTTCACAAGGTGAATAAATCACCAAGAGGACATCGAACTTTAGCAGAGAACCAGATTTGGGAATTCTCGCATCCAAAGTTTATAAAGGACCGCCCTGACTACCTCGATGAAATCAAACGAAAATCGCTAGAAACAGAAACAACACGTAGAGATCATGGCGATATCAATTCACATATGGCTATGATGCAGGTCTCCCAATCAGAAATGGCACAACAACTCGCTCGTTTACAAGATAATTTCTCTCAGGTCGTGCGGGAATTGGCAGACACTAAAAGTAAACAACACAAACAGCAACAAGTCCTGAAAAACATGATGGATTTCTTATCTTCCCGTCATGGCGCACAATGTAAGCCTCCTTTCTATCTGTGTCTCTCTATCTAACTTTTTTTTTTCCTTAGTACAAGTGCCACCCGAATTAAACATGAATGGGTTTGTCGATATCGATGTCGAAAGACCGCCTTCTATATTTATTACTTCGCATGATACAACCATACCTCAATACTACACTAATAATAATAACATGCAAAGACCCCAGCAACAACAACATAATAATAACAATAATAATATTAATAATAATAATACGAACCAAAATAATTACACATCTAATCATACCACATCACGTAATAATATTCCTCCCGCCCTCACGGTTCAAACCCATAATTTACCCCATCCCAGTTTATCACCTGGTTTAAATCCAATGATGGATGGTCATAGTGGCGGTGGTGGCAGCAGCAGCAACCACGGTGGATCGCCTGCGCTTAGTGCATATCACACAGCATTAAACACGCCCGTCTCTCCTAGTCCCAGTCCATTTATCCCTGATGACGAGATTCCTAGCCTCTACAGTCCTCATAGTCCAATGACACCTAGTACATTTACCTTGAACGATACTTTTCATCAGCAACAACAACAGCAACAACAACAACAACAACAATTCTTTCAGCAGCAGCAGCAACAACAACAGCAGCATCACCATCAGGAGAACAATGTAGTAATGATGGACCATCATTCGATAGGGGCTGCATATAATTCATTTGCTGTAGGGGCCCAACAAAGAACTACTTGAAAAAAAAAATAAAAAAAAAAAAATATAAATTAATTACTTTTTACCCCCTATCACTCTCACTCATTGCAAAAAAGAAATTTTTTTTTTCGTGTAGCTAGAATAATATCTTTTTCTTGCATGAATAAAAAAAAAATGTCTTTTATGGAAAGGTGAAAATAAAATTTAGTGGTTACAAGTGTGAAAGGTAAAAAAAAAAGGGTCTGCATATTTAACTTTTATGTCAACAATTCGGTAAAGCGCACAGCAAATAAAGCATCTCCACACACACACACACACACAGATCTATACACCTACATAAATCCATTTCTTTTTAAATATCTAAAATAGAAAATCTACATTGGTAATTATGATCCAGGGCCAACGTTATTGTCATAAATTTGACATCCCTTCATTACGTTTGTGCCAATATGGGCTATATGCTATTTTGAACTCTTAAAAAGTATGTACAATCCTCACTTCTGTATGGGGTTGTTAAGCAAAATCGTGTAAATTGTTTTTTGATACTCTGGCCCGGGATTGACCAGTCACCATCGATACTGCTCAAACGCTGTGAAGTCTAGAATGAACAGCATTGGTCAATAAGAAACTTTAGCAATACCATGGTTTTGAGATTACAGTGAAAATGAACTGACAAAACCATTTATGCAAGTTGAACGCCAATGGAGCCCCCCCCCCCCACTGACCAGTTTTGCCGGTTCATCTTGCATGAAATGTACAGGTCCACCCCCAAAAGAACTGCTCATAAAAGAGATTTTGAGCATACTTAACAACATCATTCTTATTTTTTTTAGAGTCGTTGCAAACCGTGTAAAGTGTCATACACTTGACCTCATACCGGCCATGTGTTTGAATATTTTTCACCTTTCAATACCTGCTTTACCTAGAATCATCATCTATCTGTCCATACGGTGCTTTTATCTTTTTCGGTAATGGCTCTTAGGTCTATTTCATGCATCACCTGCATATCCACTTTGATCATCAATACAGCAGAGAATGGCTCAATTTTTACAGGTGTTGTAAAAAAAAAAAAAAGACAGTTGCCGTTATAGCGGTAAGACATTGGATCTCTTATAAAACCATGTTTCAAGGGCATGTCGCTCACGTAAAAAAAAAAAAAAAAAACTTTTGAGAATTCAGGTCCCATTGAGTTTTGGATGAATGATTATAAGAGAGCTTACTTGCTTTTGAAACGGCACCTCCAAGACGGGGGTATGGCCGGGAATTTAACTTGTAATCGAACTATCAATTGGTGCATGCATCGTATCCGTTCAATAATACTGTAACATCTGTAACTACTGTTTTGGCATAAAATAAAAGAAGGTTAATCTAACATTCCGGGTTCACAAGTTTAACCGACCCGTCTTTTCTTTTATTTTATTTTGGACCCCTATTAGTTTCAATAGAGGATACGCACGTTGGACAGTGTAGATCGCTAATATCATTGTCTAGTAAACACATGCGGAGCCTACCAGAGAATATCTCTGGGACGATCTACTATACTCGCGCGGGTTCTTTTTTAATAACCCCAAAAAAAAAAAAAAAAAAAGATGACACCCAATCGTTGAAGAATGAGAATGCTTTAAAAGATTATCAGCGCAAACGGAGACTTAAAATGACAGCCTTGAGGGTTGAAAGGCTCTTTGTTTATATCCTTATTTGTTCATTTATTTTTGCAAGCATGTCTTCTCGAGGTAAGTGCTTTCTCTCTCACGCTTGACAGAAAGAATGCTCACTAGGGAAATTAAATAGCTGAAAGTGCACGTCCACGTCCTCCAGGACCCAAAAACTTTACCGAATGGTATCTTCTTTCTTATAACCAAGTGTCTTTACTGGGTTGGGTTTGGATCTTGTTCATGACATGGACCGAACTAAGTGACCATGACTGGGACTATCGAGGTGTTTTTAACATGGTCTGGCCTTCATTAAACATGGTTCAAACTTTTGCTGTCATGGAGGTAATGGTTTCGACATGTGCAGATACACATAAAAAAACTTTAATAACAAGTATTTAGGTTGTTCATTCTATGTTTGGTTTAGTACGTGCTCCTGTCATTACCACTGCCATGCAAGTTGCTTCTCGTCTCTTCTTGGTGTGGGGAGTCAATTACCTCGTACCCGAGATTCATTCGCATTGGTCTTTCACCACCATGATGTTGGCTTGGTCTGTGGCTGAAATTGTGCGTTACAGCTATTACGCGCTTCACTTGTCTTCTGGTGTACCCGGATTTATTTCTTGGGTTCGCTATCATTTCTTCTTTGTGCTGTATCCTTTGGGCGTCTTTTCTGAATTGATGATGATTTATCAAGCTTTACCTTTTGCACACAATGTTCACCCATTGTATTATTATCTCCTCGTTGCAGTGGCACTTGTTTATATTCCAGGTAATTTGGTTTTTATTATTATTATTATTGTTTTGCATATATGCTAATTCATTTTTTTGCTATCCAAAGGCTTCCCTGTCCTGTTTTCGCACATGTTGGCTCAGCGTAAAAAATATATGAGAGGGGATTTAAAAAAGAAGGAATAAAGATATAGAGTTTTTTAAAAGACGATATCAATGATGCCACCTGTATTGATGGAATAAGAAGCTTCACTTTCAGGCATATCGGGAGAATCAAACAATTTGGCTACACGTTCATCTCCTCTACCCTTTCTCAAATAGACGCGAGTAGACGATCTATGACAAAAAATAATTAAGCAAAGAGATAATGCAGTTTAATCTGATACTTACGCGTGTGCCAAGACATGACCTCCTACAGGTTTCTTGGGATCTGCAACAAATGTCATTCCTCCTAAATATAGTAAGTATTTAGTAAAACAAAGGAGCAAGTTGTCTCTACACGAAATAAACCTCCTGGATCTGAAGACACTTGGTTGGTCATAAAGACAGCAATGTTATATTCCTCCGAGATCTTTGTCAAGCGAGATAACATTTGATTCAACTTTTGCTGTCTATCTGCCAATTCACCTCGACCTGAATAATCACATCGAAATAAGGAAATGATGGAATCAATCACCAATAAACGATAAGCGCCCTTTTGGTCAGCAAAATGACCAGCTAATTCAGAGATCAATTCCATTTGTTGGTCACTATTCCATGCACGCGCCACGACAATATTATCCAATACGATTTCGGGATCCACGCCAAATCTATCGGCAATGGAGATTATTCGATCAGGTCTGAACGTACCTTCTGTATCAATATAAGCTTTTTTTTTTTTGGATTATTATTTTTGCTTAGTCATGGGTTTTTTTTTTTTATGAATGGATGTACGTCATTGTACCTGCTTTACTATTGGCCCCTCCATCTTCTGGCGATAATTGCACTTGGACACATAAAGTATGGGCTAATTGAGTTTTACCCGTTCTGTACTCCCCGAAAACCTCGGTCAATGACATTGTCTGAATACCACCTGAGTTTATTTTAGTTTTTTTTTAGTGTGGGGTAAAAAATTTGATATTTTTTTTATCACCTCCCAAGAGTGCATCCAACTGCTTACTTCCAGTGGATATCTTGACCACTTTTTCTCTTTGAACTGCAATTTGTTTAGCAGTGACAAATCCTGGACCCTATTGATGTACAGCATGAATAAAAAAGAAAAAGAAATGTTGTTTATTAGAATACTTGCTTGACTTTTAATTGCAGCTTCTTTGATTTTATCCACTTTGGTCTCTGATAAACCCTTGATTTTCAAGAGATTCTTCTTTGTCATCATTTGAACACCCTACCGCCGATTTGTTTGTACACCATCTAAAACAGAAGGAAAGGAACACTTACTCTGACAGTACAGACACCTGCAGATTTCAGCTTTGTGATATCAGCAACACCAATACCATGCATTTGAAGTTCATCTACTTCAGTATAAAACAACTAGTTTGAAGGAGGGGGGGGGATGACGGAGTAAATATCAGGCTAAATAATAGAACTCTATTTTTATCACATATACTTCATCATTGCCATCAGTAGCTTCTTCCAAGGTAGATGGCATCTCATTGTTCAATTCATCCGTCAAGACCGATGATTCACGTTTAGATGGCATAATGTTGTATGTGGTACAGGAACAACAATGACAAATATTCAATCCCAAGAAAAAAAAAAAAATTCCTATATACAAAATACCCACCAATCAAGTGACACTTTAAAATTAGTGAGGTGACACTTACTTCCCGGCAAAAAATAAACAATGCTTTTGTGGTGTGACTTTTTCGGGAAATGCGGTATAAAAATGAAGTGACATTTTTTTTATTTTTTTTGCATTTTTAATTTCTTTTTTTCTTTTTTAATTTCATATATACAAACATGTTTCCAAGAATATTTACTGGTATTCGTAACTCAATCAATAACCCAGGCTCTATGCAACGTCCCACACAAAGATTAACACTGGAGGACTCTTCCGAAGAATTCGTCAGGGCCACTAAACCTATTCAAATCTTATCTACACGTATTCCTGTTACTGCTGCTGCGTTTGGCTTATCGTATAACGAAGCAGATGATTTTATCCAAAAAGATCTCATTTCAACCTCTTGGATCTAAAAATGAACACTTACACACACCCACACACTCGTATACCCTCTTTTTTTTTTTTTTTTGCGCACTGTATTTTGTGCTACATTCATTTCATCCAATTGCAACATCAAGTTTAAATTCTTGTATTATAACTCCATCTCTTTTTATTTTTTTCATAATTCTTTTTTTTTTATCTTTCTTTTTTAAATAATAAAAACTTTTTTTTTTCTCTGAAAGTAATTCAATGTCTCCTATTACTGTTTCTTCTTCGGGTATTGGTGTTGCTCATTTACCTAATCAGAGACACAAGATTGTCACGAATAAGGGATGTAACTTTACCATCATGGTGTGTGGTGAATCAGGTCTCGGTAAAACAACCTATGTCAATACTCTATTCACAACCACTTTAAAAGACCATAAAGATCAAAACCTGAGACATGCAAAGCAACTTGATAGAACTGTCGAAATTGAAATTACCAAAACAGGTAAAGCACGCATTTTTTTTTCCTTTTTATTTTTTTATTGTTAAACACCCCTCCTTCTTTCAGAAATCGAGGAGAAAATGTTTAAAGTGAAATTGGCAATTGTGGATACACCAGGTTTTGGTGATTATGTCAATAGTCATAATAGTTGGATTCCTATCTCTGAATTCATTGATGATCAACATGAAAGTTTTATGCGTCAGGAACAACAACCCAACAGAGAAACCAAGATTGACATGCGAGTTCATGTGTGTCTCTACTTTATCAGACCCACCGGACACAGGTTAATTTTTTTTATTCCTTTTTGATTTTATCCAGTAACCTTTACTTACTTATCTCTCTATTTAGTTTAAAGGCCCTCGATATCGAAATGATGAAGCGTTTGGGTTCCAGAGTCAATTTGATCCCCGTAGTGGCTAAAGCGGATACCCTCACCCCCAAGGACCTGGCCGAATTTAAGGAACGTGTGCGCAATGACATCGAAGCCAATCATATCAAAGTATACCAATGCCCCATCGAAAGTGAAGATGAAGATGTCACCACCGTCAACCGCGATATCACAGCTGCCATGCCCTTCTCTATCATTGGCTCTCTTCAAGATGTTCAAACCAACGATGGTCGTGTCGTCAAGGGCCGTGCTTACTCTTGGGGTGTAGCCGAGGTGGAGAATGAAGCACATTGCGATTTTAAAAAATTGCGTCACTTGCTCATCCGCTCTCACATGCACGATTTGATTGATACCACCGAGTCCGTTCATTATGAAAACTATCGTCTGAATGAAATGGGCTCACGTAAATTCGGTGAGAGCAAACTTTTGAAGGGCGAGAACCCCAAGCACAGAGAGAAAGAAGAATCCCTTCGCAAGGAATTCACAGAACAAGTAAAGAAGGAAGAAAATCGTTTTAGACAATGGGAAACACAACTTGTGTCTGAACGAGATCGTTTAAACAAAGATCTGGAAGCTAGACATGCTCAAATCAAGGCACTCGAAACAGAGCTGGAAGCCTTGTATCACAGAAATGGTGGCTCCGTTAGAAGATAATAATCATTTTTTTTTTTTAAATAGTAATCATATAATAATAATCATAATAAAAAATATCCTCCTCCTCCTCCTCCGTTTTCTATCTCACTTCGTTATTTGTTACACTGAATTGGATGGTATAATCATTGGTGTTTATTATTTGTTTAAATGTCATCATCAGACGTTTGGTATAATTAAATTTACAGTATTCAATAAAGGGGATGGGTATTTACAAAAGGTGATGGTAAGGGCTAAAATCTATTTTATGCTTGTACATGATCGGCCGTATCATCCTTCTTGTTATTGGCAAACAAGGCGTATTGAGAAAAGATGGTGGCATCGAATAAAAGAGTACCAGCGCTACCAATGATATAAGGCACAGCTTCCAACATGGTGGCACGTGTCGCATGAGGATTGGTAAAGATGGAAAGGACATAGGTCAAATTACCCATAGCAGCGAAAAAGAACAAGGCCATTGATAAACCTTCGACAGAACGACGACAAAAGTTTTGATAGATCTGAGGTAATCTGGAGGACAAGTAAAGAAAAGTACAGACCCAAGCAAAGAATCTTCCAACCCAAATGGTATGATTGTCCATCACTGTAGTGGTTGCCATGGAAATAGTCGTGGTGTCATTGGCAGTGAATAAATCAGAAGGTGAAGAGACGCCAAATGTAACTAAACCAAAGAATAAAAGCATACTGACGTACTTTTTGTTGGAAGGCGAGGAAGACAAAAGAGGACTTTCTTCGTTAATTTCCTTTCCACCGCCTGTGCTGTATGTCGTATAAATGCGCTCGCCGTCATTTAATAATGCACTGGTATCTGCAATTGGCTTTATTTCATCGTCTCCATCGAACCAGCGGCGGATACGATTATCGGTGTATTTAACATAGTAAAGCCATTGAATACACAAGATAGTATCAATGATGGTAAAGTAAATAGCAAGGATGATTTGAAATGGAAGTTGGCCAGTAATGATGCAACCGATAAAATTAGCAACGTCGCCTAATAAATTCAAGAATTTGGTATTAATACTTTGATTCCTTTCCCTTTTTTTTAAAAAAAAACTTGTGAATTATTACCTGTTAACCAGACAATAAGAAAAGAAAAACTAAGGCCGTTTGCGTCACGGATTCTATAATTCTTGATCACTTGACTAAGTACCAATTAAAATGTTAATCATCATGGGCTACTGCTGGCATATTCCAAAAAAGAAACTTACGGTAATTGTGCATTAAGCCAACAGAAAATGGAAAGATATCCAAACAATAAACTCGCTGATTCTTGCCAATCGTATACACAATCACCAAACAATGACTGTTTAAAAAAGCATTAGTTTTTTTTTTTTTTTTTTTCTCGTTCTGCTAAAATAATCTGAGTTTGTGTAATTCTTACATAAATCCATTGCACTGCGGAGGATCCATTTTCTAAAATAGGGCAAGTTGTATCCATGTTTTATTGAAGAGAGAGAGAGATATATAGAGTGAGTGTTGTTGGTGGATATACGCTTATGATGATGAAGGAGAAGAAAAAAGAAAAAAATATTTCCCCTCATTTTTATACATAAGATATGTCGGCCGTTTAATGCACTTTTCTACCCACATCTGATCTTTTTTCCCTAAACAGGAAACAAAATATTGATGAAAAAATCAAGATATTTTTTTAGGCTCAACCCATTTCTCGTGATGCATCATTTTTTTTTCTATTTGTCTCCTTAGAAATTTTCTATCTCTTATCTGTGGATAATAAGGAAAATCCGTTATATTACTAATATTCGGTTTCTGTCAAAATATTTATAATATCACGTCAGTTTTGCAAAAACATAAATATTATTATTATTATCAGAAAATACAGTTATGAAATCTTCTTTTCACGAACCTCATCTCCTTTTTTTCATCTGCACTCATCAGCCCTTTATTGATATTGTCATCACTTCAGTGACCCGTGTATCTTGTAAGCACATGATCTCTAATGACCCTGTAATATAAAATGTTTTACAGTGTAATAACAAAGAAGCATGATGGGTACATAATCAAGAAAATAAACGCATCTAACTGGTGTTCCCCCCTAAATTGACTTTTAAAAATAAAAAGTGTGATCTACCTATAACGCTTATGTGAACTGACTCTTTTTCTCTCCAACAACATAATGATGTCAACTAACGGAATATTTTCATGTGATGATGCCGAATTTTTCATAATGAATCCGTTTCAACCGCTCCATTATTATCTTATTTGTTGTTCAAGGGGGGGAAAGTAGAATACTTTATCTCCTCGGCATTCAACTCACTTTTCTAACCCGCTCTCTCTCTTCTGTGTTGCCAATACACTAATGTACAAAAGTTGAAAGATAATCTATACCTGGGTTCCACAATAAACCTTTTTTTTTATTATCTAGAAAATAGACTAATGGTAGGAGCCTTAAAACACGAGGGTATCCCAAGGCATAAATTAATTTTGCACGCTTCATTTTACCTGAATTATAACCTGCCATTCATTCATTTCTATTAAAACCTGTTTTCTGGATAATCAAACTCAAATTGAAAATTCATTCGTGTCATAGTCCTGAAGTTTTATTAGAGAATGCAAACAAGTGATTATAAAATGTTGAAATCTAGACCCTTTTATATTCTATACCAAGTAAACTCGTTACTTTCCCTAACCCTTTCCGTATGTACGATAATAATAACAAAAATAAGGGGGAGCTAGTTGATTCGAAACATGCACTTGACAGGATTCTCATCTTTCTTTTTTTTTTCTTTGCTTCTTCTTCCTTATTAACAATGATCTTAAAAAACTGAACACTTTCAAGTTGGAACAGAGACAATCAACCAATTGATACAGTATGATTTAAAATATCATACAAAGAACAATGCGACACGTAAAGATAGACATGTATCGCCTCTAGTTCTACTTTATATAACATGAATGTGATTTTCCTCATGCATTAATCTGTCAGTCGATAATGATATCACCAA